CCCACAAAGCGCCTGCTGCAATCCAGAGCTTCCAGCAACAGAGCCGCCGACCCCTGCCGAACATCCGACAGCCTTCCGCAGATCCCAAGCGCCTTCCCGCACACCTCGCACCTTCTCCCGAGAAACCCTGCACATCCTCTGCGAGAACCGTTGTCTTGCAGTTTCCAAAGTCGTCCACACACCAGACATACCGCCCAAGACCCCCGCCTCCCAGGCAGCGAGTAACCGGGCACATCGCACCGCAAAGCACCCAGCACGCCGCCAGAGCTGCAAACTCAAAGCTCCTAACCCGTGTGTTGGCCATCCGCTCCGCATCCCCTCTCCGAAGCACTCCCCACGGCACTGCACTCTCCGCGACATCCCCACCGAAAGAAGCTCCACCTTCTCGACAATCCCAGGGGAGCGAACAAGAGAAAGACACCGCCCCTCATACAACCCACAATCCTAGAGCCTCTGCCTCATCCAGTCCTCTCTCCCCATAACATTTCCAGCTCTACAGACCACCCAGACCCTAGCCCCGCCATCAAACCCAGTCCCCCCAACAATACACGCCATATCCTACTCACAACGAAGTCCCTACTACTAATTCTCACACACCCAATCATATCAGCATATCCATTTCATCCATACTTCTTCTCTACCCCACATGAACATCACACACGTTCCAGAGATACACAGAACTGACAAGCAACACACCGAAAACCTGCGACACTGGAGGAAGATCCTCGGCATTGCTCCATTCGTCTCAATTGTATTCCCTGCCATCATGTACTTCATCTCCGACGAAGACAGTTTTAAAAAGAGTCTTCTCCTCAGGTTCATCACAATACTCCTCCCCTTTTCATACTCAGCGGTACAGTATGCCATACTACTCCACACCACACCATACTACACCCTCAATCTCCTATTTCTTGCATTCGCCGCCATCTCCATCCTTTCAATCACTGCACTCCCCATCAATGAATGGAAAGGTGATGATTCACTCATCTTTTCTATCGTCCTTCCCTCTCTCTTCATCCCACCCACCTATCTCCTCTCCACCTCCTGCCGCCTTGTTCCAGGACAAACCGCCTTCACAGATACTGGCATCAACGTCCTTATCGACATCCTGATCCTACTATGCCCTCTAGTAAGTCTTGTGCTCGTATGTAAAGAACCCGAGTACCGTCTTCTCTCTGCAGTCCCATTCCCCATACTCATCCTGGCACGGTTGCTCAACGACAGGTATTGCCCATCCGAAAAGAGTGCTCCGCCTACTGCCCCATGGAGAGTCGCCATCCTTGTCCTCATCCTCACCTCTGCTGCTCTTATCTACGCATTCATGATGTGGACACCCATTGCCATCCTAAATGGTTACTTTGGCTTACTTCACAAGCTAAGAGAGTCTTTCCTTTCACTAAGGCCTGATTAATAAACAGTTCTCCACTCCATCTATCGACACGCTCTTAGGCCACACAGACCATCCCTAACACCCACCCACCAGATCGCTCTGCTCTCTTCAGTCAACATACATAAACACACACACACATCCAGGAGATCCCCACATAACCCAAACCATGTCAGTAGAGAACAAGAGCACAACCATAATACCATTTGTTTTATTCATCAACACATCACTCCACTCAGATCATCCATGGCCTGCCCTGAATCCTGAGACGCCGGAGAACCAAGGTGTTCAAAGGATTCCTCCACACTATCTGGAATGATCCTGTCTCCTTCACCTTTCAAACCTTACTCCCAGAGGATACTCAAACTTGCCGCATCCTGGTATTCCTTATCCTCATCTATCTTCTCAACGTCGCTCGTCTCACCAAGATTGCCCCCCATCTCACAGCATCCCCCATCCCCTCTATTCCTGTAACCCGGAACATCAGGTGGTACACAATTGGGCACCCACTAGGAGAGTCCTTGAACATCCCAACCTCCACCACTCCTGCCATCCTCCGCTCTCAAGAACCCCACCACCAGACGGCCTCGAGAACTCCCGCCCTTGGTGTAATCTCCTGCATCCATGAAGAGCCTGTCTGCATCTGGGCTCTTGAGAAGTTCCAGCACACCCGCTATGTCATGGAACACCTTCTGCTCCTGATCTCTTCAAGAGACCTTCCACCTCTCCTCGCCTCCCCTGTCCCACTCCTCCTTGATCTTCTCTGGGCTCTCCACCGAAGAACCCTTCTGTGGATCCTGAAGCGCTTCTGGCCACCCCTGCTTTTCTTGCCTGTCTTCCTGCGTGCTCCTCCAACCTCCACGAACGGCATCTCCGCTTCCTCACTCGCCTCCCCCTCCCTCAGAGACTCCCCACTCTTCTTGCTCTTAGTCTTCTCCTCTCCGGATCCTGCTCCCGATCCCTCTTCTCCATCTCACTTCTCTGCCTTTCCTTGACTACATTCGCAACCTTGTTGATATATCTCCTGTCTATCTCCTCTCCCTTCTTCCCCAGCAGCATCTGCTTGACTAACTCCCTTGTAACATCTCCTCCATGCTCTCTGTGTGCATCTAATAACAGACTAGTGTTAACAACAGTACATTCTAAGTATAGACCGCGGCTAATCTCATCTTCATCAACCTTTGCCTTCAAAGCCTTTCTCACGCTTCCCTCTGCCAACAGCCCCATCAGCTCCTCCTCTTCCAACTCAAGGCAGATCTCCTTGCATGCATTGCACACTATCTTCTCTGCCTCAACTACCCGCCTCAATCTTTCCGTACTATAAAGAAACCCTGCGCGTTCCTTAACCCTACTCCAAAACCTTCGATACTTCCTTTTCTCTTCTGCAGACACTTCACCAAGTGCATTTTCTATCATGTCGCTAAGTCTGTTTATGATACTTTTTCCATACTTCACTACATGACCATCTCCCGCTTTGTTGCATTCAAATATCATTTCATGCACTGTTTCCAACGACTCGCTAAACATCTTGCGGCCTCCCTTGTACACCTTTGATGCACCTGCAGATATCTTCTTCAAGTACCCGTCCATCATTTCACTAAACAGCCTCTCAGATCGATCATCCTTGTATGCTATCCCGCCAACCACAAAATACCACACCGCGTGAGAAATATTGTGTTCTAAAAAGGATGCAACACGTCTCCTGGCATTTCCCTTCAAGTCGCCGTACTTCGTTGTCGGTAGCACAGCAATATTGTATCCCTGGAACATAAACGGGAATACTATCACCTGGCTATCTGGCCCGAGTGTAAAGGCGGCAGCCTTCTCCAATCGTGGGGAGCAGTCCATCACACCAGCCGCTGCAACTAGCGTCCATGCTGCATAGATCCGCCTCATGGGCCAGATCTTTCCTCCTGCTTAGTCGCCTCCATCTCCTTTTCATATGACGTCGTGATGTCTCTCAGCGGTGCTTGCTGCCCTGCACAGGTCATTTCCTCCAAGGCATAATGTCCTTTTGCTCCTTACCTCTTCACCGCAGAACCTTCTCAAACTAGCCCATTCCATCCACCTACAGAGCATCCTGCCTGCCGCAGCTCCCCCCGCCATCGCTCCCGCACAAGGCTGCACACAACTGCCCGGCCCCATAAAGCCCTCGTCAGCACACATGGCCCACAGACCACGCCTTGTCCCCACACCCAACCAATTGACCATAAACACGTATCCTGCTGCTTACCTATCACGGCCTTTCCACAACCCGAATCCTGCCCGCTGACACTGACGGCTCCACCTATCCCACTCCCGGCCCGCTACTACCGCCGTGTCGGTGGCCATGCTCTTCTATCTCCCTGGAAGCTACTGTCCCCACCCATCGCCCTGCTTGTTTCATTCAGGCGAGATTGCCCGGGAAGAACTCCCCCAAGCCTCCGCACACACGAAACAAGGCGTCTAACCAACGCCAGGAACACTCGCCCACCATTGGTCCTTGCAGCCGCCATCTGCTGTACCCCCACCCAATATACGTCGATCCCCTGACCCTTCATGGGTATCATAGACGTCCAGAGGTCTCATTTGACTGCCACGCCGTCCAAGGAGAGGGATGCACCAGCACACCCTCCCCCCACAATCTTGCCTGTCTGTATCCTTTTTCCATACACATCTATTGCACTTCCTGTCCTCATGTACTACATCCCGGAGAAAGGCCAATTCGACCAAAATCCCTTTCTCAAGCTCATTGCAATACTCCCTCCCTGCCTGTACTCGGCGGTCCAATTCCCTCTCCTCTTCCTCGGCAACCCCGAGTCTTCCTGCACGCCTCGACCTGCATTATATGCAACACTCTATCTGCTCCTGGATGCCTCTCTCCTTGCATTTTCTGCCATCTCCATCCTCTCGATTGCTGCATTCACCACTACAGAATGGAACAGCGATGAGGTTGTGGCCGTCTGCTCCACCCTCCTCCCCTCCCTGCTCGTACTGCCTGCCCACCTGCTATCCACCTCCTGCGCCCTTACCCCAGGGTCAATCGGATTCACAGACTCCTCTGTCGACATTCTCATTGACCTTCTGATGGTGTCACTCCTTGCAGCAGGCCTAACGCTGAATGTGGACGAGTCCTGGCGCTTCTTCCCCTACATCTGCATCAGCTCCCTCGTCCTTGTCCTGGCAAAGTTGCTCCGGAAGAGCAGCTCCATGCCCAGAAGGGACCCTGCGCCTGCTCCAGCCTGGAGGATAGCTGCCTTTGTCCTTATCTTTGGCCTTTCCATGTTTGTTTACTTTTCCATCCTCCATGAGTGCCTGCTCATTTTCGGCAACCATTTCCCCTGGTTCCCAAGCCAAGCACCTTCCAACGACTTGACGAATAAATGGTAGCCCGGGACCTTGCATACACACAGCCTACTGCCTTCAATGGATACCCCCACACCATCTGCATCCTCCTTCCTCCCCATCCACCTCCTTTCCAGCCTAGCTACATGTCGTGTAAGTTCTATCCAGCCACACTCCTTCTATTTACGTCCCTGCCCTGCCATCCGAAGCATCTGAATAACGTCAAGCAATACTTCGTCCACTCACTTCATATATTTATTATGTCCATATGCCACATACACATAGCACATCACAGAATCTCAGGAATCCGAAGAATGGTGAGAGTCCGGAGAACCTCGCTGGTGTTCTTGCGATTCCGATACTCTATCCTGAACTCATTCCCATTACTCGTCATTTCACACCGGACACCAGAAGGATACCGAAACCCAGACATGTCAGAAGACTTCTCCTTCTTTATCTCATCCACATCGTCTCCCTCCCCAAACGACGAGCCTCCGACCATTCCTGTCCTCTCAGTCTCCGTGGGCCTGAACATCAGGTGGTAGACCACACTCTCTCCTCTCCCGCCCTTGAAAAGCCCAACCTCGACCTTTCCCACCTTCTTCTCCCCTCCCTCCTCAAGTATCCCGTTTGCTACCATCTTCCATCTCTCACTCCCGCCCTTCATGTACTTGCCTGTCCGGACAAAAAACCTGTCACACTTCTCCTTATCCCTGAGGAGCTCTGAAACTTCCACTATGTCATGCACCTTCTTCTGCTCCTTAATCTCTTCCACACTCTTGCCTTTCCACCTCTCCTCGCTTCCTTTGTCCAGTTCACGCTTGATCTTCTCAGCATCCTTCTTCCACCGGAGAACCCGGCTGTGCACCTTATAATGGTGTTCTTCACCCATCTTCTTTTCTCTCGATCCCTTCTTCTTGCGCCGAGCCCCTCCAACCACCGTCTCTACCAACGGAACCTCCGCACTCTCCTCCTCTTCTACCTCTACACCTTCTTCTTCTTTTCTGTCCTCTTCCTTACTCTCCTCCTTAGCCTCTCCTGCACCCCTCTTGCCTCCCTTCTTCTTGCCTCTCCCTTTACTCTCCTCCCTCTTCTCCCTCTCCACCATCCTCAACAGCTCCTCCTCATTCTTGGCTCTTTCCTCCTCCCTTCTCTTTCTTTCTTCCATCTCTCTCATTTCTTCCAACCTTTTTCTCTCTCTAACAGAACGCACTGCACTCTTGATACTTTTATCATCAATATTCTTACCTTGCAAAAATAATTGAAGGATTAGTTCTGCCATAATATCCATACTTTTGTATTTATCACACGCATTTATCAGCCCTCTATGATCCACAAAATAAATTAGTGGTTCCTCTATCTCGTCTACGTTTGATTCCATCTCTCTCAACTTCAGATATGTCGAATACACTTCCATAATAAAGCTTTTCCTATCTTCCTCTCTTTTCCAGATGTATTCACATACATTGCACATTATTCTCTGTGCTTTAATTATTTCATCCTGTTTCTCCTTGGTGCACAACCTTCTTCCATACTCCTTAATCTTCCGAAGGACCTCTTCTTCTCTCTTCTTTTCCACATCATCCAAAGAACCTGGTAACTCCTGAATCAGAATTTCCACTCGATCAGCAAGCAACCGCCCAAACTCTTTGAGTATACAATTATTCTGCTCGAAAATTCCATTCACCAAGTCTGTAAACTTCATTCCATATTTCTTTTCAGTCCCCTTGTACAGAGCAACAGTATCAGACCTCCATGAAGAAGCCTTGTCAAAAACATCATACATCAAATCCACAGCCCAATCGTTATTTGCAAGGGCATATATGTGTGTTATTGAACGCCATGCCACTTCTGGAAGCAACTTGATGACTTTCTCAACATATTTTCTCTCCCCCTCCTCAATATCTCGGTATCTCGTACCTGGTGATACAACGACTTTACTCTGATGGAGAATAACCGGAATCACCACCCTCGTCTCCAATCCAGCATTTTTCTCAAACAATCTTCTTAACATCCTAATCTCGGAACTGGACAGCTTATAACCTAAACCTTTCTCAAGTTTTTCTCTTGACTCTTTCACTATCTCTTTTATACTTGAGGCACATGCTATACCAGACAATCCAAGCATGTATATTAACAATATCCTCATCTTCAAGGGTCTATCCTCTTACACGTTCATTTTACTTCCCCTTTTGCCTTGTTTTCAAGTATTGTATTTGCGCTGAGTCCCATTGACTTAACACATTTACATAATATATCTCAAGAGAAAATCAAGTGTCTTATCAAAAATAGGAGAAAATCCTGTCACTTCGCAAACTTTAGATAGCAAATTTCCTGATATCTGTATCTTCGCAATCATCAGAACAACCCTGGTTCTTAGCCTTCGCATAACCCCATCAGAGACGCTATACAATCACATAAACCTTACTCAATAACCAATTCAACCTCCTCAGAACCTTCACAGTCATTCTATATCTTTATTCCATTCTCTTTCCCAAGTCCCCACTAATATCTAATCTAAGCTTAAAACCAACTACAAGTTGCTATCAATTGTCTGGTTAGTCTAATATACCCAATTTCATACAAAATTCTCCTTTGCCCCATATGAGCGTCACCAATATTCCACAATCACATGAAACTAACGAGATGCAGCATATTAAGAACCAGTCCCACTGGAGAGTAATTCTTAGCAGTCTTGGAATATTCATGGCAACTGTATACCCTATTTTTATGTACCTTGTCTTCACTAAAGATTGCTTCGAGGAGAGACATCTTCTTAGACTCATCACACTACTTCTCCCTTTTTTATACTCAACAATACAATATCTTTTCCTGCTCTACACCAATTGGAAGAATGGCCATAAACAAGAAGACATTCTGTACAACATACTATACTACCTCCTAAATCTTCTTCTTACGACGTTTTCTATCATTTCTATCCTTTCAATCATTGCACTCATCATTAACAGGCGAGAAAATGATGACGATTTATTTTTCTTCTCTGTTATCCTACCCTCCATGCCTCTCACCTATCTTCTGTCCACCTCCTGCCGCCTTGTTCCCGGGCAAATCGGATTCATAGATACTGGCATTAACATCTTCATTGATATATTGATATTATCATGTTTAGTGAGTCTAACACTTATCTGTATAGAACCCAAAGATTATCTTTGTTTTATCGCGATTTCTTCTGCTCTTACCCTAGTAAGATTACTCAAGAAGAAGTATTTATCATCTAAACAGAGTCCACCACCTACTGCACCATGGAGAGTAGCTATTTTTGTCCTCATATTCAGTTTTGTTGTGTTTATTTATGTACTTGCAGCATGTGGATCCATAACTGCCTTAGACTATCATTTCCATCTATTTGACAAGGTAAAGAGTATTCTTTCATAAAAATCTGACGAAAATACAATAGTCAATGCCTATACTTCATAAACCCATACCATTGGCAGATCTTCCTTTCTGTTTAATAATCACCACCTCCTTTCTCTTGAGATATTATATCACTTTTGAAAGGGGATAGATTGCTTTGATGTCCGGCATAATGCACCAACATAGGATCGCTGCTCGTAGGGGACCTCAATTACCCCGAGTGGCTTCAATTCATTACTTGATATAAAATATTTCGTTTAGAGTAGGATGGAAAATTATTTGGTAATCGGTCAATTCTTATTTTTACTGGTTTATACACAGAAGTTTTGGATTTGATATAAACATAAAGATACAGAGTATCCCATAAATCGAGATGTATGGTAGTAGTAGAATTCTTTCAAAGTTACGTGGTCTAAGATTTCCTACTAACGGAGCGGGCACTTCACGGCCAATCCCAGCAAGAAGCGATGACTCGGAGAAGAACCAGCAGGATAGAACAGGTGCTCCTCTTCCTTTACCTCCTAAGAAAACGTCAGCTGGGAAGTCGCTTGCTAGTTATGCGAAAAGCAACATAAATACTCATTCTGTTATAGACCCTAAGAAGTTTGAAGGTACAGGGGCTAGTCCCACTAAGCCTTCCATTGAGATAATCACGAAATTCCTTGCAAAGAATCTGAGCTCCATAAAAGGTCAGAATGTATCAAAAGAACAAAACCTAAATATAGATTCCAATATTCAGCCGGAAGACTCATCTCACACCATCATCATTGTGGAGGAAGGGCAGGGAAAACAGGGTTTAGCTGATTCCAATATTCAGCCGGAAGGCTCACCTCATATCCCCACCCCTGAAGAAGGAAGTCTAGAAAATGCTTCTACGCAAAAGAAGCTTAGACCTCAACCCTTATCCAAGGCTAGTTCAACACCGGACTTATCTAGTAATTTTTCCTCTATGAAGACCAGTCATGGCCCATTGAAGAAGAGTAAATCGATGTCAGACATTTCCTCCGACGATGCCATCCTTAACTCAAGAGACTTAGTTAAGGAAAACAGATTCAAACAAAAAAAACAACCTGATCTACCCAAGTTTCCATCTACAGGAAGTATTTCTATTAACCTGGGATACTCTGGCAAAGGACATTTTTTTGTGTTTTATTGCTTAATATCTTTGGGGTTATCGTTGCTCGACTACGCCATTGGAAGGTTTGAGCAATCTAATGGAACGTTAGAAGTAGTGGTGAATGGGCTATTGTGCATAGTGTCTGTTTCTGGACCTATTATACATGGGATACAGATACTAATGAAGGAGAGTCGCAATAAGAAGATGGCTCAGGTAGTAAAGGAGAACTGGAATGTAGTTGGAACCATGCTTCCAATAGTCACTGGTCTCTTGTCTACAGAAATACCCGGAAAGGACGGAGTTATGATGGCGGGTATAGGAATTGTGATGATGTATGTGCAAAATGCTGTTCAAGAGAAGATGTACAAAAGTCAGATGATTGTGTTTATAATTGGAAACATAATGATGACGTCAACATATCTGGTCAAGTGTTTTAGTCCATTATCCAAGGATAGATATAGTCTCATAAATGCTATACCTGTCATGGTTGCAATTGGACTAATTGTTGTGGATATAGTAGAAAAGAAAGCGAAGAAAAGAGAAGTGAGTAATGATGTGAAAAATATAGTATGCGGAATAAGCTGGATGGTTGGGACAGTCATCTGGTTTTTGAATATATCTGACGAGGATGTTATTATAAACAGCACAGCCACATGAAACAATTAATAAAGACAGATTGCACTGCGATCGTAATACTAGTGAAGTGTTCTAGCTTTGAGATGGCCTTATGCTTCTTGAAAGAAGTGGAAGTGACGCAAACAATAAACTTCACTGCATGAAACCGAAGAATCACTTTTGGACTCATCTCCATTACTTCTTCTTCATAAAATCAAACAGAGTTGACTGCTTCGTTCTCTTAGAAGGTTGACCTTCAGACTCTTTCTTCTCGTTGTTTGTAAAGACCTTATCTTCCTTCTTCTTTTTGAAGTAATCACTGTACTTTTTCTTTTCTGTGTTGCTCAGAATGTACAAAATGTCTCCCTTTTCTCTGGAAAGTATTATGTCTGTTACACCTTCTTTCCTTACAGCATTCATGTACACCTTACTGTAACCTTGATTCTCCTTTGCTATTTCATCCAGGTCAATTTTTCCATTGTTGAAGTAAGTGATCTCCTCTTTCATAGCCATAGCGGCATCGAAGAAAAGTATTTATTTGCAGATCTTACAACAAAGCGCGGATTCTTGCTTATTCAATGCTTACGTCATTCATTCTATGCAATTCACACCCTTCTCTTTACCACTAGCTTAATCCAAAACTTTTGAGCATCGGAGTTCTCATCGCACTCTCTTATGCTCAGAACACTTCCCAATGCGTCTGTGGATTCCGATCCATTACTTGAAAGACATCCTCCGTCTTCTCCGTTTAGCTTGAAACTCACAAACTTAGACTTTTTATCGAGTACGACTTCCCACGTCGAGTTCTTGCTTTCACGGGTACATACCATGGCCTTAGAAAAGCTATGCCTCTTGCATATCCGCTTGTTGTTTTGCAGTATTTCTGTCCTGACCTCGTCCACAATGAACTTCGAGCATCCTCCGTTATCCTTTATTTTTTCTTTCGTCGTAAGTCTCACCTCTTCGTCAAATAAAGACAGATATTTCTGTGCGTCAACCTTCGAGACTATTCTGACTTTTATCGGATCCGATTGACAAATAACGCAGGATATCACTAGCATCGTCATTAGGTTCATCCTGTTTGTATTACTGGTCTCCATTTATCTCTTGTGGTTTCAGAACTATTCAATAGGAAAGTTGAAGACAGAAGCATGATAGTTCTCTGACGCAAGATAGTTGTTCTTCAGCCGTGATGTAACAAGAAATGCACTGTTTAATTAGTAATATTTTACATAGTCTGCATAGTTCGGTGTAACTGCAACATCTTCTCCTGCATCTGTTCCTGTCAATGGCCTGTATGCAGAGTAAGGTGTTGGCGTTGTACTGGAATGTGGCAGAATACCAGAACTTAGACTGGCAATAAGAAGCGGGCTTACCGACCCTTTGAATGAGACTATCTTTTTGCCTTCGCCATCATATAGAATTATGCGTTGCTTTGTTGCAGGAGCTCTGCTCTGAGACTGTTTAAGCAGGAACGGAAGTAATTCCTCCAAGGGCAGGTCTTTCTGCGAGCTCTTGTCGAACTCAATTTCGTTAGAGTCCTGGCTTTCTTCTTCAACGAACTTCAGGTCAAAAAGCTGGCTTGGCGAATTCAATTTGCATCTTTTACCTACTAACTTTATACCTTCAGGAGTTTTCTTGTCTTCAACTTCTAGACAGACGTCGTTTTCTGTCTTGAACCTAACACTGCCATTTTCAGAAACTAGACTCCATTTGGAGTAGACCTCGTCGTTTCCGGTACAAACTTTGATGTCATCCCTCTTTTCGTCCTTACAGAGCTTGGTTTTTCCCTGTAGAATTTCCGTCATTCCCTTGTTGATTTCAAAGACCCCTTCTTGGGATTTCCCTATCTTTCTATTTTCCTTGGTGCTGACTACTCTAACAGTATCTTTTTCCCCAGCCTTCACAATAGCCACAAGAGAGTCTGGATGACTCTTTGGTGCAATTCTAACCATCTCGTTTCCCATCACCAGAGAGGTTGCATAGAAGATCAAAAATCTCATGACAAGTAGGATAGGATAGGATTTATATGCTTTAGGGTTTCACATCTATCAAATTACAATAAATTATGGTAACATCCTGATACACTATGTTTGAGTTTTTACGCTGTATATCGAAACAAACTCCAAAGCCTGAAATGGTAGAACATCTTCGCCATAAATATTTATTGATCAGGTAGCTTGATTTCTCCAGCATCAATCTCACGCGTAACTTCCTTCGGACACTTGCCGTCGACTTTACATCCAATCGACTTGCACGTCCCAAGGACCTCCTTCACCGTTCCAGAAAGGCTGTTCGAATAGGACCTGCTAGACCGAGCAATCCTTGCTATATCGACCACCTCTGTCATCCTAAGGCTTCCGTTATGGAGAATGTTCTTTTCCTTTTTCCTGTCCCGCGGGGGCTCTTTCAAAGACTTGATTATCAGTGTCGCAACACTAGGCTGGACTTCGACTGTTGCTTTCCTATCCTTTATTGCAAGCTGCACATGGACCTTCAAGCTCTTGTAGTCTGCAGTAGCCTTTTTTATATCTTCTCCAACCACCTTCGATGACAACCCAAGTGGTCCAACCCGCTGGGCAAGCGTTGCTCCGGGAACCTCCCCTCCCACAACCTGCAGCTTAATGTATTTTGTATCCGGATCCATTCCTTTTTGCTCCGCCATAACTGAGGGTTTAGAATTTTGAAAAATTTGTTACCAAGCCAAGACATCCGTGTGTTAATAGATACAGGGCACGAAATTACTTCAAGTGGATGCCATCCTGCTCCTCCTGGCCTTGAAGCATTTGCTTGCTTGGAGAAATGCTGTCTAGAAGTACAGATATAACCGGATCATCAAAACCTTCGGATATTCTTATAAGTTCATCGAAAACCTCAAAGTCGAGTCCAAATCTCTCGGAAATCGCAAGGATAAATCTCCTCATTATCTCAAATCGCTCATTAAGCATCTTCATTTCCAGGCTGATATAGTAATCCCTGCGGCTTTTAGAACTGCCAAGAATTTTGCCATTAAGCAGCTCTTTTCTCCTGCACTCACTTTGGATGGCTCTTTCCTTGCTTCTAGCCTCTCTGCTTTTCTCATTAACCTGCCTTTTTAGTCTCGATATACAGATGCCCAGCTCTTCAAGCTTAGCATCTTTTTGCACTATCTCTTCTCTCTGCTCCCTAACTTTTGCTTCCAACCTCTTTATTTCCCTATTTCCGTTCTGTAGCTCTTTACTAAGGTGCCGAATCTCCTTGGTCAACGAGTCCATCCTTCCATTCAAATCCCCCATGGATAGTGGGATTATGAAAGAAGCAAATTAACAGCAGAGGGAAGACAGCGATTTAATATCCCATTTCAGAAAGAACTGCCAGTTGTAACCAGCTTCAAAAGCCAGTACAGCCCGTACAGCTTACAGTGCCAAGTTATGGAGTTGCCCCATAAGCCTTGAGATGCACTAAGAATATCATTTATAGTTTCATCAGGCTTTTTGATCATGTCATCCAAGCATATTAGATAAAGCTTCCTGCTCTCTTCATCATTCCGAGATTTTATGAAAGAGTAAGCTTTCTGTGTTGCCATCACCTTGTTTCCTAAGTCGCTTTTCAGAATATCTAATACATATAGAGAGGTCTTTCCCCTACAGAAAGTTGTGAGATCATGAAGAATCTCCCACATTTTCGTAGCATTGCATCCTTCGAGACAATTCTTCTCTACAACATCCAATCCATCCAAATATACCTTATAGACCTTGTGATGAAATTCATGAAGCTCGTCAAGCCTCGGTCCTCTTTTTACAAACCATCTGTCGAAGTTGTCCCATTCCATGTTGGCAACATGAGCCGAAAATGCATTAATCTCTCTTCTCGCCTCCCTTATTCCATATCCCACTTCTCGCCAGAATCCTTCATGATCATTTTCCCTAAGACGCCCAAGTGCACTGCCATACAGAAAGAAAGGGATGCGCCTAGGATCCTTCATCACGTTTAACACATTGCTTATGGAACGCATTAACCATGTCGCAAGTAGAAGTGCTGGGTCTACGGTGAATTTAACGGCTTCAACAACCTCCAAGCCGTAATCTTGCATGCTGAGTGAACCATGCATTAAAAATATATTTGATTACCTTACAGATGAACTAAAATAGAACAACTCCGAAAAACAAAATGCAATATGGTGTATATACAGGTCATTTTAATTTACAATGTATGAGCAAATATAACCCTGGTCATATGACAAGATAATATAAATAACTCTTCATTAGAAATATATCAATGCAAAATAGATTGACAGGTCAGCTCAGTTATAAATTCAAGCTTACTTCTACAATGCCTAATACATAAGCATCCTTCATATTAGAGACTTTCATTTGTATTAACATGTAAATTAATATGCGAATACAAAAGTATAAAAGAAGAATTTCTATAGGCCTTATTATGAAAGCCAAGCTTATTGCATTCCAGGCTATTTTCACTGCAGTTCTCTGCACCCAACAACAGGAATGTGGCCATAGTGGAAGTATAGTGGAAAATTCCAAGGAAAAGAAAAAGCTACCAGTGCCTATTCCCGGCACTGAAGAGCAGCAGGAGCTAAGTACGGGGAAGAAAGAAAATCCTATTGTTGAGGAGGGAACTTCCGGTAACGAGGGATCCGGCCAATCTGAGAATTCCCAGGAAGGAGAAGAAGAAGAAGAAGAAGGCTTGGTTGACAATGAGGAGGACTAACGAGATGGAGGAAAAAACAACATCCTTTGGGAAAAAAAGCAGCCTAAAGGAAAGAATAATTAAATCCCTTTTCTCTATCTGTACTAGATACAGCACCAGCTTGTAAGGATCTTTGTTGTCTAAGGAGGGAGAAAAGACACAGGTGTTTAATTATAGAATGCAGGCTGTGTGCCGCTCCTCTCAACAACCTTCGAGTATGCCTCCTCAAAGTCCCTCTGCGTAACCATGTATCTGCTGGCCCGAACAGCAAGCATCCCCGCCTCCTGGCAGATCGAGTTGATGTCTGCACAGCTTATCTTCTCGGGCCTGCACACAAGGCTTTCAATGTCCACAGAGTCATTCAGGCTCATCTTCGATGTAATCGCATTGAACACAAGTCTCTTCTGCCTCCTGTCGGGGAGCGGAAACTCTATCTTTCTGTCCAGCCTCCCAGGCCTGAGGAGTGCAGGGTCAATCGTGTCCGCCCTGTTCGTGGCCATAATCACCTTGACATTTGCCGCCGGGTCGAACCCGTCCATCTGGTTCAGCAGCTCTATCAGCACACGCTGGACCTCTCTGTCTGCCGAGGTCGATGCATCAAACCTCTTCGTTGCAATCGAGTCCACCTCGTCGATAAACACAATCGACGGCGCCTTTTCCCTTGCCAGCCGGAACACATCCCTGACCATCCGCGGGCCCTCTCCAAGATACTTCTGCACGAACTCTGACCCGTTCACCCTGATAAACGTGGCCTTCGTGTGGTTCGCCACAGCCTTCACAAGCATCGTCTTCCCCGTTCCGGGCGGCCCATAGAGCAGAACGCCCTGCGGAGGGTCAATTCCAATCTGCCTGTACAGGTCAGACTGCAACAGCGGGAGCTCCACAGTCTCCTTTATCTCTTGCTTCTGCACATCAAGGCCCCCCACATCTCCGTACGTCACAGAGGGCTTCTCGGACTCCCCCATCACTGGAATCGTGCTGTCGACCTCCGGCGGGAGCACCCCGACAATCGCGCTCGAGTGCCTGTGCAGCGCAACAGTGGTGTTTGGCTTCAGCAGCTCCCTGTCCACAGTCGACAGAATCCTGACAACAAAGTTGCTTCCCGCAGTCGACCCCACAATCGCCGTCGAGCTGTCAATCGGCTCAAGAAACTGCCCCATTATCAGCGGAACACTCTTGACCCGGTCAAGCTCCTCCCTGCTGTGCCTCTCCTCCCTCTTGAGAGTCTCGATCTCCTTGCGCACATACCCCTCTCTTATCTCCAGGAGCCTGAGCTTCCTTTCCATTTGTTTGTATCTGACAAACAGACCGCCCTTGAGCCTTGCAGACATTAAAGGGCTACCCGTCCACAATTTATCAACATCTTGCTGCCCACAGCCGCAGCCAGGGACACAGCACACGACCCAATCTTGCCTTAAAATAAAAAATCCGCAAAGGGTGCATGGAGGAAGAGAAGATCCTGGAGTCCGATCTGAGGCATATATCGTTCGTCATGCCAAAATACACGCCCATCGAGAAGATCGGCGAGGGGTCGTTCAGCGTTGTGTACAAGGCTCTGGATGCAGAGTCCGGAAGGTATGTTGCCCTGAAGGCAATAACAAGGACCAGCTCGCCTGCAAGGGTTCTGGACGAGATGATGTTTCTGAAGACTCTTGGCGGAAGGAAGAACTGCATGGGGCTTCTCGGATGCTTCCGGAACGAGGACCAGGTGGTTGCTGTTTTTCCATACTTCGAGCCGATCGACTTCAGGGAGTTCATCTCGAATGCAAATCTGGCGGACATCAAGCGGTACCTGCACAACCTTCTGATTGCAATAGAGCACGTGCACAGCAACGGAATAATGCACAGAGACCTGAAGCCGGGAAACTTCCTGTACAACAAGGAGTCCGGAAGGGGAATGCTCATAGACTTTGGGCTGGCACAGTACGAGGAGTACAGCGAGGGGCAGCATGCAGAGGGTGGTGCAAAGCCTGCGGGGCCTCTGCTTTTCTTCAACTCTGTTGTGTCGAAGACCAAGCCTCCGGGATACTACGAAAGAGACGGCAGGCCGCCGATGAAGGCGCCAAGGGCAGGGACCCGGGGGTTCAGGGCACCCGAGGTTCTGTTCCGGTGCCAGCGCCAGACAGGAGCCATAGACATGTGGTCTGTCGGCGTGATTTTCCTGACGATCCTGACCACACAGTACCCCTTCTTCTACTCCTCGGACGACATCGACTCGATCGTCGAAATTGCAACGATCTTCGGGCATGCAGAGATGCGAAAGGCCGCAAAGTTCTACGGAAGGGTGTGGAGATCAAACATAGACTCAATTCCAGAGGAAAGAATCCCGTTCGAGACGATTGTCGAGTCGCTGAACCCGTGGGCGGAGATCGGCAGCGACGGATACGACCTGCTCTACAGGATGCTCGATCTCTGCTCCTCGTCCAGGATCACTGCATCCGACGCCCTGAGCCACCCGTTCTTCGACGACCTGAAGACACACGAAAACTGCGCCTAGAAAGAAACACGTTTTTAATTGACATGGGGTTAATCACCCTCCCATCATCAGATCGCTGAGATATATCACCTCGTCGCCGCTGTCGAAATCATTTCTGTAGACTACTGCATCGCCTATGTCCGTCCTCCCCTCGAGGTTGTCCTCGGTGCACCTGGACAAGCTTCCTTTCAAATAACAATCAATAAACAAATCTCCTTTCCTTGCCTTCCTCCTTCCATGCCCGCCAGACTTCAGCATGTACAGGGGCTTCTCTGCCTTCTCGGAGGACATAGAGCTCGAGTCCGAGCTGCTGCTCTCCTCTGCGTCTGTCTTCCGATGCTTTCCGGTATCTTGACTGGCCTTGCCGCCCTCCTTCGGGGGAGATGCACAGGCTGTGCTGGGTAGCTGCACCCGAGACTTATTTTCTGTCTGCGAGGCCTGGGCAACATACTTGGTGAGCGTGCTCGTTGCGACAGGCGGTCTGGAGAGAGGCGTGCTGCTTCTTTGCACCGGAGTCAGCGTCACCGTCTTCTGGACAGTAATGGTTACCACAGGTGCAACAAGCACAAGCCCAGGCTGATGGGGAGGAGCCTGCAGGTATCTTTGTTTCAGGACACTGACTATGCTGTAGATCAGATTCACTCTCTTTCCTATCCTGTTGATTGCCTCAAGCCCGTCCGCCTGCGGCTGGGCAGCACGGGACAAAGGAGGAGGCCTTGCGTCTTGTCTAGGGCCCACAGCCGCATTCATAGGGATCGCAGACACCGTCACAGTCTGCACCAGATATCTAGGCTGCACCATCACAACAGACGACTGTACGCTCCTTGGCGCCTCCATCACCAAAGTCTTCAGAACAGTGCTTGTTACCGTCGTCCTGACAACCGAGGGGATCCTTATTGTCTGAGGCTCGCTCATGCTTGTCCTGCAGCTGCCTGTGCTCACCGCTGCCGCCTTGACCGTCCTGGGGTTCTTGCCGGCCACACTCTTGCCAGGAAAATATGCAGGCGACAGAACCACCGGCCCCGGGTAGTACGACGCCAGAAGCCTCCCCTTCATGCATGTCGAATCGCACTTGGGGATAAGCCTTATGACATCGCACACAATCCCCGGAATAATAAATACTGCAATGCCTACTCCTCTCCTCATATGCCACAGGACGCCCGCCTCTCTTATATTGATTCCCTGTTTCATTCCGAGGATGTGTGTTGAATTTGTTTGATCCTTCCTCTCTAGATACCCGGAGGCAGAGGCCGCAAGGGCCCACGCAGGATCGAAACAGAGCATATAAAAAACAAAAACATTGGAGGGTAAACAATGGGGAACATGATGTCCAAGGTGAACAACCTGCTGTACACAAAGCTCCGGGGGCTATTCTCCGGGCAGTCCGAGAGATCGATAACAATGATCGGGCTCGACGGGGCTGGGAAGACGACGCTTCTGCTGTACCTACAGACCGGAGAGGTGCACCAGACAGTCCCAACACTTGGATTCAACTGCGAAAACGTCACCCTTGGGAGCATGAAGTTCCAGGTGTGGGACATCGGAGGGCAGAACTCGTTCATGAGGTTCTGGCACCAGTACATAAACGAGGGGTGTGGAATCATATACATGGTTGACTGTGCAGACCCGCAGAGATTCGGGAAGTCTGGCGAGGAGCTGTGGAGGATACTGAACATCCTGAACAGCCCCAGGCCTCTTCTTGTGCTTGCGAACAAGATCGACCTGATAAGGGAGCACGAGAGGAGCGAGGTGGTGAAGAGCATCAGGAACGAGTTCAACCTCGAAAGGTACAACGGCCCGTCGCAGGTTGTGCCGATCAGCGTTCTGCAGGCTGGGTCGATGACATCTGCCAACGACGAGAATGGGAGGGAGATCATCGACGCATTCAGGTGGCTGAACAAGGAGCTTGAGAAAATGCCAAGGGCAGAGGCTTTATAAAATTAAAGGTTTATATCTGGCTATAGGAGCCTTGGGTACCAAGAAGTTCACCCACTGCAAAAATGATGCCGAACACAGTTGCTTTGAAATGATATTATTCCATTATTAGCGGCATACCTTCGAAATATTTGTGAGATAGCCCATTCTTGGCTGTCATCCGCATCTTTGGGTCATATTCAAGCATCTTCGAAATAAGGTCAACAAAGTCTGGATCTCCCCTGAAGATTGTTTTCAAATCCACCGGATCCCATACTGGGAACTCCACCTTGTAGTTTGGAAAGTTTTCTACGTTTGACCACCTTGAATTATTTGGAGTCCCAAGAACCTTGAATATCCTGAACAGCTGGTCTATTTCAGAGTCTCCCGGGAAGAAAGGTCTCATAAGAACAACTTCTGCCATGATACAGGCTGCACTCCACACGTCCACAGATGCATCATAATATTTGCATCCAAGCAGTAGCTCTGGTGGCCTGTACCAAAGTGTTACCACCTCTGTTGTATAAGTCCTCAAAGGAATTCCAGCTGCCCTTCCAAGCCCGAAATCTGCTAATTTGATGTTCTCTTTTGGATCCACCAGGATGTTTTGAGGCTTCAGATCTCTATGGAAAATGTTTCTTGAGTGGCAATATTCCATTGCAGTCAGCAGTTGCTGGGACATTTTTCTGACAAATCCTTCTTCAACAAGCCGGCCTTCATCGCTCATTCTGTCGAGGTATCTTCTCAGGTCGAGCTCCACATATTCAAATACAAGATACATCTTGTTGTTGTTGTAGATTACATCACTTAACTCGACAATGGTCGAATGCTTTAGGTTCTTCAAGAGCAATATCTCTCTTATTGTGGTGGCAGGAATCCCTTCATTTTCATTCTCGAGCCTTATTTTCTTCAATGCAACCACCCTGTTTGTATTCCTCTCCCTTGCTTTATATACAACACCGTAGGTTCCCTCGCCAATTTTCTCTAGTTTCTGAAAAGATTCTGTCATTGGGATAAAAAAGCCTGTGAATTTGACTTGAGTGGATTAACAGTAACCTGAGGTGGTTTTAGATCTATAGCACTTGAAGTCAAAAAGACGCCCCTGGAGAGACTCGAACTCTCGACCTTTCGGTTAACAGCCGAACGCGTTAACCACTGCGCTACAGAGGCTGGTGACAACAAGACACATCCCAAACTACTTCTGGTCCAGAAACCCGACAAAAACTCTTCTGCGCAAGCCCTCAATGGAAAGCCCGAGGAAGAACTTCAAGCATCCTAGAAACCTCGTTACAAAGATGCCAAGGAACACTCCCAACGACATAATCCTCCATGCACTCACTACAGAGAAGGCTGCCCGATGCATGGAGCAGTTCAACACCCTGGTCTTTTATGTGGAGAAGACTTCCACCAAGCCGGAGATCAAGAAGGCTATCACGGAGCTCTATGGGAGTAAGGTTAAGAAGGTCAACACCCTGATAAACAAGCATGGGAAAAAGGCATATGTTAGCTTTGCTGACGAGGGTGCTGCCCTTGAAATCGCTGCCAAGATAGGTACAATCTGAATTAAACTTAACACCTACCTTTATGATATTCATTCAACATCTAAAAGAGGTCTTTTATTTGGAGATTTCTCCATGGGCTCAGGAGCTGATGAGCTCACTCAATGCCATTATGAACGTAGACTCCAACTCGTCCACACCCGAAATGATGCAATACTTGAAAGGAAAGGTATCTAGATATCTTTGAACAAAGATAGACCCTTCTGAAACGATCACCTTGGACATTTTTCTTACATCGCACTTGTCCACCAGTAAGACGAGGAAGTTTGGATGATTATAGCCTGCATTTTGAAAGAGACCATCGGTCAAGATGATATTGATTCCATCGTTAAATTCGTCAATCCAATCAACCATGGTCCGAGAGTCGTTGAATCGCATTTCTTCAACAGGACATCTCTCCAGGACCTCCCCAAATCTGTAGACCTCAACGGGTATCCCAAGAAGGGAAAAGGATCTGTTTATCTTCGAGTACAGCGATAAAAGGGTGTCAATCATCTCCTGACTGTACATGCTTTTGCTGTTATCGATAAACAGCCGGAGGACATATTCTTTCTTGTCATTTCTCTGTCTCCTCATCCAGATTCTGTCTCTCCTAAATCCACTGGCTATATATGGAACTAGCCTCTTCATGTTCAGCTTTTTCCCACTTCTAAAGTCTCCTCTATATCTGTTACCTCTTTTCGACTCCATGATTATTCTGAGCAAATTAGTCAATTTGGTGCAGTCCTGATCCTCTATCCTTATTCTTACCGTGGACTCAAACACGTCTCCGCTTCCAGAGTCGTCATCATCCCCAGAAACCCTTTCACTCCCTTCTCCAGCACAAAGGGCATTGTCATCAGGATTCTTTCCAGCAACATATCTTTCGTAGTTCTCTGCCACCTCACATGTTTGATTCTTGTTAAGGACCCCTTCCTTGAACTGGTACTCATTGGCTTCCGGCTTATTATAAGAATCCAAGTCTTCGACATCCCGTGACCTTGCATCGCTCTCTCCTCCAGACTCCACATCATCCTCCTCAATCTCTGAGCTCTCGTTTCCTTCGGAAGAATTCGAACACAGCAGCTCCTCTCCTCCAGACTCCAAACTTCCTTCAGACCCAATGCCTTCGTCTTCAATGTCTATCTCTGCATTCTGCTCGCTCTCACACTCCTTTTCGTTCTTTTCATCATCATCTTCTTCTTCTTCCTCGTCATTCCATCCATCTACTCCGCTTTCACACTCCTCTTCTTCCGGTTCACTGGCAGTGGAGATACTTCCGTCATTATCAAAGTCTATTCCATCACTCTCACTTACTTTTTCCTGCTCTCCATACTCATCGTCTATCTCGTCCTCATGCTCGATCTGCTCGCTCACATTGATATTACCCGTTCCACTTTTCATCCCTGTCCCATCTTCCACAGCGCCTTCTTCTTCACGGCCAAACATAAACACGAAATACATAAACGGTATGTATGGGTTCTCAATGCACATTCGTGTCAGATTCATCAAGGTAGTGTCCTCTACCATCTGATTAACGACCTTTCCTAGGCACACTTCAGAATTAGAAAACATCTCCTTTGGTATCCTGTTGAAAAACAACTCAAGAACATCCTTTCTCTTGATCTTATTACCTCCAAATGCATTTTGAACTTCTCTTCTGTCAAACTTCTTTGCAAACTCAATCCAGTCTCTGCATTCGCAATCAGACCTGTTCTTCAGAATGTAGGTGTATACATCGGGGTGGTATCCCTGGCAACCAGGGTATAGTTGCGGGAACTTAAGATCCAGCACATTGGTTACAGGCAGTATAAGAAACTTCTTCAAATCCTCCAGGATCTTCTTATACAGCTTTGGCTCTTTCTTCAGCTTCGACTTTGCGTCTCTGATTCTGTCTTCATAGAGCCTTTCCACCTCAAATGAAACGTACTTCAGAGTCACATTATAGAAAACAGGATTTCCGTCTTTTATAGCCATCTCCCGTGCATGCCCAACCCTGTCCACAAACTCATACACAGAGCAGTCTAGGAAATATCTTTCAGCCATCTCAAAGCTGAATGGTGTTATAACCAGATACAGGAAGTACCTATAGTTCCTATCTACATCACAAGCAGACGTATCCTTATAAAGCCTTTCCAAGATCTCCACTATCCTATGTACTTGCGAATCCTCGTTGCCAGTAAAGCCCTTCTCTTTTAAGTGCCCCCCTATAACAATAGTCGACTCCAAGATCTGATTTCCACTAGGGTCTGCATCATCCATATTCTCTGGCGACAGAGCCCCATAGCATTCGGGATCGGTTATTTTTCTTTGTGCATATTCCATAAGACATGCAGCACTTGTGAATATGGGCAGCTCCTGCATTTCCTGATCCATAAACTCAACCAGCTCCCCAGCAATTTCCAGCCTACTTGCATCACTTTCAATGACCCTCGCCCTGGTCTTTCTGTTAAATATAGACCTTAGGCAGTCATCTAGGTCTTTCTCTTCTAACTCCAGCAGATTGTCGATCCAGCTAGTTTCCTTGGCATGTACCATCTTGTCAAAGATGGTCCCTTCCAGCATCAAGCTGCATTTGTCTGTTGGCCTTGAGTAATATAGAGAGTTTAAGTATCTTGAAAACTCATGGTCCAATCCTTTGCAATCTATCTTTTCTAAATGAGGAAGGATCCCTAGCCCTAATCGAATTAGGTTTAAACACAAGATACTGTAGGAAACGTAGGATCCAGACTCGCTATCGCCGTATCTTATCCCTACATCTCGATATTCCAGGCAGCTTTCACCCAGGCGCCTAATCTTACACTTTCCTGAGCACCCCTCTCCGTTTATCCATTTGCAGAACATATAGATTAAGTAGTAATCAAACACATCCCCGAAGCCCTCGTAAAAAAGCCTGTCACCACACATGTAGGAGCAGAAGTTTAGGTCCTTCAACGATTCCTTGAATCTGGCATAGTCTCTTCCCATCTTCTTCTCTACATCTCTGATCTTGATTTTATATTCTTTGATCCCTCTTTCATAATCCTCGACCATCTCTTCAACAGATCCCTTCCCATATTTGTACATGTGCTTCATGACATCGTGTATTGCCGTAAGGCTTTTGTTTTCAAACTCATTCATCTCTACAACCAGCCCCTCTCTGACCATGCTCAAGGGATCATTCTGGCATCTTTCAATAAACTCGAAGTAGAACTCATCAAATTCGGGCAGGAACTCCCATCGCACTTCAGGGAGATGTTCCGCAATGGTCTTTAGCTTTCTATATTCGGAGAACTTCTTGTCCCGAAGAGACCTGATGACCTTCATCTTCAGGTCCTTAGATGATCTTGGGAAATTGAGAGAGCATTTCTCGTCATTGCAGAAAGGGCTGAAAACTGAAAGGCTAGCAGACTTGATGAATGCCACTGCCTTTCGAGCTTCAGAATTCATCGCACCCATGCTTCTAAGCAATTTCATCCTAGACTCGTCATCATGTGGCATGTAAATACAAAGCTCAATCCTCCTGTAGAAGTTAAGAAGCTCGACGTCTGTTTTTGCGTTTGGTATACTCTTGTTCCTGAATCTAAACAGCCTGTCAATTTCACGCTCTTCAAGGGTATTATAAACGCCACAGAGGTGCTTGCTGAGAAAGTCGGGCCAAATTCCTAGCATCCTAAATCTTTTCAAATCCAATCCAAAGCTAAGAGGTCTGCTCTTCATTGAAAGGCCACAAAAATCTCTGCAGAACACAGGGCCCCCATCAATAGGAAACTTCACAAACAGCTTCCATAAGTCAATGTAGTTAAGCCTGTCGCTTAATTCCACATGCATGCACCTATCCAATAATGCAGGTGATAGCATTCCTGGCTCCTTTGCTACCAGGACCAGTCGTGTTAGTGGATTAACAGCAACGTTTGTGTCGACACCTCTTTCATACACATTCAATGTTCTCTCAGATTCAAACAAAGAATTCAGCCTATCAAACACCGACTTTTCAACAAATTCAACACCAGCAAAGACAACCATCTTGCCCTCCTTGACGCTAGATACAACCGCCGAATCACACCATTCGAACATCCCATTCTGCATCTTCTGGTACTGTCCAAGAAGATCGCATACATCCGTATCCTTATGACAGTTGAAGAGCGTCATCTCCTGCCCAAACACAGAAGAGACAAACCGGAGTAATGAGTCCTTGCCAACCCCGCCGGATATTATTAGCGGAATATTCATCTCGATGCACCTCATAATCATTTCCAGCCCCTGAAGTTGAGAGTGTATCAACACAAAGTCTAGTCTAGGCCGTCTTTCTTTCATCTCGACGGTAACAGACCCAACTCTGACAACGGACTCATCTATAAAATAGCTGGTATCCCCATCTTCTAAAGTTCCCACCTGGTTCATTCTAATGTTTTCTCTTAAACTTGTGGAGCTTACTATCATAGGCGATGGGAACATTTTGTTAAGGATGTGTGTAATATCGTCCGTAGTGTAGCCGTCCATCTTAATCCTTACAAATCTGTCAAGAAAACTTTTCGGAAGCATTTTCCGTCCATTTCTCGAGTCGCATGGATTGAGAGTTGCAAATATCCGGGTATCTTCATGGACATCAACAGTGACCTCGGGTATAAAAAGCTTTCTTCTGTAGTCCAGCACAGAATTCAATCCCTCAATCACACTTTGTGTGCAAAGATTAATTTCATCGAGAATTATCCATCCACCGTCCCTAAGACTATGCAGCAGCTCACTCTCCATAAAACGAATCTCTCCATCAACCGGGAGATAGCTTCCAACCAGGTCGCATAACTCCGTCTGCTCACTTAAGTTTATTCTGATGCATTTCTTCCCCATCTTTCTAGCCAGTCCTTGGATTATGCTGGTTTTTCCTATTCCTGGATCTCCCTCCAACATAGTTCCTCTTCCTAGCCCCATCGCCCTGAGAATCCTCCTAAGGTTTACTGTAGACGTTGGAGACTCAAAGTCAAACGAGGAGGAGCTGTGGTGCTCCACCAGGTATGGAAGAACCCCAAACATCCTCTCATCCTCAAAGTATCTTGCATTTACATCCGCTTCAATGCCCTTTATTCCTGCAACCTCCAATGCTTCTTCCCACACGCTTTCCACATCGAGTCCCGCTTCCGCACAGGCAACTCCTGAAAATTCGCCCATATAGCGCCTGTATATAAATTCAACTATAAGCTCGAGCTTTCGGATGGATACATTGAGAGATCTCGCCAGATACTTAAAGGTCTCCGTGCTTTTCTTTGGTATATCCACTTCCCCAAATCTCTTGTCTACAAGATAATCAAATATCAGGGGCGCCTCATCAGAAGAAACCTCAAAATACATCTCTGTAAATCTGTTTCGGAGCGCAGGACTAAGCTCTCTCTTTCCGAAATCTCCTCCTGGATTCATAGTTGCCAGTATTCTAAATCCATCGTGCGCAACAACCTCCTCCCCTGTCTCCGTTATGTACAAGGTCCGCTGTGACTCCAGCACACTGTTAAGTCTTTCAAGAACAGAATCCTCTGCCAAGTTAATTTCATCAATGAGGAATGCATCGCCACACTTCATCGCCTTCACCAGCGGCCCATCCTTCCACACAATCTTTGAGTTCTCAAATACAAAGCTCCCAATGAAATCAGAGCTTTCTATCCCCCTATGCATGCTTAGGGTAATAAGCCTGGTCTTGAATACAGAGCTGGCTATATCGCATGCCTTTGTCTTTCCTATTCCAGTCTCTCCAACAATGAGGATAGGCTCCTTGCTTTCCCAGGCCAGAATCATCAAGTTAATGAGTCTCCTAAACGTATCAGTAAGAACGAAGTTCCCTGCATAAAGCTTCTCAATAACGAGAAAAGCCTCCCTTAGAGTAACATCACACTTCCCCGCCATCCGTTCTCCTTCGCATTTCTCTTCCTTCCCTGCAATCATCTTCTTATACCTCTCCACACTTGCTTCTCCAAAGGACTCAGAAAAGACCTGGCCCACCCGAACTCTATCTTCAAGCTCCCTCTGCCTCTCATATATCATACTCATTCCTAGGAAGCACACCTCATCCATGCATGTGGGTATTCTTCCAGACCATTTGAAAAGATCGCGAAGAGTTATCAGTGCATTAATACTTCTCCGTGACCTAAGGCCGCTGTAGACCTCAACCATCTTCTTGCAAAAGCTCTTGGGAAGCTCCGATCCCCCATGTAATATCTCCAGTATCTCGTCCTCTCCATTCTCACAGAAAAACATCTCAACAAACCTGTTTCTGAATGCCTTGCTCAGTCCCTTCCTGCCCCCATACCCGATGTTCTGAGTAGCAAATATTCGGAAGTTCTCATGGGGGACAACCACCTCATCAGTCTCCGGAATGTATATTTGCCTGTTATCATCTAAAAGCCTGTTCAATACCTCAAGAACATCACTGCATGCAAGATTTAGCTCATCAAGAATAACCCAATCTCCTCTCCTCATGGCTCCCACGAGGGCTCCTTCCTTGAATTCAATTCCGTCGCTTGTGGAAGCGAAGCTGCCAATATAGTCTGCTGCCTCCGTATGCTCGTGATTGTTTATCCTAATAACACGCCTGCACATCTCTCTGGAAAGAAACAAAATCATGCTTGTCTTTCCAGTAGATGTGTCTCCCTGTAGCAGCAAAGGACAGTTCGATAGAATAGCTTGCCTCATGGTCCTTAGATACGTCTGAATCCTAGGTGTTAAAACAAACCCATGCTTAACCTTCGTCTTTTCCGTGCTCTCAGGTAGAACAGCAAAATACTTCGACAGAAGAGAAACCGCGATAGAGCGGCTGACAAAGTCTAGCTGTGTAAACACAAACAGGTCAAACGCCTCGTAAACAGACTTGCAAAACTCCCTTTCACCTGAGTTTCGGATGAAGTTCAGCACCCTTACAAGACTTCGCCCGCTCACCAGAGGCTCAACTACATTGCTGAGTTCTTTCCCCAAGACCTTGCTCTTCAGTTCCAAAAAGAACTCTCCGATCTTACTCTTCCTCTCTTCCGATATCTCATATCTAAGCACAGAGTGCACCACAAGATTGATGTCTTTTAGTGATGTACTGAAGTCATAAATATGCACGGCGTTGAATTCAATGCCCTCGTACTTCTTTTTTCCAAAGTCTCCTCCCGGGTTCATGCATCCGAAGAGCAGAAATCCAGGGTGGATCCTAAGAGGTCTCAGATCTCCACTTTCATACAGGAATATCTCTTTTTTACCTAATACCCCGTCTATCAGGTTCAACGTCTCCTCAGAAGAAAGATTGATTTCATCAAGAAGTAACCACTCGCCATTTACCATGCATTCAGTCAAAATCCCTCTTTTGTACACAAAATGTGCTCTTTTCTCTAACAGCTTGAGCAGTCCGTCAATTCTCTTAGTTACTGCCTCTAAATCCGTACCATCTCCTGCCTTTGAGGAAATCCTATTTCTCAACCACTCAAGTTTCTCCTTGTTTCCATAACAGACCGGCACACTTACCCGCTGCTCATTGCAGATCTTCTCTATGGCCTTGTTCATGTCCAGCGTCCCGTATCCTCCAATTAGGTCCGTTCCGTCGAAATCTGCAGACATGTTTACAATTCTCAACTTGGCCTGTGTTCCCAGAAAAAAATGAGATTTCAAGCTCAGGTACTGAATCATGGATGTCTTCCCTACTCCTGTGTCCCCAATCAACAGCGTGTGATCGTTGTTTCTGATGTTCCATAGAAGATTGAAAAGACCCCATTCAACGCAGCTAGTCTTTGCAAACCCTATCCCGTGGAGTGAAATGCTTGGAATTTCAGTCAGCGTGAGAGCACACCTCAGGGAATCAGATTCATGCTTGAGCAGGACATTGCACACTGATTGGTATGCTCTTACTCTTTCCTCCACCCCCGCTCCGTTACTGCTTCCCATCCTCTTCTTTATTTTCAAAAGAGACCGGAAGTGGGGTCCACACACCACAGATCCCTCCGACAGACACCACTCATTGTTTCCACAAATCCTCTTAGGACAACTCTTTCGGCACTCTCCTTCCTTATCCTTCGTGCACACTTTCCAATCTGCAGAAATATCTCTAAAAACCTTAGTAAGAAGCCTTCTGGTGCATTGTGCTTCAAACATCTCTATTGCCTCTTCAAACACGAAGCTAAGAGGTCCTACAAACACAACGTCATCCATGTCAAATCTGTCGTCAGAGGTAAAGAATATCCTGAAGTTGTCGTGTGCAAGAACCTCTTCTCCGTCGTTGCCCAGCAATCTTCTGTATTTAATTACGGTGAAAAGATATTGCAGCAATCCGTGGTTTTTGTCTATTCTTTTGAACAGAATCCAGTCTCCGCTCACCATCGATTCAATTAGCAATCCCTTCATATATTCGACATCTCCTTCCTTAACTGCATAGAAGCCTCCCAGCACCCTTGCATCAGTTATTTCCCTGGAATCAATCTCGACCAGTCGTCCTCCTTCATCGCAAAGCTCAGAATGGAGCTTGCTTATCAGTGATGTCCTTCCAACCTCTCCGTACACATCAACAGCAATCTTGAGATCCACGGCCTCCTTGGCCAACCTGTCAAGATTCTCTAAGAACCCAACTCTGATCTCGTCCTTCTTATGCTTCTTGAACTTCATCTCACCCCTGGATAAAAATCCGAAATCATAACAGCATAACAGACAAAATTTTTAGCAGCCTTATTTATTGAGGTTACCGCAGTTTTACCTTCCGTAATCCGTCTTTCATTCATAACAGCTCTTCAGTTTTCGGCAGTATTTTATAATCTTTCTAACCAGATACATAATCAATATAAGTATGACTACAATCACGAGGCCTCCACAGGTTTTCTTCAAAGCAGATGTTACAAATGATTCTTCTTTCTCCTCCTCTGGTCCTTGAGCCTCTTGAGTGGACCCCATCTTATCGTCTCTTTCCTCCCAGTGTATAAGACGCTCTATCTCGTCCTCTAGCTTTTCCTTTATATCCTCCGTAGTTTTTGTCACAATATCATGCAGCTTTTTGCTGACATCCTCCTTCATAGCGTTTTCTATCGACTTCTTCAGCTTCTCATCTGGACCTGAACTTCGGATGGCCACCCAAAGCATAAATAACACTAAATACATCATAATCTGTAACTGCTCTCCTACTGATTTCCCTCTTCGATCCCTTAAAGACACACCCCTTTACAGTATAAGACTACGTCAAATAAAGCAGCGCTAAAGGAGAAAAAAAGGAGAGTAGAAAATATATAAGCACCAGGACCGATGATAACATGAAACTTGGGAAAATAGGACTGAACTCCATCATAGCTTCTGTATACCTACTTGGAAAAATTAGTGCTACTGGAAGTGGTGATCTTCAGACATCTCTGCAGGCAGCCTTCAAAGGGGCTTTACAACAAAAAGCAGAGGGTATTACCAATGAGGTAAACCAGCTGAAGAATTCTGCTCTAGATGCAATAGAAAATGGAGGAGGAAGAGAAGAAGGTATAAATCCTTTGGACAGTGGAGATGGAAATCAGGGCTAAGAGGGAAGATGTTTCATTTAACCAGTAGAATTACATAAGAGGTTCGGTTCTAAAAGAAATAAAAAAGGGTATTGCTACCATAAGCTATGTGTATGTTTTATATAACTGTGCCATGCTTTTCCAGGGTTTATCTGGTGTAATGATTTGAGTATGCTTACTCAAATGGATCCATAAATATGCTAAGGGAAACAATTCGGGTGCCATTGACCATGGAAACCTTGAACACACTCTTATACTCCGAAAGAAACAATTCCATTTCAAAATCGGCCATGAATCTAACACGAGACATTAGCTCGCTGATTTCCAAGGATCCGGATGTTGCCAAGATATAGTAGACTAGATCGAAGTAATGCGAGAAGTATCCCATCCCTTTGTGCTCGTGGTATCCTTTGAATCGGAATACATCGTACTTCCTATTGATTACCTTTAAAAAGCTTTCGTGGGGAGTAACAAACTCGACCCTCCTTATCCCCTTATAGTTTGATATCACCTTGTCCCTGGAGAGTGTCTTGAGCGCTCTTTTGGCCTCGGAGACAGAGTAGGAGTTGAAGTCAAGTGTCCCTATCCATCCTAGCTCGATTATGTTTCTCTTGAATTCCATATACAGCCTCTCTAGCGAGTTCTGCCTCGAGTCATCAGCTTCTCTATCCCTGAACATCTTCAGCCTGTCAAACATAGCCTCAAGCTCATCTCCCTTGAACTCGGTGTAGATGACCTTGTACGCCTGGTCATAGAATCCCTTCTCCTCTGTATTGCATATCTTTTCGAAGAATTCAAGTCTTCGGCTCAAGCAAACATACTTCACCCTACCTTTGGCTCTCTTGGCCTTTTCCAGAGCCTTCAGTCCAAGGGGAGGATCCATGGCCATTCCTTTTATCACCACCCTCTCGCACGATATTTCCATATCAAGAACTTGGAGGTCTCTCATCTGCTTCAGCAGAGACACGAAATTCCCCACGCCCACCTTTAATCTAATCAGCTTTCTTATGCTCTGAGGAAGTTTCAGGCCGACAATATCAGAGACCGTCTTTCCCGACAGAGCAGCGGCACATGAGGCTCCTGCTTCTCCAGACAGCTCGTGGCTTCTTCTCTTAAACGCACTGCCATCGGCTCCTCCAGAGTCTATAAACCGGCATAGAGACTCCCTGAACCCAATCCTGTTGAAAGGGACTATCGATAGCAAAAGATTGAACTCCATTTCTCTTACTACCTCCCAGTCAAATCTTAGTGACTCATCTCCTCTGGAGGTCATGTGGTTGACGAGGAACCTGTAGAGCAGTTTTAATCTTTCTTCTCTCAAAGGAATGTATCCGTTGTCCATCTCCACAAACTTTGGAGAGTTGACAAAGATATTGTATATCTTTCTCTGGAACTCAGACATGCTTTCCTGGAAGTCGCAGTTCGACACATCCAGGGCCCTGATGTCAGACTCAACCATCTCATTTCGCATTATCATATATCTACTGCACTTTCCCTCCTTTCCTCTCTTTTGTTTGTATATCTTAAATCCCGCAAGAACCGCCGATTTGATTATGGTTCTTCTGTCAAATTCGTACCTCCACCCCGTTAGCTCCTGGAGTTTCTCGTAGGTCCGTTTGTCAAGTTGGAGAATGGGACTGGTGGACATAAGCTTTCTGATTGCTCTTACTCTCTCCTCGGAGGTTATATATCCCACGGTCCTTGTGCCGTCCCCGCCTTCTTGGAAAGCCTCTTCACTGCTTTTAGTACCCACATGGTACCTGTACCTCCTGATGCGGCCCTTGAACTCCTCTGTTCTTGTAACGGCATCCTTTTCTTCGTTGAAGATCTTGTTGAGAAGCTTGTATCCGATCTTAGAGCTGACTCCAAGCTTGTTTTTCAGATCCTCCGTAATTATCCCGTCTTTCGAATTCAAGATCATTTCTCTGATGTTGTCGTAGAGCCCAATATCGATTCGGTATTCAAACATCCGCTTTTTCCCAGGAAGGTCTGCTCGGTTGGTGTCCAACAACTGTTTCTCTGCGACTCTACGCATCACAAATCCTCTTTCATCCACTATCGCCCTGACTTTGTATATAAAGTTCTTTTTCTGGGCCTCCTCGGATGTTTTGTACTCGATAAATCCCTTCCTAGCCAGCCTGTTGATGCAGTAGTGTGTTTTTTTGGGATCGAGATTCAGTTTTCTAAGTTCCACGTTGTCTACATATCTCCTGGCCTCTATCAGAAGACTCATTATCAGAAAGTACTCTTTCGATGTAAAGTTAAAGGTCCCAGAGGTTAGGTAATCCTTCCATGCAAGAGATCCCATCCTCACATATAGATCGCTCCAGCTGAAGTTCTCCACCATGAATCTGTTTGTTTCTGTCCTCAAACAATCCGTTGTGAAGTTTCTTTTCAAGCCTTCTACTGCATCTGCTGTTATTATTTCCACCCACGGCTCCCCAATGACCATCTCCACTTCACTTCCATCGAGCATTCCCAGCTTTGCTCCGTATATTCCAAATTGAAAGATCTTCTCCTTGAGATTCTCCATTTCTCCGGAGCCCTCCCCACAATCGCTCATACTTGTATCCTCTTCCCGTATTCGGAAACCCCTTTCTTGATGGAAGAAACATTAAGAAGAGATATTAGGAAGATTGACGCAACCTGTGTGGACCAAGAGACGATCAGGTCGCTCATAAAGCCGTACCATGGGACAACGACCCTTGCCTTTATCTTCAAGGAAGGAATGGTCATAGCTGTGGACTCAAGGGCAACGTCTGGATCTTACATAGCCTCCCAAACAGTGAACAAGGTGATCAACATCAACAAGAATTTGCTCGGGACAATGGCGGGCGGAGCTGCAGACTGCCTTTTCTGGGAGAATCTCATGGGCTTGTACGCAAAGAATTACGAGCTTACCAACGGAAGGAGGATAACAGTGGCTGCAGCGAGCATGTATCTGAGCAACTGTGTGTACAGATACAAGGGATACGGCCTTTCCATGGGGACGATGATATGCGGATATGATAGCAGCGGCCCAAGCATTTACTATGTTGACGACGATGGAAAGAGGGTCAGCGGCAGTCTGTTTTCTGTGGGAAGTGGGTCCACAATAGCCTATGGGATTCTTTCTTCATCCTACAGATTTGATATGGACAAGGATGAGGCCTTGAACTTGGGAAGAGATGCCATTTTCCATGCAGCACATCGGGATGCTTTCTCCGGGGGGCTTATCAACCTTTACTACATGAATGAGGATGGATGGACCAAAGTTGGTTCCTACGATGTTAACGAATTCGACAAAGAGTAAAGTTTTTCATCGAGGTTTTCTTTGTAGCGTTTCTGTCTGTTGTAGAGTGGTCTTTGGACACATTGACTCTTTCCGCGATGATGTAGCAGCCTACGGGCTTTGAGCCATTATAGCTCAGTAGGTAGAGCTTTAGCTTTGTAAGCTAAGGGTCCTGGGTTCGAGTCCCAGTGGTGGCTTTTTGACCGAGAAGGATACTTTCTTACAGACCCTAGGCCTTGTACTCCACATGAAGATTAAGGAGCTGAAAATAGAACTTACCAAGGTCAGAGACTTCAGCAAAATGAGTGTTGGCCTAGAGCAGTACATGACTCCGCCAGACATAGCAGCGTCGATGGTTAGTGTTATACATTCGACCTATGGTGATATTGAAGGAAAGTCCATCCTGGACTTGTGCTGTGGCACAGGGATGTTGTCTTTCGCATGCAGCTATTTTTCCCCTTCATACATCCTGGGGGTTGATCTGTGTCCAGTAGCCCTAGAGATATTCAGACAGAATAGTCTCGAGTTCCAGATCAATGCAGATCTTTTAAGATGCTCTATCGACGACCTTATCTTTATCAATGGGAGATTCGACACGGCAATAATCAATCCGCCCTTTGGGACGAAGATAAGGCATGCAGACACAAGGGCTGTTGACAAGGCGCTGGAGCTCTGTAATGTAGTGTATTCCCTTCATAAGACAAGTACCAGGGAGTACATGGTCAAAAGATATCCAGGGGCAGAGGTTTTGGCAGAGATCAGATATGAGCTCCCAAGAAAGCATGACTTCCACAAAAAGGACAAGAGATCTGTTGGCGTTGATTTTATTCGAATCGAAAGACGCTGATCCATGGGCCTGCCTGGTCCATGATGTTGTCCATTCCATGAAGTTTTCTTGCCTCTAATTGATAGGATTGCTCTGAAATCTATTGGTCCTATCAGAATTGTCCCTGAATATAAAAAAATATTATTTAAGCATGAAACATTTGGGCTGCCCCAATGAAGGTCGTTATCTTCGGGTCCAGTGGCGATCTTGCAAAAAGAAAGCTTTTTCCTGCACTCTCTCGGATTGACTTGGAGGGTGTCGGGGTGGTTGGCTATGCAAGGACCAAGTACAACATCGAGTTTTCGGAAGTTCTTCAGGAGGTCGGGAACTACTCGCCGGAATTTCTTTCGAAGGTCACCTACATTCCAGGGCCCTACGATGACCTTTCGAAGCTTAAAGAGGTCTCAGACTCGGAGACTGTGCTGTACTTTTCAGTTCCATCCTCTGTGTACACTTGTTTATTCAGAGAGATATCGAAGCTTGACTACAAGGTGATTGGAGTCGAGAAGCCATATGGAGATAGCATTGAGTCGTTTATGGAGATAAAGGGGTTTGATCTGGGGAAGACCAGGTTTATTGACCACTATCTTCTGAAGCCGCTTGTGGTGGCTATGCCTGGGATTATAAGGGAGACGGGGGCGATTCGAGAGGTGATGAGCAACAGATATGTGAAGAGTGTTGAGATAGTCTCGAAGGAAGTTCTTGGGGGAGAGGGAAGACACTACTTCGATAAGAACGGAATTATAAGGGACATGGTCCTGAGCCACATGGGCGAGCTTCTTGGGGTTGTTGCGTCTGACGTAACAAAGCCATCGAGGATTATGGAAGCATTGGCGAGAATGGAGGTTTTCAAGGCATGCACCGTCGACACCGAGAGATGCATTTATGGGCAGTATGACGACTATATTAAGGAGATTCACAAGGACTCGAGTACGGAGACGTTCTGCATGGTTCCCATAAGCATAGGGACTCCCCGCTGGTCTAAGGTTCCCTTCATCATTGTTGCAGGGAAGGGGATGAACGAAAAGAGAACAGAGATAATACTTGAGTTTCGAAGAGATGTATTTGCGAAGTGCATTGAGCTGTTTTCTATGCCGAGGCAATCTTCGTGCAGGATTGTTCACACCAACGAAATAGAAACGGTTCGACTGGTCTTTAATATATATCCTGAATGCGAAGTATTTCTGGAAGTTCTCGTGGGAGGGGAGCCTGTCCGGTATGTTCTGCATGACAAGAAAGAGATTGATGGCCTGATGCATGACAGTTATGGAGGATACCATGACTATGAGATCATCTTTGACAGTCTTGTAAGAGGCAAGGACTTTAGCAGCGTGAGCTCTCAGGAGGCAGAGCTTCTGTGGAAGGTGTTTAACCCCATACTATCTATTAGCAAAGAGGACATGCTGTTCTACTATTCTAAGGGAATTGACATGCCTAAGGAAGCTGAAGAAATGATCAGGGAAATTAAAGACCATTAGAGTTGCCTCGCTCTCTTCAGTGCTGCCTTATCTCTCTACTTAGTGAAAATTTTTAATCCTCGGGCGAATGAGATATCTTGCGCTGGTCAGCGGTGGAAAGGATAGTGTACATGCCATGCATTGCCTTCAGCGCTTGGGACACCATGTTGTAGGACTGCTGCACATGAGATGTGAGAATGGATACCAGGATTCTTATATGTATCAAACCGTTGGGTCTGAAGTAGCCAACCTACTTGGAGAGTGTCTGCGCGTTCCTGTCTTTATATGCCGAACAAGGTGCAGAAGTATAAACCAGAGTCTACAGTATGATAGGGAGGAGGGAGACGAGGTTGAAGACCTTTATGCGGCCATCGCCCACGTCAAAGAAAAAATATGCTTTGAAGGTGTCTCATCTGGAGCGATTTTATCCAGATACCAAAAGAATAGAGTTGAAAATGTGTGTAACAGGTTATCTCTCGAGTGCTTGTCTCCGCTTTGGGGGATGGACCAGGAGAGTCTGCTTACTGAAATGATACTCAGCGGAATGGATGCAAGGATAGTGAAGGTGGCATCACCCCTTCTGGGGAGGGAATGTATAAACATGAGCTTGGATGAGGTCTATGAGCGGTTGAAGACATCGCCGAGTTCTGAGATCAACTTTTGCGGAGAAGGAGGGGAGTATGAGACGGTTGTTCTTGATTGTCCCATGTTCGAGAAAAGGATCAGCATAGACGAATACGAGGCTTCTCCGCATCCTGAAGAAGTGGGAAGAGAGGGGTGTGTGTTCCACATGAGGATTCTGAAGCTGAGCCTGGTTGAAAAGCATGTCTAGGCGGGAATTAAAGTTGCTTGGCACTGGATCTACGCACCAGATATATAGACGGCGTTGGGCTGCCCCGATGGAGGAAGATGCTATCAGAAGAATAGAGGAGGGAGACTTTGAAGGAGCCCGAAAAATCATCTTAGACATTGAGGACAGCGTCCGCGCCGAGCCGTCTTTATATAACAGAAAGGTTTTGCTGGAGAAGGTGGCGAAGCTAAAGGGCATTTACATCAGCCACAACACTGCTGAAGCGCCTTTTATTCCGCTCAAGAGCCGCACTTTGCTCGGAAAGCATGAAAACGAAGTGGGTGAGATTAAGAACAAAAAGTATATTAGAAATATCAACAACGACCTAGTGTCTATCAAAGACTGTGCCGAAGTCATTATTGAGGACTGCAGCAGTACAGTGTTCGAGCACTTTAACTGCGAAAAGTCTGTGGTTCTCAATAACGTTAGGGACTGTAGGGTTTCCTGTAGTGGGCAGCAAATAAGAGTGAACGGATGTAAAAACATTGAGCTTGATGTCTATACACCCACCGGAGTATTCCTTCAAAGCTCGACGGGAGTGGTGATAAGGAGATATGGAGCCAGGGAAGATAACATGTTTGCCCATGTGTATGACTTCTCCAGCCCTTTTGAAAGTAGGAATTACACTGTCTTGCCAGGCTAGACTCGATGAAATTGTTTAGCGGAGTGGCCAGGGTTATGGATGAAGACGAGGTGCATGACCGGTATCTGAATCTACTCCAGGAGATGAGGCTTCTGAAGGAAGATCTTCTTGAGGACAAGTGCAGGCTGGACAAGCTGGTTAGCACATCAAACATGCTGTTCAAGAGAATAAAAACATCTTCAGAGCTTAAGCTTGATGCCAAGATAACGGCACTGTCGACCAAGCTAGCATGCACAAGAATGGAAAAGGACATCAATTTGGAAGACATTACGCCCGGCACGCTTGTGGAGCTGGCCAGAAAAGATCTTCTTCATGACTTCTACAGATATGCGATGGATTGTAGCGTTGGAATGAGGTTTCCATACTGCTTCTCACTCGGTGTCCATGGAGAAGCTCCAAGCAGGAGGAGGGCACAGTCGCAAAGGTCAAGACAAACTCTTCCAGAGACTGAGGTTCCCACGCTGATCACAAGGGAGAAAGACTCTGTGGAAGAGCCCGAAATTCTTGCGCAGATAAAAAGGCTGGTTGCCGAAAAAGGCAGAACAGAGTACTTCCGATTTGTCATCGATCCCCGATCGTTTTCAAAGACCATTGAGAACATATTCTATCTGTCTCTCTCCTTGAGATCCGGAGTTGCATTTCTAGAATTCGATGACGATGGGACCTTATATGTTGTCTCTGAAGGTTCAGAAGGAGCAAGCACGGGGCACTTGGTCGTGGAAATGACATACGATGAATATCTTAGGATAGTTGAAAGAATGGGGATATCTAAGGCGATGATAGGGGACTAGGTTTGTGATCTGCTGTTCGATTTTTGATTATCACCGCCTTTCTCTCCAATGAGAGGGTGGGCTTCCATCATTGCTTTCTGCAACTAGGGTTTTCGGACATCTGAAACAATACTAAAGTGATCGAAACGTGTCTTGGAGTTGTGAAACCTGTTTTGGAATCAGATATAAATACAGTGGAGTAGGAAATAAACATGAAAAAACTACTGCTTGCCTCTGGAATTATCATGGCAAAAGCCCTTAGAAAGTTCCACAGACTTGGGCACCATAGCTCGGGCCTGATGAATCTGAGGAAACATCATCTAGGACGATCGAACCTGTCTTCTTCTTCCAACGTTAAAAAGGGAAAGAAGGATGAAGATGATGATAAGAAAGACGGAGACAAGAAAGACGGAGGCAAGAAAGGCGGAGAAGAAGAAAAGGGAAGTGGTGGAGGAAAGGAGGAGGAAAAGAAGAAGGGTAACAGTGGTAATGATAAAAAGAAGGGAAAAGACCAGGAAGGGAATGAGGATAATAACAATCAGCAGTCCACTGATAACTCAAGCTCCCTCGTCAACAACTCCTCCAAGAGTTTCTGGAAGAATGCTGGCAGTAATGAGTCAGGGAATGAAAATGGAAGCAGTGTTAAGTCATCTAAGCTTAAGAAGGAGCATTCATCTTCCCAGAATTCCGATGGAGAAGGAAATACTAAAGGAAACTTCAAAGACAAAAAACTGGAAAAGAAGAAGGAAGAGGAGAAAAAGAATAGTAACTCCAATCGCAGCAGTTCTTGGAAGTCTAACAAGGAGGATGGGACCGGCTCTGAAGAAGGCAGTTCTGATCTTTCTAGTAAGAAGTCTAAACAGCAGCAACAAAATACTTCTAATCTCCTTGACTCCGAGCTGGTCGACAATGAGGCAAGCGGAGACTTATCATCTAATTAGAGATTGATAGCAATAAACCCAATTGACTTTTTGCTTTTCAGAAGCTTACTGCCTGGGGTCTTATCAGGAGCCTTTTGATCCGAGGCTCTTAAACAAAGAGGTAACTTCGTTGCTTGACCCCGATGGAGAAATACGAAAATATCAAACAAGTAGGAGAGGGAGCGTTCGGGCAGGTTTACAAGTCCAGAAGAACATCTGATGGGGCAGTGTTTGCAATAAAAAAGATGCCAGTGGACAGAGAGACCGGCTTTCCATTTACAGCCATACGGGAGATAAAGTTGTGCAAGAGCGTAATTAATAAGCACATAATAGGGCTTGACGAAATTGTGTTCGAGGAGGGCTTCATATTTGTTGTACTTGAATACATGCCATATGATCTGACGGGGCTTCTTGCATCTGGCGCCAAGCTCAGCACCGACCAGATAAGATCGATCACATCGCAACTCATAGAGGCTGTGAGCTCCATGCACGGGATGGGGCTGGTTCATCGAGACATAAAGCCCAGCAATATCCTGCTAGACTGCCACGGGATGCTGAAGCTCACGGACTTTGGGCTGACCAGAGAGATATCGGGGATGATGACGAACAGAGTTTGCACACTCTGGTACAGGGCGCCTGAGCTATTGCTTGGAGAAACATCCTACAGCCTTAAGGTGGATGCGTGGTCTGTTGGGTGCATAATGCTAGAAATGAGGCTTGGGAGACCGCCATATAGAGGAAGCGATGAAGTATCGCAGATAAAGCTGATCTTCGAGGAGCTAGGCATACCTCAGGACAAATACAAGTGGTCTGACCTGCTTGACGTTGATATTTACTCCAAGAGCAGGAGTACCGAGGAAATAATTGCCGAGAGATACGGACATCTGTTTGACGAGGAAGAGCTAAAGGTTCTTTCTGGATTTCTTTGCCTAACCAGTAGGAAGAGGTTGTCTGTGGCCAATTCTAGGTATTTCACCGTCATCTCAAGCCACAAAAACACCTATATCCCACTGAGCTTTGAGGAAGCTCACGAGCTGTACACAAAGGAAAGGAAAGAAACGAAAAAGCCTTGATGATGAGGACAGGGATCCCCTCCCATGGCTTGTGAATGCATCATGTGGAGAAAAATACAACAGGTAGAAATAAAGACCGATGAATAACCTTTAATATTTCTGAGAGTAGAAGTTTCTTGTTGCGTCAATCTCAAATGGCTCTGAAAGATAGGACTTCATGTATTCAACCCTCCTGGCAGCTTTTGCAATCTCTTCATCAATCTTTCTCTCGGCATCAGTCATTTCAACATCCATCGGCACAGCGTAAACATCCCTCTCTGTCAAAACAGTGTCCTTTCCGTCAATGTCGACATCCATGTTGAGGTCCAAAACAGTGGATGTTGCCAGCAGATACCTCTCATCAATCCTGAAGAGTGGAATTCCGTTAATCGACTTTGGGCCTGCACAGAGGGCAATGTTGTCTTCCAATCCTTTCAGGTAGACTACCCTCCTCGATGCAAAAACGCCCTCGAGAACAACAACAACCATCCCTTTCACCAGATCCGTCCTCCTAACCCTTGGCTTTCGAGCCGTCCTTGCCTTGTACTTCTCAACAAATCTTGGAATGTCGTCTGGCATGTACAGTCCTGCGTCGTCCGGTATAACTCTAACTTCCTTAATCAACTGAAATTACTTCCAAGCCCACTTACCATTTTGAGGGATAAATTTTTTCTCCATTTGTCTAGTTTCCGGCGCCTCCAAGGAAGTTGAGCTGCCCCTGGAGGCTCAATCGAACACCTCAAACTCCAATTCATCCTCGTCTTCTTCATTGGGATGGAAATCTAGTTCGTACCTAAATCTCAGCAGGTTCAGGAGAGCCTTCGTATGAAACCCCATCCGGAAGTTGGGCTCATCCGTCAAATACCAGGACCTATTTCTCTCAACCTCATTCACAACATTTTCGGCTTCAAACACCTGGAAGGTCCTACCAGATTTGCGGCTGTCATATATTTGGTATCTGAAGTTGCCCTGGTCTCTCTTAGGATCAACCCCGAACCTGGCCCAGCATCCCCTCCACGGCCCAGAGTCAATGAAGTATGCATGTAAGGGCAAAAACTTCTTTATCTTCCAGTCGCTGAATCCCATCTCTGCTGCTCTTTCGTCTGACTTAAACATTCTTATGATATTGGATATCCTCAGGATTGGATGTATGGAAAACACATGGCTGAAAAGCTGCTCTTGCAGCCTCATTACATCTGCTCCATGCAGCTTTTCCAGTCTTCCAGGCAGTCCTTCGGTTGGGCCTTCTGGAATCCTGTCCTCATACCCCACATGGACTGTGTCTCCGGCCCTGTCCTTCCCCCCCTTAAAGTCTTTAAAATTATAGTTTTCAAAGCTTTCAACTGTGGAGATGATTGGAACGGGGTACATGGGGATTTCCTCATCTCTGTAGGACTTATCAAACGTCTTGGCAATCTCCATACACTGGTCCATGTCCCCATAGACCATTTTTGAGTAGATCTCCGAGTAGAACTCTTTTGTCTCCTGAGGAACCGGGAGATAGAAGTCAGCGGGTGTCACAAAGGAATACAAGTTCTCGGTGTAACCGACCATTCTGCATTTGTCCTCAGTTATTTCCAAGTGAAAATATCCCTTGCATTTCTTGTCCTTCGTTGCAACTATCTTTTTAGCATCAGGTCTATTGCAAATCCTCATTTCATACCCAGCATCCGTTTTGACAAGAGGCAACACGCATTTGTCAGCCTGAAATGGACACTCCACTATGTCGAAGTCCTTTATCATGGGGCCTAAACCTGTTTCTTATAATTTCACTACCTAAGTTTATTCCCAATGGATATTCCCACAGGACCTAGTCCCGAAGAAGCCTCCTCAGCCGCAGTCACCGAACAATTACTTAACCGATATTACATTTAACCTTGCCTTGCCTGAATGCAAATGCAACCACCCATCCCAGAAAACTGTCTATGTCTTTCGACCTATAGAAGTGGGTTTCGCCATTGCTCTTCAGTGCAAAGTCGAGTGTGTCCATCCTAATTTCTGTCCTCACAAGATTCTTCTTGAGAGAAACCATAAAGTAGTTCTTGACCGGCGTAATCCTTATTATCTTCGTGCTTTCGGTTATGTCAATCAAATCCTCATCCGACTCAGATCCCCATCTTATGCACCCGAGCCAAAAAGGTTGCTTGACAAGGTACACTCCAGCATTCAGGAGGTCTATGGTATACTTTTTTTTGAAGAAGAATGCCCCATTTTCAGGATCCCTTAAGTCTCCGTCTCTTTCAGAGGGGAGGTTGTCTGAAGTTATCTTGTTCTCCTTCCCCCCATAGCATGTGAAGAAGTTTTTTTTCAACGTGAACCAGTTGTATTGGTACTTTCCGTTTTTCCCTTTCTTGTAGATCTTGCCCACTAGGTTCTTGTATTTGAGATCATTCAGCTTAATGACTTCTTCTATCCTAAGATACCTTTCCTCCTGGTCCACAACAAACTTACGCAGCTGTAGATCTCCGTTGCACAGCAGGTCTCTTCCCGTTGCTCTTTTCTCGGCCTCCTTTATAACCTTAAATGCCTTTTCTCTTGCTGCAATATCCGAGCTCGACTCGCTTACAGACTCCCATTTCGCGACATAGTCGTTGAGTATTATGGTCTTTGCCTCCTTCTCTCGGCCTCCACTGGTCTCGCCTCTTATCACTCTTTTTTGCTCCCGAGACTCTCTCCCGTTCTGCTTCTTGATTTGGATATTCGACTCAACATACACCTTGTTTATCTTGACCTTATCGAACAGGTTTTCCCTGAAAGTCACTTCCGGAATAGAGTGAAACGCCTCGATGATCCTTTTTTCAGACTCTGCATCACGCACCAACTCCTCTCTTTGGACCGACCGCCGTTCGAGCTCGAGAGCCTTCTCGAACGATGTAGGGTCCATGAGGTTCCCTAGCCCAGAAAGATCAATGGCGGAGCTTTGAGATGGTGAGAAATGAGAGGGGTGGTCTCCACAGTACTCGCCATCCTTAGTCGAGGTAGACAATTTGCTTTTTTCTTCCCGGGAGGAATCGTCTTCTCCGGCCGTCCCATAGCTGTCTATAAAGTTGCATAGGTGCAGTTCCGATGGCTCTGACCCCTTCTCCTTTTCTTGGAAGGAGCTGTCCTTCTCCGAATCACCTGGGTGCCAAGAATCCTGAGCCATCTCCTCGTCGCTCCTGTCAGATCCCATTCTCCTTCCATACTCATCAATAATACACTCCTCGATGAAACCTGTGTCGTAGTACTCTAAAATTGATAGAAGCATCTCGGTAGATCGGCTCTCCAAGCCTTCACCGCTATAAGCACCCTCATCTCCCATAGAACTCCCGTAGAATACCATATATTTTATACCGGGAGCAAACCTCCTTTTCTCCTTTTACGTCATTCTCGATTGACGTTCCAAAGGACGAGGAGATTCTTCCGAATGGAACAGATATGGTTTGTTGTACAGTGTCTATCAATCAAATCAGAAGTTCCTTCTACAAGAGGCTGCTTATATTCCATAGGAAGCAAGTCCTGAGCAGAAACGGCACCGTATTCTATGCCCATTCAGGAGGCTATGAGATGTCTCGAATGTCTCAGCAGAGCAACCATTGTTAGTTCTTACACAACCATCCTTGCGCATCCTGTCAAACGGGCCGTTCCCTTTTTCATGATCGTCGGTAACAAAATACTCCCCTGATGAACTGCACTCGTCCACTCCTTGTTCACCGCTCTCATCAGAAAGAGTAGCACTGTATCCTCTCGAAAGAGCCTCAAACCCAAAAGAGGATCCAAATAGCATTCTTAGGTAGGCCACAATCAGCACAATCCCAATAAGCCTATACACTGCTTCCCTTTGTATAAACACCAGACACACCAAAGCAATTAATCCATGTACAGATGGATGGATTGCTCCCAATGCAAACAGTAATATCTTGCCAACAAACATCACGCCTGAAAGTGAAGACAAGAACGCAGGTATCTTTGAACCAAATCCAATGGTCATTTGAACGGGATTAGCGCAAGAAAAATTATCTTCCAGGAAAATTAATAAATCGGACACTAAACAGTTTAATTACTACCCTCAGCTCCCATCAGATGCTCGTATATATTCAGAGCAATCGCAGGATGTCTGCAAACAATCTTGTAAATCATCATGGTCTCCATCACAAGCATATAAAGTACATCCTCCCCTTTGCTATAGGTTAGCTTCACTTGACTTTTCTCGAGGTCCCTGAAAATGACCTTTCTTCCGTCTCTCATGTTAACATACCGAAGCCCATCTCTTGAAAACCCCCGTAGGGTAAGATTCCCGAAGAAGTCATATTTCCCATTCAGGTAGAATTTGCAGGTTACCACCTCTCTAATCACGTATCTGTTTCCCGAATGCTGCTCTTCTTCAGAGCTGTCCTCAAAGAATTCAGGGTTCTTTACATATTCCAAGGCATTTCTGTCCTTTCTCAACGCCGTTAGCGCCTCGAACACCTTTCTATTGTGGTTCCCCACATCCTCTCTTCTCGACATAGAAAACGACATTCCAGGACCTTTCCCAAACCTCAGCGGCTTACTGAACGGGAAGTCTGCCATCTTCTCCATCCTCCGAAATGCCTCTAAAGAGTTCATAAAGTCGTCGTTCACCACGACATCCGGACATACCACTCCAAAGTGCCTCGTAAGAAACTTGTATATCTCTCCTTGCGAGCACTTGTGCTGCCCATCCTTCGTGCCTCCGAGCATGTCGACTTCCTCCTCTTCTCCAAAGGGCTCGAAGTCGTATAGTGAGAAGTTAAACTCTCTAATGTCTTCGACATCATAGCCTGCAGCCGAGTCCTTAGACCTTTTAATGAAGGAGATGAATTTTTCGTACTGCAAAAATAGCGGCCCCAGGCTTGCTCCATGACTCGCCAGCGCCATGCACGAGTTGAGAAAGGACCTATTGAGAACTACGTATCTTTCATCAGAGTCCTCATTCTTTAGAACGTCCACATTCCCAATCAATCTAGTCAAGTCGCTCCTACACATCTTTCCAAAGCCTATTTTCTGTCTTTTGGTGTGGATAGGCTCCTGTTCGGCGCTTCCGCCCAGCTCGCTGAGATGCTTTCTGGAGAGTTCTTCAACTATCCTCCCTGCTCCTCTGTTCATTCCACTCATCGTCCTTCAGGGCATTGTTAAATGTTTGGTGAATGTGCCAAAAGTATCGGTCGACCGGATATTTACAATTAGCACAAGTTGCCCTGTTCACTCCTCCAAGTGCTGTTGGCTCAGAAATCGTTCTCCAGGCCCAGGATCAATTGGTTCTGCTTCTGTGTTGAAAAGCAGAGTTTAACTTGTGCATAAGTTTTACAGGTGAAACAAACTCGGTGCTAGAAAGTATAAAGAAGAGCAATAAACTCCATGTTCGATGATGCTTATTGCCTTATGCATGATGGGCGTAGTTCTCGGCTTCAAAATCACTGCAAAGAACAACGAAGGAAAATTCCTCATTAACAATAACGGAAAAGCAGTCATGTCCGAATCAGGAAAGCCTGCAGAGTTCAAGACCGATGAAGTGTCTCCTGGGGTTAAGATCGTAACGGACAAGAACACTAACAAGGTACTGGACATAGAAGGAAGCAAAACGAATCTAATCTTCTATTCTAGGCATGGGCAGGAAAACCAGAGATTCACGTTTGTTGGAGGTGAAGGAGACGTCATCTACATTAAAAGCGGAGACGGGTGTCTAGAGTACGACTCCAATGGAAAGATGTACCGAACCACCTGTTCTGCGAAGGACCAACAGAGGTTTAAGATTGTCTATTCACTTGGAGATCCTGGATATAAGCCTCCTGTTGAGGTACCGGTTCCTGCTGCACCCGAAAACCCCAGCACCCAAGATCTATTGGAAAGCCCCAGTTCCCAGGCTCTGTCTGGATCTGCCAATGCGCATGCACCTCCACAGGTACTTATATTCAATGGGAAGAAAAGTCACAGATCTCATTCATGGCATCACAATCCCTATGAGGACGAGTCTTCTATATATGGTGATAGTGACTGTCTCATTGTTTAAATAAAGTCTTTTAGTTCCCATATAGACTCCTGTATCTCATTGGTTATGAAGGGCTTTATCGCGTGAAACATACTTCAGGATCGGTTTATAAGAAGGAGCGGGAAATGCTCCAGACCATGAAAAGTGCTGCTGTGATATGCATGCTCGTCGGGGCCATCTCGGGATTTACAATCTCCTCGAGGACTGGAGAAAAGAGGTATATGACTAAAGGAGGATCTTGGAAAAGTCCATCAGGAGTAGTTTATGAGCTAGTAATTATGTCTGCATCTGGAAACCCGATCGAGTTCCGTACGGAAGAGATATCTCCCGGCATCAAGGTTATAAAGGGAGTAGGCACTAATCAGGCCTTGGACCTTCATCATCCAAGCACTGGGCGGGTAAGGCTTATCTTCTACACTCAGAATAATGAATTAAGACAAACATTTGAGATTGGAGGAGATGAGAAAAACGGGTATTACCTAAAGAACAGCGAGAAGTGCCTGCAGTACGACGAGACGGGGAATATATATGGTGTCACCTGCTCCTCAAACCCGGAGCAGAAGTTTGATATTGTCTACTCACCTGAAGACTCGGAATATAAGCCTCCTGCTGAAACACAGCCTGCATCAAAAGATCTTACCGCCCAGGCGGTAAAGAATCCTAGTCCCCTGGCACCTCAGGTGGTTATATTCAACGAAGGGGAAGGGCACCACTCCAACCCGCACCATCAAGATCTTGGAGAAGTGTTTTCTCTACACCACAAAAGCAAAAACCGTATTGTTGTGTGAATAAAACTTTTAATTCTTACATACTCTATTCACCCAGTCTGATTGGTCATGGAAACTTTGTGTGATGAAACAAACTCTTCCAGGATCGGCTTATAAGAAGGAGTGGGAAATGCTCCAGACCATGAGAAGTGCTGCTGTGATATGCATGCTCGTCGGGACCATCTCGGGATTTACGATCTCCTCGAAAACTGGAACAAAGAGGTATTTGGTTAAGGGAGGAACCTGGCTGAGCCCGGATTACAAGATAAACTATCAACTAGCAGCCATGTCTAGTTCTGGAACCGCTGTGGAATTCCAGACGGAAGAGATATCTCCAGGCACCAAGATTATAAAGGAGGTCGGCACTAACGATGTCCTGGACCTTCATCACCCAAAAAGTGGACAGACAAAGCTTATTTTCCACAGCCAAAATACTGGAAACACACAAAAGTTTGAGATTGGAGGAGACGAGAAGAGTGGATATTACCTGAAGAACAACGGGAAGTGCCTGGAGTACGACGGGGCTGGTAACATGTACGGCACTGCCTGTTCCTCAAACCCGGAGCAGAAGTTTGATATTGTCTACTCTCCTGAGGACCCGGAATATAAGCCTCCTGTTGAAGCGCCAGAAGCTCCTACCACCGAAGCTGGAGGAGAGGGCTTCAACAATCAGGTTGCATCTGAAAATCCCAGTGCACAAACAGGGCTCGGAAACCTCAACATCAGAGCACCACAGATAGTTATATTTAATGAAAAAAGAGGGCATCACGCCCATTCGCAACACCATAAACACCATGAGGGGGAGTCTTCTCTATATAGTAACAACGGTGACTATCTCATTGTATGAATAAAGCTTGTTAGTTCTCACACACTCTATTCGTCCAGTCTGATTGGTCATGGGAGCTTTGCATGATGAAACAAACTCTCCCAGGATCGGCTTATAAGAAGGAGTGGGAAATGCTCCAAACCATGGGAAGTGCTGCTGTGATATGCATGCTCGTCGGGACCATCTCGGGATTTACGATCTCCTCGAAAACTGGGATAAAGAGGTATTTGGTTAAGGGGGAGCCCTGGAAGAGTCCTGACCTCAACATAACTTATAAGCTAACATCTATGTCTGCATCTGGAGTTCCTGCAGAGTTCCAGACGGAAGAGATATCTCCAGGCATCAAGATTATAAAGGAGGTTGGCACTAACGATGTCCTGGACCTTCATCACCCAAAGAAAACAGAGCCAAAGCTTATGTTCTATGGCCGAAACAATGGAGCCCGACAAAAGTTCGAAATTGAGGGGGATGAGAAGAGTGGGTATCACTTGAAGAACAGCGGGAAGTGCCTGCAGTACGACGAGACGGGGAATATATATGGCGTCACCTGCTCCTCAAACCCGGGGCAGAAGTTCGATATTGTCTACTCTCCTGAAGACTCGGAATATAAGCCTCTTGCTGAGGAAGCTTCCATCGAGGAAACGTCAGTCGGTATCAGCCCGGAGGATTTGGATCTCTATCGCTCTGCCCAAGTGCTCGTATTCAATGAAGAACCCGAGCATAAACACAAGCACAGCCATCACCATAATCACATCCACAAACACCGCCATAATCACGCGCACAAGTATCATCACATTCATCCGCGCTCTTCTCACAAATCAACATACTTTACCTACCAAAGGTATCCTGAGCAGATTATTGTATAAATAAATCCTTCCTAGTCAATAGGTAACCTCCTTCCTGGCAGGCTTTCTCGTACCGTTGCTTCTAGAATGCAAGGTCAAAAACATTCCCTGAAAAAGCCCCAGGTGATTATGTCCGAAGATGGCGTGCTTGACAAGTCATCTGTAAACAGATTCTTCAAGTACATAAGGATGCAGTCGAATAACAAAAGATGTGCAGACTGCAACAACCCGTCGCCAATATGGGTGACAGTGACTTACGGATTCTTTATATGCACGGAATGTGCAGCAAAGCATAGAGAGCTCGGTGTTGGAACAACTAAGGTAAAATCTACGATTCTAGACACATGGAGCCTTTCTGAGCTCCGACGAGTGTATGTATCCGGAAACTCCAATGCTCCGAAGCTTGGGAAGGTTACAGATCTCCGGACTAAATATACAAAGGCAGCGTGGTACTCCAAGGTTGTTGACGAGTTGTCTGGGAAGAGCGAAATGGATGAACCCGGCACCCTGTTCATTGATAACTTATCCAAAAGAACAGAGAGGGCCTTAGAGCCCAGAAAGATAGAGGAGAGGAGGATGCCCAGGTTTTCCGACTCTGATGCAAAGTATGTGGAGGAGAAGAGCACAGTGGCTGAGAAGGAGCTCAGGGAATTGACGGAGTCCAATACCAACATGGACAGGCCGGTTACCATCAAAAGAAATTCGCTTCCGTCTCTTCGGACGTCTGAAAAGAGGGGCTTCAATGTTGAAAGCACTGGATCTGATGCAAAAAAGCTCGGATTTGGAGCGCTAAATCTACTGAAGGATGGCAAAGATAATCCCTCCTCTGAAAAAGGAGAAAGCCCCAAAGTGTGTAAGGATCCTTTTTGCCAGGATGAATCGAAATAGAGTATGTTCTGTTTATTAATTTCTACTTGAAGTCCAGATGCCTGGGTATTCGTTACTCATGTATCGACACACGAGATGAAGCGAAACAGGGATCCAAATGCCCATTTGAAAAATCCTTTCCTCTGCTTTACTTCCACCTGATTGGTAAGAGCCTCGCTTGGCATCATGCCAAATTCATCATACATCTTTTTCAGTTCTATCCATTGAAGACCTACATTATACTCTAGGACCTGCAGGATCTGCCTCTCTGCAGCATTTATCTGGTCGACCCCATGGTGGCATATCTCGATCCACGAGAAGTTGGTGTACGAGAGGTCCATGTATATTTTTGATGATATTATCGTGCATCCGATGAATAAAAGATATTCGTTACTGAGTACCTTCTCCAGCTCCTTCTTTCTCTTGCCACACATAAATCTATCCACATCCGACAAGGCTTTCTGTTCCATTCTTTTGATGTACCCTGGGAGGTGCTTCTTCATTCTATCGAAAAGGTTTTTTGCAGTCAGGATTGTGTACAGGCTCATCTGGCTCCTTTCTAGGCTTTTGCATATTCTATGTCTTGTGTGCCCGTCATATATGCTCGTTCCGAGGAATTGCTTGAATCTCGACAGCATCATGCCATTCACCGGAGTGTGTTCTTCCCTGCCTGCACTCATGAGCTTCTGCAAGCATAGACATCCTTATCACTTGTTTTAAAGGAGGTTTCTCTGCCTATTCGTGCCTGAGACCAAGAGCCGTGGTTTCAAAGGTGGAACCAGTTATTTTGCATTGCGTCTCAAACATCCATACAAAGCATAAACTCTCAATCATGTTTATTATTAGCTCGGGCGAGCCGTCAAAAGGCCTTTCTCTTACCTTCTGCTCAACGCCTGTGTCTCTTTTGCCTTTTCTTCATCCGCCTTCTTTTCAGCGACCTGTTGACCGGATGCTTTTCCTTGTTCTTCTTTCTGGTTTCCCTGTTGCTCAGCATGGGGGCAATGAAGTCTTCCGGCCCGAGGTCCTCGGAGTCCAGATCCACGTCCTCCGATTTCCTTTTCAGTCTCATTTCACTATGTTTTCTGGCCATCCTGCTACTTTTTCTCTGTGCGTCCGCATCTCCTTGCTCGACTTCCTTCTGCGGCCTCATCAGCTCTCCATCATACCCTTCCTCAACTCCCTTGAACTCCATCGTCTTTAAGAACCTCGTTGCTGCCTTCACAAACAGCTTTTCCCTGAGTATGGCATCATCAACGTCGTCAAGATCAATTTTTTCCATCCAAGGGTGGCCTCAGAAATCCCTTAACAGAAACTCTCACCAGAACCGCCGAGCCTCTCACAGCGTAAAAGATTCTGTCCTTTCATAGTATATCCTTCCATGCTGCTCAAGGTCTTTGATGAAGTCCTCAGAAAGAGCTCCCTCCACAACCATTGCATAGAGTCCCTTCCTAAACTCTCCTATCCTCTGCCACTTTCCTACCCAGCTGTTGGACGGCTGCAGAAGTGCCACGACTCCTTTGAACTTACTAGAGGTGCACTCGCTAACGTTCGTGACATTCCCTTTCATATTCAGCATTGGACAGTTCTCACACCCGTCCTTCCTAAACCCATTTAGCGTCTTTATTTGCGAGCACCCTAGACATGCACGAAGCTTGCCGCTCAAAGTTCCCTTGAACTTCTCTTCCATACACCCCTATACACCAGCACTGGCTTTTATCTTTATTGGTAAAATCCAAGGCTGCTCCTATTCCCTGTTTGGAAAAAGCTGTTAAAGGCTACTAGCAGCACCCTTATTATGGATATAGAGAAGAAAATATCTTCGGTGACCCAGACGGCCGGGAAGTGGCTTGAGGACTTTAGATACATGGCGTCCATAGCTCTGAACTTGCTAGAATGCTTCTTCTATTCACTTGTCGGGATCATATGCCTTATGTACTCCGAGAAACCGCTGAACAACATATGGTTCAAGTACTTTTCGTGTGTCTTGATTGTGGTTGGAGTGATAGACGGGCTCCACAAGGTTCCCACCACCTATCTGGCGAAAAACAGCAACACCAAGAGCAAGACCTTCAGGTCAAGAATAATCAATCGCCTGAAGGAGCTACGGAGATTCTTCATCGAAAACAAGATCAACAGGATGATAGACTTTATCGGAAACCTTTTAATGATCTTTGCAATCTCGGTAGTGTTGTATTCAACATGGACAACCATAAAACCGGTTCTTGAGAGAAGTGACGATGGGGGCTATAGCAGCACTCTTAATGCTCTTTTCTGCTCTTCAGGGCTCTACAACCTTCTGTCTCTCCTGTACTCGTTCTACATCCTTATAAAACAAGGATGTCAATACATATCTGACTTCAAAAAGCGTGGAACATATTCGAATAATGCAGGCATCCGTATCCGGTTTGAAAACGGTGAGGAGGAGCATGATGGAACGGATAAGGATCCGTTTTCCGACATGCCTGTGATCACTCTTACGGAAGTAGTTTTTCTGCTGATCTTTGCTGTTTGGGGTGCCTTCAGAGGAGGATCTGGCTACATAAAGAAGACGCTTACACCCTCTGTTGTTGTATTCAAGATATCGACTTCGATACTTCAGTACATGGTACCGTTTTTCAGGCACTCTGGGAGCAAGAATGCGATTCTACTACCCATCATTTTTATATCTCTTCTATCTATCTGTGCATATATCGTCAACGGGCTAGAGTTAAAAATATCGGAACTGGTGGGCAGTAATAATCTTCGTACTTCCCAGGGCCAATGATTCTGTTACTAGTTCCTTTATGCAGGCTCTGCTTCATGGCGAGAACATCGCTTGTGGTACACGGGACTAAAGACGCCTGGGTTCTATAGCAGCAGCATGCATATGACCTGGAATGGAAAGGAACGGAGCTATTCTCCACTACATTTGATTAACAGGCTCTGAGGATATTAGGTATTTTTTGTTTTGAAAATTTTTCTTACCCCACTGAAAAAGAATGGAGGGGGAAGAGACAAACTCTGGAAACATCCTTGCCGAGCATCAGCTTAAGTATTGCTCCCAAATACTGACCAGACTCAAGCGGAATTCGAATGCGCCTCCATTTTTAGAGCCTGTGGATCCTGTGAAATTGGGGATTCCTGATTATCCCGAAAAGATAAAGCACCCCATGGACCTGTCCACCATTAGGAAGAAGCTGGACTCCAAAGAGTACGAGGGGCCTGAGGGTTTTGATGGGGACATGAGGCTGATGTTTAGCAATTGCTATACGTACAATCCTCCTGGAACAGTTGTCCATGAAATGGGAAAAGGGCTTGAGGCTGTATATACGGATCTGATGGCGGGGATGCCGCAGGAGATTCCGAAGAAGCGAAAGAAGACCGAGATGCCTGCTGTTGGGAGGCCGAAGCAGGTGAAGAGAAATGTCAAGGGCAGTGACGGGATGAAGGCAGAGGACTATGAATTCTGTTCCGAGACCCTTAGCGACTTAGTAAAACCGAAGCACAAGGCCTATAACTGGCCTTTCCTGGAGCCTGTTGATGGAGACCTTGTTCCCGGGTACTACTCTGTGATTAAGGAGCCGATGGATCTCCAGACGATGAGGAGCAAGCTAGAGCAAAGGAGATACCAGAGTGTTGAGGAGTTTGGAAGGGATCTAGAGCTCATTGTGGAGAACTGCAAGAAGTTCAATGCGCCGGGGACGGAGGTGTATGTCTGTGGGCAGGAGTTTGAAAAGGCGGTAAAGATGCACATGCAAAAGGTTTCTCCACACGACATTAAGAGCAGGATAACCGAGCTGAAGCGAAAGGTCATGTCCTATAGCAGGGAGATTCGGATGCTGGAGTCGAAGCTGATGGAGCAGACCGGGGAGATGCCCACATCACGGGCCTACTCGTTGAACGAGAGAGTTAGCATCGGAAATGCGATATTGAATATGAGCAAGGAGCAGACCGAAAGCGTTGCAAAGATTGTGCTGAAGAACGGGGCTGGTGAGTTTGTGGAGAACGATGAGATTGAGGTGGACATGAGGACGATTCCGGATCATGTTGTTGAGGAAATAGATATGTACATCAAGAGTATTAATGTGGGAGAGGATGTGCGGGACGAGTGATTTTGCGTAGCTCTAGATGTGGCGATATAAATTAAACAAAGTCTTTTGTCTCTGACACCGAGTTTGGACTCTTTGTTCTTAGAGAGGAGGATGGGAGATTGTCTGGCGTATTTAGACAAAAAACAAAGACCCCTGTAACCTAACTGCTGCGATGAGGAATGTATGCCGTTTCTTCATTGAGGGAAAGTGTAAGTTTGGTTCAAAGTGTAAGTATGACCATGTTCGGTACACCTCTCTGGTGGATCCACCACAATGGATCTATTCTTCATATAGGGGCCTTGATCTGATGGAGATTTCCCCGGAGGAGGTAAGATTTGCATTGATGTGTGGAGATATGAAGGAGGTCCTCGACAACTTTTGGATAGGAAACTACATGGCTCTGTGTGGAGAGATGGATCTTCTTGAGAGCGATGCCAGGATTGCGTCGGTATCCAATAGACATGTGGACCCCAGAGAGAATCCTGATGTATTTATGGCACCGTTTGATGTAGACAGAGTGTCGGGTACAATCAGGCAAATGAGGGCCCAAGGAGCTCGGCCCCTGGAGAAAAGGCAAGGGGACACCCGGCGAGGTGATGGGGGCTGGGGTAGCACATCGCTGGGATCTCCACGGCCGCATCCGACGGGCGATGGAGGCTATAAAGACAAGAGATATGGATGGAGCCGCCAGGAGTCGGGAGCTGGAAGTGCATGGTTCCAAGGAAACAAGGCTGGTGACAGGGCGGGTCACGGAGGATACAGGAGCGGATATGGTGGAGAACCCAGGGGGTTTCCAAGGGAGCCGTCCTATCCAAAGGGCAATGACAGCGAGTATAGACAGAAGGGGTCTTGGGGATATGGAAAGGGAACTAGTAAGAAGTACTCCAAACCCGAGGACGAGTTTGACATCCAGGATACGCCTTCCTCGTTTCCGGGTGCTTATAGCGGCGGGACCCCAAGAGCTGGCGGAGCGTGGACGCACAATTCTGAAGCGTTGGGTGACAGACAGAATGCAAGTAGAGGCTCTGGGGATGAAGAATTTATTGAGGAGGACTTTGAATATGGAAGGGTTCCTTACAACTATAGAAAGCCTAGCAAGTGATGCTATACGACCATTAAAGTTATTGTGTGTTTGAAGGCTATGGCCAATGAAAATTTTGCCGATGCCTTGCTGGTGGGCATGGTGGTTATTTCGCTATCAAATGCGTTAACCCTGAGTATCCTAGAATGAGCCATCTAAAGAAAATGTATGTGTTAAAGCGTGAAAGAGAAGAGGCCATGTTTAGCTCTCCGAAGACACCTTCAAAGAAGATTCCATACAAGGATATGGTTGTGCCGTCGATGCCTTTTGCAACGGACGCTAGGGATTCCTCTCTAATTAATGAAGATCCTGCCTCCAGTGATGTATTTGCGTGCACAGACAAGGATCCGATTCTCTGCGGAGACCGGAGCAAGATGTGTGACTTTGTTTGCAAGACCGGGGAGGGGGCATTCTACGAGGTGTTTGTGAATAGAAAGGGCGTTGTGGGGGAAACAGGTAGTGTTCCAGAAGAGCCTGTGGCTCTTTACAAGAGCAGGGAGCTTTGTGCCTACGACGTTGACTACACAGTTGTCAAGAAAAGCAAGAAAAGGATTTCTGGGGAGCTTGATAGAAAGAGCAGGATAAGGGAGATTGAGATGCTGAAAAAGATAGACTCCGAGTATGTGGTCAAGTACTATGACTTTTGGGAAAGCAGAGGATATTTGTTTATAGAGCTGGAGTATTGCAACATCGGAACTCTGAGAGACTATATCCACGAGGTGTACTTCCTCAAGAAGTCGAAGTTTTCTCCTGAGATAACAAGGAAGATGATGTACGAGCTGGCGAGTGGGCTGGAGGCGATACACTCATGCAATATTGTCCACCTTGACCTGAAGCCTGAAAACATTCTCATGAAGAGCATCATTTCCAGGGAGAAGTGTCCTGGCAGATGCCAGTGCATGTTTCCAACGGATCCTGGATCGTTTGTGTTCAAGATCTCTGACTTCAACATAAGTAGATACGAGGGTGAGGATATAGATGACGATGGCGACAAGCGGTATATGGCGCCTGAGGTGCTGCAGGACATCTGCACAAAGGCCAGTGACATCTACAGTCTCGGGCTGATCTACTTAGAGGTCATTGCGGAGATTATTCTCCCGAAGAGCGGGGACAGCTGGATGCGGCTTCGGAGGAACGACTTCCGGGGAGTCAAGCTTGACCGGGTGTGTAAGCTGATGCTGGACATGAATTATAGAAGAAGGCTTAGCGCCAGGGAGATTGTTAATATGTTTACCTAGGTCCTGCATTCAAGGGTTGCTCTGTTGATAAAGGTTTTGGTGTTCAGTTTTCTGGGTTTTTGCATGCTGCGGCCTCTACCCTGCCATGTTCACGCCACTGAACCAAAAGAAGCTGGTGAATGTTAGCATTGTTACTCTCAAGAAGTTTGGAAGGCGGTATGAGCTAGCTGTCTACCCCAACAAGCTTTATGAGTACAGAAATGGAATGAGAACGCCGCTGAGTGAGATTCTCCAGACAGATACCATTTATCGGAGCGTATCCAAAGGAGAAATAGCTAGACAGGGAGATTTAGACCTTTTCTGCAGGACGCACGAGGAGATAGTCCGGGAGATACTGGACTGTGGATATGAGCAGAAGAGTGAAGCAACTCGAGTGTATGAGCAGGAAAAGACGGAGCGGGAGATTGTTCAGATCCTGAGAAACAAGGTGACTAGGGGCGGAAGACACCTCAGTGAGGCCTCTTTAAGAGAGGCAATAGGCAAGGTACATAACATATATGTCGGGAATAGCAAGAAACAATCCCAGGAAATACTTAGCAAGTTGGAGAAGATGGGGTTTGATAGAGTCGGAGTAAGGGTTAGTGTCGAGATGAGTGATAAGGTCGCAGAGTTTGTTAAGCAGAATGGGGAGATCCACGATGGGTATGTGATGATAAGGAGTGACTGCTTTCCAAGATTCAAGGACATGTGCGAGAAGGAGAAAGTAAGATACTTGATTCTTCGGAGAGAAGAGCCGGAAGATGAGGAGATATGCTAGCCGGGCCTCATCGAGGTGGATGGGATGGCGAGCATCTTTTATTGGGACAAAGAGAAAACCCCATCAAATTCTGGATTTATGGGCAATGGAGATAGTTCTACAAGCCCTGATGTGGACCAGAGGCGCTTTCATAACATTCTCCAAAGATTCTTGACGCAGTTTAAGCTCAAGAAGCCGATGATTACGAACTACATGGTCTACCACCTGGACTATCTTGTAGCCAACTTCTGCTACTTCAAGGACATTGCTCTTGTGAGCGAATGCCTATGCACAGAAAACAATCGATTCAACTTTGCATTCTACCAGAGAATGAATGTTTTTATACGAATAATTGATTTCGGCAATGATACGCCTGCAGGAGATGAGTGTAATGCTTGGGGTTCTGTTGGCGGCCTTGCCATCGGGGATGCCAGATACAGGCCTCCGCCTTGCCCTACAGGGTATGCATATCCCATGACGAAGGAGGAGTGGATCAGAAAAAGCAAGGACGCCTTATTTGGGCCGGCCTTTGAGTTTTCGAATGTCTCGGATATGGAGGATGAAGACAGCAAGGCAGAGATGAAGGAGGCCCTTAGGAACTTTGAGGTCAGCGAGTACTTTGGGAGTGGCGAGGATGAGGAGTATCTGGTGTTCAACTCGAGATCCAAGGTTCTGAAGCACTTCTTTGAGGTTCTGGGCTTCCACTTCAGAATCCATCCTCACTACATGACTGAGGCTCTCGACCACCGTTTCATCTGCTCCTTCCTTGATTTGCTTGACTTTGAGCCAGCACTGAATCTTTTTGGCATTCTGCTTGGACTAAAGGGCCTCAATATGCAGAAGCTGGCCATGCTGCTGAAAGATGCACATCCGATATCTGTTCTTATTGAAAGAAAGCACTATGTGGCGCTGAAGATGCTGCTCCTTGTTGACTGGATGGATAATGAAAGTGGATCGATGTCCAGTGATGAGGAGGGCTTCTTCCATGACGAGATGATGTCTGCGGGAGAAAAGCTCATCTCTGTGTTCCTAAGGGAGGAATCATACTTCGAATACAAGCAGGTGTATGACATAATCGAGATTCTGAACTGCTCTCACAGATGCCCCAAGCTCGAGATTCCGGACTTCAAAAGAATAGACTCTAAGCTGGTCCTCTACATAAAACTAATGGTGGGGCAACTGGACCTTCTTATGGATGAGATATTCCAGAAGAAAGTCCATGTCACACTCATAGACCTGTTTTTTGGAAACCCGGATTATTCTGCTCTTCTGATTCCCCTCACGATATTCCTCTCGTCGGCAATCAGGAACCAGTCCAGGTTCTCCATGCTTATAGACATTGGCTTTCTGGATAGATTTCACGATGCCTGCATTAGATCCATTGCTGTCGACAATGGCCCTAGGCCCGCTGTGGAGTCCATTTTCTCCTGTCTTGTGTACATATATCCATTGGTTGCGTTCTATCTTGCAAAGGTAAATAGAGAGCTTCTCAACACAGACAAGTGGGTCTACCTCTCCTCTATGATGGATCCATATCACAGGAAGGAGAAGCTTAGCTACTCCAACGACGAGGCCATAGAAATGTTTCTTGATGGATGTGCCAGCGAAAGTTTTGCAAGGTACATGTGCCATCTTGTGGTTGATGAAATGCCTGTGCCCTCCCTGTTCCTTGAGAAGAAGTAGCTGGAGACCGCAGCCTCTGCATTTATTTGTTTTCCGGGTGCCGGTAGCCATCAGGCTTCCTTGGTGAATAGGTCCAATTCAAGCAGCTCGATGATCTCTCTGATCATGTTTTCGTCTATCAATCCTGAGAGGCATTCGATCACATCTCGGACGCGAAATGAGTGCGCTATTTCCAGCAGCTCGGCATAGCGGGATGCATCTTCCCTCCTCCCACGGTTTGAATATGACTTCCTTATTTCATCCAGCACCAGCGTATTTTGCCCGTCCTTTAGATGCTTGCCAAGATCCGTGGTAGTTTCCACCCTATACATTCTTTTCAGATTTTCCAATGCACTGGAGTAGTTTCCGTTCTCAAGCTCATTAAACACATCTTCTAGTTCGGAGTATCTCCCTGCTGGGCTGCAGAAATTGCCTTCCTTGAGGAAGATATCCTCTTCTGTACCAATCCTAAGCTTTCCTACCAAACAGCCTCTTTCACAGCGATGCCCTAAACCTTTTCGAGAAGAGACACTCCTCACAATAGTTTCATATTCGCTTTTGTTCAGAACCTTCTTTGCTATGGATAATACCTTGCTGTCGACATACTCGCATCCATGGCTCTTGACCCCTTCAAACACCCTCAACTTCTTCTCGAGACCATCTATAGCAGCGACAAAAACGTCTTCGTCTAGGTATCTTATGTAGTCCAGCATATACACGGACCCCGTGCGCACAGCAATCAAGGCATCCAGATAGACTAAGGCGCCATTAGAGTCGTCGACTCCTCTCATGAGTTCGACGGCTCGTTCCAGCCTCCCAGAATAGATGTACCCCACCGACAAGAGCAAAGGCTCGTTACAGTGTGCATCAAGCAGATCGAGAAAGCTGAGGTCCCTCAGCACAAGAGCATGGGCTAGTATCCTGACTAGCGTAGATCTTCGATAGTCCCCGTCGATCCAGCATTCCTTTGCAACTCTAAACGACGACCTGAAGTCACCTTGAGCCAGAAGTCCTGAGTATAAAAATCTTTTGGCCTTGATGTTTGGAGGGAACCTTCTTATCAGACTCCTCAAGAAATCTATAGACTCGTCGTATTTCTTTTGCAGATGCAGAATGTGTCCCTTGTAGGGATAGATGGTTACCCCAGATCCGGGTGTCAGCGGAGTCAAGTCAATCAACTTAAGAGCCTCCTCATAAAGAAGCTGGTCTATCTTTCTGACTATTTCTTTTTCCACTTCTTCCATATGGGCTCCAGCCTCCAGGAAAGAAGCGCCTGCGCATACAGCCCAAATATTCAAAAATGTTTATTTCAGGGTATCTTAGCTCTTACTCAGAGAATCAAATACCTCTTCGATCTCATCGAGAGTAAACGCCTTAAATATATTCTCAGTCTTGTAATACACTCCAATGTCGAGATCCTTCGCCCTTACCTCCTTCCCTGCAAACTCCCTTATCGAAGACACACAGTTAACTATATTGTCGTCAAGGCCTTCCAGTCTTCTCTCGACGAACTTCCTTGCATCGCTGTATCCTACCCCTGAAGCACATACATCTGCCGTTTGGTATGATCCGCTTGGATCCACCTGGTACAGCCTTGGAACACCCCTCACAGGACCTGCAAATATCATTAGCGTCCCGAATGGCCTATATCCGCTCTTCTGTGTGTATTCCTGTACAACAGAGGAAAAGTGAGCAGTAAATACATCTACATCGGGATATCTTCCGTATACATCGTAGTACTCTTCTGCTATCTGACACCCTATGTTCACCTGTATTCTGCAATCCGGTTGCAGCCCAGAGTAAGTGCATCCTATCGTATCGCAGATCTTAAACACCTTCCTCACCTCTTCTCTTATAACAAGAGGAGGCACATCCTTGAAAGACATCAGAACCGCCCCATCCGCAGCACTTGCCCCGATCGACAGACTGCCGTTTACTGCTGCCCTGAGGGCATTGTCGCACTGTCCCAGCTTCCCCTCACTGGAAAACAAAGTCACAGGCTTTTCACGACCAAAATTCATGGGTTCCTTCCAATCGCTTTGTTTATCATTGCACTAAGAATATCTAATCAAGAAAACACCCAAAAGTCATTCTTTTAATTATTAGCCGCATACTCGAGGTCCCTCTTGAACTTGTCAATGCTTCCCTTCTCCCTGATCACAGAGAAGGATCCTCCCCTCAGAATAATCCTTCCGCTCTCGTTGAGCTTATTGAACTCGTCGCTGAACATATTGGTAAATCCAAACTTCGAGCTGACCTGAATCTTCTGATGTCCAGGGAACTTGTTTTTTGCTCTCCTCAGAGCCTCGACAGCAGCATCTCGGAAAGACTCCTTTGTCCTTATGCTAAGAATCGGCTGGTTGAACACAACCCTTGCTGCCCGCCCATAAGGCTTTCCGAAGGACCCTCTCATCCCCGTTTGAAGTCTATCGGCCCCTGCACAGCTCAGCATCTTGTTGATTCTAAGAACATGGAACGGATACACCCGAATCCTTAGGTGGAAGTTGTCTTTCCCAGCATGCTTCACCATGTACTTGTTTGCACATATACGGGCTGCCTCCAGTGCCTCAGCGGACAGGTTCTCCCTCTCGTTCGAGATGCAGTTGACCAGCAGCGGAAACTCGAGAACCCCAGCCTTGCGCCTCCCAAGATCAAAAATCTGTATCTTCGAATCTGGAACCCCTCTGTTGAATCTCGACTTCGGATATGCCTTCTTCGACAGATATCTGTAGCACCTTCCGGGCCTTCTTCCCATTTCGAGGGCTAAAATTTTTGCCGGCTTAAAATCAAAATATCCAGGGACACGGAGCTTGGCCCACAGGCCATCTATCCGCCAGCCCTCTCCGCCACCACCTCCTTTATGATCTCGAGCATCTTGCGCTGAAAAGCATCACAGAGCACCCAGAGCGCAGTCCTCGAGGCGAAGCCATACCCTGTCGAAAGGAGAACCCTGGCGGCCATCTTTCTAATTGCATGCTTGATACAGGGTCCTTGATTCTCACCTCCTTCCCAAAAGCTAGAATTCATCGGAAATCCCGGATCCATGCACACAGGAACCACTTCTATCTCGAATGTGCTTACCACTTCCCTCATCTTGGTGGCGCAGTCCCTGTGGTGCTTCTCCTGGTCAAATCTGAGGCAGTTGTCCCAAATCAGATCAAGATCCGCCTTAAACTCCTCAAAGGACTTATATTTCCCTATCTTCTTCTGGACAATCCCCAGATCCATTGGAATTCCTATCATCTTGTGGCTCCTAGGCATATTTTTCTTCAAAGGCCTGCTCAGAAATACCTTCGACTGCTCAAACGACTTAATTGCCGCCAGAATCCTCGTAAGCCTCTGGGGAAGAAAGAAGACACGGTCTAAGAACATTCTCTTCTCCTCACTGGTCGATATCAAATCAATCATGAACACATTACACTTCTTCTTTCCATTCATCCTGAGCACTCCAAAGAGGGAGTGCTTCATCTCATCCTTTTCCCCCATACCCTAAATGTTCTACCGTCTGGAAGATGGCGCAAGAGTCTACACACTGGATGAGAACGGAACCATCAGCGCGCATCCTGCAAAGTTCACAGTTGAGGACAGGTTCTCGAAGGAAAGAATAGCGATCAAAAGGAGATTCGCGATTCCCCCATTCAACAACCTATAGTGACATACCAAAGCAAAGAATTAAAGAAGATTCAGTTTAATTATCTCCCATCTTCCGATTTATCCATAGAGATTGCTCTGGACACTTTCTTCGGTGTTGTTATCATCCTTACTACTGCCCTTTGCTGGAGACTTTTTGTTGGGGCCACCATTACGGTCATCGGACTTAGAAGACAGCTTAGTTGCGGGTTCTTCCGCCCCAACCTTCTTGCCGCTTCCTCCAATCCATCCCTTCTTGGTTGCCAGTATTATGATGAGTGTAACAACGATCACAACCACAACGATTGTCACTATAGTATTTCTCTTTGTCCTTCCGCTTCCGTTGGAGTCGCCAGCATTGTTGTTGTTTTCATTTACTGATTCTGCCATCTTGTTATCTGGCCTCAAGACTTCTTTTATACTTATACTGTAACACAGCCAACCAATCCGGGCTCTTTCTGATCCAGATATGTTTCACATCATCCACGCTGTTATTGGCCTGACTTCCAGCGTTTCAGCCCTCATCAGTCTCATCCAGATCTTTCAACTAAGTCATCTCTAACAACCACCTCAGGCTTCTTCTCCTCCTCAGTCCCAATCGTGAATCTCAGATAGTCGATCCTCCCCTTCAGGTAGATCAGCTTTGAGAAATCAATGGCTCTCTCCTTCAGCCTTTCGACAAACACTCCAACATCCTTTATGCTTGAAACAATCTCCCTCATCATTTCCAGTGCCTCACTCCGCAACGGTTGGTCAATAAACTCTAGAAGCAGTTCCCCCAGCACCTCCTTGTCGTCGCACGACAGCATTCTCACCATCAGGCCTCTATCCTTTCTAGCCAGAAACTCACTGATGTAAGACAGGTCCCTCCGCCGTATCGCCTGCCTCAACACACTGCCTCCCTTCTCCTTTCCATCAGCCTCCTGGATGGCTGATATTGCTGTGGTCTTTTTATAGTGTGGATTCATTCTGATGTGCTTGGAGTTGTGCTCGTTCTCACCCCGCATAGATAGTACTCTCTTTTTCACACTCCTGCTGGGTTTCGGAGGTTGCAGATTGCATTCGTCTGCGGCCTTCTCTTCAAAGCTTCTCGGCCCCCTCTCCTCAAGATCATCCGCCCTAGACATTTGCGGCTAAGATTTTTATTCAAAATATCCGGCCTTCACCAGAAGGCTGCTACCTGTCGACTTCTAGCTCGATCCTCCTTGTCACAAGGTCCTCTATGCTCCTCTTCTTCACCCTTAGAACATCCAACTCAAGCAGATCACAGTAGTTCTCCTTGCTGCTCAGCGACGGAGCTGTCCTTCCAAGGTCTCCATGCACAAACTCCTTGATGTAGGTTCCTGCACTAGCCTCAAGCACAACCCGGTAGTAGATCCACCCATCGGCCTCCATCTTCTCATGCCCGAGAATGCAGACTTCCTTTATCCTGGTTAGATTGGCTCTCCTGTGCAGAACCCTTAGAGGGGTCCTCTGCCTTACCTTGTAGTTCTTCTGCAGGACAAGTGGCCTTCTACAGCATAGAAATGCAGAATATATCTTGCTTGACTGGCCTTCTCCCTTGAAAATCATGTCTTTGCACTCTTTCCTCACCACGCAGAGGTTCTTTATGTCAAGCCCGCCGTAGAGAGTCAGCCTCAGCCTCTCGAACCCAAGATTTCTTCGAGGATTCTTTACAGTAAGTAGAAAGGGCCTTCCCTCGACCATCCGGACATCAAAGTCCTCTCTTCCTGCAGGAATAAAGACAACATCGTCCGCCGAGAAGAATTCCTTGATCTGGATCTTGAAGTCTGACACACTTCTGTTACATTTGAGCCGTCCACCCACGGTCAACGGCGTCTGCGTCATGTTTCTATCCATCTTGATGTATTCTCCATAGATGTACATCGGGCTATTCTGCACAACTATCTCCACACCGTCCTGCACCCTCACCATTATTTCGGTGTATGGAATGCTCCAATCTCCTTGTCCAAACCTTCTCTTCAGCGCTGCTTTGTCTACTTCTCCCGTTCCCCCGCCGCTCACAGAGTAGACCTTGTTTTCATGCATCTCGCCCTGATGCCTCACTACCATGTCCTTAACAGCACGGAAGATCTGCTCCTCATCCATTTGAACAGGTGCCTGGGGATAACGAAGCCATGGAATCCTATTTATTTTGGCGTATTTCCCTTCTCATGGAAAAACAATTCAGCCATGTGGAGAGGTACGGATACATCATATCCGAGATTAATGGAAAAAAGGAGGAGATGCTAAAGGAAGAGGACTACAACGCCCTCAAGAGATGCGAGAATCTCGAGGAGGTGGCCATCAAGCTGTCCAAGACGTACCGCAGCCTTTCGGAGGGCATTGCATATACAAAGCCTGAGCTAAAGAAAAGACTGCTGGAGACTCTAAAGGCAGACTTTGACCACTATCGCGATGTCGAAGATAAGGGCATAAGAACAATTCTAGACTATTACATGGACTTCCACAAGATCCAGAACTTCTTCTATCTTCTGCAGTGCAAGCTCCAGGATCCAAACCTTGGCAGGAGCTTCGAGAAGATCGAGATAGGAGACTTCAGTGCGCTGAGGACAATCAAGTTCTCAAACAACATGGACGACGTCCAGAGATACTGCATGGAAAACAGCTTTCTGAAGAAGTTTGAGGAGAGAGTCAGGTTTAAGAAAGAGTTCTCTGCAAACAACTTCCAGGTTCTGCAGACACTGTTTTTCAAGTTCCACATCGAGGAGACGTATAGGAACCTCAATGACGACATGGAGCATATGAGGGAGATACTGAGGCTGGAGGGAGACAGACAGATAATAGAGATCGCGATGAACACGCTTAACTCGAAGGACTTGGTGGGCAGAAAGAGAATGAGTCTGTTCCCTGACGTCCACTCCATGGATCTTAGGACAAGGGAGCTTCTGTCGCACGTCGAGGGCCTGGAGGATATGAAGTCTGTTCTAAGCACAAGATACAACTTTGATAAGGACATCTCCAACGTCCTTATAAGAGCTGAACTCCAAAAATACCAGGAGTCGTTCAGCATGTACGGCGATCTGAGCTGTGTATACTCGTACTTCAAGATCAAGGAGCAGGAGATAAAGAACATCCTGTGGGTTGCAGAATGCATTATACAGAATAGGCGTGATGCAATGGACCACCTGTTTGTAGTCTGATGACTTTTTACTTGGTTAGACAGCCCCTTGAGAAATGAACCACTTGAAGCTTCTGACGGTGGTGAGCGACGGTGCAGTCAGACACAAGGACTTGAACCAAGAGACATCTAATTTATTGAAGGAGATGGTTCAGGAGATAAAGCTGTGCCGGTCTGCACGAAGAGGGTCAGACCTAGTGTTTGCACTTCCCGAATCGACACTTGCGTTTCCTAGACAGTACTTGAGGGAGCATATCGAGACGCGGTGGGAAAGGTTTGCAAGGACCAAGGGGATAGAGAAAAGGAAGAAGAGCCCGCTTGTGTATGACGAGGAGGTAGGAGAGTATATCCCCCGGTACGGTCCACACAGCAAGAAGAACAGAATTCTGAAGGCTGCGATCAAGGATGGAGAGGTAACGTTGTCTGCACTCAGGAGGCAGAGGAAGAACAACATCGAGAAGAACGAGGCAAACAGACTTGGCAACATTTCGAGGAGGAGAGGAAACAGCTGATTTTAAGGTACATTTTATATGGCCAGGGACACGGGATCCCAAATAAATCTTGATTACTTGACAATAGATGTCTTCCACCTTAGGTAGGGAAACAGTGTCCCGACAAGCCCGCCGCGAAATATCTCCCTCATTCTGGACATTCTTACGCCATCGGTCACCCTTCCTCCTGACTTCATCAGCTCCTTGGTTGTTTTGTCTGTGAGTATGAGCAGTGTCAGCCAGCAAACAAATATGCTTGACATGGCAAGCAGATATCTGTGGACAGACAGCATATAGGTGAGCTCAGTCGAGCCTCTGAGGACTGCAACAAGCGAGTGGAAGTTTATGAAGAGCACTGCGAAGTACAGATCTCTAATGTTGTTTGATGCAACACATCTTCCTATTATTGAGCAGTGGTGGTCTCTTTTGTGATAGCATTTGTTGCATATCTCGCAATGGATCGTCCTTGTCCCCACTATTCTGTTACACTTCTTGCATATTCCTTTTACGTTTGCACTCCCAAAGTCAAGGAGCTGTCCAGGCGACTTTGCCAGGCACCCTGCATAGTAGTAGAAGGAAGTCATGAGCAGATATAGACGGACCGATATGCCGGAGACAATGGCTGCCTCGTAGAGCCCCAAAAGATACAGAAGAACGACAAATGTTACAATGAGAAGCTCCGTGTATACCACAAGCCTATTTACCAGTCTCCACACTTCCATAAGCCGCTACTCCGGCTTCCTTTTAAGTCTTCTTCTCCTTTTATGGTTATATCAATCAACTTGAGCTCTGGCCTGGAGCCTGGATATGATAGGTTGGGACACCACGCCTGGAAAGCCATACTGAGCACAAATGGGATCAAGACTCAGATGAAATGTTTATTTGTAGTGAGAAAGAGGTCTTAAATAGGAATTCCAACCATTTTTCTGAAGGCCATCCCTGTCTTATTTATCCTGCATATCTCATTTTCCCCAGGACTACCTGTGTTGCAGTGCCCGGAATCTTCCCCCACCACCCCACCGAACAGAGAGGCCTGGGGATTGCCAATCTCCTCGTATAAATAACCGTCGTTGCAAGACACAGAGAGGCTGTCTCCACCAATCCCATTCCCTTGCAGTCCATCCATATAGTCAGCGGGGTCCGGTCCATTGGCCTCCTTGGATGGATGGCCTCTTCCATGGTAGAAATTCCCATCACGCTCTCCGGTTCCATAGTACCTGTGCCGCCTTATCCTCCCACCCCTAAGGTGTCCACCCATCCTCTTTCTTCTGAACATTCTTCCCTCGTGGTAGTCTCTGTCATTCTTATGTGTCTCATCGTCTCCGTCTTCGATGTATTTAAGGTCCTCGTCGCGCCTGTACCGCTTCCTTCTTCCGCTTCCAAAGAACCCCATCCCAGTATTAAATGGCCCGTATCCCCCCGGCCCTCCTCTACCATCGGAATCATAGAACGGCTTTCTGCCTCTTCTATAGTAGTCTTCTGAGCTTGTGTCGCTATCGTATCCAGAACTGTCCGGAGTGCAGTCTTGGTCATGGCCCGGAGGGACTTCCTCGTTTCCATCAGACTCCTCATTGTCTCTCTCTGCAGGTGCATGCATGTTCCAACGAGTCCATTCCTTCACCTTTCTTTTCTGACTTTTTGGAACCCAGCTGAAGAGTTGGTACTTGTCATCCCCTTCGCTCTTGCAGGTTTCTCCCACTGCCTTGCCTTCTCCATTGATGGCTATACAGATTGAGTCGACAGCAATCTTCAGGACATTTCCAGGCATCAGTACAAGCCTGACTCTCTGGTTCCAGTACCTATGCTCTGGATAGAGATGCCATTTTCTGCTGGAGTTCAATGCATAATCGGCAACCTTTTTAGTCTCCATTTCGGGGACTGGGCGTATTAACACGTTGCTGGAATTTCCACCATCCATTTTCTCCATCCGGAACTTGGCGGGCTTTTCTCCCCGCTTTGTAGTCACTATGTCCACGCCATTAATCGTCAAGAACCTCTGCTTTCCCTCCGAAAAGATGTATCCAATCTCCTCCTTTTTCGTGTATATCATCACCAGGTAGAATAAAAGCATGACCTCTCCTTCGGCATCCGTTATGATATTTTATGGCTCTAGTGTTTGGCATTTCCGAAACACTACCTAACCCAAGCTCGCCTCTAGCTGGTGCTTTTCCATGGAGTGTGTCATGTGCTCGAAACAGGTCTTTCATGTCTTAGCGATCTGAAACACATCTTGAAATACTCTCCAAATGGATAACAGAACATATGTACTTCCAGAGGAAGTTTTTGAATTTCGACATGACCGGGTTGCTAGGCTCTGGAAGCTATGGTGATGTTTTGTCGGCTGTCGATAACATCACAGGGATGGATGTAGCAATAAAGTTCATCAAAAAGGATGCTGGTGAATGCAAGCGCGGCCTCGAGTCGAAGATACAGCTGATTCTGAACCACGAAAATATATGTAAACTCTATGGTTGCATCAGCACGTCAAAAAACCTGGTGCTAGTCCTGGAGCTGGTAAGGGGAGTCGATCTCCACAGATACATTAGAAGAAATGGGAGGCTAGAAGAGGCCTATGCCCGGTCGCTGTTTATCCAGATGCTGCGTGCGGTAGACTACCTGCACACGCACTCCATTGTTCACCGAGATTTGAAGTTAGAGAATGTGATGATTTCTGGGGAAACTGTCAAGATATGCGACTTTGGCCTCTCCACGTTCTATGACAGCTCCTCTGTGCTGAGGGACTACTGCGGGACTCCCCAGTGTGCACCTCCGGAGATTATGAACGGAATCCCATACATCGGACCTGAGGTTGACATCTGGTGCCTGGGGGTGATCCTCTATGCAATGGTCCATGGAAAGCTTCCGTTTGAGGACGGGGACACAAAGCTTTCCAGCAGACATGCAATCGTGTCGAAAATGAGGATCGACGAGTCTCTATCCAGCGAGCTGCGGGACCTGATCAGAAAGACCATCGAGCCCGATAGGTCCATGAGAATAAAAATGGACCAGATGATGGAGCATCCGTGGATAAACAGCGCAAGAGAAAGATACAGGAAGAGCGTGGTGTTTATCGACGACAATTCCATTGAAAGACTGGCTGAAATAGGGTTCAAAAGGGAAGACATTCTCAGAAACATTGCTGATAGAGACTCAAGAGAATACTCAGCTTACTGCTTGGTCAGCAAGAGGCTGCTATCAGGGCATCATCTATTTGCTCCCGACGACATCCAGCTGTGCCGTCCCTACAATATCGTCAGCCTCGACCTTATGGCCGATGAGAAAACAATTTCCAGCCATCAGAAGAGAATGTGGAAGCATGAGATACTCCGCAGAATGAGTCCTGTAAGGGAAGGATGCTTTTTCCCATTCTTCTGGAATGGAAGAAAAACATATCTTGTGAAGAGAGACATGAATCTCGACCTGGAAGGATCCAGGGCTCTCATCGAGCACTCCCTGGCCATGTTCCCAAAAATAACATTCAGAAAGAAGTCCAAGTATGCTGTATACCACCCCAGCGGTCTGGTGGTGAAGATAGGGCTTGTTGAGAAGCCTCCGTTCACCACATGCAACTTCATACTTGCTGGAGGAAGTAAGATAGAGTTTGTGGACTTTGTGGTGGACTTTATTAGATTTGTTGGGGAGGAAAATAGCGAGAAGATCATCTAGCACGGCCCTGGAAGAACAGGTGCAGATTCAGAGGTTGAAGTACCTGTACAGGAAGTACACAAACTCTCCGCTGTAGTTGTTTTCTCTCAGGAACTTCCTGACTGTTGCCGATCCGACAGTCTTGATCCAGTAGTTAACAACCCAAACATGCATCCCAAGAAATTTCTTCATGTTCGAATCTATCTTCTCTGCATTGCGGGACAGCCACATGATGTTGTTGAACACTGTCTTCTGGTCCAGATTCTTGAGCTTCTCCTTGTCGCTGTCACTTATAACATACGAGTCAATACTCCAAAGCCTGCTGTACTCCTCATCCGAGATCTTTCCTGCAGACTTGGCATACCTCTGGGCCTTCCTTTCATCCCATTCGCGCGCCTTCTTCACCAACCTCCTAATTCCCCTTACTTGCTCCCTGGTGATGCTTTCCACTCCTGTTCTTTCCTTCAGTATATTAAGAAACTTCCGGGTCATATTGAGGGCTTCGCCTGCCTGTTCAATACGCCCAAGAGCCTTGGCTGCGGTATCCCGAACGTCGAGATCTGAAAGAGAAGGAAAGCTCTTGCATTGGAAATCTTTAATGCTTTCTGGGAAGAGGAAGAGGACCCATCCCAGACTTCAGTAGTCCCTTGAAAAACTCTATGGACTCGAGAGCCTTCACACCTTCGTTTCCATTAAACTCTACTCCAAGCTCCTCCATCCTTTCCTGGTCGCCTGCACCACTCAGGATCAACACTTTGTTTATGGATGCGATGGGTGCGTTCGTCTTGATGGCATTCAGCTCAGAGTGTGTGTAGGACACCTGGTATCCCATGTTTGCCAGTGCATGCATCAGCCTCGATTGTTTGATGGTGCTGATGCCCAGGAGCGAACACAGCCGTGGAATCTCGTAGTAGAACATCGTTGGTATCTCCTGTTCTAGGTACCTCAGTATGCCAAGCAGTCTCTTGTTGCCACCATTCATACCACCCAGAACCCCCTGAATCACCTTTACATCATGCAGGGGACCGTTCCAGAATGGCCCGCACAGCCTCATCCTCCTACTGCAATTGCTGCATCTGCTGTCGATTTCTCTTTGCCCGCTTCTTATCTCGGCAAGGTTGTGGCAGACACACATTAGCACATGACTGTTCCTCTCAACCACAGATCTTGGGTTTCTTCTCACTATCCGCAGAAATATCCGGACATAGAAGTCAATGCTCAGTGACATCACAGGCTCCACACTGCAGTCAAACTTGGATGCCTGCCTCGATACAAGCGACACAATTGTTCTTAGCGGAACCTCGTTCATTCCCATTCCCTTCATGATGCTTGTGGAATACTTGATAAGGCACTTCCTCTCGTTCGAGCACAGAACCCCCTTGTCTGTTGCAGTAAGACACAGAATTCCCTTGTGCCTGATTGCTCGCAGTGCGCTGTCGATGTACTCTGAGCAGCTTCCAAAAGGATCTATGTCAATAACGTCAAAGAAGCAGGGCAAGGAAGTCATCAGAACATTGCAGTCTGACTTGACGACATTGGCCCTTGCATTGCCACTTTCCTTGATGCCCTGCAAATCAGACCCGAAGTACTCTGCATCCTCGATTCCATTCAGCAGGACGTTTGATCTGATTGTGTCCACAGAGGACTGGGAGATGTCGTTCAAATAGACTATCGAGTTGCCTATTTCCTTAAGGTATCTTATGCCCCGCAGTCCTGTGGCGGACATTGCATCCAGAACTCTGATGGAGGCCCTGTCCTTGAAGCACTCCTTGACGACCTCTATGGATATGTCGCGGTTGAACTTCTGTGCGGGGTTGAAGAATGTCCATTCGTTTTTCGTGATTACGGTTGATTCCTCTGAGATTGTCTCTCTGGCTCCGTCCTTGCTTTCCATCTGGGGTCGGAGTAGCACTCAATATTGGTTGTTGTGCAAAGCGCCAAGCCAGGATGGAGGCTGGGCTAGAGCTCCTCTCCACTTTGTTGGTCGCGTACCCTTCTTGTCAGCACCCTCTCTTGCAACATCAAAAACCGGCTGATCTTGGCATGCTGCCTCACCATTCTTCTTACCATTCTGTAGAGTCTTTCGACTTCGTCCTCGATCTTCTCTATCTGTACTTGAATTGGAGAAAATATGTCACCCATAAAAGGATGAGGTTTTCCAACACTTTGAAGGCGAACCAGGTCGACGAGTGGAAGGAGAATTACGTGTCTTACGAGGCTCTCAAGCCCTTGATAGGAAGGGACAAGGGAGGGTTTGCGGCCCGGATCGATGAGGAGCTCCGGAAGATAAACGACTTCTTCTTTCTACTTGAGAAGAAGGCTGTCATTGAAAAGGAGGAGATATTTGCCGATGTCGGAATATCTCCTGAGGACAGATTGAACAAGGATCTGGGGGTACGAATTAGGGACTTGCAGAAGAAGACGGAGTGCATGAGCGACGATCAGGGCGGGCGGCTGAGGATCAAGACAGACAGAAGCGCGGAGTTTGACAATGAGGGTGACGATGAGGATTCCAGGAATGGCTCTGAAGAGGATGAGAGCGACAACTTTGAGTATCTGACCAAGAAGACGGGGAGGAGCGCGGATGAAAGAGGGCTTGGAGGAATATTCAAGATTTCGAGGCGGTTTGAGAGGAGAAGGAGGGAAAAGAACATACAGGAGTTTCTCCATGCGGTAATAAGCATCAAAAGGTTCAGAGAGCTGAATTACACAGGACTAATGAAGCTTTCGAAGAAGTATGATAGGATGTATCCGCAAGAGAGATTCCATGAGGCTTTTTCCAGGAGCGTCAACGAGTCGTATTTCAATAAGTCTAGGCGCATCGACGATGTATATAGGTCCGTGAAGGAGCTTTACACCAATGTGTTTGCAAAGGATGACCCGGCCAAGGCAAGGACGGTGTTCAGAAAGCTGAAGGGCAAGAGAAGGGCAGATCCCTTTGTTTCCTATGCGTCCGGGGTGTTAGGAGGGATATCGTTGGCAATAATCGGGCTGATGGACTTTGGAAACAAGCAAATGGACAAGGAGCTATTCTTTTCCATGGCGCTTTTGCAGTATGGGGCGTTTCTCTTTGGAGTATCTCTTGCCATATTCAAAAGGTTCCACATAAACTACAAGTTTATTTTCAACTTCGATGTATGCTCGTCACTAAGCTCAGACAAATATCTGTTTGTGACATCCCTCTCGATATTCTCCAATGCTGTTGGGACATGGATCAACATTTCGTTTGTTCACCTTAACCCGTACTACTTGGTTCTGGTCCATTTTCTGATACTGATGATGCCCTTCAAGGTGCTTTACCACGAGTCAAGATTCTATCTTCTCTTGGTTGTGTTTAGGATAATAGTGTTTCCCATGTCATTTGTCAGGTTCAGACACTTCTACTTTGCAGATGTTGGGCAGAGTCTTACGTTCTGCTTCAAGAAGATGCTTTTCTATGGAATGAGTCTCGACTGGAAGGTTGAGGGATGTGCCAACTCGTTCTTTGCAACAATCAGGTTTTTGCAGTGTCTTAGGCGCTACAGAGACACCCGGCTCAAGTTTCCTCACATCGCAAATGCCCTGAAGTACTCTCTTTTAATCCTTGTGGGGTTTTCACAGCCACTGTATGCGAGCAGGAAGACGTGGGATCTCTTTATCTACAGGGCAATGGTCATCAGTGCTACATCCATCTATTCTAGTGTTTGGGACGTGTTCGTAGATTGGGGGATCGTCAGAGACAAGATGATGTATCCCCGGTATGTCTATGGTTGCGGGGTGGTGTTCAACTTCTTGTGCCGCTTTTCATGGGTGTTGCTGTACTGGTTCGAAATCCCTGTGTTTTGGATGGCATTCCTGGAAATAAACAGGAGATTTGTGTGGACAGTCTTCAGAGTGGAATTTGAGCATCTCAACAACTGCAGCGAGTTCAAGTCAATGGGTTCCATGCAGCTCACATCCAGAGAGCTCTTTTACAAGAGGGACTATGAAGCAGATGCCAGAGTTAATGATACGGAAACCGAGAATGACTCAAGCGTTACTTAGGGAGACGGCATTCTAGTGCTACCCGATTGGTTATATACAGAATGACCGTTTTCTCTGGATGGAATCAGCCCTTCTAAGCTCACACAGATGGTTGGTCAAAAGATATGTCCGGCCTAAGCCTCGAAAGATTTCTGCAGGCCTTCTTGATGTCCAGCTGCCTACTTCCTGTGCCGTTCTTGATAAACTCTCTTGATGTTGAGGAGTTCAGAGCCACATATATGTTGAACATTGCAAATAGAAAGATGATGGAGAAGAATACGGTGTACAGAGTTGCAAGAGCAAATGCTAGAATCCTGAGGGCCAGGGCTGGAAATGTGCCCTGACCTGGATACATGGCCAGCAGGCTATAGAACAGCGCTGCGTTCATCAAAATGACTGCGACCAGGGTATACAGATAGATGTGGAAGTGCCTTATGTTGTTTCTGCCGATGCAGTTTCCAAACCAGACACAGTGATGATCCATGTCCAGAACACATCTGTCACACTCTCTGCAGTGTGACATTCCGGCAATACGAAATAAATTACATTCTAAGCAGTACTTCTCCTCGTACTCGGTGCCGTCTATTCTTATTGCTCTTATCCAGTCTCCGCTTTTGTTGGTGCATATTTGCGTTGAGATGCCCCTTCCAAACGTGACCACATCGGGCAGATATTTATGGTGGGCCTTTCTATTGACTCTTCCTGGATCGGTCAGGCAGGCCCTCATAAATGACAGCGAGTTGACCACAACTAGGAGGATAAGAAGGACGATGCCGCGAAGAGACTCTGTGAGCAAGAGGCAATACAGAAGAATGCCTATGTACATTTTCACATGCAGGAGCATCACAAGCCTTACTCTGAACAGGTCTGTCGAGGGATCCTGGGCTTTACCACTCATCTCCACTTTTAAAGGGATGGGTTGTATTTGAGCATTTCAGAACCAATTACCTTGTTCCGGGAGTTTGTGAATGCTGCGCCTTTTGGACATACCTGTAGAAGGCAGGACGGTCTACTCGTTTGGAAAGGTCAGGGACAAGTTGGAAAACGGCAAGTACGAAGTGTCGTTTCGAGAGAAAACCATCATCATCACTACAGACAGGCGTCTCAGCATAGGGTCGTGGATCCGCATGTACGGGACATTTAAGTCCGGGGTCCTGAGAACAATCTTCGTTGGTGAGCTCGACGGTGTTGACATAAATCTTCTAGAAAAGGCTGTCAGGTATGTAGCTTGTAGAAGGAAGATTTAATTCAAAAATACAGGATCATCTGGCGATGGCTCGGAGTCAACAGGAATCGCCAGTGTCCTCGGCGTCTTCTTTTTTTTCCAGTAAAACATTGATGATACTGTGCTTTTGTCTATCAGTAAACCTGCCGTTGATGAGCCGGGTCGCGGAGATAACAAAGTCGTCCATGTATCCAACAAAGGATCTTCTACCCTTGAGAGCCAGCTCTCTCTTCATCGCATCAGATCCCGTATATAGATTGCTCAGCGAGTTTCCGTTGTCTGCCCAGCATTCCTGCATCCTCTTCAGGGCATTGCCATCGCATACAACCTTTTCGAAGTAGAACATGCATATTAGAGATTGTGCAACATTTGTCCTGTCCAGGCAGTCCAGGCAGTTCACTCTGAAGACTATGTCCTGCTGCCCGATGCCCTGTAGCTTGAAGTACAGAAGAAACTTCAGGTCGTCGTAGTTACTGGCATGAGCATTCAAGTCAAATGTCGTGTACGGAATGTTCTCCAGATCCAGAAGCCTGCTGAAGTGCGAGGTAAGCTGCTTCTCGTACTTCTTTTCTCCCAGAAGATTGATCACATATATCTTTCCATACTCCCTCCTAAGCTTTTTGAAATGCTTTGCGAATGCCTTTTTTACGGCCCCGTCTTCCCCATAGATGTTTACCTTTGCAGGAATCCCATGCCCTCTCTGGCTCCAGAATATCGGGACCGATCCCCTGATGATTGTGAAGTCGAATATTGTGCTGTTGTTCCGCTTTGTCTGGAAGTGTGTCTTCACAAAAAGAGACGCATTTCCCTCTTCGTCGATTCCCCTGCATAGGTATCTTGTTCCAACCCTGTTTGAGGACACCAGCGAAAGAAGCTTCATGTGGTAGAAGTCTTCTGACGTCTTGAATGCCTTTGCCACAAAGAATCCGCAGAAAAGCGTTGAGATGTTGAGGCTGAGGGACGGGCTTTTGGGCCGATGGGAAAGCACCCATGGATAGGAGGTTGGCCCGAAGTACTTCAGAAGGTTGGCCCTCATGTGCCTGTTCCATATAAACTCGTCCTCTATGAACAGAGGCGTCGAGAAGTAATAGAAGTCATGTGACTGCACAAACCCTCTTACTTGGGACATAACCTCGTCGGGCTTGTCGGGCTCATTGATATTCAGAAACTTGATTTTATCAATCTTGTATATTTCGATGCCTTCATACATGCCGGCAAGAGTGCTCTTGGTGACAAATGCAAGGAACTCCTCATATGCATCGTTCTTTTCGACCCTGAGGATCCCTAGGATTGTTTGGAACTCGATCTGCTTTGAGTCGGGCTTCTTGTTCACGGTCCCGACATAGGAAAGCATGGCAATTCCGGACTCTGTTTCCCATGATATCCTTCTGGAGGATGCCGAGTACGCCAGGCTTGCCATCCAGTTTCTTATGGGCTCAATTTTGCATCTGTTTGTTTGTCGGCACAATGCCAGGCACTAAGCCAGCGGCATACCCACCTGTGAAGGCCCCCTCCATTGCAAAGCGAACTGGACGCGGATGGCTGTGATTGTTGAAACCAAGTATCAGTGGTCTAAATAAAAACGTTTTAGATGTGTTTGCAGATGAGTATCTATAGGGCAAGTGCATATGTGATACTCCAGATGCTCGATGTGAGTGTGTACATGCCGCTCTATGCCATCCACGGTGGAAACCGCCTGGGTGAGAAGCTGACTTTGAAGAATGTTAAAATAGAGGCCAGGGGCGCCGAGGAGCTGTTTGGACACCTAGCAAAGCATGGCGAGGAAGAAGGAAACTACTCCGTGGACAGCCTAGAAATATACAGAATTGAAGACCAAGGGAACGTGGACAGCCACGGTGGGGCATCCAAAGATATTACTTTTGGGACCATGTCCTTTGACTTCTCGATGCTCAAGACGATCCTGAGCCAGAACAGCCAACAGAGCCCGGGGTATTCGCCGGAAGTAAGGATCAAAAGCATCGAGATTAGGATCCCCCTTGCAGTCCAGATATTCCTCCACATACCCATTGTGCTGGTGGCTGTGATAGTGTTCTATCTGTTCCTATCATTTGGAATTGAGGAGAGAGGAGGTCTGTCCGACAAAGAGATTGAGAAGATACCGCTGTGCCCCTATTCTGGGCAGGAGTTCATCAACAAAGGATGCATCATCTGCTTGGAGGATTTCGAAGACGGGGGGTATGTGCGGAGCCTGGACTGTGGACACGCGTTCCACAAGGAGTGTGTTGATAGATGGCTCCGCAAGAACTTTGTCTGCCCCATCTGCAGGAGCAAGATGGCTGTGGAGTATGGCAGGCCGGGGCACGAGAGAAGAAGAGTCCACATATTGTGATTCTATTTATTGATATCATCAATGATTAGTGATATAGACATTTGCTGTAAGCGGGATATTGATATTGTATATGCATTAAATAACGTACACTCATCTGTCAAACTTTGATATTCTAAAACAAGCTAAATGAAGAAACAGGCCTGCTCGTCTGAGTGTCTTGAGGAAGTCCTTCCATAAATTCCTTCTTAAAACGGTTGGAGCGGCCAGCACCCTTTAAAGATGCTGTCCAAGCAAGGGTTTTGTAGTAACTGCAACACCACAGCAACGCCTTTGTGGAGAAGGGCCGACGACGGAAGCTATCTCTGCAATGCATGCGGGCTCTACTACAAGATACACGGAAGAAAAAGGCCTATCAGCTTCAAGGCAGACTCTGGCAAGTCAAGAATGAGATGTAGGCGAGCTGGAGGGGATATAAGCGGCGGGCATCTGCCGTCAATGGGTGAATGGTCTCTCCATGGACACAGAAGCGAATCCCAAGCCCAGGGCAGCTTATATCACAGAGAGAACCAAATGAACTTAGCCTCCAAGCGCGGGGATTACCCAGCAAAGTACGATGACCTCAGAGAAGGCAGAGAAATGCCTACAATAGACTCTGACAAAGACACGTTTTACGAGGATTTTGAGAGGACTGCGTGCGGCAGAGAGGCATCCCTGGGAATCAGAGGTATCAATAGACACGACACAAATACAGTCACAAAGTCTTTGATCAGAAGACATTTTGACAAGAGGCCAAGCAAAATTCCGTCATTCATAGCTGAGTCTGAAAGCAAGGAGAGGATGACCTCGAATGAGGGGGTGGTTGAAAGGGAGTCTCTGGAGCAATGCATTCAGGATAAAGAGGACTGCGAGACAGACCTGGAGGACTCTGAGGTGATTGCCGTCAATGCGCTTCTGGACCTATCCCGTGGAAGGATTTAGTTTGGCAGCTTCCAGCCATCTGTACCCATTAAATATATTGAACCGAGCCCAATGAAATTTATGTATAAGGCGTTCTTTATCGGTTGATCTGCTTTTGCAGGTGATATGTACCTGGACGACTTTACTATGTTTTAGATATTAAAACATTGTATGAGGAAAATTTATTTAACTATGCTTCTTTATTTGGGAATAATGAAATCGCTGTGCCTCTTCAGCCTGATCGTGTTCACTGTGAGCATGGGAGTTGTGCATATGAAGGAAATGGATATTACGGGACAGAAGGCCGTTGGATTTGGGGTTGCCAAGCGCACAAATGGGCTTGTGACAAACACCGCCCATGAAAAGCTTCAGGACCCTGGGATTACGGTAGTTCTTGAAAGGAACTGCAGACGCAGTGAGGAGCTGGAAAACAGCCTTAGGAAGCTCGGTCTGCCATATAGACCGTTCTACGTTGATGATGATCTGGACCTCTACAACAGAATGGTTACAGAGAACAGCGGGGAAATTCCCTCGATGTACAAGGATGGAAAGAAGATCGAGAATCCTGTCAAGTTTCTAGAGGCATATAAAGCACAGCATATGGAAATAAACGATTCCAAGTGAGTAGTATAAACATTGGGGCTTAGCTAAACTTTTAATCTAGCAGAACAGGCTCTCTGTTCTGGGTGAGTAGAGGAGATTTGTCGAACGGGGGAAGATTGCTATCAGAAAGAACCAAGAGCTTTTCACATCCTCCCTCGACCAGGTCTCCATCAAGGAAGAAAACGGGGAACGTGCTGTGGTTCCTCTTGGCAAAGCTGTAGGCATCCAGGTTGTTGTCGACTTCGATGATCTTACAGCCAACGCCTCTATCATGGAGCAGCTCTCTTGCCCTGATACTGTAAGGGCAGAATCTCTTTACGAACATGATACACTTTTCCCGCCTTACCATCTCTCCATAGTCAGCTTCTGTCATCTTTCCACCACCGTATTCTGTTCCTTGACTCCCATAGACTAGTGCCAAAGCTAGAAGAACCGCTTTCATTATTATTTGCCACAAAACAAGCTATATCTATTATTTTGCTTGTTTCAGAATCCTGATGGCGGTGTTGTTTCATCACGCTGACAAGGGGATCATGGAAAGGCCGGCATCAGAAGTCCAGCAGGCTGCTTCTCTCCAGAATGCTCCTCAGCCTCGACCCGTACTCCATAAGCTTGCTATATCGCTCTCTTTCACAGACGCAAAGCTTTGAATATTCGCAGACCATTATCATGTATCTTCCTCTATCCATTGCCTCATCATAGCGATCGATTACATCGCAGGGATCCCCATATCCGAGAATCTCCTCCAAAAAACACTTCTTTCCGCTTGGCTCAGTCATCGACAGTCCCCCGTTCCTGAAGTTGAGGTTGTAATATATGGAGAATGCAAGCTCCATGCTCCTGTCCTTTGGACATAGATGTAGAACCAGCAAGAAGTCCCCATTCATCTTATAATGGTTGTTTAGGGAATCTGCAGCATCCTTAAGAATCCTCCTTGAATATCCCCTTCCCCGGTGCTTTTCCGAAACGTACATCGAGTACACCAGGACGACATTTCTGCTCACAACCTGCCCATCCACTATCCCGTGAAATGTGTCCCTGACGAGGAATACTGATGCAATCAGCTCTTCTCTGTCCTTATACTGAAAGATGTTCTGGGCGTTTCCATTGTGGAACACATAGTCAAAGGCCTTCGGACTCGCCTCAAACTCGGCCCCGACCCTGTTGTAGTCGTCAACTATCTGCTCAGGCACCTTTATCCCCTGCTCGTCGCCAAAGTACCTCACAAGCCTACAAACATCCATTCCAAGCACAAGCGGACACATAAGGAGTGCAATGGCCATAGGTCTAAGGGAGGTCTCTGTGCCGGAATATATAGTCTTCTGGATCCTGCCCCTAAGGGCTCATTTACACCTGAGTTGGCTAGGGGAGGTCTCTGTCTTGATCGACCTGATATCTTCTAACTCTGTCTCATGGATAACCTTTCTTGCCATCCTCACAATCATCAAGGACCACACGATATGCATTGCCTGTAGACCCTGCAATAGCATGGCAATGAGGAATAGAGATGGACTGAACCCGTGCTCCCACATGGAGACGACTATTGGAAGAGAAAGAAGGAATGCATATATCCCGAGCCTGGAAGCAATGAAAATCCCCGCAAAGCACGTGAATATGCTCGTTGCCAAGGACTTGTCATGGATGTAGTTTGTAAGCTTGCCAATCTCCAGAAACGGATCGGATATGTCGTGGATGACTATAATAGCCACGCCAGCACGCAACAAGTCGTTGTGGTAGGACAAGAATAGGAGCAGCATGGTTACAATGTGGTGGGTCACCATCTGCAGGAAGTCTTTGTACGCATGCTCACTAAATAGATAGAACAGCTCAACAAAGTAGTATGAAAACTCCAGATGATAGAAGAACAAAACCTTTGAAGGAGCGCCGTGAACTCCCCACGTATCCATGAGATTCTTTGCAGTGTAGGCCCGGGGCTCGCTCCTTATTACGAAGTATCCATAGACAGATGTGAATGAGTAGAACATGGCCTTCCAAAGAGAAATGCAGAACTTTTTTTTCTTCTCAGACCCAAGATCTTTCTCCAGACCAAGTCTTTTGATCAAGGCCGATGCTGTGGGGAGAACTATCAGATTCTTCACCATCGTGATTAGCAAGGAAAACACCATCGTGAGGCATATGTCTCTTGGGAATCTGAAGTGTGTTTCAAAAATCCTTCCGCTATCTATTGATATGTCGGACAGTCTCATTATCAAGCTCCATGATTCCTGTTTTATCCGCGGCCTACCAATTAGATCCTTTGCTGCTCTAGAACATCCCGATTGGGACTCTGTAAAGGAGCAATGACATGCCTAGTACATGAGTCAGTACTGACGTGTAGGATTCTACATATTGTAATTTAATGCAGGCCGCTCAAGGCCATTCCGGAAGTAGCTCAAACCTGGAGGTCCTCATGGGAAGAATAACTCCAAGCATCCTGGGATGCACAGTAAATGTGGAATCTCTGAAGAACTCGGCAGAGTCGAGGTATCTTGTTTTTCCAATGGATGGAGGCGGCTCTCTAGGATTGTGCGAAGTGGTTTCAAGAGACCTGGAGACTTCGCTTGCGTTTTCAGGCATTGCTCTCTCGACAAGCTTAAGGTTGATGGCAGCCTCCGGAAGCCCTGGGTTTGCCTCAAGAGCACTTGTGAAGGCCTCTCTTGCAGATGCGAGTCTGCCCTGCTGGAAATAAACACACCCTATGGAGTTATGTATCATACCACCCATAAGATCCATTTGAACAACCCTCATATACTTCTTTAGCGCTCCCATGTAGTTTCCCTCCATGTACTTGATCCTTCCCACCAGATACATGAGATAGGGATCACTGTGGGTGCTGTTATCCGCCCTGTACCATTTCCTCACACCGTGGAAGTTTCCTGTCTTGAAGTCTATCCATGCATATAGCCTCGAGATTGTGAGATAGTGTTTCCTCGGATCCTTTATCTCGCCCAAAACCTCGATTGCAAGGTCGTGTTTGGACTGCATCTCGTAAAGATGGGCAATCTGGATCTGAGCATTAGGGTCATAGACGTCATTTGGCGGATCATATACGATCACACGGAAGACGCTGGTAGAGTCTTCGATCATGTTCATCTTTTTAAGGCAAACACCCGTTCTGAACAATATCTCATAGCTCTTATACTCTTCTACCCCCAGTTTATTCAACAGCACAAGCCAGGGCCTTGCACTTGGATAATCTCCAATGGCCTCGTAAAAAAGCGAGATTCCATACATCAAAAATCCGTCTCTATATGTTGCTTTGTAGTATGCCTTTAGAAAATTTTCATAGCTTCGGTCGAACCAGGTCCTCTGCAGGCCTACATGCCCGCCCAGGACGCATGCCTCATATGACTCCTTCTCCAGCTGAAGCAGTCTATGCACGATGGCTTCTGCTTCGTCTACATCCTTGTTTTCTATGTGGCATTTCCCTAGGGTGTACAGGGCCTCGACATTGCGGGGATTAGCCTTGAGAGCTTCTTCACTGCACCTTTCCACTGCCTCTAAGTCTAGGTGGTTATTTCCGGATTTCCATGTGCTGGCCTCTCTTGCGTTTCCATCCATGGCTCTACCTGTTTCCCCACCAACTTGGGCTCTCCCCATGCACAGGGCAGGCACCTTGCCAATTTATCCGAAAATACATCCGCAAAATTCCCAAATTTTTCAGCTCCATGCCTCTGTTTTCATACTGGGCCGCCTGTGCTCCACTGCCGCTTTGTCCCGTGCCCCATGCCTCTACTCTCATAAGATTTCTCAAAATGGAGCCCAGTATGTTTTGCATTTGTGGAACACTGGTTTACGTAAGATCAGATAGCAGCAGGGTAGAGTGCCCAAGATGCAAGAGGGAAAACAGTGTCGCTATGATCAAGCCTACATATACGGAGGTTAAGGTCCAAAGGGATCTGCACATAGAAGCCGTTGATGTCCAGGGTGCCAAGATCAAGCACAGATGTCCTGCATGCGGTGCTGAGGAGATGATGTACAATACTGCACAGCTGAGGTCCACTGACGAAGGCCAAACGGTCTTCTACTCCTGCAAGTGCGGATATAGACAGACAGTTCAATCGTGACTTCTGTCTTTCAGCAGCACGGTTGCTCTTCTTCACATTTGATGAAACGGAGAAGACCCTGTAAAATGCAGAGGGCTAAAGAGATGTCGATGGAAAAGTGTTTACTTCTGGCCATGGCTATCTCCATATGTCTGGCCAGGATGTATGTTGCTATGTCTCTTCTGGGATATGTGGTTCTTCAGTGCATCGTGGTGTGTTTGTTTATCCTCTCTGTGTCCATCTACGGGGCGCTCAGAATAAGGAATGGTGATAAGGAAAACAAGATCTATGCCGAAAGAGTTGCGCGCTATGACGCCCTTGACAGCCTCAACAAGATGGAGGAGCCATGCCAAGGCACTCCCAAAGAATAAACCAAGTGTGAAGTGTGCTTTTTAATCTACAACTTTTGGCTCCTCAGGAGTCTCCAAGCTTTTCTTTGCCTTTTCGGTCATGTCGATGTCAACATCTCTATTATGCTGTACAGCAGACTCGTAAGACCTCGACAGGTAGATTATCGCTTTTACCCACATGACAATGAAGATAAAGATAATCCCTGCTGTTATCGGCGTTGCCTTTCTAAGGTCTTCCGTGTCCAAGGCCTCGAACATCAGGAGCCCGTATATCGATCCTATGGACTTCCCAAGCTTCCCAAAGATCCCATCATACACGCTCTTGAACCTTGCTCTGTATGTGGGGTTGATCCGCATCCCAAGCTTTTCTTTGCAGATGTCAAATGCAGAGTACTTCGTGATCTTCAGAAGCGACATGAAGATTACGCCGAAGTAGTTCTCGAGGACGTACAGGGGCTTTCCACCTGGAAACAGCCCGTTCACGATTCCAAGCCCAGACTCTTCCATGCTAGTGTTGTAAAGCGCAGACCCTAGGAAAAGAACGATGGCCATGAGTGTCACAATAGGCGTTATAAGCCCGACCAGAAGAAACCCTCTTGTCTCGACATAGCTCGAGAATGGTGACAGGTTGAGGCATATGACCACGACAGAGGTCATATACTGGTCGATCCGGTTGAACTTTCCGGAGTATTTCCCCTTTTCCTCGTTGAAGTATTCTGCAGCAACCTTAACTCCGACTTTGAATGTGGACTCGACCATGTTGTAGGAGATGTTGAAGAAGAGGACGATGAGGGACATTGCAAGCAGCAGCTTTGACTGGGACATGATCTCAAGGCCTTCTGAAAAGGACACGTTGGCCTTGGCCTTCTTTCTCCTTGACCCCGAGGAGACGATGAACAGGGGCCTCTTCATTGTCACTCTTTCGAGGTATATCTTTAAGAAGATCACCAAGACCACCAGAAAGCCCTGGAAGATGAAGATTCCCGAGAGCAGGACCTGATTCTGCTGGAATGCTAACTTCTCCCGGAGCTTGAAAAAGGCTCCTGCCACCGTTGCCGAGAGGAAAAGCGACACGTTTGTGATGATTATGAGGGGAGGAATGAACCTAGAGAACTGTCTAATCGTGCATGACTCGTTCAGGAAGCTGAGGAAGAGATACGACAGAACAAGGCTTCCCCACATCTCGGCTGAAATGAAGACGATTGTTGCGAGGGGCTCGTTGAGTGTCAGAAACATCGACTTGAAGACATTGAGGCTTCTGCTGGACATTTTTCCGTCTATAAACATGTCTCTGAACAGGAACTTCGAGGGAGAGACCTGCTCCTCTATCAGAAACACTGCGCCACACAGAAAGAATAGGGATGCAAATCCTCCACAAAAGATGGAGAATATCCTTGAGACTGTTTTTGTCCCCAGCATGTACTGTATGAGGAAGACCAGGGCCATTGAGACTGGAAGGATGTAGAAGATCTTGATGAACAATATTGTCGTGGGCTCCTGCCTGACCATCACAAACATGTCCTTGAGAATTCTCATGAACGAGTATATAAATCCGATTATTCCAAACATCAGGCCCAAGAGAGCGAACTTGGTGTATTCTGCTCTTGCCACCCTGAAGTAGCGGAGGATTCCCTGCCTGCTGTTGGCCTCTTCTTCAATCTCGTCTTCTGTGGGGATGTCTTCACGAGGAAAACTGTGGTTGTTGTTTTCCACCTCATTCATCTTTGTTTATGTTTTCGACTGGATGTAAATAGTTTTTAAGGAATTCAGATGTTTATTAGATTCGCATTTAACTTTCAATGGAGAAGGCGAGCATTGATGTCAGCTCCACCATTTTCTTTATGCGGAAAAGAAATCCGTGAAGAGAAGGATGGATTCGGGAGCCCTGAAATGGAGCTGGAGGTAGACAGACACAGTGCCTTTATCAAGGAGACGATAAAGACAAGGAACTTTCTGTACTACTTGACAGAGCCGTTCAGACTCAACACCATATATTGGTCTGTGAATGCCCTGTCGATGCTGGGAAGGGGGGAGATGCAGGAAATGAGGGACCGAGTGGTTGGATATGTGATGAGATGCAGGAATGACGACGGAGGGTTTGGGGGATGCGAGGGATATTCGTCAAACATAACAAGTACATTCAACGCCCTGCAGATTCTATACATCTATCATATTCCCTACCATGACAGAAGCACGGCCATGTTTATATCGGGGCTGTTGCAACCTGCAGGATACTTCCACAACGATGGCTATGGGGAGACGGACACTCGGATCAGCTGCTGTGCGGTTCTGGGGCTGCATCTGCTGTCTCTTATGGAAAGAGGAGACTTTGATCCAAGGAGCCTGTCAAGACCCATCTGCAAGGTGTTTTTGGCCGAGGCCGGAGTTGATCCAGGAGCAATTGTCCTATACACACAGAAGTGCTATAATCTGGATGGGGGCTTTGGAGCTGTTAAAGGAGCTGAGTCCCATGCTGCGCAAGTCTTCTGCTGCCTGAGCACGCTGAGATCACTTGGCGCCCTTGAGACGGTTGACAGGGAGGAAGTGGCCAGGTTCATAGCGACAAAGCAGGCAAGTTCTGGAGGCCTTTCTGGAAGAGTGAGTAAGAAAGAGGATGTCTGCTATTCGTTCTGGGCATACTCTTCTCTTGTTCTCATTGGAAAAGAGTGCTATGTGAACCAAGAGGAGCTCACGAGGTTTATATTTTCCTGCCAAGGGCCTTCTGGTGGGTTTTCTGATAGACCTGGAAACGAAACCGATCTGTACCACCTCATGTTTGCCCTAGCAGGCCTTTCGTTGCTGGGGTACAAGGGCCTCAGGAGGATTGATCCCGGATTTGGGCTGTGATGACTTTTCCGGGAGATTGGGAGACAATAAACTCTTGTTCTTTAGTGAATATTCTTCTTGTACCAGATCCCTGATGATTCCTGTAAGAGTCAGAGTCTTCAAGGGCACGAATGATAAGTGGGAGGACATGTGCATAGGAATGGTCTTCCGTATTCGACGGGGCAGCATCTTTATCGAAGACGATGTGTCTGGAAGGCCCTTTGAGATATCTTTTGAAGAGAAGCAGTGCGGGAAGTCGAAGGAGAATGTTGTAATTGTATACAACGATCTTGAGGAGCATGCCATATGCTTTGAAGCTGAAGAGATCCGGGATGAGTTCCTCGAGTTTGTGGAGAAAGACCTCTGGAGCCAAAGTGACCTGGATGTAAGAGAGGAGTGCACAGCCTCTGGACGGGAAACGAATCTCTTTGCCAGTCTTTTCAGGATCAGTAGATACATGGATGCCTCTATATTTGGGAGGATGCTCGAGAGCAGGGATGGGGTGCTGCAGCTCCTGAGAATGGAGAATTTTCATCTGTTCAGAATGCTACTAGAGAATGGAGAGAGGGTCTTCAGACTGTTTGGAGTTGCTTCTAAGAACAAGATTACACCGCATGGATTCTACGCAGAAGTCATAGCAAGGAACCTCGATGGCCCGGCAGTAAGGACTTACGAGGACTTTCTTATTGCAATGGGCAAACAGGAGCTGGCAAGAAGCGAAAGCAAGGTAGCTGGGATGTCCAACGAAGAGATAAGAGACTTTCTCAGGAAATGTGGGAGCAGCAGTTATAAGGTGGGAAGAGTAGAGATGTATCTAGAGAGGATCTACAAGGACGATGTATATTTCTTTGAGATGTTCTACTACCTCTGTCTGATATTCAAGGAAAGAATGTCAGAAGCTGTCGACATTGGATACATTGTATGCAGAATCAGGGGTCTAACCAACGAAAAGTACTTCAGCGACGATTTTCTTTATGCTCTTGAAGGACTGTATATCTTGCTGGATGTGTGCAAGCCTGAGCAGCTGGATGTGTTCTATATGGAGATTTCCAGTCTCTTTGACAATCTGGAATGGTATCCTGACCTGCAGAATTTTTTGGTGTACCTGTTTGGCAATCACGGGTTCAGAACAAGAGAGTTTCTAATCAACACAGGACTGATGAAGAGGATATTTCTATCGGGCTGCGGCGGCGGGATGGGTGAGGTCTTCCTCTCCAAGATGCTGCTCCAGGTTGTATCCTGCGGAAGCAGGTTTATGCACAGGTACTTCATAAAAAACGATTTATTCAGGAACATTGCTGAGATGTACAGAGAAAGGAGGAAAGACGCTGTATATTCCATATTCCTACAGGCCTGCTCTCATGCAGACAGCGACATGAAAACGTATCTCGATAGACACCTGCAGAACTAAACTAAAGCTACCTCAGAAATATCTGGACCACATCCTCGTCCTCTAGCGTATGTCCAAGCCCGACCCTTTGTGGGCTGTGCTTTGCACTGGTCCCCCATACCAGTGCATGCTTGAAGCTCAAAAGGAAGTCCTTGTGGATGCGAGAACACAAGTCCTTCACCGTCCCTCCCTTCCTGATCACAACCGGGTCGTCTAGAGAGGGAAATGCCCCCTTCTTCTTTGTGTAGACTCTTGTGAGCTTCAGTTTGTCCCAGATGTCCTCGAGCAGCCTACTGATATTCCAGTTTCTCCGGCAGCTTATGACAGTGCTGTTGGGCTGCTCTGCAACCCTGTTGAAGTCCTCCAGAGAAAGCTCATCGATTTTGTTGTACACGTATAAACAATCCACATAGACTGCAGATCCGCTGATAAGGTCTATGATGTCGTCGTCAGACACATCTTCTCTCACAAACATCTGGCAGTTGTTGATCTTGTACTCTTTCAGGATTGCCCTTATTGTTGCCTCAGTTGTTTTTGTGAGCTGGCATGTTATTCCGATGTTAATCCCATTGCTTGTTGTGCATGTAAGCGATACATCAGGCTTTCTCTTATTCAATCTTATACCCATTTCATGAAGCTCGTCCTCAAGAATTCTCCTGTCTTCATGCCTCCGAGGATCAAGAACCATCAGTATCAGGTCTGCTGTCCTTGCAATGCTTATCACCTGTCTTCCCCTTCCCCTGTTTTGCGAGGCCCCAGAAACAATTCCAGGAAGATCTAGCACCTGGATCCACGTGTCGTTCAGATGCATCTTCCCAGATATACACTCTAGGGTGGTAAATTCGTGCTCTGCTGCCTTGCTGTGTGTGCTTGTGATCTTCGACAGCAACGTCGATTTCCCAACACTAGGAAGCCCAATCAACACAACCCTGGCATCTCCACTCTTCGAAACCTCGAATCCGTCGCTTTTTGAGGATCTGGTCTTCGGCACATCAAGTTCCTGCCGGTACCTTGCAAGCTTTGCCTTCAGAGCCCCGAGATGGTGTTCTGTCTTCTTGTTCTTCTGGGTTCTGGCCATCTCAGCCTCAATCTCGTTGATCTTGTCTTGGATCCCCATCCCGGGGCCCCACCTCTGCAAGAATATTAGGCGCCAGAGAGCTGGATTCACCATCCTCCTATGCACAGCGATGACAGGAATCCGTCTAGAGAAGACACAAAGCAGGCTCCATCAAAGAAACACCCGTCAGTGATGGCCATGAAGGTGATGTTGTCAACGCAAAACAAAGGTGTCTCGCCAAGAAAGACATACAGGCTTTTTTTTGTTGCGATGAGCACCCTGTCTCCACTGCACATCACCTTCAAGGGTTCTGAGTCTAACGGACCTATTGTTGCATACATATGCTCCGTTCGGAATGGATAGTGAAGCACAACAACACTGTTCGATCTGCAACATGGAAGATACAAAAGCTTGCCGTCTGGAGAGTACGAGGGTCTCCTAAAAAACCCTCTTCCAACCGAGAAAAGTCTATCTCCGTCGACATACTCCATCTTCTCTATCTGTGTGAGTCTGTCTGTGAACAGAAACGTCTTTCCTGTGCGATCCTTGCTCAGAGACGTCAAGAGCCCGAAGCGGTGGTTGAAAGCCAATCCCTGGATTATGTCTCCGTGGCACTTTATTCTTTGTACCAGCTTGGCGGATATCCCCTCTCCTTGTAGATGGCCCTTCTCCTCCACATGGCAGCTTTCAGCATCCGAAGCCCCCAGGTTGGGGTCGTTTTCGTCCTCTCCACCAGTAGCGTCCAGGAGTCCGGCAGCAAGATCCACCTGATACACCAGTATACTTCCGCTAGAGAAGCCAACAAAAAGATGCCTGTTTCCCCATGCAAGCTCATATGCATCATCTCCATCAATCCTCTTCACCACGTATGGCCTCCCTTTTATCCACAGTATAACTTCTCCTCCATCAGAGCAGGATGCCAGCAGATCCCCATCAAATCTGACGCAGTTGACACTTCTATGGTGCCCAGAGAGTACACTATGGTACTTTATTTTCATCGAGGAGTTAATGGCTGTGGTGTAGCAGAAGTCCCCGCCCTTGGGTGCGTTCCTCTCCACCCTCCACAGCCTTATATCCTTGTCTCCTCCCCCAGTAGCTATGAACTTGTCGTTTCCATGCATCGTGAATATAGATGCTTCCTCGTGGAAGTGCAGATTGTGCGTTGTCACCTCTATTGGATACCATTCTCTTAGATCTGCCATTTAGGGATTCCTGCCGATGGTGTTTGTGAAGACGCAGGAATCAAAAGGAATGCAACCGCCGAGGACATTTAATCAAGATAGTTCTTAGCAAACAGAGACGAAAAGAGTGTGCTCTCGAGTAGCTCCGCACATTCTGAATATCTTCCGCTCTTAAGGTACGCAAAGAATGCATGATTAAGCCTCCCCTCCTTCCTGCACTCTGACCCTGCAACAGCGAGGTTTCTCTTTCCAGACAGGGTGTCGGCAAGAAGCAAGCTCACCCAGTTTCTCGACCTGAGGAAGCACTCAGAAGCCTTTGGAAGCTCCCCTGCCTTGAGAAAATACCTTCCAAGCTTGTCGTACTTGACTATGCTGTTTGCTTTTGAAAATGCTTCATCATATCTGTCCAGCTTGAGGAGAATCTCAAACCTCTGGTTGTCATCCACACAAAGATCCAGGGCCTTTTCGTGCATTTCCAAGGACTCGAAAAACGCAATCGCCTTGCTGCGTATCCCATCAGGAACGCTGTATTCCCTTCCAAGTATTACAGACCTCTGGAACCTAAGGAACTCGGTGTCTATCTTTTTGCATTCAACGGACTTATCGTGAAGATAGAACAAAGTGCCGTTCTCCACCCCGGCAATCATCCCACTGATCGACGAGAAGTGATACACATAGGGCCTGTCCCCGGGAATGAGGTAGTATCCCTTATTGTTTGATGTAAAATAGAAGATGTCGTCACTTGTACACCACGACGAGACTCCATAATATTCAGTTCCGAGATGCACCAATGCGTCCTTTATCCCCTCCTCGGGAACCTCAATCCCCTGCTCAACAAACCCTTCAATGACATCCTGGTTGATCCTGTATATGCTTATCAGTGCCCCACATGCAACTAAAAAGTCTCCAACTATAGCCAGGTGGTCAGAAACTTGGTTGATCGACGAAACAAATTCGCCAGACGATGAGTAGATCCTGGTCTGGCCGGATACATTGCATCCTATCAGAGAAGGGCTTAGGAAAAACAGTCTGCTGATTCCTTTTATGCTGATGCTTTTAAGCACCTCGCCCTTCCTGTGGAAGCTCACAACATCTCCGTTTCTCACAACAAACTCGTCGTCATCTATGAAGTGGAAGTCTCTTCCCTCCCCACTGAACTTGCTTCTGAACCCAAGGGACGAAAAGATCCTGAATTCCCCTTCGTTTCCAACGGCTACCGCCTTCCCACTTGGAGAGACCTCTAGCTCGTCAGGATGGAACCCAACATTACACAGCTCCTTGGGCGCTCCCACGCTGTCCCCCTTAACCCCAAAAATAGATCCAGAAACAGAGTAGAATATCCTGTTTCTGCTCATTCGAACAAGAGGTGATCCCTGGCATGCATTGATGAAAACAATCTCCTCGTCACTCCCAACAAGGATCTTCCCGTCCTTCTCCTTCACATCCCAGATCCTTCCTCCTTGCAGTATAAGTAGGTCCTCCTGCTTGAACGTCTTATTGTTCCACAGACGCATACTGCCGTCCTCGCCACACGAAGCAAAAAGAGAAAAGCTGTTGAGCGGGTACACCTTGTTGATGTTGTTTGTGTGTCCAGAGAGCGTTGTTATGCACTGGGCTGTCTGAAAGTCCCAGACCTTCAGAGTTAGGTCGTCGGCTCCGGAAACCAGGCAGTCTCGCCCAAGAAAGCATATGCTGTTTATTCCGGAGGTGTGTCCCTTGAATGTCTTCACACAATGGGGCTGCTCCACACTCCAGACCTTGACCGTCGAGTCCAGGGAGCACGAGACAAACTTGCTGGCGTCGTTTGGATAGAAGCAGACATCCATTACAAAGTGCTCGTGGCCTGTGTATGTCATCGCCTGGCTAACCTCCCCTTGGTATATCCACATCTTCAGCGTTGCATCATCAGAGGCAGTCAGAAACGACGGGTCTTGCGGATGGCTCTCGATTTTCCTGATGAAGTCGTCGTGTGCATGGAATGTCTTGACCTTCCTGTACTTCCCCAGCTCATAGATGCTGACATTTCCATCGTCGCTCCCAACAAGCAGCCAGTCCATCCTGCCCAGAATTACGCAGGTTCTTATAGGCTCGTTAGACACATGGATACTATTCACCATGGCCATTTTATCCGTATCCCAGATCTGCACATCCCCATTAAACAGTCCCATTATCGCCACAGGTTTTGTGGGGTGCATCTGTATGCTCTTCACCTTCGGCGATCCAAATGTCTTCTGTATTGTCCTCTTGAATTTCATTTTGTTTGTGACCCATGCCCTCGGCCTATTTTTATTCAACGCCAATCCCAAGGAATTATCACTATTCCCCTGCAGCGTCAGGATCTCTCTTCGCAAGTTCCTTGAACCTCTCATATCCTCCCTCTATGAAATAGGTCTTTCTGCCTGCAAACACATAGACCCCGTTCCTTCCAAAGCACATCCAATCAACATGCCCAAATCCATCAAGCTCGTATGTCCACGTGTCCTTGTACTCGTAAAACCCCACTGTACTTCCGCCCAATGCCCCAATCACAAAGTCATCAGAGGCATCTTTAATCTTTATCATCCTATCTCCGACAGACGTCCTCCTGGTTCCTTCCATCACCTCCAGGCCGTCCATCCTCACCAGATATGTCGTTCCGCCTCTCTTTACAGTACAAAACTCCCCTCTACTAATGCTAGCAAAGTCCAGAATTCCCCCGATGTCCTTCTTCTTCAGTTGAACTTCGCTCTTCTCTTCGCATGCCATGCTACTCATGTTCCGGGTGTCGTATTCAGCCACACATTCGTCATTGATGCAGTACACTCTGTTATCTCCCCACTCAGCCTTTCTGCACATCTTTAGAGGCACTGCATCAATGTTGTACCGGACCCTAAGATCATACAGCTTCACACATCCCTCTCCAACTGCTGCCAAACATCCCATCTTGTTGTACGTGTGCATCTTGATGCTGTCTTCCTTGTATGAATACACTACATCTCCCCGGGATCTGTCCCATACCCGTATTCCCCTGAACATGTCCGTGGTGGTAAAGCATAGGTCGTCGGTAGGATAGAACTTGATGTCTTTCTTGAAGTGATCCACGCTCACTGTGTTCATACAAGGCGCCACCATGTGAACGGCCCCCATCTTGTCCGAGGCAACCAGCGAGTCTCCAACCATCGACGACGAATAGAAGCTCAAGTCGCAGAGATAGAGGGCATGCTCCATTCGGGGGCTTGCAGATTCAGATAAAGAAGAAATAGATTAACAGACTTTATCTATAGTAATGTAACTCTACTGCCTCTCCATTCCAACTAGGAGAAAGTTTACCAGCTCCTCCAGCTCCACAAGTTCACTGGACACCTCCTTGCCCAGAAGTCCGAGTTGCTTAAATACCTTAGTAAGAATCCTTATCTGCCTGCTTTGTGCATTCACAATCCTAACAATCCTCTTCATCTGCTCTCCTGCCTGTAGGCTCTTTTCCTTCTCCCCCAAGGGCACTGCCTCGCACACATGGAACCTTCCCCTCTTGTACTCCCTTGTTCCAAAGGATCCAACCCTCTCATCGTCACCCTTGCTTCCGTCTTCACTCATGCTCTTACTGCTTTCTTCAGAGAAACTGCTGCTCTTGCCCTCCTCCATCTTCGGGATCCCCTCGGCACACTCCTTTATTTCTTCCAGGATGTTGGACTCGTGGTCTCTGTTTGCTTCTCTCACACTTGCAATCAAGGACTTGAAGATCTCCCGAGGATTGCTGGCTATCCTCCTTTCCTGGATCATCCTTCTGGTATACCCCTCGAGGTCTTCTATCCTTCCTCCATCTTCAAATAGGAGCGATGCAAACCCAGACAGAGTCGAAGAAAATCCCTGCCTATGCCCCACAGAAGGAGAAGCCCCCCACTCCTTTGCACAGATCATTCCAGAAGTTTCGAGGGAGTCAGAGGACCTTAGAGCCAGCCCGACAAATATTCTCCTCAAGCTCCCAAGATATACCGGCCCGGAGTCTTCCATCTCCGTCCCGCGCCATGCAAGTACTTTCTCTTTATCCTCCACTGCTCTGCTCCATATGCTCATCTGCTCAGCCGCAGCTTTCACGTCTTCCAGCACAACATCTGCCCAGCATAGGCGAACCTTCCCATCACCATCAATCCATACGTGCCTTGTCGATATCCTGTCCCAAAACCACTTCTCACCACTGTTTATCTTCATGGCATACACCACCTGCATAAAGACATAGAGAATGAAGTCGTCGCTTAAAAATGCCTGCTCCTTAGTGGCTACATCCACAGGCCCAAGGGACATATACTTCTGCACCACGCAGACCCGGCCCCCATCCTGGAAGCATCGTAGGACCTTCATGGCATAAGGCGAATGATTAAGCTCGTGGTTTAGCAGAAAGCCCATCAGTAACGGCCCACAATCCTCAGAGACTCCCAAAAGATCAACCTCCTCGAGAATAACCATTTCCCCTGTCGCCACGTCAATTGCAGAGCTAATCACCAGGCCCTTGCTCCTTCTGACGATCCCCAGCGTTTTGTATCCCGCCAAGCTCTCCGTCATTGTTTTTCGATGCATCTGTTTTTTAAACAAATCATCCAGGAATAATTTATAGTCAAATTCCATTCGCCATATCATTTAATCAACTCGCTCAAACACACATCCAATGGACTTATATTCGCCGCAGAAAAACAAAGACCCGTGCACAACATGCGAGGTTTTAGAGTCTGTTTCAATGGCAACGACGCCTCCGCTACATCGCACATCAACCCTGCTCAGCAAGTCAAGACCTCCAAAGCTCCTCATGACATCTTGCACAAATCCCTTTAGCACCCCGTCCTCAATCCGAGCATCCTTCCTTGCAAGAACCCTAAATTAGCTGCCTTCACTTACAGTTTATACCGCATCTGCATCTCACTCCAGGGCAACCCTCCGCTAATAAATCTTTGCCCTCTACTACTCCCGCCCCTTGTCAAGCAGCCATTGTCACTCTCCTCTCTCGGCCTTCATGCACTCGAGAGTAACTGCAAGCTCGCATTTCTCAGCAAACAGAGTCTCGTTCTCGACAAGTGCCTCCTCTAGTGCGCTCTTGAGATCTGCAACCTCCTGGTTCTCTTTCCCCTCGATTATCTCCATGCACTTCTTCAGGTCATACTTCAGCGAGTGATCCCTGGTCTTCGTGTAGGTGTCCTTCAGGAAGTGAAGCACCCTCTCCTTGTCGCCGATCTCTTTGCTCTTGAGCTCTGGCCCTTTGGTAGTATTTGTTGTCTCGTTCAAAATCAGTCGCATAAACAATGGGACCTGGGTTTTGTAGAAATCCTTAAGGTTGGCGGGAAACATTCCCTCCATCCAAGGCCAGGGGAAAAGAGCGTGCTCAAGGGTCTTTAATAGGACAAGGTCTCTTGGAAAGCAGAGGCTGCCGGGATTATCTCCTTCCCTGGAACAGCGCCTGGGGAAGCATTGTAGTTAGTGCATTTCTGCATGCATTGTACTTGTCCTTCGTGTCGAAGTGTAGCTCGATCATGTTCTGTCCGATGTTGATCCGGAGGAAGTTCTCTAGATACACCTTGTTGCTTATGCTTGGATTAAAGCTTGCATCCACAAGGTTTATCGTTCCAACAAGGCTTCTGGAGTGCTCGTTAAATACAAAGATCACGTATCCATAGCATCTTACATATCTTCTCTTCCACAGATTGGTGCACACCTTTCCCAGGTCTCCCCTGAGATTCACAAACCCCCTGAACCATATGTTATAAGAGAACTTCTTCACCACCAGCCACTTGCTGAGGGACCTGAGGTCCTGGGGGAGAGGTGCAGGAATTAGCCGGAGCTCGTCATCCGACACAAACGATAAGTAGATCTTCAGGCTCCATGCATCCGGCGCTCCACTTGTGAAAAAGCTTCGGATGCCCTTAAACAGATTCCGAGACACGTAGTTGTCCCACACCAGCCTGCTTTCAAGAAGATTGTTGTGCACAGAGCGAATCTTGTTTCCATCAATCACAAGCATGGTTTCACATGACTTTGTTACGTCTCCAGATTTGTGGTGCAGCAAAAGTATGAGCCTTAGCAGAATACCTGTACTTTCCATCTTCCGAATAGGAATCCGCAGCATTTCGCCGACTCCTATGTCTGCCTGCACAGGATATCTCTTTGTCTCGTGGGAGATGCCCTTGGACTCAACTTTGATGGATATGCTATCCACATCCTCCCTGGGCGTCATGAATCTTTCCACCTGGTCTATGTGAACAAACAGATGCCCTGGATACCTGTTGATGACCATCTTGCTGGGGAGCATCATGCTTTCCTCCTTGACAAGAAGATGGCTCCCCTCTTCATGAAGCACTCTTCTCATAGGCGTCTGAGGTATAACAGCCGTCAGTACATTTGGTGTCATCAGATGGGATATCGAAGGCTCCTTCGTAGCATCTACCATCTCTCCCTGCATGTTTTCCGCCTCCTTATTCTCTTCGTCGATCCCAACCTCCGAGCCTACCATTCTTTCAGTGCTGGCCTTCTCTGCCTGTCCATGCCCATTATCCATACAAGCATCCTCCGAGCAACTTGGTTCGTCGGCATCAGAGTGCTTTGCACTCTCTTTTATCTCAATGCCCGACAGCTCCTTACTAAGCTCCTGGAAGTCGACATTGAACTTCCCCTCCATCCTCTCTTCCTTCTTAATCTCGCCAATCTCTCTGCCAATACCCTTGCCAGGGGCCTGGATCCTGCCCCGTCCTCTCATCCTATTTCTTCTTGCTCCCATAGCTTTTAGTTTTGATTTAGAGTTCTATTTATCTCAGCGATCACAGAACAGAAATGTTTCAGATCCTTCTTCTCGAGAACCAATCACATCTTTCTCTTCACAACATATCCTCTTCTTATATCACAGGACCTGACCAGCCTTGCAGAGTTCAATAGCACCCTCTTGCCGCCGTCTCTGCTCATTCCAAGGCCCTCCAGTATCTTTATGACGTCTTGCCTGCTCCTCATTTCTGTAGAGCATGCTGCTCCACTGCCAACCACAACGTTCACTCCACCAGTGGCTTCCAGCAACCTTCTAGCATTCCTCATCCACATGGACTTGTCTCCACACCCATACATCCCATGCACCAATGGAATCTCAAAGAATATGTTCCTCTTCGTCGCCTCGACCACCTCATCCCTTCCAATCAAGAAGCTCTTAGTATAGTCGAACGTAATCACATCTGGAGAGACCTTAACCACCTCCTTGAAATCCTCCGGCCTTTCTAACCTTATGGCCAACAAGTCAGGATCAAGCTTCTCCCTGACATCAACTCCACCACCGCCGTCTCTGTATCGTACCACCTCCACTCTTTCGTAAACCTTCTTATCCCCCCAGAGGTCGAGAGGAGGCCGCCTGTATCCCTCCACCATCTCTGGAGTAATCACGGTGTTTACGCAGATCCCGTCGTGCCCGAGCTCCTCCACAATACCAATCTCAGATCCTGGGAATCTGCTGCTCACATTCACATCAAAATACATCGGTAGAGATCAGTCCAACCAAAATAAACACAAGATCCATGGCTCACTTTATTTTCCAGGCAATCAGCCTCTGTATAGAGATAGTATAAAGTCTCTCTTCAGCAATCCCTCGTCAACACTATGAACAATCGAGTCTCTGTAACAGTATCTCTTCGCTGCACAGCTTCTCAGCAGTCTTTCGGGATTGAGCATCATCTCCTCGGCCCTTCTTTTCGTAACCCCAAGCATTTCCAGCATTTTCGCAATGTCTCCTGGCTTCTTGATCTCCGTAAAGCGCCTTGCCCCGCTGCTAAACACAACATTCTTTCCATTCGTAATAAAGAGCAGCCTACGCACGTTCCTCATCCACATGACCCCAGAGGGCCCTCCATATAAGCTTTCTCTCAGCGGCACCTCAAGGAAGATGTTCTCCTTAATCGCAGTCTTGATCAGCCCAGCCTTAAACGGGAGGCCTTGGCTTGCATAGTTGAATGTAATCATGTCTGGCTGAAGCTTTATTAGCCTGTCCATCCCTGCTGTCCCATTCATCCTAACAACAAACAGGTCCCACTTCGTTGCTTTTTTTGGGTCATAGCCAACCTGCTCCCCCTCTTCAAACACAACTTCTACCCGGTTGTACCATCGCTTTGTTCCTAGAAGTTCAGGAGACCTGCACCCCAGTCTCTCGAGATCCCCTGGTCTTACAACCCTATTCATGCAGAACCCTTGGTACTCGCTCTCCTCTAGCCTCCAGATGTCCTGCTTCAAGTAGTCCGGGCTGATATTCACGTCATAATACATTAGGGCTCCAATAATCAGAGATTCACATCTTCAGATACTTCTTATAATCAACCGGATTCCATCCACAACTTGCTGGCAATGCCCATGGAGCACCGGCCCCAGATACAACGAGTTGCTGGCTGCAGTTCCAAGATCAAACTCCAAACCTCCGACAGTGCGATACAGATCATTCTGGATCTTTTCCTCGATAATTCCCAGGTTGACAGTAGATGCAACACTTTCGTAGTACGATGCATTCGACTCCCTTCTCAGAGTCACATAGAGGCTTCTGTGCATCCTCTTCTGCCTAAGCACTCCTAGCATCTCCATCTTCACATCCTCCGGAAACAGCATCCGCGGAACTAGCACGTCCGGCCTCTCAACCAGCACAGAGTTTCCTCCAGAGTCGACAACAAGATGGACACCACGGACTCCAGACACCCTTCCTTGAGATATTATTCCGTTCGATACAAAGCTTACAGAGTCTCCGATGCCGGTGTCCACCTGCTCCTTCAGCAGTAGCACGGGTGACGCCCCAGGATATCTGTAGTATTTTACCACGAAAGCCTCTGCCCCAAGACCTAACGTTACCTTAAGAAACGGCGGACTGTATCTGACAACCTCAAGAGTCCTCACCTCGTAGTATCCAGAGCAGATCCCGGGACTCCTGAACCTTCTCCTCGTGTCAAATGCTTGGAACTCCTCAAGACCCTCGGAGCTCAGGTACACAGCATCTCCAGGTTGAGGAACCATTCCTGGAGACGATAGCCACGACTGAACATACTGCTTCAGCCCCTGTTCGTTCTGCCCCAGCGCCTCCGATGGTCCGACCGCATATCTGTCGTCACTGTTCTCACACACCTCACTTCTCTCACTATCATTGATGCCACCATAAACCCCTGTATAGAGTGCAAGAGCATCTCCGGCCACACCGTCGCCTCCTCTTAAAGACAAGAAACGAATCCCACTCTCCTCATCCACACCAGACCTGGGCCTGTTGAACCTTCTCAGTCTTCTCACCATCCCGGTCGGCTCCAGGCCTCCATCGCTGTCGTCTACCGCATGGGCATTTCTCCTTAGCATAGGTATCCTCTCGGAAGACTCCGAGCTATCAACAAGAAATCTCCGAAGAGGCGCCCTCCTCTCTTCTACCACTGCTTCCTCGCTGCTGCAGTCAGCCGATTCCTCAGACAGCCCGCTGGATGAGTCGTCCAGCAGGTCAACACTGCTATCCGACGACATGGTTGTTTGTTCCACAACCTGTGCCTCTCCTGGCAGAGGGGCATTCATGTACTTTCTCCGAAACGCTTCGAGATTGACAAAGTCCTTCACAAGATGTCTCGACCCTAGATCCTCAACTCCTGTACAACTGCTCGACTTTCCCGTGATGGTATACTCCACCAGGACCCAGTCCTCATTTCTTCTTCTATCCGACTCATATGTGGACTCCTTCCTGCACTTGACAACACCCCTCCACTCGGCAGAACTGAGGTGATCAAGATCAGACAGAAAAAACTGCTCCTTGGGAGGCCTGGGCAAGAAATTCATGGAAAGCACCTTTATAACCCCTCTTTCGTCTCCAAACACAAAGAACTCCCCGTCATTCGAAAACTGGGCATCGTTGATTGTAAAACTCAGCACCTCTTCATAGACCAGGTCATGCATGTTGTATATCCTCAGGCTGCTTCCGCAAAGGGCAAATACATTCTCCAGCGGATGCGGGTATGCAATCCCCATCTCTGGCGTGTCTATAACACATCTGAGCTCTGTCCCTGCAAATATCCTTATCTTCAAGTCGGTGCATATGCACACAAGGAAGTTGTCCCTGAGGTAGCAGATCCTTTCAACAGACTCGTTCTCCCCTATGTCTATCTTAATAATCGATCTCTTCCAGTGACCCTGCAGCGATGTATCTTTTGTTCTCCTCTTGAAGTTCCCCATCCCAGAATTGCCCTCTGTAAAAAACGTCCATTGGAATACCTGGGAGTCACACGCCGCTGCAATCTTAAGCCCTCTCTTGGCCCCGCATATCGTGTTCACAGGCATCCCATTGGTCTCAAGAATTATGCATCCGTCGAAGCTCTGGGTATCGAAAACAACAAGGAATGGCCACCACCCGCTGCACAGAAGAAACCTTCCTCCTTCCGTAAAGCACAGCCCCTTTATTGCTTCGTCGAGAAGACAAAGGTTTTCAGACTCGGAAATCACTCCCTTGCCATCAAATCTGTATGTCTTGATGATGCCTCTCGACAGAACAACAATCAGATTGTAGGCCGACGTGTCATTTGTGTCGAAAAACTCCGTGAAGATGATCTCGCACTCAAGCCCCAATTGGAAGAGTATTTCAAACTCCTCCAGGGACCAAATGCTCAGCAGCCCATGGATGTCGCACGAAACCAGGACCTTCCCGTCGCTACTGACGCAGAGGTCACTCACAAGGTTTCTGTGTCCTATAAAGCTGTGCACTAGAAACCCGGAGTGCACATCCCACAGCTTAACCATCCCGTCGGCACCTCCCGACATGAAGAACCTGTTTCCTTGGTCAAAGCATATTCTGTCTACCTGCCCTGAGTGTCCAAGGAGCTCCATGCTGCTTCTGAACATGTCCTTCAATGCTCTGTATCCGGGGTCTCTCCTTCCATACACCATCATTTTCTGGAGCATGTCCAGCCCTCTTCTCTTGTATTTGTAGCTTCGTATGTACTCTTCGAAGTTTGCTATCTTTGCTCTCCTCAGCATTTCCCTCACAGCTCTTTCCAGTTCGTCGGCTCGTAATTCTAAATCGCCTTTTCCCTGCGACTTTAAATGCTCGTAGAAGGCTATAAAGCCCTTGATGCCCGTCATCCCAAGGGCTAAAGAGCCAAGGATTTCTCTTTGCCAAAACACCTGGCAAGCATGCAAAATATCTTTACTTCGACTCCACGGTATCCACAGTCTCCACAATCGAACCCTTGATCGGGTATATAAGGCCACACATGTCGCAGCGCAAGCTTCCTTCCACAACATCAATTCCAAACAAAAACTCCTTTATCTTCTCGTCATCGCCAGGGTTCTCGACAAAGGAGCTGATGTCCTGCTCAGACAGCTCTCTGCCATGGAAGTCTCTGAGGCTATTGACAAGTGACTTGAGCCTCTCTCCGCCATTCTCTGTGAACATATGTTTGTTGAAGATCTTCACATCATCAGTATCCACATCGTTGCTTTCTGCCTTCTCGCACTCCAGAATCAGCTTCGTCATGAACGAGCATCTCTTGCACTTCAAAAGGCCCAGAAGAAACGGCTTCATCAAGTGGGGTCTGTGATGATTACTGCCCAAAAGCAACCGCCAAAATGTAGGTCCTCTTGGCACGGAAGATAAATGCGCCAGGGCTCCATCCCAGCCTACCGAATGGACACGCCCAGCGATCTCGAAACCAAGGCAAAGATAAGACTGAGACTACTTGCGATGGACAGGGTGCTTACTGAAAGTCTCGGGAAGGAGAGGATCAGGGAGTTGAGGCAAGGTATCTGGGAGGCCCTTGGGAGGAAGGAAAGGACGAGGTCTAGAATACCACGGCCGATGGCTAGCACAAAGGGGCTGTATGGGGACTCTCAGGGTTGTGGAAGGCACAGCTCTTGAGGGAGGCATCTTTCCGCCGCATTGCCTACAAAAAATTTTCGGATCCAGCCCCGGAAAGATGGCAGCCGAGAAGAAGACGGAGGTCCTGGAGAAGAAGATCTCGATCAAGCCTCGATATAAGATGACAAGAGGCATCCAGGTGGAGACCCTGATGAAGTGTGCAGATAACAGCGGAGCAAAGATACTCAGGTGCATTGGGGTGAAGAGATACAGGGGAAGGCTCAACAGGCTTCCAGCTGCAGCACCGGGAGACATCTGCGTTGTGTCCGTCAAGAAGGGAAAGCCAGAGCTTCGGAAGAAGGTGCACTATGCCATTCTCATAAGGCAGAAGAAGATCTGGAGACGCACCGACGGATCCCACATCATGTTTGAGGACAATGCTGCTGTTCTCATCAACAACAAGGGGGAGCTGAGAGGGGCGCAGATAGCCGGGCCCGTGCCCAGGGAAGTTGCAGACATGTGGCCCAAGATATCGTCCCAGGCGTCATCCATCAATTGACAATAAACCAGCTTTATTCTTCGTGCGATCTAATATCAAGCCATGCCTGCATCCAAGAACCAGAAGGAGAAGTCTATTTCGCCTTTTGGTCCTCAAAACTCGATTCGCGGCTTCTCATCTCAAACATCCGCTGCTTGTTTCTATGGAAGACTATTCTACTCAGAAGTGGGGAAGGAACGCAAAGAATTAAAAGATACATGAGGAAGTGGGGAAGATATGGTATGGACATCTTCGCAGATCCAAATGTGCTGAGAATCGATTCTGCAAGGGTATCCGAAGAAGGCCTTAGGAGCGAGGGCTTCTCTCCACAGCCCTCAGATGACATATCTCCAACACCCATGTACTCCACATTCACGTTGTATCCCTCCAGCTCGTAGTAGAGAGAATCCGACAGGGCCTTTAGAGCCTGCTTGGAACATCCAAATGCAGAGTACAGAGGAGTCGACGCCTCCCCCATCAGCGACCCGATGTTGATGACATATCCGTACCCACAGTCCATCATGTTCACAAGCACATACCTTGTCAGCGACATCACCCCAACGAGGTTAACATTCATGATCTCCTCGATGGACTGCTCCACAAAGTATGCCGGGCTGTCCTCCATCGTACTGGCACAGTTTATCAGAATCCCCACGTCATACCTGTCTATGAAGGACAGATTGTTGCTTCTTTTATAATCTACAATGTGCATGTGGCACTCCGTCATCCTTTCTATAGCTGCATGCAGCCTTATAAGCCTGGACTCACTCCTTCCGACAAGAAGAACCTTCATTCCCTTCTCTGCAAACTTCTTTGCTAGCCCTCTCCCGATCTTTCCCGTTGCCCCGTTGATGACAACATACTTCTTTCTTAGTCCTTCCCACACCTGGTGATTTCTGCATTTGGAGTATGTGTACTGGTATATGGTCGGGAGCACCTTCAACATTATGTATGATACACCTAGATAAATTAGCTGGATGATCATTCCTAGGGCATCCGAAGAAAAATTATTTGAGCCATCTCGTTTTGGAGTGGCTGTGCTGATAGTGTCTTGCTTGCTCTGCCTCTCCAGAACCACCTTCTTTGCACTCAAGTGTCTGTTTCACACATCTGTTTTGCGTCACTTACAGTTGCGACATTTTCCTTTCTGGTAAAATAAACAAAAATGAACAACACCATCTCGCCGCTTCTGCTACTTGCCACCATACTTGTTCTAGGAGCTACGACCGTGGGTCTTGTTGCACTGAGGGCCAACAGCAAGCAGGAGGCCATCAGCACAAAATACATAGAGGAGATCAAATCCACAAGGACAAAGGGATTTGTGTTCTTCCTCCTGGTCCTTGTGCTTACAAACATTTACTACTTCTTCTACACACGGAACTATCTGGAGGGGGATGTACCATCCTTCCTCAAGGCAATCCACATGGACAGTCGCTCCCTAAAGATGCTTGAGCTGTACGTCAGAAACACCCAGAAAAGCTTCCTGTTCTATGCCATCGCCCTTGTCGTGCCGCTTGTGTCGTCGAGAAGATTCAGGGTCTTGGCCATTGACGAGAAGGCGTCCATCGCGTTTGTTAGATACTACTCGCTGTTTGGAAGCCTCCTATATCCACTGGTCTTCCACATCTCCAAAGGATACGACCTCGGAAGTTACCTGGTGGAGGTCCTGAACATTGCAGAGACCGTTCTGCTGCTGTCGCTATATCTTTTGCTGCTGCTGAAAATGTGGAAGGTGCACGACGTCCTCTCATACACCCAGATCATCACCAAGTTCGAGATCGAGGAGGTTCTCAGCAGGACACGCTCCAAAATTGTTGGCATTATAGCATACCTGTGTCTCGACATGGTGTCGGGGGCAGCCAGAATGGCAGAAATGTTTTTCCCCAAGGAGTACAGCCTGGGCCTCCCGGTCAACTCACTTGTGGAAACGGCCTTCCTTGTAATCCTGTACTGCTACTCAGTTAAGTTCCTGGTTATACCGGGCAACGGCATCTGTGAATCTATTCAGCGAATGGAGGATATCAAGAAACATGTCGTGACCGGGTTCCTGAATCTCGAGCATCGGGATGAGGACAACATGGTAGACATTTCGACAATTCCAGACATCTAAGCTCGTCCCTAAGCGAATCAAAGCCAGGGTTAAACGACCCCTGCATGGGATTTTCGAACAAGTTGGTAATAACCGCAAAGAAGCCCGGGAAGAGGACCAGGCAGATCTGCATGCACATACGCAGGATGCTAGAGCCCAATGTCACTGCAAAGCTGAGAGACAGAAACACAACTGTGAAGTCGTACCTTGATGTTGCTGATGCACTCGAGCTGTCCCATTTTGTTTTGGTGGATGCAAGAGACATTAAGATTGGGACCAGGCCAAAAGGGCCGACATATGTATTCAACGTGGTGGACTACAACCCGAAGTATGTCAAGGTCGGCAATGAGTACTACGAAGAAGATCCATGTATCACGTTTACTGGGGAGAGCGAGCTCAAGGAGCTGTTCTTATCTCTGTCCTCCCGCCCAAAGACATTCAAGAGAAATCTGCACTTTTACTTTGACGGCGATCTTATCCATGTAAGACATTATGCCATTCTTACCAAGGAGGAAGAGGACATAAAGGTTGGGTTCCATGAGATCGGCCCCAGGATCACCATGAGGCTTGTCAAGAAGATGGATGGATTCTTCAGCTAGAGCCATCCGTTCAATAAAGCATTTAGAGGCATCTATCTCTACCCAGGAATCTGCTCGCTCTGAAAAGTCCGCTCCCAAAGTCGCAGTGGACCACCTTTTCTCTTATCCATGGGCTGACGAGCCTCGAAAGCTGAATGTATCTCTTATCCAGCAACACAAGCACGGCATAATCATTTCTGTGTCTCAGCGCCCTTCCGAGCGTCTGGTTCACTGTCCTCATTGCTATCGATGTGGCATACTCACCTCCGTTGAACTTGGCTCTTTCTTTGAGCTCCAGATCCTGGGTAGGATAAGGAACCCCTACAACCACCAGCAATCTGCACAGCCCGTCCCCGAAGTTTACTCCCTCACTAAGCCTCCCTCCCATCACAGCAAAGAGAATGCAGGGGCCCCGTCCGGCCTCCTCTGCATATCCTTCAAAGGTGATGAGGTCTTCATACAGAGCTTTCTTTGTCCCCACCATATCTCCACATCTTTCTCGGAGTATCCCGAGGTAGGCCTTCGAGGGCAGAAAGCATACCATCCCTCCATCCTTGACAGCATTCGACAAATTGGATATGGACGAAGTAACATCTTTAATCGACTCCGGCCTCTCCCTCGTCTCGAAATTCACTATGATTTCCCTTCCAGATGGTCCAGACCCCACTACAAGAGCTAAGAAGTCATTGCACACACTTCCATACGAGAAGTACCTGGGGCTTTTCTTTCCAAGGACAGACATCAGCTGATCAACAGGCTCCATCGTCCCTCCCGCCAATAACAATGCCCTGCACTCGAGCACGTCTTCGAAGTACATTGATGCATCCAGAGGGGTGAACCTGACTCCCCGGGAGCTGTAGAATATTCTCCCGCTCCGGTCACTTACAGTCAGGAGACCTAGGAATTTGGATATCTCAGGGATCTGCAGACTTGGGTTGCTTCCAAACCCCTCCAGCCTTCGGAAAATCCCGCTAGTGACTATATAGTCCTCAACTTCAAGCATGTTGAAGTCCTCAATCCCTGCCTTGAGTAAGAACTCGGAAACCCCCATCACGCCCTCGCCTTCACCCACATCTTCACAGTACTCGTCCCCGAAGCCTTTGATCCTTCGAAGTATCTCTACAACTGTTTCCAGCTGGCCCTCCCTCTTCATCCTTCTGCCATGCCTTTCCCTGTACAGCTGCATGGCTTTAATGCACCTGTTCATCGTACTAAACAGTATGCATGCTGTGTTCATCTGAACCACCGAGTCATAGATATTATGCGCCTCGTCAACAACAACAATGCTTTCTCGGACATCGATGTCCATGCTCTTCCTGCCCTCTCTTGCAAACAACAGCTGATAGGGAAGAAACACAATGTCACACTGCTGGGAGTATCTCTTGGACACATAGTAGGGACAGAGCCTCTCGTTTCTCCCCATAGCCACTAGATCCTCCACATCCAGCACCCCATGCCCATCAAATAAGTCGCATCCATCATAGAACACACATAATCCCTCCTTGACGGCCTCCTTGCACCCCTCATTCACGGCGTCTGAGCTCCTGTTCTGGCAGACCCTCTCATTCAGGCAATAGATCCTTCTGGACCCCAAGACAACAGAGTTGCATCCTGCCTCCAGCTTCTTGAGCTCGTTGATAGCCTGTGTCAGTTGTGTGTGAGTTCTTGTGCAATATAGTACCTTCATCCTGCCCCCCTGGAAAAGAGCCTGCTCCAATGCTCTATTCCTAGGATCTAAGCCTGCTTCGTCAGCGCCGATATAGTCTATCACAGCACTGAGCAGAGACATGGTCTTTCCTGTTCCGGTGGGGCTCGAGAATATCCCAGCAGTTCCTTCATCGATGACTCTTCTTGCATCTCTGATGAGCAGCTTCTGAACATCATACAGCTCAATCCCTCCCATCCCAGGGAGGATGCAGATAAAAAGTAAAAAGAGAACCAAAGAACCAGTTTAATCAGACTTTCTAAGCTCCAGCGGAACAATAGCCCCAGTGGACAGCCCGCAGTAGAGAGTGCTTCCGGAAAATGCCAAGGACAGGCATCGCACCCCATTTCCAATCTCCTTAAGGTTGTAGCTTGCAATGACTCTCGAGCTGATCGTTTCCCAAATGATCACAGACTCGTCCGTCCCCAAGGCAATCACGGGCTCCGTCTCCCCAACAGCAATCGATCTGACAGGAACAATTGCATCAAAGCTCTGGATGCATTCCTTACTGTCCACCTTCACAAGATACATCTTCCCACTCTTCTCTCCATACGTCAAAATCGACCCGTCCTTCGAAAACGCCATCGCAGTGACACTCTTTGACTCGTCGTAGTCAACAGGACTGGTCTTCTTCTCCTTTGCCTTCTCATAGTCAACATATGCTCCTCCAAGATACGTCTGCAGATGCTCCTGGGTATCCAGATCCCAGATCTTCACAGTCCCGTCTGCAGACCCGCTGGCAAGAATGCTCTCCTCGGTCGGATGGAATGTAACGCAATTGATCCATCCCCGATGCATCATCTCCATGTCCCTTCCCATCTTCAGAACAAGATCCCCCTTTGTGTTGTAGAGATTCATCGTCCTGTCAACAGACCCGGTGACTATCTTCGTGTCGTTGCTATTGATGCTTACACATAGAACATCCCTGCCGTGCCCCTCAAGGAGAATCGACTTCTTGCTCTCGGTATCCCAGATCCTTCCTATCCCATCAGACCCAACAGTCACCATCATGTTCCCATCCTTGGACACATCAAGCCCGTTGATCCTTTTGCTATGCCCTCCATCATACAGCTTCAGTATCTTCCCAAACTCAGAGTCGATCTTGCTGTGCAGGTCCCAGCTGAAGACCTTCTTGTCCCTGGACGAGGAGTACAGAATTTCCCTTCCAGACACCCGTACAATCTTCAATCCCTTGACCTCGTCCTTGTGTCCGTTCAGATATTCCAAAACCTCCAGCTCAGCCGATGACATTTTCAGGGATCAAAAATTTTCAAAGAAATCTGCCGCACTAGAGAGCCAGAGCTGCCAGCCATCATTTATTCTTAAGTGATCTCAGTACATCCCCAACCACAGCACTTACAGACTTCACTATCCCCTCCTTCCTACTCCGGATCCGAGACTCGAAGTGAACATGCTCGCTTCTCCTCAGGCACACATTGACCAGTACACATACATTCTGAAGCGTCGAGCAGGCTATGTTCCCAACCGCATAATCCTCATCGCACTCAATGTCCAGCGTCTCCCCATTCAGAGCCCTACTCACCTCCCCGAAGATCTCCTCCAGCGTTTTTTTCGTAATAAACTTGAGAGTGTATGTGTTTTCCCATTCAAGCTCCTTCCACGTCTCCCGGAACCCGTCGGGATCCATTTTCCGAGGCTCGAGGAACTCAGACACAGATGTTTTGACTTCAGACAGGTTGATGGTGTATACTGTGTTGGCATATTCCCCACACTCGTCCGGGTACCTGAAGGTGATGGACCCGCTTATAAACCCATTCGATGCATCAATTATCCGGAATGTAAATCTCTTTGTCACAACGGACCTGCTGGACAGCGAAAACGGGGTGCTAATGAATGTAGCACTGAGGCCCTGGCTTGTAACAAAGTCCAGCAGGATGTTCTGGAGGTATGATGGCGTCTGGTTGATAAAAAGCATATCCACTACAATCTCGTACCGGGTGTAGCTTGTAGTTGCCTCAACGTAGATCGGATCAGACAGCCCTGTCAGCTGCGTCACATTCCTCATCTCCGCACTTCCGCCTTCACTATCGACCAGGAACTCGTTGAGCTTGTTCAGACCCCTTTCGTCGCTCGACCGGGTCCCGGGAAGCATGATGGGGTCGAGAACACCTTCTCTACATCGTTTGTGGCCATCAGAGGAAACCTCCCCCTGGCTGTTGCAAGACACAAGAGACCTGATGCATGACACTATAGTTGACTGGGAGCTCATGTCAATGGTATTGCTTTCTTTCCCGTGCTCAATAAACCTTAGCATGACGGCAATCACCCTGTCCTTGGGGCCCTCCAGCCTCCTACACATCTCCGAAAGCTCAATGCACATAAAGGCCCCCAGAAATGTCTGCGTGTTTCTCAAATACAAGGGTCTGTCGGCATGTCCAAACGAGGACTCCAGCACCTCAACAACCCTGAGAAAAATCTCTTTTGTCGCATGTCTTCTAAGAATGCCAAAACAACACCTCAGTATCTTTCCATACTTCACCTCATTTATCTTGTTGACCAGCACCTCCAAATAAGACCCGTGCCCCGCCGCATCCCCTTCACAGGACTCAGAGCTCCTGCTCATGATCTCAAAGCAGGAAGAAAGAAACATCAGAGAGGCATGACTCATCTCAGGATTGTCCGATGCAATGCTCTTCAGGGCCTCAGAGACCATTTCTTCGTTATAAGACGAATAGGTGCTTGCGAAGTATGCCATCTTCTCCAGGAGAAGAACCCTGAAGCTCTGGTTCTGGACAGATGCATCGTGGGTATCCATGAACCTGAAGGCCAGAAAGTCGGAAATCTGCAAGAACTCATGGGTTTCCGAAATCTTGAAAACGAAGTCAAAGCATTTAGAGCAGAAGCTCAGATCGTATGGATCTATCAGCGACAGGAAGCTCATTGCATATCCAGAGAAGCTGTATGTCGAGAGGAGAAGCTCATCAATCGCATACTCCCTGCATCTTGGAAGATCCTCAAGACACCGTAGTATGGTGTCAGTGCTTCTTTTCAGTAACTGCTCGTCATTACTCATCCTGTGAATCGACATCCCTGCCTCAAACGCCGTCATGCTGTCTTCAGAAAAAAGAAACCTCTCGAGAAGCCTCTCGTCCTTGATCTTCTCCACAATCGCTGTCGAAAGCTCGCTTGGTATCGATAGACTCACCTCGCCAGCATACTTGAGTGCCAGCTCGGGGTCGGTCAGGTGCAGAGAGACAAAGGCCTCTCGCAGGCAGTTCGGATCCAGATCTCTAAGCAATGCATGGTACAGGAGGTCTGGAACCTCCTTGTACATGTCCATCTTCAGGAAGATCTCTCCTAGGCAGAAGTAAGCATTTCTTCGGACATATGTGTTTGGATGGTTGAAGTTGTCCTTGATCAGCTTGTAGAAGTTCCCGACAAGCTCCTGGTCGTCCAATGTGCTCACAAACCGCATCACAAATCCCCTGACGTACTCGTTTGGATGCTCCAGATCCTTCCTCACCTGGTTCGATAGAAGAAGCATTTCTTCAAACGACTGGGTTCCCCTGGCCTTCGGGAGAAGCTCAAGGTAGTAGTAGAACAACCTCTTGAGCTCGTTGCTCCGAACCACAAGCGTCTCCTTTGTTATCTTGTGTGTAAGGGAGCTGAAATCCTCTCCCTGGCTCATCTGTGCTATCATTTGCTTCATCCCCTCGATCTTGTCCTGCTCACTGCTCGACCGCAGCTTCTGCATTATCTCGTCTTTCCTCATCCGCATCGATGTGTTTAGGTATAGAGAAGCCTGCATCTTCAGGGCTCAAAATCAAGTTCAAAATATCATGGCTAAGCCGGGTGCCTATCAGACATTGCTTGGCATCTCTAGCAGGCCCAGCTCGTTCTTTTCCCAAGGAATTAATTCGGCCTTCGGTCTCCCCAAGAATGTCCGACTTCCTCAAGGCATGCAACGAGATTTCGAGCGAGATAGTCGAGCTCTACAAGCAGGAGAAAAGGATAGACGTGAGTGCGATCAAGTCGAGGGTATGCAGGAAGTACAGGCTTGGATGCACTCCACGGATTGTGGACATCATTTCGTTCATTCCGCCCGAGCACGGACGTCTGATTGAGCAGCTCAGGGCGAAGCCTGTCAGAACTGCGTCTGGGGTTGCTGTTGTTGCTGTGATGTGCAAGCCCCACAGATGTCCACACATCGCACTGACCGGAAACATATGCGTGTACTGCCCGGGTGGCCCCGACTCCGACTTTGAGTACTCCACTCAATCATACACGGGATACGAGCCGACGAGCATGAGGGCAATAAGAAGCAGGTACGATCCATTTGAGCAGGCAAGAGAAAGGCTCCGGCAGCTCAAGGCGCTTGGGCACAACACAGACAAGGTGGAGTACATAATAATGGGGGGAACATTTATGTCTCTACCCGAGTCGTACAGAGACAGATTCATCTCAAGGCTGCACGATGCTCTTAGCGGGCACACATCGCCGACTGTCGAAGAAGCCATACGGGTTGGGGCAGAAGGGCGCCTGAAGTGTGTTGGAATAACAATAGAGACAAGGCCAGACTTCTGCGTGCGCCCTCATCTCAGCAAAATGCTAGGATATGGATGCACAAGAATCGAGGTAGGCGTCCAGAGTGTATACGAGGATGTTGCCAGAGACACCAACAGAGGGCACACGGTTGAGAGTGTCTGCGAATCCTTTGCACTTGCGAAGGACGCAGGGTTCAAGATAGTTGCTCACATGATGCCCAATCTTCCGAATGTTCCCATGAAAAGAGACCTTGCACAGTTTCGAGAGTACTTCGACAACCCCGGGTTCAGAAGCGACGGACTGAAGATATATCCCACGCTTGTGATCAAGGGCACAGGGCTGTTTGAGCTGTGGAAAAACAACAAGTACAGGAACTACTCCCCGGACGAGCTGATTGATCTTCTTGCAAGGATTCTTTCACTTGTGCCGCCATGGATGAGGATATACAGGGTGCAGAGGGACATCCCGATGACGCTGGTGAGCTCTGGCGTGGAGCACGGCAACATAAGAGAGCTGGCGCTGGCTAGAATGAAAGACTACAGGACACGCTGCAGAGACATTCGAACCAGAGAGGTTGGGATCAGGAATATCCACGAGAACATCCTGCCTGAAGAGGTCGAGCTGGTGAGAAGAGACTATGTGGCAAACAAGGGCTGGGAGACGTTTCTTAGCTATGAAGACGTGAAGCAAGACATTCTGATAGGGCTGCTGAGGCTGCGCAAGTGCAGTGTGGACACGTTTCGGACCGAGCTAAGGGGCCTAGGCCTGCAACCTGCAGCGAATGAAGGTAGCCTCGAGGCAGATGGACATCATCCTGCTGTGGTCAATGAGCATTCGTCCATAATAAGAGAGCTTCATGTGTACGGAAGCGCCGCAGCCATAAGCAAAAGTGATGGCACGAAGTATCAGCACCAGGGGTACGGCACACTCCTGATTGCCGAGGCTGAGCGGATTGCAAGGGACGAGCACAAGTCAGCAAAGATCGCAATAATCTCCGGGGTTGGAACCAGAAACTACTATGCCAGGTTTGGGTATGTCTTGGAAGGCCCGTATATGGTTAAAAGCCTCACGGGCTGAGTGCTGCAAACAAATGCTTAAACAAAATTTTATTTGATGAATCTTATCTGATTTCTCTTAAGGCAGGGGCTGTTCCAAAGGCTAGCCTAAGAACATCCCAGTTCACTCGATATCTTTTGTTTTAAGTCGCTCGGCCGGGGGGATCATCCTCTGTAAGGGAATCGGCCAGCTCTTCCTCTGTAGTCGTATCCGTGTCTGGTGCTTCTAGACCCATATCTATCGTTTGATACCCTCACCATGTCCTCAAGATCAGAGGGGACTGTTTGGTTGGCCTCCCTGAGCATCCGGATCAGCTCCCGTGCATTTGCCTTGTCACCGACTGTAAAGAACGTGTGCGATATCCCTTCTTTGGTGTTTCCCCTTGCAGTTCTTCCAATCCTGTGCACATAGTCTTCGCAGGATCCTGGAAAGTCGAAGTTGATCACAAGCTTGACGTCGTTCACGTCAAGTCCCCTTCCTGCAACCTCCGTGGCAATCAGTATCGGCCTTCTTCCACTTCTGAAGTCGTCGAGAACCTTGTCTCGGATGTTCTGCGACTTGTCTCCATGAAGCGCTGCAGCCCCATACCCAGACCTGTTCAGCACATACTCAAGGTCGTCGCAGGTTCTCTTCATGTTGCAGAACACAATGACCTTGTCCCCCTTGAAGTTGTCGAGAACACCAATCAGCTTGTCCTCTTTCTCTCTTCCGCTGCACACCTCGACTATCTGTTTGATCTTGCTGTTTGTCTTAAGCTCCTCGTTCCCAACAACCACCTGGATGTATTCATTCATGTAGCTCTCTGCCAGCCCTCGGACCTCCCGAGGCCATGTTGCGCTCCACATCAGAGTCTGCCTGTTTGCATTTGTCTTTGGAATAATCTTCCGGAGCTGCGGCTCAAAGCCCATGTCAAGCATCCGATCGGCCTCGTCAAGCACAAGAAATGTCACCCTGCTAAGCGGCGCATGTCCCTGGTCGTGGAGATCAATCAGTCTCCCAGGGGTTGCAATAACCACCTCTGCACCCTCGTGCAGCGCCCTGATCTGTGGCTGCGATGACGCTCCTCCATACACGGCAGTGCTTCTCAGATTGAACATCCCGCAGAACTCGTCCACAACCTTCTTGATCTGCATCACAAGCTCCCTGGTGGGCGCCAGCACAAGCACAATAGGCCCGTCTCCTCTTCTGAGGGGCTGCTGGTCCTTTGCATGCACCAGCGCAGGTAGAATAAAACTCAGTGTCTTTCCAGACCCCGTCTGTGCAATCCCAACCATATCCCTTCCGCTCAGAGCCATCGGCCATCCCTGCCCCTGAATGGCAGTCGGCTCGCTGAATCCCTTCTCCACAAGCGAAGAGACAACCTCGCTTGAAAACCCCGCCTCCTCAAACTTCTGAATCGGATGCGGAACATTCGTGCCCTTGACTATCATCTCGTTTGTCTTCCTAAACGAGGAAACCTCAGAAGGCGTCATCCTGCTTATCGACTCTGCCTCCTGGTAGAAATTCTTCTGGAACTCAACAGGAGCAAGCTCGGGCATGGGATCATACCTCTGTGGCTCCCGCCTTGTCCGCGGCGCGTATCTGCTGTTTCTATCAGATCTAAACGATGGTCGAAATCCTCTTCTGTCTCCGCCATACCCTCTGTGCATCATCTTGGGGTAAATTTTTAATCCTGTATTTCAAGAATTGTAACTCCCAACGGTCAGATCCTCCTGCCGAAAGGTCAGTGACAGATAATAAAGACCAATGTTTTATTGCTCTTGGGCTCTGCACCCTGCATATATCGTCATCCGCCGGTTCCCAAGCACCTGCTGAACCACGCCCTCGTTGCTCAGGTGCCGCAGCACATTCTCTGCAACCCCGAGATTCAGATTGTACCTGCTGCCGATCATGTACCGCGTGACAACACTCGCCCTGCCGACGTCCTTGCGCACCTTTGCCAGGAGCTCCTCGGAGACCGTCACGGCCCTGCGGACCTCCTCCTTCTTCCTTCCGTCGCCCCACTTCTTCTTGTCCTTTCTTGTCCCGGATGCAGCCTTGAGCGCCTTCTTTTCCTTTGACTCCTGGATCTTCTTGACCATTTGGGACTACATTTTTTGCCTCAGAAATCCCCAAGGCCCACACAGGCGGAGAAGTTGCGCCATGCACCCTGTGCGGGAGAAACACATTTTTGGATCTGAAAATTTTGCCCTTCAATCTGAAAAATGGCAAAGATGCATTCTAGTGGGAAAGGGCGCTCAGGGAGTGTCAAGCCATATGCAACTGCATTCCCGACGTGGCTAACAAAGTCTGTCGACGAGATCAAGTCGGATGTAATCCAGATGGGGAACAAGGGTGTTCCTGCACCTGATATAGGAACACGGCTGAGAGACGAGTATGGGATTGGAAAGGCCTCTGACGTCCTCGGAGAGAGCATTACAAGGTTTCTGCAGAGGAACGGAGTGGTTCCAAAGATCCCACACGACCTCGAGTCTCTTGTTCATCGGGCAAACACCCTCAGGAGCCACCTGAACATCTACAGGAAAGACAACTCTGCAAAGTACAGGCTCATTCTTGTTTCGTCGAGGATGTACCGAGTTGCAAGGTATTACAAGCGTAAGATGAGGATCCCTGGGAACTGGAAGCCGAAGCTTGTCGAGCTCAATAAATGATCTACTTGAAGTCCCAGACCAACTGTTTTGAAGGGTGGTCTATCTATGCCTTTTGACATCTGACTCGAGCAGGCGAGCCACCCTCTCTTGTGGAAAGAGGTATATTTTACGAAAAACAAACCCCACGGATGTATGAGGAGCTCTTGAACTTTCTGCTGGCTCGAAAGAAGAAGTTACTGTCTGAGGAGGAGACGGATAGACTCATGCAACTCATTGCCCAGTCGATGGAGATGGGAGAAAACCAAGAGGAGAAGAAGGACAACACGGCGTTGATAAAGAAGATTCTTGACAATGTCGATGTTGACCAGATTGTTGAGGATGATACCGAGAGTATGGAAAATGCAATAGACGATTTGCTCTTTAACGAGTATAGTGATGAGAGCTGCAGCGAGGGGATGATGGATCTGTATGAATCAGATGACGCTGGCGAGCCGCTGTCCGAGAGGAAGTTCCGGAGAGGGGTATTCAAGACAAGAACGGAGCCTGATGGAAGCCTGGAGATACCAAAGAGGACGATTGGGATTAAAGCAAGCACGAGAAGGGGGGCGGGAGCGTTGGACTTGGATGCAGGTGATGAGAAGTCTCGGGCCCATGAGGCTGGAAACGGCAGTCCTGAGAGAAGCAAGGATGCCCTTGAGGTTCGGGAGTTCAAGCTTCCTGGGTTTGACGTGAAGGATGAAGGGCTTTTATACGACAAAGGATCCAAAAAAGGCTTTGATCTCCCCGAGGCTTCTGAGTTTCAGTTTGATCTTGGGGATCTGAAGGAGGTGAACAACACTGGGCCTGACGTGAAGTTTTTTGACGAAGATGGAAAGGAGCTTTGAACGACCTTGCTTTCTGGTGTAGAGTAATGATGGTTGTTTTATGTCTGGATTGGCTTTATTAAAACGATAAGTTCTCTCGACACTCATGTTTTTTATGTACTGTGTGGGCCTTGGGGATTTCTGAGGCAAAAAATGTAGTCCCAAATGGTCAAGAAGATCCAGGAGTCAAAGGAAAAGAAGGCGCTCAAGGCTGCATCCGGGACAAGAAAGGACAAGAAGAAGTGGGGCGACGGAAGGAAGAAGGAGGAGGTCCGCAGGGCCGTGACGGTCTCCGAGGAGCTCCTGGCAAAGGTGCGCAAGGACGTCGGCAGGGCGAGTGTTGTCACGCGGTACATGATCGGCAGCAGGTACAATCTGAATCTCGGGGTTGCAGAGAATGTGCTGCGGCACCTGAGCAACGAGGGCGTGGTTCAGCAGGTGCTTGGGAACCGGCGGATGACGATATATGCAGGGTGCAGAGCCCAAGAGCAATAAAACATTGGTCTTTATTATCTGTCACAGACCTTTCGGCAGGAGGATCCACCTCAGGTAGTGAGCTTCTTCCTCATCCCAAGGTTTCCATGGTAGTAGTTCTTCAGCCCCTTTCCAAATGTCCGATAGTCTCTCAGCACCCCGATGAAAAAAATAAACATTGTGATTGTGTAGAATACCATTTCTATGATAGATCCTCTAAAATTAACATCTCCACTTACTTTCTTGTGGTATTGGAGCCTACAGAAACCAGGGAAATGTAGACAACCGTGTATGCTACCCCCCCTAGAGTGCAAAGCCCAGAGACCAGAATAAGGAACTTTCTCTGCCTCACATACTCCTCATTTTCAAAAATACTTGCTGTCACAAGAACACCAATCTGTGTTCCTACTATAAAGAAGTAAACATCTTTGTGGTCTCTGATGTTCATGTTGAAGCTTGCTATCTCTCCAGTCAGAAAGATTATCATGAATCTCCTGATGGCGTTAAACTGCTCTCTCCTCTTAAAAGCACCTAAAATTAGTCATCTCCACTTACCATTAATCACAGGATCGGCCCCTACCTTCTTGAAGTTTGCCCACATGAAGTCGCTCTTGAGTCTTCTGTATATGATCGGAAGAAGAGCAATTTCAAAGATGACAATCCCCATGTATGCATAGAGGTATGAAATGCTCAGGCTCTTGTTGCTGTGTTCCATCGTATACAGAAAGATGCTGGTGTTATGTGCGTTGATTATCAGCGTGATTGTAAGAGTCAGGGAGTATCCAAGAATGGGGATATACAGCAGATACTGAAACAGGATTTTGCGATAGATTATGTCGCACAGAAATATGAACTGCAGTATGTTTGTTATGTCTAAGAACACTACAAACACCTTAAAAGTCCTTGTCATTCTTCCTGCTGCAAAGTACGGGCCCTCCAGTAAAGCAAGTGCTATTGCTATCGTCCTTGCCATAAAGATAGAAAATGCGAGTTTTGTGTAACTTATGCTTTTCTCTGGCTCGGCCTGACTTTCCATAAAGAACCTGGATTGTTTAATTTTATTGTTTAGCCCGTCAGGTATCAATTTATGGATGCTTATCATTAAAGGATCAGGGAGTGATGCTCTCCCAGCCCTAAATCAAATGTTTGGGTCTCTGGCCCTTCCCATGGACAGGAATGATTATCTAAAGCTGGAGAAGGCAATAAGGGATGGGGAGCATCTCGAGAGTTTGTCTGCTCTGAGGATGGTCTTGGACAGGGTTGTAGGCGACATCTCGTCCTCGTGTCCCAGAGATGACCTGGAGCTTTTGTCCAAGTCCATTGAGCACCAGAGGCTCGTCTATGAAAAGGCTGTTTCTTTGTATGAGGGGATGCAGGCAGAGAATGCTGAGAGGGATGAGCTGATAAGGTGCCTTGAGGACTTCAACCAGTCTCTAGGAGAGTACTATGCACTAGCAAAGAAGGAGGAGCATCCAGGCGGCGGAGAGAGAGACGGGGCGTAGCAAAGGATCTCATCAATAAATTCTTAGTGGTTTATTTCTCGGATCTCAGGCCTCGTCTGAAGGCAGATCCACCGAAGCACTGACTATTCGGAATTTACAAGTGCCTCCTCAACAGATCTCGACACTACTCCAACATCACTTCTGAGGTCATACAGCCTACTTCTGCCTTCCAACACAACCAGACATTCAAACCCGTTTCTTATCTTGATGGTCACTCCACGCTTGCTACATCTCAGTACATCCAGCAACAGGATCTCGACAGTGACCTCATCGCCGCTCAGGCTGCATTCCACCCCATGGCTTTTCTTGACTATCTCCAGCTCCTTGTACAGGCCCGACGCCAGTGCTGCAACGAACACGGCATCCTTGACGCCTCTGGATAATCTAAGCCCGGCTCCCCCAAAGTGCTTTGCAAAGTAGTGGTGCAAAACACCCATCCCCTTTCTATCACACAGTGCCGTAGCATCAACAGACCTTATTGTAAGTCCTGCGTCCAGCCCTATCCTGATGTCATATCCCAGTAGCTTAAACCTGACCTCAGAACCATCTGCCCTCACCAGCTCCATGTTGAAGACGGCACACAGCGTTCGAAACTCTTGCCTTACCTCCTTCAGCTGTGCTTCCGTTACACTCTGGATCTTCAGCGCCTTCTCAAGCTCCTTTATCTCAGCCTCAGTCTTCTCCATGGCTTCACACAGCACACGTCGCTCAACCTGCCTTTTCATCTTTTCCTCAGAAAGCCCCTTCAGCTCCTTCCCAATACTCTCAATCATCTCCTCCTGCTCGCTCATCAGTGTCCTTAGCTCAGAGATCTTCTGGTGTTTGCCCTCTCCATCAGCCCCGACCCTGCTCTTTATCCGCCGTATCTGCTCCTCCATCTTTTCGTTTCTGCTTTTCATGTCCTCAACCTTCTCAGAGACCTCCTTCAGGCCTCCTGCCAGAAGATTGTACTCCAGCGCAAGCTTGTTCTTTCGGTCTGTCACCTCTCTGTTGAACTCAACCTCCTTCTCCTTGCGGAGCTCATACCACTCAATCTTTGCTCTCATTCTGCACTCCGTCTTCAGGGCCTTGAGCTGACTCGAAGCATCTGCCTTCTCAAGCACAGTTCCAGAAACAACAAACTCCCTCTCCAGATCCGCATTCACCTTCTCCTGCCGAGACATCCGGTCCTCGAGCTCAGAACTGAAGTCCAGAAAAAACCGCGTCCGAGGCTCCACAAAATTCGCGTAGAACTTCTCCTGCCTGGGATGAACCTCGTTCCGCGACTTCGACATCGTGTCTCTTCTTGTGTTCGACACAACAAGGCTGTCAAGAAACCGGATCCCCTTCGAAACTAGCATTTCAGAAACATTCACAGCCTCTCTCCTGGCCTGTGGAATCATCTTCCGGAGATCCTGGGTGTTTATAATCTCCTCCACATTAATCGTCTCGTTGCTGATTAATGTGTCTTCAAACTCCTCTTTTGCATTCTCAGCCTTCGAAGGCTTGAGCGTCAGCAATCCTTCACAGCCATCTCCATCTTTAGCGGAACCAGCCTCAACACCCACAGGCTCCCCATCGGTGCATCCAGGAGGACTCTCTGTGTGTGCGCTGCTTCCTTGCAGAACGTCTTGGACGTCCTTGCGACCACCAAAGACATCTTCGTTGGTGGGACCGTCACGCTCGTTTGCACGGCTGCTTGTGCTACAAGACACCAGGTCATTCAACTCCGCATTGAGAAAGTTTCCTTCTCGCTCATCTTCACCGTTCTGCAGCTCTCCGGCCCGAAGATGGTCCACAGTCAGCTCCACAGAAATCTCGTCCTCGCTTATCACTCCGGAGTCCATCGTCCTGTTGCTTCTATTCTCCTCCTCAGGATATATGTACATCACCTGCGGCTCAGGTGCAAAGGATACTCTTTTCTTCTTGGTGTCCTTCTCTTCCTCCATCTTACACAGTTTTATGCCCCAGGCACAATTTATATTTGTGTTCTCTGTGGTAGTGCAGAGATGGGAAGAGGAAAGAAGCTCTTCGACATAAGGAGTCTCTTTTCACAGAGCACACCTCCTGCGCACGACGAGGAGGAGGACAAGGTGTACAATGCAATAGAGGAAAAAAGAAGGAAGTCGAGGGTAAGAGAGCAGCAGAGGATACTCACCAATGAGGAGGTGAAGATGCTTGAGAAGATGGATATCAAGGAGCCCGCTCCCAAGAGTCTTTTCGCTCGGAGAGTGGGAGAAGCGGATGTGGATGAGAACGAGTCTGCCTGCGACAACGGTGCATGGAAAATACATGTTCTCCAGACTCTGATAAGGAAGAACCGCCTGAATGTGCATGCAAGAATCAGACTCAGCAGAATCGTGGATGGGGACGAGGGTGTTCGGATACTGCTTGAGGGCCGGGACATCAAGGATGGGGAACTGTGGAGGGAGATCATCGACCGATGCTATACACCTGACCTCCTTGATGAGGCGCTGGAGATTGTGGATGCAGACGAGGATTTCTATATAAGGCTATTTGCAAGAGACGGAAGCATTAGGGTGCTGAGGACTGGCGTTGAAAGGCATCCGAGAAGCTTTGAGCTCCGGAGGATGCTGAGCGAGAATCTGGCAGATATCGCTGAGAGGCAGATGTTCCTGTATGACTGTGTTCTGGAGACACAGGAGGAGAGGCTGGCAGACATGTTTGTCAACAGCAGCCCGGATTACCGACTTACGATGTCTCTGCATAATGCTCTGAAAAGCAAGGGGATGTGTTCTGACCAAATCCTGATCTACCTACTCAGGGGTGAAAACAGCTCTGCATTGGTTGAGGATCTGTTCGGCCTTGGACTAGAAAGGACTCTTTATGTCCTTCGCAATGGAAGAAAGAGACTTGACCTCCCTAGCCGGATTCTTGCTAAACCCAATGTTCTGCGCTATCTCGAGACGGTCAAGGTGGAGCCAATGACCGCCCTTTCCTCTGATCTATGGTCCCTGTTTGTCTCGATGAGCAGGCACGGGCTTCACGATGACGAGACCTTCATTTCCTGCTACAATGTTGCAAAACAGCACTTTCTGGATGGCGAATTCATAGACAGGTTTTTTGTGATGGGGTCTCGGAGGTACTTTGTTGATCTCATGAAGGCTAGGGAGTGGTGGAGGTTGTTTATGACCAGCAAAGACGTCAGATACTTCCGGAAGGCTGAAAAGACTCTGCAGGGTGGAGCAAAGTACTACGGGAAGGAGAAGAAGATGTTTGTACTTGCCAGGTCGAAGATGTACTACATGTGCGGAGACTACCACAGCAGCTACCTGGCGATTCCTGGGAAGATGAAGACGATCAGAAAGTATGTGATACTTGCACAGATAAACATGGAAAGGGCCACTGAGGAGCTGAGAGAAGACCTGTTTGACTATAAGCATTGGCTGCTGTATGCGGAGCTGGCTGAAAGGAGGGGAATGGATGCCTGCAGAATATACGAGGAGTGCATGGAGAGATATCCTGGGAATGCCAAGGTCGGAATTGGATATCTGAGGTATCTGAAGAGGCTAGACATGGAAAAGGCGCTGGAGCTAAGCAACAGACTTGTGAAGGCGTTTGGAACTGAAGAGTGGGTGTGGTTTGAAAGGTTTGTGATATCCAGGAAGCTGGGGAGGGTCTCTCTGCCTGTCCTCTACAACTCGAGAAAGCATGTAAGGTCTGAGCTGATTGACTCTGAGATAAGATACTATGAGAACAAGGATGTCCCCGAAGGAAACAGGTACTCTGGGTACTATGCGTACAAGAAAGTAAAGATCAGGGAATGCAATGGGAATGGGATGTGCAAGGACTGCATCACCTCGATGAAGGGATACTATAGGGAAAGGATATTGAGGAACCAGGACGATGGAGACAACTATATATTGTACTACTGTGTTAGCGGGGAAGTTGGTCCTGAGCTTAGAAGGATGGTTGAGTTTTTTGATCCTCGGGGAGGAGACTACTGGGCCAGGATCAGAAATGTTGTGGACATTGGAGATAAGCTTGCAGCAGGGTCCCTGATGATGAACTTTGACCTTCTGGGATAGAGCCCTATGCGGCGATCTGGTATGTAAGCAAGAGTTTTTGATCCCTTAATGGAGCTGCTGACGGAGCTTCTGGAGGAATGGAGAGAGGCGATTGCTGTGGTAAGAGACCGGGTGATGCATGGACGAGGAAATGTAGGGGACAGAGATGCTCTGGAGGTTGCTGTGAAGGAGCCTGGAGAAGGGAAAGATGCCTCAGGGATGGACAAGGAGAACGAGGCCTTCCAGTACGATGAAGACTTTGACGGAAGCGTGTTTGACCAGGAGAGTCTGATTCCAAGCCATATTCCTGTTATAAAAAGCAGGAACACAAAGCTGGATGAAGGGCTCTCTGTGCAGGAAGAGAAGAAAGGGCAGGTGGATCCACACCTGATGCCCTCCTGTTTGGATGCAGACAAGAGATGCAGACCCCTTGGGTATAGGGAGTTGGCTGTGAAAGAGGGCTCGATCATGGCAGACCTGGCCTCTTCGGAGCTTTGCAAGGGAACAAAGCTCAAAAGACTCTCTGCAGCCAAAGACCTTGGGATCGATCCTCCCAAAAGAAGAGAGGTTGCCGAGGCCTCTCCTGGTGATACAGGGGCGGGAGAGAGGGCAGAAGGAAATCCATCTAGGCCAGTGGACGGCAAGAGCTTCAGTGCGAACTCGAAGTTGAATGCAGCGTGGTTGCAGCTGAAGAAAAGACACCTCGAAAGGATGAACGGATCTGTGTGCACCAGGAATGGAACAGAGGGCTTGGGGATGCAAGAGGGAGACAAGGGCAGGAAGCACTCTCCACATATTCCGGGCCCCCGGCTCTCTCCCAGAAAGGATCCCAAGGAGCCCGAGCCCACAAGAAGATTTAACGGAAACAATCTCTACAAGCAAGCAATAGACCACCAACTCCTCAGGTCGGCAGGCAGGGTTCCCCAGCACATTTACAGGGCGAAAACAAAGATACCACAAGTGGGCGAGGACGATGCCATCCTGGATCCAGACTTCGTTGTCCCAGACTTTGCCAAGGACCCGGCAATAAACTTCAAGGTGAAGATGCAAGACCACAGGGCTCTTGAGAGATACTTCTCGAATGGATATGAGATTGATGTAGAGCAGCTGTTTCCGCACGTAAAGAACGTGTCGAACAACAGCCCGAACAAGTGGCCAGCAAAGGGGAACGGAGGCTAGGATTCTGTATCCTATACTATTAAACGATATCCATGGCAGCGCCGCTTTATTGGATGACTACGGGACACCTGTCGTGGTTTTTCTGCAGAAGCCGGCATTCTCGGCAGCAATGTGCGGTGTTTCTTGGATCCTTGAGTCCACACACAATACATCTGTCCTTGTATGTGGAATGGAAGCATGAGGTGCAGATGTAGACCCTTGTTGGAGATGTGCCAGCATCCAGGGTGCAAATGTAGCACTTCCCTGAGCATCTATCGCAGACCATTGCAGCCTTGTCTGTAGAGATCTTCCCGCATCTCGGCTTTGTGTGGAGATGCATGTGGCCGAGGACACACCCCACGGCTGTAAATTTCTGAAATTTTTTGGGCCTGAAAATGGGGTGGACGTCGGATAAGCCCGACGAAGCAAACTCTGGCACGAATGGCTTTGGGCGAAGCGAATCCCTGGGAAGGAACGGTTTGGCCCACGGAGATGGCAAGGACTCTTCCCGCACAAGGGAATTCTATGGAGCCCTTGGAGCAGAGAAAATAAAGGGGGCTCGTGGGCCTTACAAAAAGTCGAAAGGGGCTGATGGTGGGAGCTACGGATACCTGTATGGCAATCTTTACGAGCAGGCGCAGGCGCGCAGACAGAAAGTGCTGGGGTTTCTGCAGAAGGACCTGTTCCAGATTGGAAAGCCCGACTTTAGAGGATTCATGAATGCCAATCATGCCTATGAGTGCCTTCTTCCATACCATGTGTTTGGGTCTGGCGTGTATGAGGACATGCTATTTGCAAACAGCAGGGAGATGGAGGTCATTCCATCGGAGATCGATGAGGTGGTTAGTCTGATGAAGGAGGCAGCGGTGCTTGAGAGCAGATCGTTGGCAACTGAGGAGACGCTGGTGTGCGAGCTGCTCCTGTATTATCAGCAGAGATACATAAACTCTATTTATGGAGATGAGAGAAAGCAGAAGGGTCAGAGAAGATACAGACAGCAGCTGAACAAGCGAAACACTGTATTCAGGCTGAAGATTGGGGTCAGGACGCCGAAAGGAAATGACGTCGATGTAAGGAACGGAAGGCTGTACTTTAAGAAAGTGAAAGGTGATTGAAATAAATGTTTATTCTTTGTTAGTATGGACGCGATGCCTTCCCGATATGGAAAGTGTGATATTGCGCCTTAATTGAGTTAAGGACTGGCTGCGGGGAAGGGGTGGACCTTGGGATGATGTCTATGCGATTGGCGACGGGGTCTGAGTTTGTGGTGAAGCTTTTCCAGATACTCGAGGAGCCCGAGAACTATCCGTACATATCATGGATGCCCGATGGAAGAAGCTTTGTCATATCTGACCAGCAGGGCTTTTCTGAGTTTGTTCTTGAGAAACACTTCAGGCACAAGAACTGGAGTTCCTTTGTCAGGCAGCTCAACAAGTACGACTTCTACAAGGTACGGAGAGATGGAGAAAGGACCGGGTGCATTGAGGCTATGTGGGAGTACAGGAACAAGCATTTCCAACGGGGGAAGCACGAGCTGCTGAGCAAGATCAGGAGGAAGAAGGCGCCGAGCGAAGGGTGTGGGGCTGGAGGAACAAACCCAAAGCAGATTGAAAGCGGAATAGTCTACCAATCGCACGTGCTTGACACTGTGCGGAGTATTTCCAAGTATCTTCAAACTGTTGTTGAGGACATCAACGAGATAAAGAAATACATTTACCACGAAAGAATGAGAATTGCTTTGAAGACAAGTGTTCTGTTTGTCAGGGAGGGTGTTCCTGGGTCTGAATGGGTCTACGGAGCCCTAAAGATTCCAAACTACTCTCTGACCGTGGTGGAGGAGAGCGCCGATGTGGGAAGCATCATGAGATGGAGGTACGATGTAGTTGTGTTGTATGCCAACTCGCCCCGATGCATTACGGCTGTGAGCCGAATAAGGGACGAAGACGAGGAGGTTCCGATTGTTCTGGTTGTCGACGAAGGATTCAAGAGCGAGTATGCGAACATTCTGGGGATTAGAGCTACGGAGGCCCTTCTAATGCCTTTTGACCCAAGTGAGCTGGTTGACGCCATCAACAGGCATGGGAGTCAAAGAAGCCCGGAAGGAGTCCATGGCTGACTTCTTTATTTAGTGTGTATCTTAAAACGATTAAATTGTATGTAAAGCGAGTGTCTATGCCTTTGGATGGAAGAGGTCTTCTCGAGAGTGAGGAGGTGTCTCTCCTATTCCGTGCGTTTCGAAATGGGGGAAGGGGATGCAGGGTTAACAGGAAAGACGCGGACAAGGTCAAGATTTCTAGGATCATAGAAGTCGCCATGGGCTCTATGCGGGCATGCAGCCTTCGGGTCTGCTCGTTACTGCTCAGGGTGGTGGCAAAGACCTATGAGGCCAAGGTCAGGATTTGCCTATTCGAGATCAGGTCGTTGGTGAAGATATTGGATGGGAAGAAGAGGGAAGGGCCCTGGAGGCGGAAAGAGAGAAACATGCTTTCTATGGACACCGGACTTGTATCGAATGGATACAGCTCCGAATTCAACGACACCCACCACACAGACAGCTTGATGCTTAGCTACAGTGAGGCGCTAGATCCTGCAGATATCCTGCAATGCTCACCAAGAAGACGCTGTAGAAATGTATTTGACAAAGTGATGGTACTCAGTACCAGTGGAATGATCATTCCAGACACATCCAGGGGCGGGAAGGAGATGGAAGCCCTGGAGCCTGCAAAGGAGGAGGCCTTTGTCATCAGAGAGGCCAGGAGGACGATCCCAGATGCCCAAAGCATTGAAGTTGAGTACAGCGAGGTGTCCACGTTCGGCTCTGTAGAGAGAGGCCGCAGCTCCTCTGTGCACTCCACCAGGTATGACTTCTCAGACCCCATTTCCGACGAAGGCATCCTTGACCTTTCCCATAGCATCCTAGACTTCGATGAACATGCAGTTGGAAGCAGGCAAAGAAGGGCTCGGATCTTTTATAGAATGCTTGAGTTGAGCTCGAGGGGGTGTGTTATCCCAATACAGAAGCAGGCCTACGGCAAGATTGTCCTCATAAGGGCTGACTGGCCTGGAGATGGGTTTTGAGTAGGCTAGGCACTAGTGCTCGACCGCCTGATTTAATTTATCAAAGGCAATTGATCATGTGGTTTGGCTAAATTAAAGCAGAATGCCTTAGGATGGGAGGCTATTCATTTAAGTAGATCCCCAGCTCATTAATTCGTGATAAACATATCTACCTTTATTACTCCGCTGCCCATCGAATGGACTTGCTCAGGAAAAATGGGCTGCTGGAGTATGGGAGGAAAGCCTCATTCGTATATCTGGCCCTCAGACTAACGGTTGTTGGGGTAGGGTTTATGAGAAAATCATTTATCTCGGGGAGGGGATCTGTACTCAAGCCGATGTGTCTGTCGCTTTCCCTCACAAACATCTACATGTTCATCTATCTTGAAAACGCCATATCACGGAAGAACATAGAGCAGTGCAAGGCATACTGGGCCATTGCTCTCATGGCGACTCTTGAGGCATCTGTGGTTATCGAGACTCTCTTCAAGTTCCATCTGAAGGAGATGGACGTCATGGTGCTATCCTTTATGTATCTGGGGCTATGCTTTTGCGAGGTGGTCAGAGTGCACTTCATATGTAAGGAGTACGGAGATATGTTCGAGTGGTTTTATTTCAAGTACACGGGGGCCTGTACCAAGACGAAGAGTAAGTGCGAGCATGTAATTTTAAGTTGCATACAAGACAAGAGCAAGATATGAGGCAACAAAGTTCCTGATGATCTTGATGGCCATCCAGGGGGTCTATCTCCAGATCGAGGGGCTCAAGTGCTGTCCAGTAGGCAGTATGAGAATGATGTACATAGTACTCGACCACTCCTTTGAGATAGCTATGCTTTTCTTGATGTTTGTTCGGCAGAACGAGGAGGACGAGGAGCAGAGGATGCTCCTGATCATGATCGTTGCACTGAACATCTCATATTGTGTGTTCCAAGTTACTCTCTACAAATACAGCGACGAACCATGCTGGTCTTTAAGAAGGTAAGTGAATGTCTTTAACTTTAGATTCTTCATCATCAGAAACATCTTTGAAGGCACCATCAACACATGCTTCCTCTACTACTGCATCCTAGACTACAGATACTTTGGGTCTGGGCTCAAGGAGGTGTTCTTTCCCACGGGCAAGAACCGGGAGGTGCTGAGGATGGAAGAAGAGAATGTCAATCTGTCTATCCAAGAATAAATATAGAGCATCTGTTTCTTCTCAAGATGTATATGCCCTTCTAAAGGCCTCAGGAACTTCCCTCCAAAATGGAATTATTAGGCAGAGAGTCCAATCCCTCATGAGGTACGAGAGGCCAGATGCATTAGGGTTCGAAAACTCACCTGACAAGGAGAACTACAATCCGCACATCAAAGAGTTCACGCCCAGCAAGGCAAAGCAGAGAAAGAGATACACTGCACTCAGGGAGATCACGGAGAAGTCGAAGAGGCCCGTACAGGAAGCCAGCAGAGCGTCACAGGAGGACGAGACCGAAATGGATCTTTTGTTTTCCTCGTTTCCTAGGTCACCGTTCAAGTCGAAGAACATTAGAGAGCTGTAGGTCTTGTGGTTCAGGCATACACGGGCTCACCCCTTGACATTAAATATTTTATAGGAGATGTGCCAGGCGATGAAAGGCAGGTGTGTGAGGCATACTAGCTCTCAATAGCTCAGTGGTAGAGCATTCGACTGTAGAGGTGTGCTGATATCGAATGGCCGCTGGTTCGACTCCAGCTTGGGAGATTCTTTTTTGCTTGCTGCACCTCCCTGCAACAAAAGAATGCGACCTCCCAGGCTCGAACTGGGGACCTTCCGCGTGTTAGGCGAACGTGATAACCACTACACTAAGGTCACTTGCCACTCCTAAGATGACCCAACATCTCCCTCTGCTCCCCCACAGTCCTTAGACAAAACATTTATTTCTCTGTGGCTTCTCCTCCCTTCCACACTTCTCGGCTCCACCAGCCTCAGGGATCTCTCGATATGTGTGCCCCCTGGATCGCACTCACCGCCGTAAATCCCTTGCTGATGATCTCCTTGGCCTTGATCTTCCTAACCTCCCCGTCATCAACTTCTCCATCAAACAAACTCATTAGGAACTCAGAGCTCTTGACTTCGACTCTACTCCCCTTCTTGTAATACACAAAACTTAGCGAGTTCAGAACACGCTCGTAGTCCTCGTCCCTGAACAGTGGAAAGACCCTGTGCTCCCTTAAGCCCTCAAGAACAATCTTCTTGTTCAGGATCCTGTCCACCATTCTTATTCCAGAAAAGGATGTTTGCTCCACAACCCACACTTTGCCGTCGGTCACTGCCTTCACCGTGGCCGTCCTTGGGATGTTGTGCAGAAGGGCTATCTCCCCGAAAAAGCATCCCTTCGTCAGCTTTCTGAGAAGCGTCCCTCCTTTTGTAACCTCAAACTCTCCACTGGCAACAATGTACATCTGCGACCCAATTTCTCCTTCATGCATAACAAACGTCCCACGCTTGATCTCGATCAGCTCCGTCGACTCGATCAGCCTTGTCTTCTGCTCAGGATTCAGAAACCCAAATGGAATGTCGCTGACAAGTATCGAGCTGAGAAACCTGATCGTCTCCTCGTCCTTTGGATAGTAGTTCAGCCTGAATGTCTCCGGAGTAATTCTTTCCGAATAAACCCCACTTCTCCGAGATGCCCTCCACTCCTCGTCAAATCCCTTCCTGTCTCCTTCCTTGGAGTTCAGCTGCAACTTCGTCAGTGTACCGTTTTCTGCCAGCCTGTTGACAAACATGTCCAGACCCTCACCAGTGTTGTCCTGGCTCACGAACATCTCGGAAATCCTTTGCACGACGTCCGAGTTGATGCTGAACTTCAGCTCCCGCAGTTTGTCCTCGATCCTCTCAAGAAGCCCTTCCTCTTTATTCATTGGAGGGAGAGATTTTTGGACTATTATTCAGCTCGTGTCTGCTCTCAAGCCAAAACGCAAGACTTATATTCCACCTCCAAATAATCCCAACATGGAACCTGATGCGCTTCTGGACATGCTGAGAGAAAGATACAGGGTCGAAAGGGCCCCTGACGGTACGTACCTCGTCTCAAACGGAGGCAAGACTGTTAGGATCTATGAATCTAAAGCCTTCAGCCAGCCTGACGTGGATGGCCTTCTTGACAGACTAGGCCCCCCAGAAGGAGACTTCGGACACGTTGGAAGAGACGACCTGTTTCCAGACATGAGGGGGATAAGTGTGGCGAAAACAAGAAGACGACACCCCAGGGGATCACTTGTGGACCCAAGCATCTTTCGCTCTCCGCCCAAACATTCCGAGGAGGACGAAGACTCCAACCCCCTGATCAACATAGATCCAATAACGCCTTCAAGAAACAGGAAAGACAGCTTTGAGCCAGACCCAGACCATTACAAACCAGACAGGAGCTCTCGGTTTCCTCCCCATTAAACGATGTAGTCGAAAAGGCTTTTTACAGTAGTGTTTAGCGTGGGCTCCAGGTCAAACTGCATCTACTTTAGTTCTCTCGCTGTGGACACCCATGCTACCAATAAACTTTGCAGAGATTCATCCGGTAAAGCCAGACGACTTTGTTCTTGACAAGACGCTGTGCACCGAGGAAAGCCGGAGGCCGAAGATTCTCCAAGAGTACTCCAAGGAAGAGAAAATGTGCATCCTAAGGAAGCGGATACTCGCCATCGCAAGCAGAAAGGGAGGATGGCCCCAGAAGAAGACGGTAAGAAAGGAGTCTGAGTCGATGTGGGACGTGGACCTAGCAAGGGCAGACCAGGGGCATTTCGACCAGAGAGGAAACTTTGTCCTCGGAGCCCCGCAGAACCCCTCCTTCTCGTGGCTTGTGAAAAGAGGCGGCTGCATCCACGGCCCATTTACCGACCGAGAGATGAGGTCGAAAGTCAACGGTGGAGAGTTGGAAGATGCAGAGGTCAGAAGAGATATAGACAAGGGATTTGTACCGTACAGCAGCCTTGTCAACGATCTTGGAGACTTTCTTTCGTCTGAGAAGCTCGACAAATACTTTGAGGAGAATGCCATCACCAAGAAGCCTCCACAGAAGCCCCAGGAGTTCTTCGAGGATCTTTCCTCATTATCTCTGAAGAAACATCCGAGCAGAGATCTTGATCGCTCGAAGGTTCTTGAGACCTGCGTCAAGTCAAGAAGCTTTCTCCACTCCAGAAATCCATCGGTGGCCCTTAGCTACATGGAGAGGAGGATCTCTGGAAAATCGTTTTCAGATGCGGCCAAGATCATTTCCAATGTTGCAGGATTCAGCAAGGCCGAGTCCGAGGAGTTTCTGAACCTACTCCTTGACGAGTCGAAACTATCAATTCTCTCCGACATCTGCCCCGACGGCTTTGTAAAAGTCACGTCTGTAACAAAAAAGGGCGCCAGAAGGTGATGTGCCTAAGAGATTGCCTACCGACTAACTAAACAAAGATAACTTTATTAGGGTCCATCATCCTTTATCTTCTGCCTCCCCACTTCTTCTTTCCCTTGCTGCTGTCCAATGACTTCTTGTGTAGAAACGAGTAGATGGATAGCCTTCCAGGCCCAAGGGCCTCCTGCCACATGTCTTTGATGACATCCTGGTTATAATCCTTCCCAAACCAAATGGCTATCTTATAGAATGACTGCTTCTCGTTGAACACACATCCGCATATGTTGTCGACAGTGTTCGACACGCAAAATGCCATTGTCCTCTTCCACAGCTCACCAACATTGTCCTTCCCAGAAACGGGGACGTCCATTATAATCCTTCCTCCGTCTATATTCGCTTCGTCCTCCCACATCGGCTTGATTCCCTTTCTGAACAAATTCATCGTGCACAGCCTACCAATCCCCGCATTCGATATCTCGTCACAGAGATACAGGAACTCGGGAACCGTTGACACCTCTCCAACCGCCACAAGATCGTCCCCCCAGCTTTTGGCATTCGACTCGTCGTTGCTGTTTTGCCAGAAAACCCATTGCGATGCCAACTCCATGGTAAGTCAGGGATCCAAAATATCGGAATTTACAGATCTTGGTGCTGCAGCCGCCGTCGAACCTACGCTTCAAACATAGCATCTTTATTCATTTACTCCTTCGCGTCCCTCCTCTTTCTCTTCGTGGAGCTTTCTGCATCCTCTTGCCTTCTGTGCATCGACATGAAGCACTCGTGGATGCTGAGAAGAAGCCTTCTGTTCTTGTCAAACTCGACCCCTGATACCCTCCCAACGGTCTCTCCTAGATCCAGAACAGTGCTCATGATGTCGTCGACTGCATCCTTCACCCTTTTGATGTCATAATGGTACGAAGGAAGAGCCCTAGACTCCTCCTGGATCTGGCTGTCTATAAGAGCAATGCGGGCCTTCAGGCTCTGGTTCTCGCTGTCCAGGGTCTTCAGCCTGCTCTTCACCTCTTCCAACTCTCCATTTACATCGGAGTTCACAACCGCAAGGTTCCTTATCATCTTGGATCTCTGAAGAAAGTTCATTGTGTTTATGCTGTCGCTTCTACTCTCCAGAGAGACATTTCCGATGACCGTCAGCTTGCAGTTTCCCCCCAGCGAGTCCTTGAGTAGGAAAGTAAGCTTGGACTCTCTATATCCTATGTGCCCCTCCTCACCGTTGCTGAGCTTGTTGATCACCTTTCCAAGGTACAGGAGAGACTTGTTTATGTTGGCAGTCTCCTTCATTTTCGTCTCCTCCACCTCTCTCTCCCTCAGCCTCTCAGACCCTGCAAGATCAACAAAGCACACCCTCGACGACCTCGACATCACTTCCCCGCTGCTCTTGAGATACACAGTGAAAACAGAGTGGCTTCTGCTGCTCTCCTTGTTCATCGACGTGGAGGACGTCCTCCTTGTCCTTGTCCCTCTGGAATACATCTCCATGCTCTTCTCGTAGCTGTCGCAGTCCACAATAGTCAGGCCGTCAACAACCACCCCACAAAGCGGGTCTTCCCGTATCGATAGGATAGCCTCGGGGTCAAACAGGTCCAGCATCGTCTCGTTGTATATCTCAACAAAGGAAAGGGAAATCCTGAGATCTGCATTCCTATGCAGGAGGCTCAGCGACCTCTGAACAATCCCAATGCTGTGGGCGTTTCCCTGTATGGTGTAGGTCTTCCCGCTCCCTGTTTGTCCATATGCAAACAGCGTGCAGTTGTATCCCTGCATGCACTCCACCAGAAGACTCTTTGATATCTCCTGGAAAACCTCTTGCTGCGTGGAGCCTCTGAAAACCCTGTCGAAGCAGAAGCTGCTTCCATCCACGATTACTGAGTCTCCGCCAACAACTATGTCCTCTGGAATTGCCTGTGGCTTGATCCTCAGATATGTCCTGACATTTTCAAGCATTGCTCTCTAGGGAAGTCTTGATTTGGTGTTTTATCGAGAAACTGAACGAGGAAGTCGAGCCCATTCCAGGCATATGGGGAGCGCATCTGGAGAAGAAAGAGAGGGGCCCTTGGGACTTTACCTTGAGATCAAGATGCAAAGGAAGGATATCGTGTCTCCTGTGGACACAATGGGATGCTCCATCACTCCGTCATGCCGCACAGAAGAAGAAAGGAGGTTCCACATCCTGGTTTCTCTTCTTCTGTCCTCGCAGACGAAGGACGAGGTGACCTACGAGGCCATGGCAAGGCTGAGGAAGCTTCTTCCAGAGAGTGCTGCTACAGATGGCGAGGCCCGTGGGGGACTGACGATCGAGAGGGTGGCAAACTCGGACGTTAAGCACATCAACGAATGCATCAAGAAAGTCGGGTTCCACAACAGAAAGGCTGCGAATCTGAAGAAGATTGCAGAGATCCTGAGGGAGAAGGGTCTTCCAAGGGAAATGAAGGACTTGATTTCTCTCCCGGGGATTGGAAACAAGATGGCACTTCTGTACATGAGTCATGCATGTAATCGCACTGTCGGAATAAGTGTGGATACACATGTGCATAGAATCTCAAACAGAATAGGGCTGGTCAGAACCAGAGATGTCGAGAGCACCCGAAGAGAGCTGGAGAGGGTTGTCCCAAGGAAGGAGTGGAAGACGATAAACAACATTCTGGTTGGGTTTGGGCAGACAATATGTGTTGCGAAAAGGCCAAGGTGCGAGGAGTGCTGCATCAGAGGCAGATGTCCCAGTAGTCTTTTTTGACATTAAGGAGCACAGTATACTAAAGAAGAATATTTTATTCGCTGACCTCAGCTACTTCTGTATCAATCATCTCCCCTAACTGGGCGTTGATCTTCTCAAGCTCGGATTGACGTATTCCCCTTTCCTTTGGAAGGGTGATCCAGATGTTTTCGGAGGACTCTCCAATCAATATGCAGCTTTTGCTTGTACAGGAAAAGGTGTTTCCTGCAAAATCCGTCATTCCATACACAGTCTCCTTTCCTTGCGTACTGATTGTGTTTATGACCCCAACGCGTCCTCTAGCCTTTCCCCTCGACACAAATATAACCTTGTCGGGCCCAGGAACAATGTACTCAATGACCTTCGATGTCTCGTTCGAGATCTTGATCGTGTATCCCAGGTCAATGGCCGGGTCACAGAACCGGATGCTTAGCCCGCAGCTGGAAACAATGTACGGAATCCCCTGGTTCTCATACTTCTTTGTAACCTTGGTCAAACGGTAGCTTGCCTCCTCAGAGCTTATCCTGTGGAGGTGGAACTTCTTGTGCACGTTGTATAGAACCCGGAAGTGCTCTCCCGTCTTCTCAATCGATACAACATCAAACAGCCCGACAGGAAAGTGGGAGTTTGTTCTGACCCGCCCATTCACCTTGATGTTCTTCTCGGCCAGGATAATACTAAGCTCCTTGAAATTGCTTGCATACCTAAGAAACCTTGAAATCAGATACCCAAGAGGAATGCACTCCGTCTTCTTGTGGGGCCCACTGGCAGGCATTAGTGCAAACGTCCCTCCCTGCTTGTCCAGCATCCACGACTTCGGCGCCGTCTTTCGCTTTAGGTGGTCGCGATGTCCGGTTGGCATTTTCAGGGCAAATTTTTTCGTTGGCAAAAATCAAGCCGATTGGCTGCCGAAGGCCACGGCCCCAATTACACCTCTCCAATGGGGCCAGGCGTTTCATGCATAGAGAAATTTGCCGTTTTGCTTGACGTCTATCCGCCAAATCGATTTGCTGACGTTTCTGAAACCTGTTGCATATAAACCCGGCACAGCACAATAAATCTGCAGGAGACAGAGATGGTCAAGCTGAATCCAAGGATAAAGAACGAGATCCAGAAGCTTTACAATGCGAACTACGAGGTCAGAATGATTGAGGGGAAACAGACCCAGATGGAGGTCCTGATCAACGGCCCAGAAGACTCTCCGTACAGTGGCGCCAAGTACATTGTCAACATACTCCTTCCAGACAACTATCCGTTCAAAAGCCCCTCGATAGGATTCACGACCAGAATATTCCACCCAAATGTCGACGAGGCAAGCGGATCGATATGCCTTGATGTCCTAAACCAGATATGGTCCCCGATATACGACCTCCTCAACATTGTGGACATTCTTCTTCCACAGCTCCTGTCCTATCCCAACGCAGCAGACCCCCTGAACTGCGAGGCTGGCTCGATGTATCTGAACAACAGGGAGAAGTACAACGAAGTCGTTAGGAGCTATGTCAAGAAGTATGCAATCCCGGCAACCAAGGAGAAGATAGATGTAGAAACAAACAACAATATAAGCGATGAGGAAAGCTTAGGTCTTTAATAAAGCAGTCTGCTAGAAGTCTCTGCCGCCTTACAAGGAGGGATCCTTGATCTCAATCCCAAACAACTTACACATGAGGTCCCTTCCGATGCTTCTATTGAAGAGTACCTCCCTGGTCTTGAAGAATGCATGCGATGTCAGAAGGGCATCACTCCCTGCCTGGTGCTGAATCCCATCACGGACAAGCCCAAGGTCGTTCGATATCTCCTGCAGGCCTTTCTTCAGATACTTGCTGTTCTGGACCAGGAACTTTATGTCGTAGAAGTCGGGGAACAGTGCTGCAAGAAGTCTGTAGAAGTCCTCTTCCCTCTCTGGAAGCGGATTGCACGTCAGGATCTTTATGAGGTACCCAAAGTCATAGGCAGAGTGGAACGAGACCCATACAACATCCTCAGACATCACCAGCCCAGACGTCATCAGAACCTCCCCAAACTCCTCCACCTTGATCCCTCTCCTTTCGTGCTCCTTAAAGTCTATTCTTGCTTGGATAAGTAGGTCAATCGACTCTTGTGCATACATGTCCGTTTCAAGGCTGAATGCAAAGTTGAACTGCCACGTGCTTATCGGGCATGGCCGGTTGCCCTGCTCGTCGCTCAGAGATATCCCAAGCTGGATGATCTTCAGTATGTCCACATTGCACTTCAGCTGTTGGTATGCAAACGAGGAGGACGACTTGAAGCTTCCAATCGGCTTGGCAACAACCCCCGGGAACTCTGTGTCCATGCTTATGTAGTTATATCTGCCTATTAGCTGGGATATCTTCCTCATCTCCCCGTGGAGATTGTCTTTCCACACATTGAGTATCTGCCCGTCGCTCATGCTGGGGGCACAAATAAAACAGATGAGAACCCCATCAAAGCCTTAGTCGCCGTCGACAATGTTCTTGAACAGCTGCATTGTGTTGTTTTTCTTGTATATCAGATACAGATTGAATTGTGCAAGTCTTCGAAGCTCGGTGTTGGATGTTCCCAGTGCTTCCACATAGAAGCTTTCTGCAAGGCCCGGAAATCCAAAAAACTGGTAGGCCTTGCCAATGTTGTAGGAGATGATCCGTGCATCTTCTCCTCTGGACCTCTCCTTCAGCCTCTTGAGGACCGATATCCCTTTCCTTACAAACATGTTCCTGTCGCTTACCCTCCTCGACTTGGAGTGGATGAGGAACATTGATGCAAGAATTATGCCTTCTGATGGGCTGCCTTCCATCTGGAGGGAAGACATCATCTCGACAGTCTTCGATTGCAGAAGATTTGGGATGTGGGCATTCAGAAACAGGAAGTGCGACACTCCTGTTGCCCTTCTCCTTGTGCCGTCTTCCCTGCACACCTCTGCACAAGGGACGCCTTCGTAGACCCCCATCTCTCCATTTTCTGGCTTCTCTCCAGGTTCCAGAGGCATCGAAGAGGATTCGTCTTCGGAGCTTAGAGAAATCCTAAGCCTTCTTCTGCACACCCGTTGAAGATACTTCTGGAAGTATGAAAAGTCGCTATTCTTCTGGAAGCTCATAAAGAAGTTGCTGAAGTAGAACAGCAGATATGCATATGAGTAGTTCCCTGTGTGGCAGATCATGCTCCTTATCAGGGAAACAAAGTCTCCAAACTCTCCAAACATCAGCGATGCCTTCAGGCCAGCAAAGGCCAGTTTGCAGATGATGTCGCTTCTGTGCCTGAAAATGTATGCCTCTAGGGACCTGAATATCAACGACATTGCCTCCTCGGTACGCCGAATGGAAAGCAGAGAAAAGATCTGGCCTGACACAACATTGAACCACTCGTCAATGCTCAAGCCGTGTAGATCAACAAACCTGAATCCATCGGAAGCCCCGTCCCTCATTACCCTGTCTCCACCCCCGGGTTCCAGGGCAGCAGGGTTGCTGGAATGCCTCTGCCTGTACAGGCCTATTCCTGTGGACGATCTTTTTTTCTTTTTCTCAAAGATGAACCTGTTCTTCAGGAAGTCATCAACCAGAGTGCCGTTGGACTCGATGAACTTCTCGCGATCATTCACAAAGGCCTTAGTGCTCTCATAAAGCGCCCTTGTGCCCATGCACATCTCCGGAGAATATGCACATCCCTTCTTGTTCCTTCCATCAACAATGCCAATAAGCTGTGCAATCGTCTCGTACTTCTTAGCCATCTCGTGGTTCCCCAGCCCTGTGTAGATAGAATGGATGCGCGACTTAACGTCGTCGTTTCCAGGGTTGGTTTCAAGCACCAACTTGTAGTACAGAAGAGCCTCGTCATACTCCCCTTTGTCGTGAAGCATTCTTCCCAGCTTCCAGTACACAAACTCCCTCTGGTCCCCAAATCTGTTTCTTATTCTTCCTAGCAGTCTTGTCACCTCGCTGGCCATGTCGTTTTCTATAAGTAGGTCAACCAGCTGCTTCAGAAGATCAACATCGGCAATCTCAGACCATACCTCATCATCCTCGAGAAAGGAGTCGATGCATTCTTCGGCATTCCTGTCTTTCTCACCATGCAGGCATGCCATTATGTATATCACTCTAAGCCTCACGCTGAGAGTGACATTCCTTCTGAACAGGTGCCTGTCGAACACCATTTTCATGTCTCCAAAGTCGGAGGCCTCGTACTTCAAGATGATCAACTGCTCAACATAATAGTCCGAGCACGAGGCCTCGTCCTTTGAGAGATGCCCGAGAAGCTTCTTGGCAAGTCTTGCAAGCCTGGCCTTGTGTGTTATCTCCTCGTGAATGGCCCTGAAAATCCCGTCGTCAACGCCGTCAAACTCAAACAGCTCTATTCTGCAGGTCAGCTCCCTGAACTTGTCCCCCTGGTACAGGCTCATCTTTTCGACAACCATCTCTCTCTTGCTTCCTCTCCTCTGAAGAACCTCAATGAAGTATATCCTCTCCCTGTTGTACCCAAGCTGGCGCGAGTAATCGTAGAGCTTGCTCCAAAGCCCATAGTTATTCTTCTGAAGATGCGCTGCAACAAGGAAGCAGTAGTATGCCTTTGTTATATCGCCCCTCTCTTCAAAGATAAGTCCCAGGGTGAAGTACGGCTGCGGGTTTCTTGGGACAAGGCATATCGCCTCCTTGAGGACCTCTGTACATCTCTCGAGATCGTTTCTGACATACAGGTTGTTTGCAATCGCTAGCAGGCTTCTTGCCTTTGCGACCCTCTGCGACCCTCTTGACGAGGATTTCCTACGGGGTCTTCTCACAAGCCACTCCTCTTCTCCGCTTAGCCATCCCACATAAGTCATAAGCCTGGGGGATCGATGCAAAGACATTAAATCCAAAGAGCGGTGGACAGAAGGGAGGTGTTTGCGGCGGAGACCGTAGAAAGCACGCTAGGTTGCATGCAGCCAGGACCAGAGGCTGGGTAGACTTCGAAAATCCCATGATTTAAAAAAAATTTGCTCTGGGGGCTTGAAATGAAGCAACAGATCAACTGCTACGAGGCTGACGGGGTGACTGTGAAGAAGACCCTGGATCTCCCCGAGGTCTTTTCCGTGCCAATAAGGCAGGACCTTGTTCTGAAGACATACTCTCTCTACAGGATGAAGACCAGGCAGCCGTATGCAGTGTCGAAGAATGCAGGTATGCAGCACTCTGCAGAGTCATGGGGAACAGGAAGGGCCATTGCTCGCGTGCCTCGGGTGAAGGGAGGAGGAACAAGAAGGGCAGGGCAGGGTGCATTTGCAAACTTCTGCCGTAAGGGTAGGATGGCGCATCCGACGAAGACCCACAGGAGATGGGCCAGGAAGGTTGTGGAGAACACGAAGAAGATAGCTGAGGCAATGGCCGTTGCAGCTTCTGCGCAGGCGTCTCTTGTTGAGGCACGGGGGCACAGGATATCCGATGTCAAGATGCTTCCGATTATTGTTTCCGACGACATTGCAAAAGCCAGAAAGACCAAGGATGCAGTGGAGATCCTCAGGAACTTGAACATGACAGAGGAGCTGAAGAGGGTTGAGAAGAGCAGAGGAGTTCGATGTGGAAAGGGGAAGATGAGGAACAGAAGATACACCCAGAGGAAAGGAATACTGATTGTCCACGGAGAGTCTTCTGAAATGCTTGGATTCAGGAACATCCGGGGGGTTGACCAGATGAGCATTGACAGCCTGGACCTCCTTGAGCTTGCGCCTGGGGGAGTGGCCGGAAGACTAATTATCTGGACCGAAAGTGCATTTGAGAAGCTGGACAAGATCTTTGGAGGGGTTGAAAGAGAGGCAGAGCTTACGCCTGGGTTCAAGCTTCCCAACAGGATTGTGACCCATGACGATCTTGAGGAGCTGTTCTACAGCGATGCCGTCCAAGCCATTCTCGACGAGCCTCTGTTCGTGGGAAGGACATCGGTCAAGCTGGACGACGAAGAGATGGAAGAGAGGCTGAGGTTCATTAGGAAGTTTGATGCATCTGCCATAAGATCTACTAATTAAACTGATCTTCTTTATTTCTCAGGATCCTGAGCAGCCTGCGCGGGCAGCAAGGGATGTCTATTTACAAAGATGGGCCTTGCCCTCTATGGCAAATCCGACTACGAACAATGCGTATATTGCAATGAGCGTGTAGCCAAGATCTTTCGTTAGCTTATGGTGTCTGAGAAGATAGTTTACAAAGATAACCTTGATCTCTGCGAGGATGAAGACATACGAGAAGTACACAAACGGAGCATTTGCAATGCCGTGGGGGTATGCACCCCCTCCGCCTCTGCCTAGAAGCAGCCTGATGATGGGAAAGAAGAGAAGCACGTTGCACATGTGTGTGTAGATGATGGAGCAGGACGACACGATCAGCATCTCCCCTTCACTGTACTTAAGGCATGTCACGATCTCCATGAAATTGGACTGCAGCGAAAGGAATGTTCCCGAAAGGAACTGGATCCCCAGGCCTGTTTCCTTGCTTATATGTGCAGTCAGGCTTGTAAGGCTTTCCATTATTATCGAGAAGAATACCACCGAAGCTGTTAGGGTGTAGATGCATGAGGCGGTGGAGAGGACTCTTTTTCTTGCCATCATGTACAGAAGAAGGCCGACAAGGAAGGAGCAAGCAAAAGAGAGGAGAAGTCCAAAGTGCCCGATGTTTATGCGGAAGTACGACACCACAATCAGGAGGTTGATTGCCGGAGAAAGTACGATGGTGTACGGCACCTTTTTTGAGGACTCCGAGGATAGCAGGGCCGGGTCCAAAAAAACGGCATTGAACACAAATCGGACAGGATATAGAACTCGGAATGCCGGCGATGGCCGAGAAAGCGAGAAGAGGGCTTCTTGGCTGCTGGGCGATGCCTGCACAATGTAGGCAGGAAGGGAAAAGGTGTTGAACACAAAGGTGGAGAATACGCCTAGAGCCATAAGAGGGACGGTCAAGGTGTCCGTTGTACTTGAAAACATGATAAGAAGCAGGAGATGGGAGGCCTCGAGGAAAAGGATGTCCTTGTAGAAGCTTATGTGGTGGACAAAGCAGTTCGTCTTGGCAAAGACCAGCACAAGGGCAAGCGAAATTGCCATCGAGATCTGCGTGGTGCCTGAGATTGCAGATGCAAACACCTGGATAGATGATGTCCTGTACAGGCTGACCATCAAGACTATCTTTGGAATGCTGTTCAGAAGAGATAGAACAAGGGCCCGAATAAAGATGTTTCCTATCTTCCTGGTGATGTGCCTTGCAATCTTAACATGGTGCTCGTGTATGTAGAAAACATTAAGGGACGTCAGGACTGCAAGCCAGCAGACGATGTATATTGCAGCCCCTGGTGCTGACGAGGCTCCAAAGAAAGGTTCCAGCGACTTCAACAACATGCAAGGGTGTAAACAAAATAGATTTAATGGACTCCCAGGCCAGCGTCACAGGACGAGAGTAGTGAAGGCCCTCTTGATGCAAAGGCCACAGCTATATTTTTCTGGAAAACTTCCCCTTGAATGGAGAGCAAGCACTTCTGCCTGTATCCCATCTACATGGACTCGGCCAGGTCTCTCTCCGAGGGAAGAAAGTACAGGAAGGAGATCTGTGTGCAAAGGCCGAGATATCATGAAATCAAGAATGCCTTGGAAAAGCTTGAGATTGAGTACACAGATGAACCATCGAAAAAGCATCCAAGGGACTTCTTCAATAGCGGCAGATTCCGCATAAAGAAGGAGTACGGAAGGCTGTTTGTTATTGAAGGCATAAGTCAGACGATTGCAGAGCTGAGATCCAAGCCGGGGAGCAGTGAAGAGACTTCTAGAGAAAAACAGAGCCGCGGCAAGGCTGTGCATGGAGTCGTCCAAAACGGCGTGTATGTTGAGAATAAGCTTAATCTTGTCAGAAAGAAAAAAGCAAAGAAGAAGAAATAAAAGCGTTGCCGGTACTACATGTTACGGAAAGATGGAAGCCTCATTCTTGGTCAGCATGGCTTTAATTAGTTGCTTCATGCCTGGATCGGACCTTTCTGAAGTTGAATATCGATGTAAGGGTTTCTGGAGTCTCGAAAAGCAGGACATAGAGAACCAGGAAGAGAATGGAGAAAAGGAGAGTCATCGAGAGAGGAGCTATTGCAACAATAAAGGTCTCTCTGGACCCGAGAAGCATGCACATTCCGAAAACAACAAGTATCGTGCCTATGTTTGTGTAGAGTATGATCTTGAGGCCGAACTTGTCATCACGGTAGTTCTCGAGCAGGTCCTCAGAAATCACCACGGGGCTTTCTGCATGCCCGAGTCTATGTACAAAATACTCTTCCTTGACAAAGTTCCGAGCAAAATACCTTCTCACCGATGGGTCAAAGAGTAGGTCCTCGTCGCTAGCAAAGTAGTCTGCCATGATCACCATTTCATGTCCCCAGGCACATTCGCCAGAGCTTGAATTCGCTGCTCTGGCCAAGATCTCGGGCGTCACCTTGTAGTAGAAGACCTTTCCGGTGATCTTAAGGTTATTTATTGGATTCTTAGCCATCACCCTGTACAAAAGATTGTTGTTATCCTCAACACAAAAGAGAATTCTATTCAGCTCAACTGCGGAGTAGTAGCTTCTGAAGACAAACTCCGTCGTGGGGTCTCTCGTTGTCACTTCGGCAATGATAAAGTCCTTTCCTTCTCCTGCATGGGTGGCAATTAGCTCCTTGAACTTCTCCAGGGTGAAGGCCTCCACCGTCTCTGCGTCAAGAGCCAGAGAGGGCAGGCCAGACTCGCTGTTGCTGAACACGATCTTGGACCGGCTCCTCAGCACCAACTCTACCATGTCTTGATCCATTAGGCTGGCCGATAAACACATTGCCTTTATAGCAACTCTGTTTCAGAATTCTGATCCTAATATCAAATCATCTCGGCAGATAGGACAACCAACAAGAAGGACCCTCTGTAAGAAGCGCCTACCTCTAGGTATTCGCCCTGCGCTTATCAATGATCTCTCTGCATGCTTTTCTGACCTCCTTCTTGGATCTCCCTATCACCTGAATGTACATGGGTTCGTTCGATTCTTCTCCGAGACATGGTTCTACGTGCCCCGAAAATCGTCCCCGGAGAACAATTTCTACAGACTTCCCGGCAGCAGCTAGCTCAATGTCCCTGCGAATCCCATCCATTCCTTTCTCTGCCTCCTTGGGATCCACAGGAATCCTGTATGAGTGGTACTTGACCCCGTTCTTCCAGACATGCCTTCCAACGCTGCAAGAAGGGCTCCATGGAAATGTAGGCGCCACCTTGGTTATTGACGGAATCCTGGACATCGCCTCTTTGAGAACTTCAGGTGTGGGAGCCGAAATCTCATACACCAGTGCATCTGAATCGTCTGTGTCTCCATTCAGCTCCTCCGGCTTGTAGCTTCCCCGAACAAGGATCTCAACTCCCAGCTCCTCTTCTATCATCATCACCACGCTATTGCGCGTAAACACATATGGATTCCTTGTCCTCCCGATGTTATAGAGAGTCTTGTGCTTGTAGTCATTCACCCTCTTCTTCACCTGCCTGATGAAGTTCAGGTCATTGCCCCCAACCACGTTCTCTTCTCCACTCAAGGAAACCTTGCCGTGCCCCACGGGCTTGACGTCCATGCTTTCAATAGTTTTCTTGACCCTCTTCACCTCCTCTAAAGGTTCGTTCCCGTCACCCTCTCTGTCTAGATCCCAGCCCATCAAGGGGAGATACCGGGACTTCTTTTCATTCTCCGTCTTCCCAGGGGCTCCACGGAAAAGCGGCTAGAGGTCATCCCTCTTTGGTTCTGCCTTCCTTAGATCAACCATCTTCTTAAATATATAGAGCTGGGCTACTCCCGCATATTCTCCAAACCTTTCTCTGTACAGCCTCTGCACTGTGCCGTACATCCCCCGTCTCAGAGTCTTTCCACGGACCCCAAACAGTTTCCTCGAGTGCCTGAAGATATGAGTGTCAACCGGGACAACACTCAGATTCCCAAGTCCTATAAGCAGGATACAGTCTGCTATCTTGTCCCCAACTCCTTTGATCGAAACCATCATGTCTCTGACTCCAGACGCCTGTTGGAGCCTCGGGTAGTTCTCCATAAGATACTCCGCAGCACTGCAGATGTATCGAGATCTATATCCAAACCCATTGGCCCGAAGCTCGCCCTCGATACCAACCAGCTTCTCCAGACTTGGAAAGTGGTGGAAGTCAAGGCCCTTGTACTTCATGATAAACTCCCCCTTAGAGTAGAGAAACCCAACCATCTTTGTTATTCTTGAAATGTTGTTGTTTGACGAGCAGATAAACGAAAATATCGTCGGAACCAGGGCATACCGGAGTGCCCTCAACCCAGCCAACGAGCCGTCGGTGTCAAACCCCCACATCTGAAGAAGAGGGCGGAGATTGATCTCCAGTGTAAAGAAATACGAAATATCCACCTCGACATCCTCTGGGGCTTTATCCCCACTCAGTATCCTGTAGAGCACCTTCTCGCCGTCCTGCAGAAAGCTTACAAGGCACCCTCCAAGAGTCCCCGTGTATTCCCCCTTGTCTGTTCGCTTGAATGAAAACACCTGCCCGCTAAACAGGGTCTTTTCCAGGTCAATTGCCTCCGAAGCACGGAGAGGCGTCCAGCCCTCATTCCTCATGGGCTGCCTTGGAGCTCAAAGAATTTGTATGGCCTTTACAACCGCAGCTTAAGAGTTTAATGGTGGCTTGCCTTCACATCTGAAAGCTTCATCAGATTAGCTGCTGTATCTTCTCTACTGCCTGGTTTATGGCGTCGTCGTCCCTCGTCCCAAGCGATGGCACAAGAGACTTGGCCTCTTCAACCGACTGGGGAAACAGGGAGCCAAACAGGGCTATCTCCACCTCACCAAACCCTAGTCCAGAGAGCGTCGTGCGAAGATCCTCAGCAACAGACTTGTCCTTGATCCTGCAGAAGTCGTCCAAGTATCCCAGTGTTGATCTAAACACCTTTGATGCATTCGACCTAAAGTCCGCCCGGAACCTTTCCTTCTGCCCCTCAAGCAGGTACCTTGCCTCTGCTAGCATGATTGGATGGGAGTCCTTCATATCTTCGCCATACTGGTTGGCATCCATCAACTCGGGGCTTGAAAATATCTCCCACTTGAGGACGCCACCTTCAAATCCCAAAATGCTTTTGAGATACGAGGAGGAAGTTCTCCGGGAATGTGATGGCCAGAGCTGCCTCCTTGTCATGGCCGGCGGGCTGAACATCCAGGGAATCATGGTGGAGATGGCAAGGCAGTATCTGAATAAGAACAGTCTTGCACTCTTGGTAAACTTTAGTGGCGAGGACGAGTCTCTGCTTCTGAGGACGGAGTCGCCCTTCCTCCATGACATAAGAGCCTTGCAGAGACCAAAGAGAAGAGAGAAGTACCTCTGCGGAGGCGTGTGCATTGCAAGCAACCGCGTGTTTCTTGCAGACATGATCGACGGGACGATCGATGCCGAGAAAATAGACTGCATTCTTGTCAATAATGTCGAGACGATCACAGAGACGTCGTCAGAGTCGTTTATCATCCATGTCTTCAGGTCGAGGAACAGGACTGGTCTCATAAGGGGGTTTTCCGAATCTCCTGTGCCTCTTTCGCTTGGATTCTCTCCGCTGGACAGAAAGATGAGAAGCCTGAAGGTGAGCAAGGCAGTTTTCTTTCCACGGTTCCACTCCTTGGTTGAGGAGTCCCTGAATGGTGACATGGATGTTGTCGAGATTAAGTTCCGGATGTCCGAGAGGAAGAGCCAGCTCCAGGTGGTCCTTTTGGAGATTATTGGGAGTCTTCTTCGGATGGTCTTCAGGGGCTCTGGAAGGGAAGAGGTCGACCCCGAAACCATCATATTTGGAAGTATCCACAAAATCTTCAAGCAGATGAGTGTTTCGAACAGCAGGATAATGGAGGATCTGTACGACATGCGAGGACTGGTTTTTCTGCTATTCTCGAGTGATCCCGGATCATTCTACGGACACGTCAAGGAAGTCGTAAGGAAACAGGTGGAGCTGGAAAAGGATAGCACGTGGATCAACCTGCCTGTCTCCCATGTTCTTGTTGACAAGGCACAGGAGCAGTTTGAGGAGGCTGTTGAAAAGACAAAGGGACTGGATGGAGAGGATGATTGTGGAGGAAAGGAGGGGGAGAGGGCTGAGGAGACGGTCTTTCTGCCTGGGCTGTCCAATGCCAGGCTAAGGGCCTTCTATGCCTTGAACCCAAAGATCAAAAAGTTGGTGGAAGTCCTGCAGGAGGTGAAGGAGGCACCGTCTGTGGTTCTTGTTTCTAATCATGTTGTAAAAAGGATGCTGTCAAGGGTTCTTGTTGCATTTGACCTTGCCTCGGAAGAGAGCCTTGAGAAATGCAATGGTGTGTTGAAGATTATGACGCACTACGAGTTCAAGTACTACGGAGAGGAATACGAAAACGTGATCTTTGTCGAATCCGGGCAGGACAGCGTCCGGAAGATAGAAAGATATGGAGTGGCGCATTCTGTCAAAGTATTCTTCCTAATGCACACCGGGTCTCTGGAGGAGCAGAGGTACCTGAACGAAATAAGAAGGGAAAAGGCATCGTTTGAGAAGCTTATAGAGGAAAGATCAAGGCTTCCTCTGCGCTTGGACGACGTGGACGATGCAATTGACCTGGAGGAATATGAGCCGGCGGAGAGGGAGTATGTGGTTGTGGTCGACTCAAGGGAGTTGAGAGCCGAGCTTCCTTTCTTTCTGTTCAGGGCAAGGAACAGGATCTGCATTTCCACTCTTCCAGTCGGAGACTACCTCGTAAGCCCCACAACCTGTATCGAGAGGAAGTCGATTCCTGATCTTGTGTCGTCCCTGAACTCCGGAAGGCTCTATCTACAAGCCAGCATGCTGTGCCACAGATATCCTCGCCCTGTCCTTCTTCTTGAATTTGATGGGAGGCCATGTCTATCTGACTACTATCGCTATGATCAGGACACATTCAAGAACAGCCTTGTGGCAAAGCTTTCTCTGCTCCTGTTCAACCTTGGAGCGCTGAGGCTCATCTGGTCTGAGTCAAGACTGTTCTCCACGAAGATAATAAGAGATCTCCAGAGGAAGGAGGACGTGTCGAGTGCCGTGGAAGGACACAAAATGGACCCGGTGCTCCATGAAATATTGCTTAGCATTCCTGGGATAACGCAGTTTAATATTTCGAGGGTCAGAAGATACTTCAGAAGCCTGAAGGACCTTGTGTTCTCCACGATGGAGCGTCTTGAGGTGGCTCTTGGGAGAGAGAATTCTGCTCTTATCTATGACTTCTTTAGGCAGGAGGTTGGAAATGGGAATAAAACAAATGGGGAGGCAGGGGAGAGACCCGATGGATGAGATATTTGTAGGAAATCCTTCGAAGAGGGAGATAGAGATGCATCTCCGAAACAAGAAGCATTCTCTGCTGAACAATGCCGGGCTTCGAGGTGATATCTTAAGCAAGAGAGTGGAGGAAGAATCTGGGGGAGACGGGACCGATCCAGAGTTTGTAAAGAGCAGGATCTACTCGGATAGTCCAGGATACCCTACGAGGGATGGGCTTTCCAGAAAAAAAGCATCTGTTGGGCATAAGATGGAAAGTAGAAGGGAGGCGCTAATTGAGAAGGATTCTAATGTGAAGGCAGAAATGAAATGGGAAGGTAGCAGAAGTAGAGTAGCGTCTAAAAGAACTGTCGAAAGGAACACCATCAAGAACTCTGGATATAGACATGTTATTCTTGTATTTGATGGGAGCTGCGGGCATCTAGGTACCGGAGGCAGAAGACATAGAAGAAAGGTTAGGTTTAACACCCACAGCACTGTGGGTAAGCCCCATAACACTGGAGAGCCTTCTTCGATATTGCTCCCTTCGTCCAAGCCAAGGAAGCTTCCAAGGACACGGAAAAAAGAAAAGATCTTTGTGGAGAGCTTGCCACCGGATACTGACAGTGGCTCGGGGGCTTGAATAACAAGCTAGTCTGTGCCGAGAGATAGCCCCTGGAATGAGCAGGATAGCAGTGATGAGTGGCAAGGGAGGAGTGGGAAAGAGCTCCGTCTCCATAATGCTAAGCACGGTGCTGTCTGAAAAGGGAAGGACATTGCTACTGGACTTCGATCTGTGTGGGCCAAGCATAGCTAGTGGGTTTGGAGCCAAGGAAAATGTCTATAAGGGAGAGAAAGGGCTTGTTCCGATCAGAGTGTCGAAAAACCTGTATATTCTTTCGATGGCGCTGCTTATGAAGGACAGCGACTCTGTGATATGGAGAGGGCCAAAGAAGATGTCTGTCCTATCGATGTTCTATGAATCCATTGACGGCTTTGACAATGTGGTGTTTGATATGCCACCGGGGATATCTGAGGAGCATGGGTTTTTAATTGGGAAAGACGTTGGAGCTCTGATCATCACCACCCCACAGAATGTTTCCCTCGGCGATTCCTCAAAGGCGATTGACTTCTGTGCCTCAAACGGGATCAGGATTCTCGGGCTTGTTGAGAACATGAGTGGATACTGTTGTGAATGCTGCGGAAGCTCTGTCAATATATTTGGATCGAAGGGAGGAGAAAGACTTGCCGAAGAAACGGGGATTCCCTTTGTGTGCAGACTCCCGATTGACTCCTTACTATGTGAGGCATTGGACGAGGGAAGGTTTGTTGAAAGATGTGGGTCAATAGAGGCCTACATGAAGTTCAGAAAGGCGGTTCTTGGGCTGGCAGACATTTGAATCCAATAAAGATCAGCAGCAAAGGTATTTTATATAGTCGTCTCTTAGCCTGAATCCTTTTGTTTTCTTCTTGGTCTCTTCCTTAGGAACCCTTTCTGCAATTGCACTGAAGATCTCTGCTATGTTCTTACCCGTCTTTGCACTTGACTCAAAGAACAGCAGGCCCTGGCTGTCTGCATAGTCCTTTCCCTGCTGGTAGTCCACTTTCCTGTCACTGTCTAGATCGGACTTGTTTCCAACCAGAACCTTGATGAACTCCCTTGGCTTCTCAAAGCCGAGCTCCTCGACCCATCTTTTTGCAGTCTCAAAGCTCTCCACAGATGTTATGTCGTAGACTATCAGGGCAACTTGCGCTCCGCGATAGTACATCGGGATCAGGCTGTTGTACCTCTCCTGGCCTGCAGTGTCCCATATCTCGAACTTGATGCCCCTCTCTTGTGTAAACACGGTCTTTGTCAGAAAAGACGCACCTATCGTGCTTTCCTCGTTCGGATTAAACTCTCCCTTGACATACTTCAGCACCAGACTGCTCTTGCCCACAGAGTAGTATCCAAGAACCACCATCTTGAATGTGTAGGTCTTCATATCCTCTTTGAGCCTAGACATTTTTTGTTTACTGCCAAGCTTCTTTTATTACCAGGTGTTTCAGATTACCAAACAAAAAGGCATGCATCCGTGCACGAGCATGCCGCTCTCCAGAGAGAAGCACATGTTGAAGATATTAGGCCAAGCCTCTATTTTTAATTAATGATGTCGGCCAAATATTATTTTTGTTTGTTTACAAACAAGTTCAAGCCGAATGGCAGAGGAGACACCGGATCTATATGAAAAATCCAAGGGAATGCCATCAAAGATCAGGATAGTTGGAGGCCCGAACAACCTGGCATATGGAGAAGGCGACGAGCTGGATGTGTTGGACGCAAATACCATCGAGACATTTACTCTTGAGGAGTTCAAGACGATAGTGCTGGACTGTAGGTCAAAGAACAAGGACTTCATCATCGCAAGAGTCACAACACCGGATCCCGAGGACCAGAGCATCATCTACAACTTTTACTATGCCGCATCCGAATTGAACAGGATATTGTTCAGATTCGAGTCCGACAGAAGGCTGCTGCACAGGATGAAGGTCCGGAACCCCCTCAACAACATGTACATACTGGGCCAGGTTTACTACTACAAGGTGCCGCCGCAGGAGGTCGACAGGGCACTGGTCGAGTACTTCTTCGTCGAGGCCAAGCCTGGAAACAGGGCTGCAAAAAAGGCGTTTTCGCAGGTGTTCAGACACAACCTCGAGGAGGCATCCGAGGACGGCAAGAGATGCTACAAGTCAAGAGACTACCTCAATGGCAACGGCAGAACCCTGAAGATAAGCAGCGTCGGCGAAAATCCAAGAGAGGTGATAGAAAAGATCCAGAAGGGCACGATAGCCATACCCAAAGCAATTCCTCCCGAAAGAAGCGTGGTGTACATCGCCAACTACTTTGCTTCCGACGACGACTTCCTGATGCAGCCGGAGGTCAGAGAATACTTCAGGAGAAACACATTAGATGCTGACGACGACTTCCTGTTTGAGATAGATAGAACACAGAACGACTTCTTTGCGCTACTTGAGACGGCATCGGAGGACGAGAACGAAGAGGTTCTTGGGTGGAAAAGAGTTCTTACCGCGCATGTCAGCATGCTGGTGACCCTCTTGACTGTGTGCCTCGTCCTTGGCGTTGGGCCCCAGATGGTTCTCGTTGCCCTCCCACTGGCGGTTGTCCTTATCTTCTCGTTCATTGGCTCGATTTTTTATATTCTATTCTGCAGAAGAAACACGTTCGACACTCTAGCTGTCAATAGTGTTGAAGAGGTGTAAATAAATAAGTTTAGATACCACGACTTCCTGCCCATGGAAGAGGAAAGAAGAGTGTCTTCTAAGTAGACTGTTTAATGAATTTGGTCATTGTAGTACTTGATCTTTTCTTTCGATTTAATGTCTTTAAATAACTTGACAAGCTCATCCGTGCTGTTCAGAAGCTTCATGGAGTCATGAATATTCCTTTCCGTAGCCATGGCCTCTCCAAAATACTTGCCGATTGTTTGGGCGAACTCGTCGCTTACCTCTGGCGTGTCCTCCGGGCAGACCCGGAACATACACCTGTTGTTCTCGATCCAGACCTTAAAATGCCCACATGGTGTTGTGATGCCCACCTCATTCTCGCTGACAGTTACGTCGTAGCTCTTCCTTGCTGCATCAGCTATCAAGTAGATCCGCTCCTTGAAGTAGAATCCAGCTAGCTTTCGGGGAAAGACGGTGTCCGAGCTCAGTATTTCTGTTCCAAATCCTCCGAATATATCCCTTGTCCTCCCCCCCCTCAGAGAGAGTCTGTATCTGGTCCTGTCAATCAATCTTACCTTCACAGACCCTTTGAACAGATGCTTGAATGCAAAGATCAGACTCGTGGGGGTAGATGTTGTGGGCACAAGCCCACTGGGAAAAAAGGCACGAAAGCAGCACAGAAGATCCATGACACCCAAGAGAGGACATCTGCCCAACGCATGCCTCACTGCCAGTGGGCTTGCTTCGAGAGCATCTTCTTCATTCAGCTGAAGAGTTATGAAGAAGCCGGAAAGCCTTAGTGACACACCCTTCGACAGATCGATCGAAATGATGCTTAGCACCTCAGAGTCTCTTGAAGCTGTAAAAACATCCATCAACAGCAAGGCAAAGGCGACGCATCCATAGATACCCTCAACCCCCGCCGTCCTTGTCCCAAATCTACTGGTTTCGACAACAAAACCATCATCCCTTCTCTCTATGCGAATGTCGATCTGGTCACCCTTAGCTCTATGGCTCAGCAGAATCTTCCGACCAACGGTGATGTTTCCGTCGATCACAGGAAGAAATCGATAGGAGAAGAACAGAAGATCCATGCTCGCCTCAAAATACTCATGCAGATCTTCTATTCCAATGTTTGGCCCCGGACCTTCTCTTCTACCCAGAATCCCCACAACCTCGCCATTGCTTCCGACTTCTAGTTTAACCTCTGTGTAGCTTAGGAAGTCTACAAGCTCACAGTTCCCAACAAATATCCTCACCTCCATGGAGCCCTCCACAAGCCTGACCAGCCGGACACACACAAAGAGTCCATTCCTCATGATAAACACATTTCTATCCCCAAACATGCTGCTCCTATGGTTTCGATAGCAAGGAAATCTTTCCTCGAAAAAGCTGTAGAAGACAGAGTTCTCTCTCTCCCTCTCTAGAAAAACATCAAGATCCACAAAGCTTCTAAAGGCACACCCGTCTTTGCCATCGCGAACCGTAAATCCCTTTTCAAAGGTAAAGGAGACATTTCTTCCATCTCTGCAAAGGTACTCGGAAACACTGTCTTCAAACGACTTTATCACATCCGGTCCAGAGGGATACACATCTTCCCCTACAAACAGCTTACCCCTGATGTCGCAGCGCTCAACATGCACAGCCATCTTGAACACATGGAAAGAAACCTCAAACCTTCTGTAATGCCCCTTTATGCTCATTTCTATATGCTCAGAGGATCTCTTCACCATCAGGAACATCTCCCGCGCCTTGGTGTGTGTCTCGTAAATCCTTAGAAACCTCGAGATCTTGTCTATTCTGTGGGGCATGGCAAATAACAGGTGTTTATTAAAGACCTCGTTATCTCCCTTGACGTTTATTAACTTCCACTCTGGTTTCGATATCTCTCCGCACAGTGCAAGGCTAAACGAAAAAAAGCGGGTCGATAGAATGACAATTCCCTCCTCGATCACAACGCTACTGTACACAGACAGATCCTCCTTGTCCAGATATATCCTGCTGATCCTATCGATCTCCTCGAAGCTTGTCACCCTGCGCCCGCCGCCGTCTCTACCAAGCTTTGGGAGAAGATATCCGGGGTTGTAGGCTGTTTGAAGAGAAGTAAGGACATCGCTCTTGGGCACAATCATCGATTTGAAGGATTCAAACAGATATGCAAGTCTGTCTGCAGCCGACACATATTCTCCGTCCACCTCCTTGATCTTCCTGATCCTATGTCTATTTGAGCCTGCATCCTTCAGGTACTCGACTCCACTTATAAGGAGAAACAGACACTCAAAGTCTGCCGCCTTCTGCCGGAAAAACACACTCAACTCCCTTCTGCACACTGTCTCGGAGATGGAGTAAAACTTTCCCAGGGCCTCCTTCATCTCCTTCAGAGTCTGGTTGACAAACATGCTTACGAACCTCTTCAGATCCACGGTTTCCCGCCCATTGTCCTCTCTGCACTCTCTCCCACCCTCGATCCTGTGTCGCCTCAGTGGTAATCTAATCGGCTTCATCCACTCAAATTCCCTAGGGTGGGGATGTCTGGAGCATTTCTAGAGCAATGGCGTCCAAGAACCAGAATAATGTGACAAAACCATTGTATTTATTTCTTGTAGTATTCCTTGCTCTGGAGGAACGGGTTGTAGTTGTACTTCTTCATGTGTGCAATCAGGCGCTTTGCAGTGTATCCAACCATAAAAATAAAATAAACCACGAGAATGGGAGTATACACAGGGACATCCAGTATCCCGAAGTATGTTCCTATGAGCGCCATCCCAACAATCTTCGTGACAAACATCCAGAAGTCAAACTCGGGCAGGTTCCGGATGAAGGGCTTGAACTCGTTGTCTATGGTCTCTGGGATGTAGTCGTCGTCTTCAATGTTCTCAAATGGATCGGGGATCATTTCTCCTTTTGGAGTGAGGAAGAGGATCAGTGCATGCAGGAGGTATATCCCCAAGCAGTATGTAATCAAGTAGAATGCCCCAGTGCTCCATATTCGGATGCAGTAGAAAAGAAAGAGCACTCCTGTAATCCCCCATCTCACGTCCGGCCTCGGTGCAAGTCTGTCGAGATAGATTTGTTGTAGTGTTTTCAAGTCCATTTGAGGGGTCTCGGCAAAGCAGCGATAAACCCTTTAGAAAACTTACACCGTGGATCCTTCCCGATGACAGCTCTTGTCTTCTACAGATCGACTACCGCCACCCTACTGCGGCAGGCATCTCTGCATGGGCCTCTGTCGTACGAATAAGAAAACCCCACCGCCACCTTTTCCCCAACCATGCAAAGGCTACTTACCCCCACTCCGTCACCGGCAATCTCCTTGTAAGTCTTCTTGGGCCCAAGCTTCCACCTGAGCACCTTTCCGTCTGACCCCCCAGACACCAAGTACCTCCCCACCGCCATGGAGTTCACGGGATAGAAGATTTTCGAGTCTCCAGACACAGAGCAATGGGCATTGAACACATAGGATCTAGACCTGTCCTCAAAGTCTTCGTAGTATATTCTCCCATCTGTTGTGCCTGCAAAGAACCCTCCACTGACTAAGGCCAACGACCTTACAAGCATGTTGAATCTTCTCGTGAAGAAGATTGCATTTGTGCGCAGATCATATCCGACAACACACTCCTGCTGGCCTACCAGCAGAATGTCCCCGCCCAAATCGGAGCAGTACACCTTCTTCTCTGTATCCAGTACATTCTCCACGCATCCGCTGATAAATGCGATCCTCCTGCCCCATCCTCCTGCAACAACACATCCTCTGTATCCATGAAGAAGCTGGATTCCCCCAACCCCGCTCTGAATCTTCAGGGTCTCACTCAGGGATCTGTCGTACACTCGGACACATCCCTCGATATCTCCCGTTACTATTTCTGGTGCAAATGCGGTCTTGGTGATGGGCATTTCTGTCTTGACCAACACCTTGGCCTCGAATGTTGCCCCAGAATACAGGATTAGCTCTCCGCTCCACAATGAAACGAGCAAGTCCCCGTCGTACGACATGCTTGTGATTGTTTCCTGCGGAATGCAGCTAAGTTCGTGTGACATTCTTAAGGGATGCAGAGATAAACAAACAGCAAAATACTGTGCACGAGCAAGCCCTGGATGAACCTCTTTGACATCGAGGGGCTGCTTGTAGCAGACAGTCAGGGAGAAATCCTTTACAGAAGAGTCTTCTCAAAGGAGGAGGAGATTGCCGCGAAAATTGCAGAGAAGGCTGCGGGAGATAGAGAAAGCATATCGATGTTCTATGACAGGATTGTTATGTGCAAGCGACTGGACGAAGTACTTTTAATCATATACTCGCCAATGGATGTCAACGAGCCGTTTGTGGGCCAGGTCTTTGACGAGTTTACGGCGGCATTCATTGGCATTGTCAAGACGCCGACGCGGGAAAGGGTGTGGAAGAAGTACGACCAGATTGTGCTGCTTGTGGCAGAGTTTCTCTATGAGGGCATTGTCATGTCTGGAAAGAGTGACGAGATGCTCGATAAATTGCCGAAAAGAAACTTTGAGGGCGTCGATGGAATGAAGGTTCCCAGAGGATTTGCCTCTTTCCTTCACAAGGCCACCAAGTCCCTTAGTATAGGCAGCAATAAATGATGCGGTACCAGCTATCTTTGTTTCCATCCACCCTGTCAATGGTTTGGATATGCTGCCATTTCTGCACTGTGGTACTCCTCAAGGGCCTTCTGCACAATCTCCTTTCCTTCATCAAACATTTCGGGCTCAACACCAAATCTCTTGTAGATGTCCAGGAATGCGCGTTGCTTCCTGAGCTTGTCAAACTGTCCAGATATCTTCGACAAGATCAATGAGGCTCCAGTTGAGTTTGTAAGACTCAGGCCCGAAACCCTGCTCGGCCTCGTTTCGTTAGCAATGCACTTTCCCAGGGCAACGTTGAACGACGGGGGCATCCACGGGACGAAGTTGACCATTCCCTTGTCAAGGAACCTCATTACTGTTCTGGACACCTCTCCAGAGTCTTCAACTCCATGCAATATGTTCAGCATCGACACAACAGACTGTGCTTTTGTCTGCTCGTAGCCTGCAAGTCTGGTCTTCGGCAGCAGAAGCCTCCTCATCACATCCGAGCATGTTGCCTTCCTGACAACCCTCGACATCTCGTCGCACACAAATGGAGTGTATGACGGGACGACAAATTTGAGCGGGTCAAGAGGAACAAGGCAGTTGTTTATGGACTGATGAGTGCAGTACATGTATCCGGGAAACCGGATGGTGCTTGTGGACGCCGCCATCACCGTCGATATGAGCAGGTTGATATGGTCGAAGGTTGGCGTGCCAATCCGCAGGGAGTCAAGGGTATATCTTCCAAGCGATGAATTGTCCATGACAACAATGCAGTCGGAGTTTTCTATGAGCCTGTGGAGGGTCAGTACTGAGTTGTATGGCTGCACAACAACATCACTAGACTCGTCGTTGTTTGGGAATATGGAGTATGTTTGGACAATCTTCTTGGGAAACTCCTCCTTTATTCTCTCCAAAAGCAAGGATCCAAACCCTGATCCCGTTCCTCCAGCTATGGAGTGGAGTAGGAGAAACGTTTCGAGAGCGTCGCAGCCCTCTGCCTCTCTTTGTATCATATCAATCACGTCATTCCCCATGGCCTTGCCTACGCAGTATCCATGTCCCCAGTTGTTTCCGGCACCGCCTCCCTCGTTCGATAGAAAAATGCTCTCCTGGCTGAAAAACGACGGGGCCTGGGATATGACCCTCGGCTCTAAATCGACAAGTATGGCCCGGGGAACAAACACATTATCGTCTGCCTGGTAGAAGAAGACGTCCTTCCTGTCTCCTAGATCCCTGCTATCCTGCAGAACCCCGCACATGGATATCCCGTGCTCCTTGCACAGTGTCTTCCAGAACTCTGCTCCCATTTGGTTTCCACACTGTCCAACCTGCAGTGTGACCACCTCGCGCATGGAGGGCTCCACAGGGTTCTGCAAGTTGTTTCCGCATCCAAGGGTGTTGAGTACCGGGGCGATGGCCCCTGAGCCCTGATAGCGTAATGGCTAACGCGTCTGCCTTCTAAGCAGAAGACTGCGGGTTCGAGTCCCGCTCAGGGTGGTCTCTTTTCCACCTGCACATCCGGGTATCCTCATGTGCTCAGGTCCATCACAAACTCTACAATCCTCGACACAAATCTTTTCTTGTCGCGCGCCTCTTCATATGCCTTTCTAATCCCATCCAGTATCTCAAGGTTCTCGACAACGCTGTCCCCAACATCGCATCCAGAGGCTTCTCCTTCGTCCACACGGAAGGTCCTCGAGATGAATCCCTTTAGGCACTCAACAAAAAACGGTCCTTCAGGAACTATTTTCTTCACAAACTCAACAGACTTGGTGTACTTCGCATAAAAGCATATGCTTTCTAGAGCCACAAGGGTCTGCATGTTATTTCCCATTCTCAGGTCTAGAAGCCCTGGAGGCTCAACTGCATGTCCTATGTAGCACGGAAGGGCCTGCACTCTGCTCAGCACCCCCAGGGGCTTTTTCTTTATTACCCCGAGCAGATAGGCAACGGAGTCGCTCCTCAGCTTCTTGTTGCTCTCTAGCCCAAATACAGGACTGGTGATGGCCGCTGCAAGTATCGAAAGGATCAGCCCGTCCACAAAGGACGAAATCCCCATGAAGTTCGAGACTAGCTCAAAAAGCACCAGGTGATTTATCTGGCTGGGAGACCGGCTTCTAATGTAGTACAAGATTATCCACAGCCTCAGCCTTGACCCCTTACTACTCGCAGGCGGCCTTATTTCCTTTAGAAATGACAGAATCTTGCCTTCAAGACCCTGATTCTGACTCTTAGTCCGGGCTGCACTAAAAATCAGTATCCTAGACCATTCGTCAGACATCTCGTGCTGCAGATTGCTCTTCTCCAGAATATAGGCTAGGTGGCAATGGAGCCTATGAAACAGTATCGGCTGGTCATAAGACCGCTTGATCAGCTCAATGGTCTTCTGAACTTCCATGGTAGATTCGAGGGATTACAGCTAATTTTGCGAAAACTCTTTATTTGTGGGAACACAGGGATTGAGAGAATGCAGACTACAGGAACTTGTCGAGATTTCTTCCAAGCTCCTTGATGTCAGATCCCAGAAGCAGCAGGTGGTCCAGGTCTGCAGACAGCTCCCGTAGGCTTCTTATAATCGCATCCAGTCCTTCGCCCTCGCAGTACTCCGCCTCTTCCATAGGGGCCCTGCAACCCCCTGTTTACAACACCTAGGCAGGCTGCCGCGGAATCTTCCTACACCCACCACTCCAGCGGCCCTAGCCCTGCCTCGTTGAGGACGCACAAAACAGTGGAAGACCCCTTCTCATTATCCAGAACCCGGAACCTCACATGTGCATTTCTTCTGAAGTACAGCTTGCTCCCTCTGTATATCCATACCCACACAAGCTGCTTTTCTCCACAGTCATTCACATATACTTTTTCCGTTGCAGGCGGAAGACCGCTCTTCGTAACCCAGAGCTCACTAAAAAAAGACACTCCAAGCCTCATTCCCTCCTCACTTTGCTCCAGTATCTCTCCGCACACCACCTCGCCCTCGAAAAACTTGAAGAGAAGCACCTCAAACCATACTCTTGCAATCAGAAACTCGTCGCATACCTTGTACTCATAGACCTCCATAACCCTTGCCACAAGAATACATATGCTGCAATCTCCCAGCATCCTTCCGACATACTTTCTCTTCAGCTCCTCAAAAACCTCCTTTTCCTTTTCCAGATGGCTCAGAGAAATCTTGACTCTGTCCTCAATCTCCGCGCTGTAGAACATCCGGAAACAAAGGGGAGGCCTGCACCTGGAAATAATTCGCAGGCCATGGGCACAGCATCCTCTTCAGGATATCCCCAGTACCGCCTCGCCAGAAACCAATCAGTATTAATAATAATCGCAGCACCCACTTTGATATGGCAATCTACTAATATGTTTAAATCTAAATAATAAAGCCCTGGGTGGATGTGGAGTAAGAAGAAGCTGGAGGCGTTTGTGGTGCTGAACATAGTTGCTGCAATGGCGTTGACGACTCTGAAGGTCGTGATACTTGTGAACTATAAGGCAGGAGGTCTGCTGATGTTCATCTCAAGCATTGTGAAGATGATGGTCTCATATCTAAACATACAGACTCTCGACTTCAAAATGAGGTACGTGTTCGTTATTGCGGTCCTAAACTTTGTCGGAGGCTGTCTAGGTATGCTTGCATACTACTATAAAGCCTCCTCAACATCGTACATCATCTCTTCCAATCTCCAGCATCTGTTTACTGCGCTTATGGTGACAGCCTGGAATGGTACAAGATACTCATCCATCCAGTACATCGGGCTTATGCTGATTCTGGTGGGGTTTCTGGTTGAAATATCCTCTGGAGAATTCCTGTGCATCCCGCTGCATATGTTTATTGGCTCTTTGTCCGGGCTGTTCAATGCGCTCAGCCTGGCCGTCTTTGAATCAAAGATAAAGCCTGTTCTTGTTGACTTCAGAAGGCTCTGGTGCTACATGACAACATACGGACTCTACCTCACGGTGTTTTCCTCGTTCTACATGGTGGAGGAGGCCTTCACCAAGAAGGCCGAGTACATCAAAATGGTTTCGTCTCCCATTATCTACCTGGTGTTTCTCATAGAGATTGCAACAACATATCTGCTGTCGGAGATTTCGCCGTTCCTGGATACTGTGGAAAGATCCACGCTACTCAATGTCATCACAGGCCTTTCTGCGGCAGTTTCTGACGTGTATCTGTGCAGAGAGATAGACATCCAAAGATTCCTGGCGTTTTCATTCACGGTCATTGGTGTTCAGGTGTTCAATTTCTTCTGGAAGGAGGCCGTCCATCCGTTCCATCATGTTGATGGATGTACATCATAGAAATAAAATTATTGCTTTGATCCTTGGGATGGGGCTTGATCCACAGCTGATGAGGACATACTACAGAACTCTATTTCCCTTGGACCTCATGTTCAGATGTCTTAGGATAGACGAGAGCCGCGAGATTTCCTTTGGGCTGGGGTCTGGCGGGTACATTCGCTTTCTAACGTTCAGAACTGCTGATGAGTTTAGGAAAAAGCTGATGGGAATTGCTCCAGATAAAATTGATGTTGGAGCCATCTACAGAGACAGGCCTACAAAACACAGCATCTCAAGGGTTGTTGGGAAGGAGCTGGTTTTTGATGTCGACCTGACTGATTACCCGAGAGAATGCTGCTCCGAGAAGCTTGTATGCAACAGATGCTTGGTGCTGATAAAAGCGGCAGTCGAGATTCTCAACTATTCGCTGAGAGAGGAGTTTGGATTCAAGGATGTGGGCTTTGTGTTTTCTGGAAGGCGTGGGGTGCACTGCTGGGTGTTTGACGATGAGGCGCTTGAGCTGAGTGACCTCGAGAGAGGAGAGATAGTGAAATATTACGACTCTGTTGCCAAGAAGAAGAAGTATCCTGAGGAGTATAGAAGGATTCTACGGAAGTACTCTTCTCTTCTCGGAGACAAGGATCTGGAGGATTCCGAGCTGTTTGAGAAGATGTATCTGAGGATAGACAAGGAGGTGACGCAGAAGACCAAGCATCTGATTAAGATGCCGTTTTCTGTGCATCCTAGCACAGAGATGATCTCCGTTCCGATCGACGTCTCTAATTTGGATACCATCAGGCTGGAGGATTTTCCAAGGCTGAAGGATGTTCTGGAATCACCCGAAAGACTCAAACCATATCTCGACATTGCAAACAAATGGAGGGCCCTGTCTTGAAGTCCCAGAATCCACATCCCTCTGGATGGATGCCAGAATATATGAGATAATCAAGAAGAACGACGATCTAGAGGAGCAAATCAAGAAGATATTGGGCGCTGTAAAGCCACTGGATGTTTCGGAGGTGATGGCATACTTGATGAAGAAAACGATGGATGTGTTCAGAACAGATCCCTCTGTCCACTGCTACCTGCTTGGCAGAGTACCGTTGGAACTCATTACAAGATTTGCTCCTGGTCTTCTGTCCTTCTACTTCTGTCTTCTCAGGGACCAGAAGACCAAGGGCATGGTAAGGAATGCGGCCCTGGACTCTGTCAAGCATGTGTTGGAGTCGGTATCCGAGCTGGATGATACCTCGGAGGCGAAGATACATGAGTTTTTCCGGTTCTATGGGGGGCTGGGTGTTGAAGAGATCTACATTATATGTGCACGGAGGTTCAGGACGTCCAGAAAGGTGTTTTTTATTTCTGAGCTTCTTGTGCTTGGACACCAGCTAGAGGATGATGACTACAGCGCAGTGAACGACAAGATCGAAGAGGTGTTTTCTCCGGGGCTAGTTAGAAGGCTTTTAGACAGAGGCAAATACAGAAACAACGAGGAGGTGTTTGACAAGCTTGTCCGAATGTATGGGGAAGGAGAGGACGTGGCAGACATAATCTCTCGAATCCAGGAGAGATATGACGTCAAGAATGCAGTGCTGGAGCTGTGTGTGGTAAACGAGGAAACAACAAGACAGGTTCTTCAAACAAACGATCTGGAAAAGATCGAAAGGTTTTTTAGAAATGCAGTTGATGTCCCGTTGCACATCGATGTGATAGGAAAATACCTGGAGCTATGTGAATCTCCAAGACAGATTCTTGGGTGCAGGATCTCCAAAAGGCTTGACATCCGGAAGATTATATCTGAAGACTACGACGAGTTTCTTGAATACGCCTTCAACAGACTGGCCTTGAATCCCAGGATACTGATCAATCTTGTGGGAATTGAATTCAGGCCAAAGATGGAGGACTTCATTCTTCAATTGATTGAGTTTGTCAGTGGATGCTCTGATGTAGAGAAGCTGGGACTGTACCTGCGCTTTGTGAAGATTGTTGTTGAGAAAAACTGCCTTCGGAGGTCGATTCTCAAGAGAATATTTGAGGGCCTAGTGTACTTGGACAATGAAGACTGTAGAATCAGATGCATGAAGTATGAAATACTTGGCGAGCTGTTTGGACAGTACGCCTTGATGGACAAGGCCATCGAACATGCAGCACGCTTGGATGGCTCGGATAAAGAACACGGCACGGAATGCAAGTGCCTGGGCTCTAGAGACATCCTTGAAAGAGTTGACACAAGAAGCCTGGACGAAGACAATGCAAATGTGCTTGCAGCCATCATGTGGGACGAGCTGATCATGACACCTGCTGAGGGGGAGCTTATGGCGATCTCCATCCTCCTTAGAAGGATAATTGACAGCACAGGGATGTTCTATGGGAACAGGGTCTCCAAGTCAAGCTTTGTTCTCCATCTTATAGACCGACATGGAATAGCCAGATTCAACGAGACCCGGAGAAGGATGACGGACGAGTTTTTCCGTCTGCTTGGAAGCATGGCGAAGCTTAGCCTCTCAAAGAACCTCCTCGAAAAGATGTTTCTGATTTCCTTGGACTACTTCTACATCTTCGATGTCGATGATTTGATTCGAGCCATCATAGAAAATGACAGGTATCACTGCCTGTTCATTCTTTACAACCTAACCAGAAGTAGGGAAAAGATGCTGTCTAAGAAGCTCCTGGAGTTCCTGAAGAAAAGTCTGAGGGAAGCCCAAAGGCCATGAAGTAAATGCGTTTAATTCTCTAGATCCTTCTTTACATCGCACAGATCTTCCTGAGAAATAGGATCTCCATCATCTATTTCCATCAGTCTTCTTATCACCTCTCCTATGCTGAGCCTGCTCCCATGCTTTCTTGCCACCGAGGAGCAACAGAACAGGATCTTCTTAGTCATCCTTGGATCCCAGCACCTTAAGACCTCTATTCTTTCAAGAACCTTGACCAGGGTTTTTCCAGTCTGGTCGTTCTCGTATTCACTTGCAAGACGAACGCATATGTTGTAGAAAAGCAGCTGTGATCCATTGGCGTACTTGCTGTTTCCTATCCAGTAGAGGGACTGGTCGATAAATACTTTATGCGAGCACGGCAATACTTCAAGAACACTGCAGAATATGTTGATGAGGAGGGTGCTGTCCTCAGAAAACAGCTCGAAAAACAATATGCTGCAGTACTGCTTAAGATGGTCGTCCTGCGTACAGTAGTATCTCTCAAGTGCAAATGCAATGAACCTACTTCTGAGGTCATCAGGCATTCTATGCGACAGCGCTATCTTAGAGCCCGGAATTATGATGTCATCCCTTTCTTTGGTCTCCAGTCCCTGCTCGATGTGCCTTAGAACATCCCCTAACAGTCCCTCGTCTCTGGAGGAAAGAACAAGATCTACGCACATCTGAAATGCCATACTGTTTGCTTCCATGTTGTGAACAAGACTCTGGATGATCGCATGGTGTGGCCGGCTCAGGGCGTAGTAGAACCCGACCTCAAGTATTTCCACCGCAGTCTCTCCACTGCTTAGATTCGGCAAAACGATTTCTTCCACTATTGCTTCATGGAGTCGACTGAGGGGGCGGATGTGCTTCATAACATGCTTGCACACCATCAGACACATTCTTGGAGATGCCTTTGCATTCTTCTTTATGATGCTTCCTATGAAGTTGTTCAGATCATCGTCACAAACAAGGCTTGCAATCTGCATCGCCTCCTCCACCACCTCCTCCACAGAGTTCTTTGCGAGAAGCTTATAGACTGTGCTGAGAATGTACTTTCTTGATGCCTCGTTGAAAAAGTCGTAAAACCGGGCAATTCTAAACAGATTCTTCATTGCCTCGACCTGTGCCTTTCTTTCAGACTCTTCCGACAACTCAACGACAGAAGTGCACGACCGATACATCACAGAAACAAAGCTCTCAAGATCAGGTAGGGCCAGGCTGTCCCTCCCGAAGAGCTCTTCTATATACAGCAGCTCGGTCTTCGACAAAAATGTGTTTTCCTCCGAAGGATCGGAAAGGAGATATGCAAACTCCTTCTCGCACCCCACCTTCTCAAAAACTCCTTTGAGCAGAGCCTCCAGGTACTTCCGCCTCGATCTGTCATAGAAGGACGCATTCACAGCCCTCAGCTCCTCAGGAATCCTATATGCGGAGAGTATGGCGTCCACTAGCGATCCCTTTGCATCAAACTCCCTTTCCAGCACAGCCTTCTCCATCAGGAGAATTCTTTTGTCCTGCGAAAGGCTCTTCAGATCAATCCTCGGAAGACAGTGTTCGTAGAACATCCTCCTTATTGCTCCGCTGGCATCCATGCATCTTTCAACCACACATCCATAGGTCGACGGATCTACTGAAATCATGCTCAAAGCAAGGCTTCTTACCTCGTCGCTTGGGTCGTATCGCACTATGTCCTTGAACAGATTCACAATCCTGACCTTCGGGTTCAGCTCCATTCCTTGGTAGTAACAGAGAACCTTGAGAGCTTCCCTTCTCACTGCCTTTTCCCTATCAAACAGCCTCTCAGAAATCTTCTCCAGAAGGCCATTTGCAACAACCTCTGGCCGCACCACATCGGACAAAAGCCTAAGAATGGAAAGCGAGTTTTTCCTCACCTTCATGAACTTCGACTCGGTAAACCTAATGAGGTAGTAAAACGTCCCGGCAACAAGCTCTTCTCCCTTTGGAAGATCTGGCATGTCCTCAAATATCCTTTTGAGGAAGCTTAATATCCTCGATGGAATGCTTGGCCTTTTGCATGCAAGAACAGTGTTTACAACCCTAAGAAACTCCTCGGAAAGCTCATGGGCAGTTAGCATTTCCATCACCTCCGCTAGCGATTCAGAATATCCTTTGGAGTCGCACTGTTGGATCTTGTTGAATATCAGCTGCATCCTCTCGAGGCTGCTGACGGTCTCGGATACAGTCATGATTCCAAGGTTAGGGTATGGCAGATCCGTATTAACAATTCTGACCCGGAAGCTTGGAAGAGCAAATGTGGACTGGTATGCGAATAAGAATAGCTTTAATGGAAATCAGGGAGAACTAGTCAGAAGGATTGTATTCTGAAGGAATCAACAAGCTCTTGGTGTTGACAATCTTGGTGAAAATAGGGAACTCGACATTCTCGTCAGCAAACTCAATGGTCTTCGCCCTCTTAAGCGACTCGACAGGGACAACGTCAACACTTATTATGTCCACCGCAGATCTCTTTAGCTTCTGCCTACCAGCTAGCTCTCTCAGAACATGGTCGATGGCCCAGCACTTGCTTATTGCCCTGCACTCCTTGTATGCGTTGTGGACCCCACTTCTGCTGCGGTAGACAAATCGGATCCCATAGTTCTGGACTTCCTTGAAAGAAGGCTCGGGAATCTCCTTGCAATCGATAATCAGCCCCTTGGTGGCCTTGATCTTGTACTTCTTCTCAAGAATCTTGAAGAACTTTGCCTTGGCAAAGACGTGGTTCTTCGTAAAGATGGTCCCGACAAAAACCTGAGGCCTCGGATTATCCTCCGTGGGCATTGCACTTCCATGGATTCTGTACTCCTTTGTCATCGGGATCGTCATGTTTACCTTTGAGAATGCTGCCTGTCTGGAGGTCTCTGGCTTCATGGGGGTAAATTTTTTCGGGCTGAAATTGTGTGGTGGCGCCAAGAGAGGTACCAAGAGCTCTCCCAATATGCTGGGTTATATACCGTGGCAGCCTTGAGGACTAGCACTGATTGCGGGTTTTATAAACTCCTGCGATGTGCCCATCCATGGACATTCTCTTGAAGAAGAAGGACCGCCTCGAACACCAGCTAAGGCAACTAAAGCAAAAAGAAAGAGACAGAGCTGAGTACAGGACCCACCTGGTTGCCCAGGCTGGTGAACAAAAGGTGGCAATGGAGAAGCTGCAGAGAGAAGTGAGTGCGGTGGAGCAGGTTCTTCTTGAAAAGAAAGAAAAGTTTCTGGTTCTGAAGGACGAGGTTTTCAAGTACAAGAAGGGCGCCCTGCATGGGATCAGAGACGAGCTTAGATCCTTGTATAAAAGCATATTTGAAGAGGCATCCAAGGCGCACTTTTCAGCATCGTTCTCGGCTTTTGAGGAGTTTACAAGGGTCAGGGACCTAATTGGAAGGAATGTGTTTAGAGGTCTCGGACGACGGCTCGAGAGGCTCTACAGCGAGGAAAAGGAGAAGCTGAAGAAGCATATTCTGTCGCAAATCGCAAAGAAGATGCAGGAGAAGCGAAAGATGCATGAGCTTGTGTTCAACATGAAGTTTCTTCGCAGGTATGAGGATTACTTTTCCGAGGATGTGATGACGGGGTTTCTTTACGAAAGGACGGCAAAGGGCTTTGAGTACCACTTCATGAGCGACAGGGACTCCAACCGGCTGGACAAGCCTGAATGGTTTCTTGACTTCATTCTTGGGAAACTCCAGGAGAACAGGGAGATCTTTGATATATGGGAGGATGTGGGCGGAGTGGAGCTCAAAGGCAATGGATCCAGCACTAGATTTCTGAGTCTGGTTACCATGACATGTGGACTGGTTGAGACGAAGATAGACGAGGTTTCTGCAAGTAGGAGCAAGCAGAAGAGGAATCTGACGCTTCATCTCGGGGTTCAGGTTATGAAGTTCAGACACAAGGTCTTCCAGAGCTATGGAGCAGTTCTCGAGTTTCCCAAGCTAGGAAAGATGCTGTACAAGGAACAGAGGAAGTATGTCCGGGAGAAGCTGTCGAAGATACATGAGATGAGACATGTGAGGTGGTTTGATGGATACAAGGAGCTCTCCCGGGAATGCCTCCTCTACATCTATAGGTTCAGGGAGCTGGACTCTGCATTTGGGATGGACGATGTGATTCAGATTATTGTAGATTACAACAGGGTGTTTCTAGAGAGCCTTAGATACATAAATAGACAGGAAATAAGGGTTCTTTGCTGGGTGTACAGCGAATTCGAGAGATTCAAGGGGTTTCTGTTGGATCAAGAGAGCGAGGTGGTCTTCGACAGCAGGCTAAGCATGGAGAGTAGGAGTGTGAACGTAAGGAAAGACAGGGCCGAAGCGGTCGAGGACATGCTTCACGAGGCAGTTACAGGATCCATCGAAAGGATTTCTGAGTTCAACAGTGAAAATCTAAAGCTGATTATGTCGCTAGCAATGAACGACACAGAAGAGGGGCTGAAGCCGGTCAAAAGGTTCTCCCACGATCCGAACAGAGTCTTCCGAAATCTGGTGGTGGGCGTGGGGAGGTATCTCGACGACTACAGGGAGTGTCTATCCTACAGAGCCATCTCTCACAGTGTGAAGGAGAGAATAGACGGGTTTGTGCTTGAGGAGGTTGTGCTGAAGCATAGGCTTGAAAGCTCCGAATACTTTGAGCTGGTTGAGACGATGAAGAGGCTGAAGGAGATGTTTGGGGAGGAGGAGTGGAAGAGTGAAGTGGGGCTGAAGTGCGTTGGAGATATATTTGAGGGCCGAGATGCTGGAGAAGGCCCTCTGTCGAAGATGATCAAGAGTCTGTACGTGTGAGAGTGGGCTTTATTGGCATCCTGCCTTTTTGGGAAATTCTATGGGGCAGCTAAGGTAGAGGCCTCCTTTATGGCAGCAGACGTAAGAGGCCATGGACACATACCCTAATTTAAGAGGATATAATGAAGATACTAAAAAGCGAGAGGTTTGGGTGCAACTCGCTAACGCCCAAGCTCCTGGTTGTTATTGGCGTGATGGTTATGGTGGTTATGTATATAATAGTGCTTACACCCTCTGCGGAGGTTGTCAATGAAGTAGAAACATCCGAAAGCGAGTTCCAGACGAAAACATATCTCAATGCCTCACAAGAGGTCAGGGAGGAGCTGACAATAAAGAGGGAGGACTTTGAGGGATTTTACTTCACACTGAGGCTCATAAATCCCATGAGAGACCGGGTCGTAATGATAGTGAACGGAACAAAGCTAAAGACGATAGTGAGTAGCAAGTACATAATCCGCTTCATTGACACCATTGAAAGCGACGGCAAGTCGCCATTCTACTTCATTTTTTTTTCGTATCTTACGGGGTCGCTATATTTTCCTGTTGGGACCGTCAACTTCGTCTCAAACTCCGAGGGGATCTGGTACAACGGAGTCCTCTATACAGGACACCCGTCGATTTTCAGGAGAATATGCTTACTTCTGTCAAGAGACATTAAATAAAAGGATTCAGCAAGAGGCATTGTATTTGTTCAGCAGATCAACAAGGTCCTTGTAGAGGGCAAAGACCTTTGCAACCTTGTCTGAGACGACCTCCATTTCCGAGACGGCATCTGCACAGTATTCAAAAGAGTGGTTGGTCTCCTGGAGCTTTGAGTCAAGCTCCTTGGAGCGGGTAGCGACTTCCTTCAGCCTTCTGAGGATTTCCGGCGATTCCATGGGGTGCGAAAAACTTAGAAAAATGAAAGGGCACGACAGGAATCGAACCTGTGACCGATTGATCTGCAATCAATTGCTCTACCGCTGAGCTACGGACCCTACTACCCACCTACTGCACATGCATCACACACCAGAGTGCACAGGGATAAATCGCGTCCTTGCACAGCCATTGGTGATGAATAGAGAAAACAAGAGGAAAGGGGCAAGGCCAAGAGGCTTGTCTACAAGGCTGGCCACTCCTTTCACAATCAGATGTCTGTCATGTGGGTCTTACATCTACAAGAACAAAAGACATAACGCCGTCAGAGAAATAGCACAGGATAAGGACTATCTGGGTGTAGAGAGCTACCGGTTCCACATCATATGCACTGGGTGTGGCAGGGCACTGTGCATAAGGACTGACCCAAAGAACGGGGTATATGTTACCGAGAGTGGATGTATCAGAATAGATGAAGAGGTTACCAAACAAGACGAGGAGAAGGATCTGTCTGTGAAGCTGAGAAAAGAGTCTGACATGAAAGACGAGATAAGCAAGCTTCGAGTGCAAACAAGCCATGTCGACTCGTCGAGCTCGGCTTTCAATAGCTCAGACAAGCTGGGGAAATAGACTGTTCTAGTTAAACTCTTTATTCAAGTATCTATAGGATCCATAGCTTCTGGTATGCATTTCGTTTGTAGTGCTGTGGACCTTGTAGTGCTGCGATAGGTTATCTGATCTAGAAAATGCCTTGGAGCACCCGGGGAATCTGCATTTGTGGGGCCTTTCGCCAGTGTGCATCAGGTTGTGGCGCTTCAGATGCTCGTATCTCTTGAAAGCTCTCTTGCAATCGTTATATGTGCATACAAATGGACGGTCCTTCAGGCTTCCAGAATGCTTCATGTGCCTACCTCTACTTCCTGCTTTAATGAAGGCGGGCCTTTCCTTGCCTGTGCAGCCGTCCTCCATCCTTTTCCCGTCGCTGGTGTATATGTTCTTCAGTATGCCATCCATGATGCTATCCGTCCATTGATGATTAAAAGGGTATAGTTCGTTTACATTATGGAATCCGTCGCGACCTTCCCTTTGGCATCCAAACTTGTATTCGCCAATGCTAAACCTGGGGTGGGAGAGCTCTGGACCTGCATCCTTAAAACATTCGGGCCCCTTCGCACTGCGTATAGAAGACCCTATCTCTTGAAGAAGCTTGTCACTGAAGACGCTGCTGCATACAACCTCCAATCCTTCCTCCCCAAAGAGGTCCTTGAGCTGCTCCAGCCTCTCCACACGGCCTGTGGACCTCATGTACTCACATATCTGGGAAGAGTCTGCACAAACCCCAAAGCATTTAAGTATATCGACAAGGTCAGACAGGTTGAATAAAACCCTTCCGTCCACGCAGAATACATAGATCTTTGTTGCGGTATCAGGTAAGAGCACCTCGCTCACGTCTGCCCCGGGCAAGACTCTTGAAACAACACTCTCAACCCATAGTCTAAAGCCAAGTCCTGCGTCTTGTTTCATCTTTTTCCCTTTGTGGTGTGACAGGCCGAAACTTTTAATGATCTGGCGACCAATTGGAGTTGTCTCATCCCTTATCTCTGGAACCAATCCATTTCCTGGCCCCAGTGGTTGGATGAAGGGCCACCAAATGCATCGGAGTCCAGAATCGTAGCTTGCAACTGGGTGGCATAAAAAAAGTTCTGCAGAGAGGGGTTGTAGTTTTCTACCGCCATTGATTTGGAACAACACAGAGAAGATTAGCATGGCCCCTGCGTAAGGACGACATGTATAACTTGAGAGGTCGCTGGATGTAGATCCGGCTTTTATTCTAACGTTTTTGTTTTTTTTTTCCGCCGAGAATTTTGCGTCTTTTCTAGGTGGAGCAGCTGCACCCCGCAAAATGTTCAACGAGCTTTTCAGAAAGGTTGTGGAGGCAATATCCAAGGCCTCGAAGTTTACTCCAGAGGAGATAGCGGCCTGCATGGAAAGGTCCTACCAGCCGAAAAAGCCGAATGTAACTCTCTTTCTCGACAGGATATCGCCAAGCCCACAAGAAGACGCCAAGGAGCTGCTTGAGACGCTTGCGGGAGCCAATATCGAGTTGATTGAGAATCTAGCCATACGAAAATCCTCAGTGTGCTGCGACATAAACAAGAGGGCAATACTGAAGGATGTGCTTGGATACATCCAGAAAAACAGAGAGATATTTGGGAACAACAATGTCGGCAAGGGAAAGCGGATGGTTGTGGAGTATAGCAGTCCAAACATTGCTAAGATCTTCCACATAGGGCACCTTAGGACAACAGTGCTGGGGCAGTTCATTGTGAACCTGCTGAGGGCGTCTGGATATGAAACGACCAGTATCAACTACTTTGGGGACTGGGGAAAACAGTTTGGGTTTGTGCTGCTTGGGTACAGTAAGTACGGAAGTGAGGAGGAGCTGGAGAAAGACCCACTCAAGCATCTGTTCAATGTCTATGTGAAGATAAGCGCAGATGCAGAGAAAAACCCGGATGTTGACTCTGAGGCAAAAGAGATTTTCCGAATGATGGAGGAGGACAAGGATGAGTGGTGCATGAATCTCTGGAGAAGATTCAGGGAGTTGAGCATCGAAAAATACAAGGTCCTCTACAAAAGGCTGAATGTGGAGTTTGATGTCTACTCCGGGGAAAGCATGTACAACGAAAAGGGAAAGAGCATAGTCGAGACATCCAAACAGATAAAGACTGATGAGGATGGGTCCAAGGTGTTTGACCTTGGAAAAGCCGGAAAGGTGCTAGTGATGAAGAACGATGGAACAACACTTTACATAACAAGAGACATTGCTGCTGCTATTGAAAGGCTTGAAGAATACTCTCCGGAGAAGATCATCTACGTTGTGTCCAGTGAGCAGAATAAGCATTTTGAGGATCTTTTCGGGGTGCTTGAAATGCTTGGGTACGACAAGGACAAGTTCCAGCATGTAAGCTACGGACTTGTTGCAGGAATGTCCACAAGGGCTGGAAAGGTTCAACTCCTCGAGGACATAATCCAAGAGTCGACAGAAGTCATGAAGAATGTGATGATGTCTGACAACAACAAGGGCTCGTTCACTGCAGCCGAGATGGATCAAACCGCAGAGGTTCTTGCCATATCGACACTGCTGGTAATGGACTTCACTGCCAGAAGGGTTAAGGGATACGAGTTTGACATTGAGAAGAGGGCAAGAAACACTTCTGGAACAGGGCTGTATCTCCAATATGCCCACTGCCGGCTAAGAAGTATCGAGACTAAGAACAGCAATGTTGATTACAATGATATTGAGACAATCGACTTTGAACTGATACATGTCCCTAAGGTTTTGAATCTTGTATACAAGCTGCTGTGGTTCGAGCACGTTGTGGAGAAGTGCCTAGAGGACTACGAGCCGTCAAGGATTGTTACGTATCTGCAGGACCTTGCCAGCAGCATTAATGGAGCAATAAACATCCTGAGGGTGTTGGGTGTTGACAAAGAGCTTGCTAGGGCTAGGCTCCTTGTCCTGTCCTCTGCCCGGATTGTTCTTCACAATGGACTAAGAATCCTTGGAGCTACTCCTTTGAATAAAATGTGACTCCTCTGCATTTTCTTGTCGGGCTGCCGCTGCCCATGGGATCGAATTTGACGAAGTACATAGATTACAGAGTGAAGGTCAGGATGAGGGATGGAAGATGGATGGAGGGCACAATGCTCGCAGTAGACGAAGATGTAAATGTAGTCCTTGATGACTGTGAGGAGTTCCGCAAAGCAAAGAGATCCAGGGAGTCGAGGCGTAGAGTTCTGGGATTGGTTGTGGTTAGGGGAGACTTTGTCGTGGATGTAGAGATCGTCAGCAAACCAGACTCATAAGACTATTCTAAAAGAAGGAGCATTCCAAACACCGGCTGCGGACTCTGGGATCCATAAAATAAAAAAGTATTGCTAAGCAACTTTAATCAAAGAACTTATGCTATTGTGTCACCACCTCCTCCTTCTTGCCGGGGGAGGGGATCTTTTGGGGGATCTTCACTTGCCATTTGCGAGACCTTCCTTCCAAGGAAGGTAAACGACTTGAGGGAATCAAGGAAACTGAGATTGTCAAATAGTATTCTGTGCGACCTAGCCAATAAAATTAGTACTAATGTAAACGAAGCAAACATAGCGAGATACATCCAGACATTACCTCCTTCAGCAGAATCATCAAGTAGTGTGTCCTCTTCGTCCTCATCCACCAGGGCAAGTCGAGAGAGCAGCATCGATAGGCCAACACCAAGGATCCCTGCTGAAATGAAATTCCCTTTGCCCTTATACTCAAGGTAAGCCAGTCCTGCCATTGCTAAACATCCGAGCACCAAGATCCCTAGAATTACTCTGTCTCGCCTTGAGTTCTTGTTGGCTAGCAGAAGCCGTATGCACTCAGCAAATATATAAGGCATAAAAATCGCTCCAAAGAGTCCAAACTTGCTTGAAATAGGCGGTTCCATCTGACTACTATCATCCACACCGGGTATCTCAGCCGGATAGAAGAGCATTGCTTTTATGCATATTAGCATCATAAAAAACTCAATAACGGATAGTATAACGCAAGGATTCAAAAAGCCGCCCTTTTCGCTGAAGGAGTGTGATGTGATTCTTCTACACATCTGATCCGCGTATTTAAGAAGAAAACCCAGTGCCACCAGAACCGCAAGTACTGCCATGCCATTCTTAGAAACAGTTCCTAATGTAGGATAACCTTCCTTGCCCATTTCCATAACTTTAAGGATCCCGCATATGCATGCTATCGCCGCAAAAAAAAGGTCAAATTTCTCAAACTTTGCAAGTTTGTCCATTTTCGACATTTTATGGGGGGATGCTCAAAACCTTATTTATATCCACCAAAGTTTCCTAATTTGGATAATCACAACGATCATGTTCCGATAGAATAACGTTAAGCACTGGTTATTTTGGACCAGTAACAACAGACACAAGAAGATCTTCCATGGAAATTGAAAGCAGAGATTTTCTATAGATACAGGGATAGGAGAAAGAGGCACATTCATTTGTCTTACAACTTGTCACTGCAGATCAATCATATATCTGCTAAATAAATGAGTGTACAGGTTTGTTGGACTGCCCACTATCAAGGTCTTGTATCCGTTGCCTGCTATTGTTTCAATCATATCCTCAAGCGCCATGTTTGCATTTGCGCCGAAGTGTCCGCATCTTCTGAGGTCAAAGAGAATGTTCTCTTTGTAGAGTCCCTTCATTGCCTTTGCAGACTCGCAGAGATCTCCAAATAAAACCATTGGAGCAACATCTACCACTCTGTACGTCTCCTTTCTGCCCATTCCATCAGGTAGTCCTACCGTTTCATTGGGCTCAAGCTCTGCCTTTGCATCGCCGAGTCTGGTGCTCAGGCGCTGCACAATAATGTAGAAGGAGTTTAGAGCAATCCCAAACACCAGCCCACATATGGGTGTTAGATACCAGGACACAAGGGCAGACGTCACCAACGTCAAGAGATCCATCCATGACAGCTTGAACATGGGGAGCCAGAGATATGAGTACAGAAAGCCAAATCCTATGAACATGGGGATTGTTGCAGAAAGAATCACGGGAATGCTTTCTCTTATCGGCTTTCCGATAACCAGCAGGGAGGATATCGCTGCAACCCCCGCCAGCGAATGGATCCTGGTTCTCCCTCCAGACTTATTGAAGTAGATAGACGTCGAGCAGATGAAGTAGGTCGGGTATCCAAGGAACGCAGACGCGGCATTCCCGATCGACTGGACACCCAACTCCTTGTTCAGATCTGCTGCCTTCATCCCAAGAGACTCGACAAAGCTTGGTATGTTCACGGCAATATGGACCAGGTTGAATAGAGACAGCCCAAGGATGTTCCACCAGTTCGCCCAGACCGCCTCCATCCTTATGTTTTCGACCCGGAAATGTCGCATGACTTCAAGGGGGTCGAGGCTGATTCCTTCGGTCTTTGGAACCAAGTTGACAGACCTCATCCATTCGACGTCCTTTCCTGCAATCATAAACACACCATAGAATGCCACAAAGACGGTAAAGGAAAACATGGGAATCATCAAGAAGTATGCAGGAAAGACAATGTCCAGGACTAGGGCCAAAAGCGCAAGACATATGGTTACCGCAAAGCAAGCGTGGACGTGCTTCCATGTTATCGAGTATGTCTCCTCGTATCCGCACTCCACAGACATCATTCCTATGGATACCATAACTCCATAGAGGGCAGGTATCGGGATGTATCGGAGGTAATTTCCAATTCTGAATACTTTGAGAATGTAAGAGAAGAATGCATACAAAGCAGTACTAAGGAAGATGCAAACATATGTGGTAAAGATCTCCTCTCCGAAGGAGTCAGATAGCCTGAAGCACACCTCGTGTATCTTGCGGGTGTCCCTCTGCGCCTCAAAGATGGCACCTGCGCACACTCCGCCAAGGCCACTAAACAGTCCAAAGATAAACTGTGCGCCTATTGTCGAGTAAAGGAACATAACTGCACTCACATTTCGAACACTTCTGCTGTGGCTCTTCTCGGGGTTCAGTAGCTTTGCCCCGAAGGAAAGGAAGTCCAGCGAGGTTATTATCAGTATGAGAAAGCTACTGGACACTAATGATAGTATTCTTTGTTTTGTTGTTTTTATTTCGCTTTTCATCAGGGGCTTAAGCTCCACCAGGTCAATAACTATTCCAAAAGAGGCCAATGGTATCAGGATTTGGCTCTTTCAAGAACAAGGCGCCTTCCATAGAGATGGGTGCTGCTTCCAAAGTGCTCAATGGCTGCCGTGACGTCGTCAGGAGAGTTCAGTGTCACAAAGCAGAATCCCCTACTACTTCCCTCCCTCTTCACAGGAATTCTGACATCCACCACATGGAACGAACCAAAAATCTTCCTAATCTCCTCCTTAGAGGCCTGGAACGGAACATTTCTAATAAGAAGCTTGTTCATCAGCTGCCCGCTTGCTTCTTCTGGGGGCCTCTTCGATGGCTCCTCCCCGGTGCTTTCCGGGACACTGCATATGGGTGCATACTCGCAGTATACAACATGCTCCTTCACCCTCTTCAGACTCAGCTTTCTGTAGCACCTCCTGGCATCCTCCTCCTTGTCAAACTTCAGAAGTGCAAGGCATTTGGAGGGGGCAACACTGATCTTGCATCTATCATCCACAAGGTCCAGGCATTTCATAAGCTCCATGTTGCGGACTATCAGCATATTCCTATCAACCGACCCAGTAAGATGGTCTAGATAAATGCCGTTGCTTTCAAGAAACTTCTTTGTTTCTTGGACCAGATGTGTCTCAATACGCGCCATCCGGGCTCCTAAATCCTTGTCGTTAACATCAACGACATCTCTTATACTGACCCTCTCGCTTTCGCATATTCTCTTCACAATCGACTCAAAGCTAAAAAATAGGGTATTGTAGTGCTCGTACTGGCGCTTTTCAGCCCTGTCTTTCCACGGGCACATCCTTGCCTTTACCCCTCCAATAAACTGCACCTTTCGATATGCCTCCAATGCACATTCTCCCCTACTGAATTTAACATATGCACCTTTGCCTTCTCTACGGTCCAGCAGCCCGACCTCCTCAATTTCTCCATACTCCTTAAATACGTCGCGAACAAACTGCTCGTTGGCCTCTGCAGGAACATTCCTGATAAAGATCTTTCTTGAGTATTTGATCATTCTTTCCTCAGACTCGCCTATCTCGGGAGAGCCTTCTCTTACCTCCTCGCATGCTATCCTCTGGTTCTTGAACAGAGATCCGTCCCGGTACCGTATGGCCTCCACCCCGTCCTTCTCCTCCATGTATCCTACAAAGCATATCCTTCGGAACTTCCCTTGCTCGTTTCTTGCCATAAACACATCCGTTATCTTCCCGTGTCTAGAGAACTCCTTCTCAATCTCCTCCTTGGTTGTGGAGGCAGGCAAGTTCTTGACCACTATCCTCATCCTAGAGGGCAGGGCTTTCTTATCATAAATACCTCCGCCAGCAGCCATGCAGAGCATCAGAAGTCAAAGGTAATCCCGTAAATGCAGTATCTGCCATACATGTCCGCACTGCTTTCCAAGACTATCCTGATATGGTCTCCACGTCCATTAATGCCTAGATATCCGGTGCCTCCTCCGTTGTGGAACTCCATTTCGGCATGCCCAGAAGCCTCATTCGAAACCACATACCCTCTTCCCTTTGTGCAATGGAATCCTTTCTGGAAGGATATTCTAGCTCTCTGCACATGCATCGCCTGCTTCAGGTAGATATCTATGGACTGTGGGCTGCCATGCCCTGAGAACCAGCATGTATCTTCGTTTGTGTCGAACATGTTCCATGCCTGAGACTGGCTGGAGCTCGTCTCCACATCGTCAATGATTTTTTTCATATCTGTGGCCATCCTCGGGTCCATGGGAGACGATTCTTCCGATGAAATAGTTCTTGCCAGGAGTGCAGATGATGACAGCAGCGAGATATGCGTGGTCGAGGTAGTAAGAGACACCCCAGGGCCTGGAAGAGCGAGGAGAAAGAGATCTACCAGTGTTGCTCGGGCTAGGAGAGCTGGAGGAAAGCAGGTGCTGGAAGAAGGCTCGTCAGACAGCGGACCCAGGCAAAAGAAACTTAGAAATGATGTCCGTCATGAGAAAGAAGCGCACAGGGTTACAGCTGTCGATCAGGGCGCTGAGAAGATATTCTATCTAAAGAGTACTGATACGCTAGATAGTGTCTACCAGGCGTACTGCAAGGGAGGCCTCCCAGTCAAAATGAAGTACAAGTCTGTTCCTGTGTCGAGACATCTGACACTAGAGGAAATGGGATTTGATGGGAGACACTGCATTACGATTCACAGGCCGGACCAAGCTTCCGGCGAGTCTGGGATTGGACTGAGGATAAATGTTGATGGGGCCAGGGCAGTTGAGGCTAGTTTCTGCAGGGAGGCTGTAATTGAGAAGATTTTCGAGAAGCTTTCTGAAATGGGGTTCCGCGGGGATTTCCTGGTCAGGAACGGAGTTGTGTTGGATCGCACAGCGAGCATAGGAAGTGTAATGGGAGCTGGGGACGTCATAGACCTCGTAAGCAAAGACGAGGTTGAGTATAGAGGCTAGGGCACGGGACTGGAGCAGGGGCAAAAAGAATGTATGGCATGCATGCCGAGCCCATATGACGAAAGGAGAGTCTGAAAGAAAATGCTTCAGGGTATTCTGCACATCTGAAAAGGAAGAGATGGCAAAGAAGATAAACCAAGCTGTGGACGAGGAGGCGACTCTAAGCAAGATGCAGCAGATCCTTAAGAAGTACTCCGGCGGACGTGACTAGGCTTGGTGGGAGATAGTGGCAAATTAAACTCTTTGCAGTTTTCTACATAAACATTTGGAGTCAAGCCCTGGAGACCATGGACAAGACTCTGAAGCTCTACAATTCGATTACCAGGACCATTGATATCTTTACTCCTAGAAAAGGCAACGAGGTCAAGATGTATATATGCGGGCCAACTGTGTACGACTCTTCCCACATAGGACATGCAAGGACCTATGTGATGTTTGATGTCATACGGCGTGTCCTGAGCGACTATCTGAAGTATAATGTGAGATTTGTGATGAACATAACAGACATCGATGACAAGATAATAGCCAGAGCCAATGAGACTGGGGCATCCATGGAAGAAGTTACCAGGAAATACACTGAAGAGTTTTTTGAGGACATGAAGACCTTGAATGTCAGGAGCCCCTCGTTTGTGACGTTTGTGACGTCGTATGTCGACAAGATTGTGAAGTTTATTGAAAAGCTTGAGGCAAACGGGCTTGCATACGAAAGCAGAGGGAGTGTGTACTTTGATCTGAACAGTTATCAGCAGAGATACAGCTACCCTCTATTCAAGAGCAAGGACGGCATCAACTCTGAAGGAGATGAAAACAAGGACAAAAGAAGCCCGTGCGACTTTGTCCTCTGGAAGAGGTCCAAGGAAAATGAGCCACGGTATGAGTCGAAATGGGGACATGGGAGGCCTGGATGGCATATTGAGTGCAGTGTAATGTCCAGTGATATTCTCGGAGAAGACCTCGACATACATGCTGGAGGAGTCGACCTTGCATTTCCACACCACGAGAACGAGATAGCTCAGTGCCAAGCCTACTTTATGCAGGAGCCCTGGGTGAAGTGCTTTCTCCACACAGGGCATCTGAACATCAGCGGGCTGAAGATGTCCAAGTCCCTGAAGAACTTTACAACGATTAAGGAAGCACTGAAAACGATTTCCCCTCGCCAGCTAAGGGTTCTGTTTCTACACCATCAGTGGAACAAGGACATGAACTACGAGAAAGAGCACCTGAAGTTTGCAGAAACCATTGAGAAGAAGATCTTCAACTTTATGTCTGTGGCGGAGAGTATGAGAAAGAACGCACTGGCATTTGAGACTCTAGAAAATGCGGACAGGGAAGTTCTGAGGGAGCTAGGGAATGTCCAGGAAGCTGTGCATGCAGCACTTCTTGACAATGTTGACACGCCTGCTGTAATGAAGAGGATAGTGGAGATGATAAATTTTACAAATGCCAGAATAAAGACAATCTCACCGTCTACCGTTCTGGTTGTCAAGGACTACATCAAGGAGATCACAGACGTGCTTGGATTGAGTGAGGAGGAGAGACAGGAATCCCCTGGAGAGGATCTGATTGCCCAACTGCTTAGCAACTTCAGAGAAAGTATTAGGGAGATGGCAAGACGAAAGGAGCCTTATTCGAAGTTCCTTGAGAAGTGCGATTGGATCCGAGAAAGCATCAAGGACTACGGATATATTATCGAAGATAACAGTGAAGGATCTATACTGAGAAAGAAATAAATTCTTTATTTTCCCTTCGATTTAGAGCTCCTTGTGGAATTCCCTCATGAACCTATCCTTGTCCCTAGATGTCCATTTCACCTGTGGAAGCCCAGAGAGCTCACAGATGGCATGTAGGCTAGAGCACTTCTTAAACTTAATTTCCACAGCGTTTTTGGATGCAAGAAACCTTAGGATGAATCCTGCGAATCCACCGTACATGTTTATACATCCTCCGGTGTATCTTATCCCACAAACATGATCAACCTCGACGTCCCTTGAAAACTGCAGAACAGCCTTGTTGTTAGTCTGGCAGCCCTCTGGAAACAGTACGCAGGGCTCTGTAGCCTTTTTGCAAAAGCGGCCTGTCCTGACGTCTATAAAGCCGTATTCTGTAACGTAGTAGAAGTTCCTAATGCCCGTGAGATACTTTAGAACAAAGATGTCGAGGAAGGAGGATGCATTGGCAGCCAGGACCTTAGGGCCTGTGATCTTGTTTGAGGTGATTTTAACCAGAAACTGAACAACGTTTATGTTTGTTCCGAACAGAAGTAGGACGAGAGGGGCCTTCAGGAGCGCCTTGAGGTAGCCGAGGACCGAAGGGGCCCTGTGCCGGGGATTAACAAACGGGTTCACCCCGGAGAGAGGGTCATTGTATTTAGAGAACTTTTCCATTGCCAGGGCTTCCATGATGTATGAAAAAGCTGAAGACATAAACAGTTTAGGGCAAGATGTTTAATTACTTCCGAGGACCCCACAATCCCTGATTTCAATCCTATACCCTTTCTTGACCTGGCCGCTTTCGGATCCATATTTAGCTATCTTGTGGACAACGTCCATGCCCTCAACCACCTCCCCAAAGACAACGTGTTTTTCATCGAGCCATTGGGTCTTTCCAAGGGTTATGAAGAATTGAGACCCGTTTGTGTGGGCCCCGCAGTTTGCCATAGAGAGGATCCCCTCCTTTGTGTGTTTCAGCTCAAAGTTCTCGTCGGGAAACTTTTCTCCATAGATACTTCTCCCCCCAGTTCCGTTGTGCGCGGTGTAATCTCCACCCTGGACCATGAACCCAGGAATTATTCTATGGAAGGTGGATCCCTTGTATCCCTCCCCCTTGGGTCTTTCGCAAAGAGTCCTGAAGTTCTTTGCTGTCTTCGGAACGATGTCGTCTTCAAGCTTCATCACTATCCTCCCGAGGCTCTCTTCGTTTGCATACACATCGAAGTAGACGTTTCCACTCGCCTCCTTAGCCATTGGGGTTGGGTAGTACGGAGAAATTAAGGTTTTGAGTGCAAAATTTTCCTGGCCTCATGGAAGAGCAGCTGTATGGGCTTTATGATCGCCAGATAAGGCTTTTTGGGAAGGACACGCAAAGGTTAATAGAGGAGTCGCATGTAGGCATAGTACAAGGCCCTCCATATATGCTGGAGGGAAACGAAAGAACCAATGACATTGGAGGGGAAATACTAAAGAACCTTGTTCTTCTTGGTGTGGGGAGAGTGACAGTGAACGAGCATGTGCTCAGGTCTTTCAGGAGAATGTTTGTTAACGAGGTTAGCAAAATAAATGAGAAGATAAGGGTGGAGGTGATTGACGAAGAGCATCAGGAGGGTGCTTGGGACGGATACACTCTGGTCATATTCATCGACCAGAAAGAGCAGGCAAGATGCCCGAGCATTTTTGTGTGCTCCAGATGCGTGGCGTTCCATGCACCAGAGAAGGAGCACCTCTGCGAAAGGCACAGTAGCGTCTCAGCTGCCCACGACTGTCTTCTAGGGGCAATAGTTGTACAGGAATGGGTGAAGAGGCTCCAGAACAGGCACTCTGTAGATGAGTACTGTGTTGAGCTTTAGACAGTCTTTTTTCCACACAGTCTCAACACATGCTTAAAAAGGAATTCCTCGGCCTGGGCATGAGTAAAGAGGAAACAAAGGAGGGAGCTAAGCAGAAAAGATACAACGAGAGGGAAATAATAAAAAGATTTCTTGTGTCAGAGAAAGGCATAACCTTTTTAGTGGACCATGTCAACAGAAAGAGTTCCTGCAAAGACACTCGACTCAGCAAAGAGCTGATGGAAAAGGAGATAGACAACCTCATTGACTACTATTTTGCATGGATACACAGCCTTCCAGTAAAGAGGAGTATGAAAATGAGCAGATACGAGTTTCTGAAGTACTTGGAGGACTTCTGCAGGAAGAATGACGTCAGCAATTTATTTGAGTTTTTATTAGTTTGAAAAATATCCATAGAAACAAATGCCCAGACCCGGTATATGGAGGGATATCTCAATCTCCACCTTCTGGCTTAAAGACCTCGTTCGTCCATTTCTGTACAAGTGCCTTTGCAGAGGCCCTGACCTCCTTCGACTCCTTAGGATTTATGCTGTAGAAATAAACGATCTTCCCCACCCCGCTAGTGACCAGGTGCTCCTTGTGAATCTTCATGGTCTTGAGCACGTCAAGAAGTCTCTTCCTGATCTTAATGTTGGGCATAGACTTGTCTGGAAGAGGCTCCAGCCATCCTTTGATCTCGTCAAGAATGCCCTCATCCAATAGACTCTCTTGCAGCGCCTTGCTCATCAGAATATCTGATATCTCTTCAACATTTTCTATCTTTCCTGTTGCCGGGCGTCCCTCCAGGTTGTTTGCGTTGTCTTTCTTCAGAATATCCTGCATTCTTTTCTTCAGAGACCTCGATATCTCCAGAACAGTCCCAGGGTCCAGATCCCCTTTTCTCTCTGCTCTGGAAGCAGCCTTGGCCTTCTTTTGCCTACCGCCTGTGTCCCCAAACTCGCCACTCTGTGCCTCTGGGAAGTCCTGGCCGCTGTCCCTATCCATGGGCCCTCTAGATTGTAATATTTTCCGTTTTCGTAATAATGACATATATATAAAGAAAGTTGATAGAGGAGGGCACGTGAATGGAAGATCCAGACAAAATGTCTACAGCTAAAGAAAACATGAAGGACTTCCGGGAGAAAATTGAAGGTGTCTACAAGCATCTTGGGGAGAAGACGGAGGGGATCTCCAAGGAGGTGAATATCAAGGGGGTTGAAGTAGGTAGTGGCGGGATTTTCGGCCTGGTTCTAGTCTTCACGCCAGTACTTCTAAGTATCTTCGGGCTGGGACATGACTATCTCTCCATAGGCATTACAATCATTGGATACTTGATTGCTATAGCTCTTTCGTTACTCGAGGTTGTTCCAAAACTCCAGAATATATACAAGGAGTACCAGGACACAGGCGATGTGTCGAAGCTCTTTAGCTTCAAGAGCCTAATGCTGTTGTTTCAAGCAGCCTTTGCATTTGTTCTACTGCTCCACTTCTCCCATATAGCAGACAAGAACCGTGCAAAGGACACGGGAATCTATGGGCTGATGATCTCGATGGTGTATATATCTAGGCAATCGTGGAAGCTGTCTAACTTTTCGATCAAAAATGATGACTTTTACAAGTTCATCGTTTGCTTGACTGCCCTTGTAATGCTGCTTTTTATGACAACCATTGCATGGAAAGACGCGACAACGTCGTACACCATTGCATGTACGCTACTTTCTGCAGTGATAATACTCTGTGACTACATCGGGAAGCCCATTTCTGAGAGATTGGACGAGGTGGAGCCTCTTTCTGCAATCACAGCACTTCTTCTCGTGTTCACTGTGATGTACGTCAGTATCAGTGCGAGCTCGGGTTTCAAGATCCTTTCCTTTACCGGTAAAGCCTCTGTTGGCTGTATGACTGATTAGTTGATGAGGCTAATAAAGGGTTGGCTTTTTATCTGGTATTTGTAAATAAGTTTACTCTTGGCAGATCCTTTAATAAAAATTGGGCGTCATTCGGAAATTCTGTACTTACTTCTTTTTGGGGAGATTGAGGTGGCTCTTCTGGATCATAGGACTCGAGTTGTTGAATGTCAAGTCTGCAAAGTATGAGGAGTTTTCAGGCTTAAGTAAGCTTCCGGGGATAAACGGCCTTTTAGATGCTTCTGCAGTCGTAGGCACCTCTCTATTTTCCATAGGCCTACTGACCATTTTGTCATCAATACCTGTTCTGTTGTTGCTCTTATCTATGGCTGCTTTTGACGGAGCCTTTCTGCTTCTTTCCCCCTTGGGTACACCTGTTTTTTTTCTTGTAGATGCGGAGCTGGCTCTCTTTTGCACAGGTCTTGGCTTTACAGCCATACCGTCCCAGAGCTGTTCTTTGCCGCCATATCCGTCGCCTAAATCCAGCTCATCGCCACTTTCTTCGGCCTTCAGAACATCTTCATCAAACACATTGCAAACATCATCATTTAGAACGATCCCGTTCTCCCGTGAAGCATCCTCAATCATCTTCCTCTGTATCTCAATCATTTCCGACTTTTGCCTCATATTTTCCTTCAGTGCAGATATAATCTCGTCCTTCTCACTTATGGATCTCCGAAGCTCCTCAGAACATATGTTTTCCCTAGCTAGCCTGGCGTTCTCCAGTCCCAGCCTCTTCACCTCATCCTCCAGACCAGCTCTGTCTTCCTTTATCTCCCTTATCTTCTCTACGTTTGCAGCATTCTTCAGCTCTAGCTTTTCTATTTCCAATCTCATCCTTTCTGCATCTCCCTTGTATCGTATGCAGTCTTCTTGAAGCCTGCTTAGATTGCCCCGTAGCTCATCTTCGACAGACCTGATAATCCTATGCATCTCATCCATCTTCCTAAGGCCTGCTGCTTCCCATACTCCATCTTCTCCAGGCCCCTCCAAGCTCTTGTTTCTATTCCTGTTTGCCTCCTCCGCACTCTTTTCCTTATCCTTCCTCTCTAATCTCTGAACTGTGCTCGTCAGGGCTTCGTTTTCTTCCACAAGTCTCCTGATCTCATCTTCTTTCTTGCTCCCGTCGCAACTAAGCTGGTCGATCATTGCCTTAAGATCGTCTATCTGCCTTATGTAGCTGTCTTCAGAAGCCCTCGTCCTAGTGACAAGCTCCTCATGGCTTGCAACAAGGCTATTGTAATCCTCCTCAACCATTAAGGTCTCCAGCCTCAGCTTTCTTGTAAGAAGATCGGTGTACTGGTGCTCCAGCGTCCTTGTCTTGTCGGATATCTGGAAATATTCTTCCATCTTGTATGGGTCACGAAAATCGTGTTTAAACATGATCTACCCAGGCTTTCTGGGGATTTCTCCGCATCATTAGAATGTAAACAAAGGCACCATGGCCTTCTTTTCCTTAAGCACCTGCTTCCCTCCAAACCATCGAATTCCCCGCCAAAAAGGATAAATAAAGAAAAACATCCCCCTTGCAATGGCAAAGTCTGCACGGCATGTTACAGGTAAGGCACCATCGTCTCTGGATGCACACGATAGGAAGAAGTCCAAGAAGAAGTCGTCGTCCATGTGTGTGGGCAGCATGTTCAAGTCTGCAGTCAAGCGTATTTCCCGGGAGGTCAGTCCAGACAACAACATCATGCTGACAAGCAATTCCATCCAGGTTCTTTGCGGAATCTCATACGACTTTGTTGATACAGTTGCCGATCTTGCTGGTGAGCTAGCAAGGAAGGTTGGGAAGCAGACGGTGGGGTCTGACGACATCATAAGTGCATTTGAGATCTTACTCAAGGGAGAGCTGCGAAAACTTGCCATCAGAGAGGTCCACAACGCCCTTTCCAAAAGCCAAGCTAAGTCTCGTGGAAAATAAAGTCTGTCTTAGTAGCCAAAAACACTTGAGCAATAAATGGATTTGGAGTACTGTGGCAATCAGCCCATCTCATAGAACTAGGTCCTTTAGTGCCTTCCTCAGATTGTTATTCATAAAGAGCGTGAATGATGAGTGGCTTCCGTATCCGCACAGCGTGACACCTATTCCCTCTACCCTGGCAACGGCCAGTCCTATGTGCTCAAAGCCTAGTAGGGCGTTGGAGACAAATGTTTCCTTCAGCAGTAGCTTAAACTGCTCCATCGAGATTCTAAGGTTGCATATGAAGTCTCCTCCTATGTGAAAGAGGTTTTTCATGTAAAAGTCCGCATGAGAAAGTCCAGACTTCTCTAGGATCCTGTAACCTGCACTTATAACATTGAGACCCGGATTTCCATTAAGCACCCGTGCAGCTATGCTTGACACAGCGCTTATAGTTCTACTTTTTTCTGTTTTCCTGTATAGCTCGCCATTCACACACATCGAGTAGCCTTCGAGGATTTTGTCCTTAGCATCCTTGGTGAGGAACACAAAGCGCTGAAAAGATGACTCCGATGGCCTCTTCATACTCATTTCCCTGCCAATGCCTCTTTTTCTCCGAAGAATTGCGATGAAAAACCCGCCTGTATCCTGGTCGTGTGGGTACAGTCTAATGCACTTCTCTAGTCCCAGGTCTACTCTGCACGGCTGATAGTGAGGGTTCTTGAAAATCTGGTCGTCTGTCCCCCACTTCCTCAGCCCTTCCCTGAAGATGAGTTTTGTCCCATCTCCGCCACTAGGAAAAAGTGCAAGTCTGGAGTCTCCTCTAAAGTCAACCAGCTCAAAGTCCCCCTCAAGCAACATTCTCTGGACTACACATTCATTCTCTATCGGGTTCAGCGAACAGGTGGAATAGGAAACCAGGCCCCCCTCCGCAACAAGGTCGCAGCCTCTCTTCAGAATTCTCCACTGGGTATCAAACAGCCCCCCACTCTTCGAAAGCTTCCATTCATCGAGAATCCCAGGGCTTTTTCTCATAGTCCCGTCGCTGGAACAAATTACGTCGCAGAATACACGATCAAACATTACCTGACTACCGCCCTCATATATGCTTGGGAATGCAGTGGCATCGTGCTTGGTGACTATCAGCGAGCCATTGGGTCTCTTGGTGGTCTCGCTCACAAGCACCTTCAGCCTCTTCCCATTAACATCGTTGGCTATCACAAGCCCATCGGTAACTGCCTCAAGAATCTGCTTGGTTTTCGATCCAGGCGCTGCACACATGTCAATGACCCTGGAGTCTTTCTTCAAGTCCATCAGCAAAACAGGAACCATGCTGACTATCTCCTGCCTCTGAATCACCCCAATGTTCGTCTGGTTGATCAGAAATCCTGTGAACTCCCTGTACACATCATCCTTTTCCTTCCTCTTGCGAAACTCATAAACATCTTCTAGGTACCGTATCCTCCGAACAAACGGATACTTTTCTATTCTCCTCTTTATCATGTTAGTCAGCGGCGTCCTTGCAACCCTGAATGCATATGCAAGATCCTTCTCAATCCATTCGAGAAACTCCTCAAAATCATCCTCTCTCATGCCCAGTGCTCCTTTGTAATACTCTACATATTCCTTTCTTGGCATTAACTGGGTTTCGGCATCGAAAATATCAGCAATTTAATCGCCGGAGAACAGTCCTGGATGGAGGGGTGCATATTCTGCACGCTGTATCGGAAGGGCGCCAACATCATCTACGAGACAGACAGGCTTTTTGCATTGATCGACAGATATCCTCTGTCGAAGGGACACTTCCTGGTCATTCCAAAAGCTCACCATCCCTATCTGCACAACTACAAGCCAGAGGAGCTGTCTGGAGTGCTCGACACAATCCGGCATCTTGTTCAGAAGTTTGGCTTTGAGAGGTACAACATTCTTCAAAACAACGGGAACCACCAAGAAGTCTTCCATGTGCACTTCCACGTCATTCCCTTTGTTTCGGCCGACGAACGCCTAATGATCAATTGGAAGGCAAAGTCTGTCAGTGACAAGGAATACTCGGAAATGGTCGAAGAAGCAAGACTTAGGGTCTCCTCGTAGCTATTAAATCCTTTATTGGCATCCTCTTTTCCTACATGTCCGCAGGCAGGATGTTTTTGTAAAACCATTTTTCCGAAGCCCATGAAGAGCGGGTGCAGCATCTTTGTTGGAAACATAGATTTCGAAGTTCCAGAAGAGCGCATAATAGAGGAACTTGGTGCAGTGGGAAAGGTCGTTAGCTTTCGGATGGTTTACGATAAGACAACTGGAAAGTCGAGGGGGTTTGGATTCTGTGAATACGAATCTCCACTGATTGTGGAGAAGGCGCTGCAGAACTTGAAGATCTCATTCAACGGAAGGCCTGTCAAGATAAACTATGCCGAAAATGACATGCCCGCAAAGGCCAGGGAGCCTGAGAGCCAAGTTCCCGAGATAGACAACCTGATCAACGTGCTGGACAACATGGACAAAGACAATCTGAAGGAGGTTCTCTTCTACTTGCGAAAGCTAGCGCTGGACCAGCCGTCATACCTAAGGGAGCTTTTGAATAAAAATCCAAATCTTGTTTATGCGATCATCCATGCCATGCTTAAGCTCAAGTTGGCTGATCCCGGGGTTGTCGACGAGATTTTGAAGGAATCATTCGACCTCACCAAGCAGAAGATGCAGGTCCTGGAGAGAATATGCTCCATCTCTGAGGACGACCTGTGCTTCTTCCCAGAGGACGTAAGAAACAAGGTCAAGAAAGTAAGAAGCATGGTTCTGAAGTCCAGAGCGGAAAAGTAAAGTGGGACTCGGGTCCCTAGTAACATTAAATGGTTTGGAATGGCTGGCTATCCAAGAAAGTTTAATTGGAAACAACTTCTTCTTGTCTCTTTCTGAGAATCTCCATACCGTGCTCTCTAGCCCTCTTCTTTCTCTCAAGTTGCTCCTTCCTACCGTTTTCAAGGAAGAATTTGGTAATGGTCAGCTTGGAAGGATAGATAGGCACCAATGCATTTGTACCGTCATTCTTTGTCACAAAGCATCCCTCAATGTACACCTTGTAATCCCTGTAGTTGATCTTGCTAATAACACCCTCCTTTCCGTCGAACTTGCCTCCTTTTACAACCACAGTGTCTCCAGTCCGCAGTGGGAATGTCCGGAAGCCATACTCCTTCCTCAACTCCCTGGAAAGACGGGCCGACGATCTTATTCTCTTTTCTCCATCGTTGCAGGCAAAGTGTGCCTTCCTCTGCTTTCTCCTACTCGATGTCTTTTGCTTCCTCAAGTTCTTCATCCAGGGATGAAAAAATTTATGGATTTTTACGGATCGGCAATGCTCTCCCTGTCAAGCAGCCCAAGACGCCATACTACCCAGATGCCGCCTCGCTCTAAAATAACCTTTTCACTCTAGTTTTATTCTCAGGACACTGACAGACCGCCCCGAGCAGATTATGACATTCCTTCCATCAGAGTCCAGAACCTTGATCGGAGGGATCCTGATGGTATTGAACGGGAATTTGCTAAAACACCTTATATCCGGAAGAACTATCTTCAAAGAGTTGGTATATCTCGACCCATATACAACGTAATCCCCATGGCCTGTAAACCCAGTAACTTCATCCTTGAGATTTTTAAATTCCCTGATAGGGTTCATCTCCTTGTCAAACACCTTCATGCCCATTCCCATTCCAACAAACACCTTGGATGCAAAAAAGTGTATTGACCGGAAGTCAAACTTGTCCTCAAGACTCACCTTTCTTAGGATCTGTAAGCCGGGCGTTAGCACAACAATCTCTCCACTGAAGCACATGGCATACACAAAATCCTCAGACACTGCAACATCCACAAACCTTCCCTCGATAACTTCAACCACCTCGTAAGCACTGTTCAAGAGAGCTAGTTGCTCTCCAACTATATATATGGAGTCACCAATACTGATCATCCTTCTTATCCCTTCAATGGCCCGGATGCTTATGTTTCGAACCTCTCCGTCAAATGTAACCTCCTTCAAGTTGCTTTGCTTGGACGAGGAGAACAGAATCGCCCCTCCTGTATATACAAAGTCGGAAATCCCAAACATCTCAATCCAAAGAGTCTTGTGCACCTGGAAGTTCCTAAGTATGTATATGTTGTTGTAGGTATCCACAACAACCAGGTACTCTCCGTGGGCCTTGGCCTGCTTGATTTTGCACTTAGAAAAAAACAGGTGTCTTTCATACTCAAACCTCAGCCTCTTTTTGCGCGCCTCAACCTGCTTCTTGGCCTGCTTTCCATCAAGCCAGGTCGCCGTTTTTTTATACTCCTCTCGCAGCTTCTCATCATCGTCGCTATCTTCCCAAGCTGCTGCCTCAGAAGACTTGGAGCTTTCTTCCTCAGAAGCCTCCCCAAAGTACTCCTCTTCATACTCAGAAATCTCCGAAGAAACCGTCTCCGGGGAGTCCGACGATGTGTATTCATACGAAACGCCAGATTCATCAATGTCTTCCTTGTCGCTCTTGCTCATGGGGATGGCTTTCTCACCCGACAGATATATTTAGAATCAGCAATGCAAAACTACACAGGATAAAGAAGGCTAGTTTATTTCAACGGAACAAACTTCGAAGAAGAGCTTGCTCCTATTCCAGGCCTGCCGTGCTTCGGAGTGACTCTGGTTGGAGCAAAGTCGGACAAAACAAATCCAACCATCTCGGGCTTAATCTCAACCGGCAGATATCCATTTCCGACATGGACCCCAACCAGCGCACCAATCATGGCTGGCCAAATAATTGCAGATCTTGCATGGGTGCGCACCATCTCGGGCTTGCTGCTACTAGAAACACAGGCCGCCTTTGCTGCAATGCAGCCCTTGATCAGCTCCACCTCGCGCGAAGAAAGGCCCCTTCTGACTCTCCTGCGGAGCCTTGATGGAAAAAGCTTTGCAACCTCGCTGAAGGGCATCTTTTCGAGCTCCTCCACTGGAACACCTCTGTATGTGTACCTTCGGAAGGTTCTTTTCTTTTTGGACACCTCGTTGTCTCCCTTCTCCATGTGATCGACAGCCTCGGTAGGTTCCACCATAGAGGGTAAAAAATTTTCTAGGAAATGTACCATCGAAGCCCCGATAAAAAGTATAGCTTTATTCGTCAACCACCGTGAACTTATCAACCTCAAACACCTTCTTGATCTCCACTTCATTAATTTCCTCGCCATTCCTTTCGACCTTCTCTGCAAACAGCCTTGTGAAGACAAAGTCCGAGGTGAAGTAGATTTCCAGAGGAAAAATCCCAGCAGGGTCGCTGCATGTGCAGCTGAATTCCAACGTGTCAGAAAACCCCTTCTCCACATCCCCTATATTCCATTCTATGTGGGCATCGCTCTCCCGGGCGGACCCGCTAATCACAACGTTCGAAATATTGGCCTTGGGAAAGAACACACTCAGGTCCTTCATGTTGCACTCTGCAGTATACTCAAGCATTATCTGATATACATTGAGACTCGTCTCGCTGGGCCAGAACGTAAATGTAATCGGAGCCTCCCGAATATCAGAGCTCCTCCACTTTACAAGAGCCACGTTCTTTTCAACAGGAAACCCCTTCTCGCACCTAAGTACTCCAGAGCTGGACACAGACTTGTCGAGGTTAGGACTGAACTTCACGTCCGTCCCTACATTTCCAAGCCTTATCTCTATGTCCTTATACTCCTCCTCCTTTATAGTAATGCTCATGTCCCCCTGCACCTCGCCACTCTTGATGTTATTTTCCTTGTCCATCACCATCTTAAGCCTCTCCTTAAACACAATGAACACAGGGCTCATGGACGTCTCCAGCCCCCTCCTCTTCTCCTTCGCAGGGCTGCTGCTTGTCTTTACAATGCTCTTGAGCTGCTGTATGCTTTCGTTTCTCATCTCTATCTCAAGACTCCTGACTCTTTCAAGCTCCCTGTCAATGTCGCTGACAGACCTTCTCTGAAGCTCCTTTTGCTTCTGAACCAGCTCCCTGCTCTTGTTCTTCATCATCAGCTCGTGGATCTTCTCTTCCTGGCTGTCCATGCTTTTTATTAAGCTAATGTTCGGATCAAAGGCTGTTTGTCCATAGAGAACATTGTCCATCGTCACCAGAGCATCCACTATATCTCCACTGGTGTTCTTCTGCAGGATATCCAGAATCCCTTGTGCCCTTGTATTGTTATATCCCATGCTCGTAATCACAACGTAGTAGGTAGAGTCAACCACGCTGTAAACATACTTGTAAAAGCCCTTGGCCAATATCCCGCCTGCTGGCGCGCCAGAGCTCACAAAGTCGAGTATAAAATGCTCTATCTTCGATACAGGCATGGCACGGCTCATCCGAGACACCGTCTGCCCCGTCAGGCTGTTTGCAACAAACAATCCAACTATCATTCCAGGGCCTCAATTATCCCAACATAACAAGCCATCAGAGGAGCGCAGGGCTGGCTATCACCAAGCAAAGACATTCAACATGACTCTTAAATATTTATTCATCACTGTCACTGGCAAAAGGCAAATGACAGGTCATTTTCATCACTATAGACTCTCCTCCAAAAAAGGATTTTGTGACGAAGAAAGTCCTCTAGGAACCTTTCGCTGGCCTTCATGTAACAGACCGACCTGCTCTCATCTCTGATTCCATGCACATCGCAAATGCTTTCTAAAAGCTCCTCAGCATTACTGAATTCGGGTATTCCGTGCCGAAGAGAGACCTCACCTCGATCAATTCTTTTAACAATTGCCTCAATGTAGTCCCTAAACGCAATCCCCATCAGCCCATGGCATCCCCGGAGAATACTTGATAGAGTCACCTTGCTTAGTGGAACAGAAACCACCACAGAGTTCGGCTTCTCTTCCAGAATTCTAGAAATGCCTCGGAGCACAAAGTTCTTTCCAGACCCCGGATTTCCAAATATTCCTATTCTCGTCTCTTTCCCAATCTGTCTCATGTCTTCTTCTGTCACTTCAATGCAGTCGTTTCCATCCCTTTTCAGATGCACCTTCCACTCATCAACCACCTCCCTGGGAACGTACTGTGTGTAGTTAAGCACCATAATCAGCTTCTTCCCGTGTTCAGAAACAATCTTCTCCGCTTCACTGTTCCTACTAGAGTCCGGGTCTCTTGCATCAATGACCTCAATCACAACATCGCTTTTCGACACCAGCCTTAAAATCCCATCGAGATACGCCTCCTTCTTTTCAGAGTTCCGAAGAGCCTCGTCATACTCCATTTTCCGGAGCTTCGCCATTCTCTTTATCTCAGCATACTGCATGTTCTCCTCATCGGTCCTCAGAACAGATGGAGGAATCCTCTCCACCTTTGCTTGCATCTTCCTGTCCATTCTTCTTTTCTTCCTCTCATTGGCCCTTGCCCTCTTCAGCATGCCTTCCCTCTTCCTTGTGGTCAACCTTTTACTTTGCCGTTTCTTTTTAATCCCCATCTTAGGGGAACCCACTTTGGGCTTTATGTTCCGAGGCAAGACCACCTTTGGCATTCCTGGGATATCGACCCTTGGAACCAAAAGATAGCAGGCAGATGGAAATATGCAGTACGAACAGACAATCCAGCTCCATCGGAACATGAGCCCTTCGACTTTGACACCTAGGAGTGGCGATAATCGAGTACATTGTTGTGATCTCCACATCTGATTGTGGTAAAACATTTATTATTTTTCAAACCAGCCCCTGGCACATAGATGGCAGAGGCTTCCGTTCTCCTGGGCTCCATCGCTTTCATGGTTGCGGTATCCACTGCTATAGTAATACTGACAAGGGGAAAGTCCACCAAGAACAAGGACGAAATAAGGATTGGATTGATAGGCGCCTTGGCATTTGGCTACATTGCATGGGCCTGTGTATATATGTCACAGATAAAGCCGTTCGTTGATCCTGAATAGCCAAAGAGACTCTCTGTCATCCAAGCCGCCTACTCTGAGAATCTGGGAGGACCGGCGGCGATTAAATATGCCTTACTTCACTTATTTTCTGCCTTTGCGCCAAAATAACGGGGTCTCTACTACTGAAAGTCTACACCAGGGATCATCAGCTCATCAACGGCCCAGTCTTCAAAGCTGCTGTCTGGAAGCTTTCTCCGGATGATGAACGGAATTTTTTTTTCGCTCAGCTCCATGTTTGCAATGTTAAGCGGGTTGGTTTCGTTTCCTATGTCTACAAACGGGGGTGCGCCTGCACTTAGCTGAGTTGCACGAACACCGATCACATGCGCTTTTTCATATTTGGTCATTCTAGGAAGTGTTTTCCGCTCCGAGGCCTTGATCTTCATACCTGCATCAGAGATTTCAAGAACTTCCATGTTGATTTCCTCTGTGGAATACTCGTTCACAGAATCGACATCCTCTTTGTCCATCAGGGGTTTTGTGCTGCTTCCGATTAAAAACCAAAGAAAACCATAGCCCGTTGGAAGTCCGATGGAGTTTGAAAAGGTGTCCATGACAAATAACCTCGGCCATTCTGCATCATCCACAGACATGTCTCTATCTGATGATGGAAGATACCTGCTGTCTGTGGGCGTGTATAAGCCTTCTATCAAGATCTATGATCTGGCAAACTTGTCTCTGAAGGTGGAGCGGCATCTGGAATCTGATCCTGTGAGGGTGATACCGCTTGTGGAGGATGCCTCAAAGGCCTGTATTTTGAGAAATGACAGGACCATTGAGTTTCACGCAAAGTATGGATACCACGAGGGCATAAAGGTGCCGACACCGTGCTTTGACATCTGTCTTAACAGGTTTAGGGCCGAGATTCTGAGCGGAGGGACGGGGCTGAGTGTTTACAGATTCAACTTGGACCAGGGAAGATTTCTGAGAAGCTATGCTGTAACGATTGGCGAGATATGGTCGATTGGGATGAATGAGTGCAACGGACTGATTGGAGTTGGAGGAGACAGCAAGATGCAGTTTATTGACCAAAGATGCAAAGAAATTGTCAAGTCTGTTGAGTACAACGAATCGCCGTCTAGTATAAGCTTCTCGGATAATGGAATAGACCTCGGTGTTGGAACAAGAGAGGGATCGGTTTACTTCCATGACCTGAGAGCTAGAAAGGAGCTGTTCAGGGCCAGGCATGACGGAGAGGTCAAGAGGGTTTTGTTCGATGGAAAGACACTAGTCAGCATGGATAAGAGTGCACTGAGGTGCTGCAGTAAGACTGGAGTTGTTGGAGAATACCTGAGTGATGTCAAGATGAATTGCTTCGTATGTGACGGGGGACTTGTCTTTTTAGGGCTAGATAATGGAGAGATAGAGGAGATAGTGTGTGAGGATCTGGGAGAGATCCCTCAGTGGTACCGAGTACTCAAGGATTGACTCTGCTGGATAAGATGCAAGGAAAGCTCGGGATGCTGTTCTACCTTAATATCGAGTTCTCAGGACACCCTAGGATGTTCAAGAAGTTTTCCAGATTTAAAACATTTTTTCTAGTTGTGTCGGTGATCTTTGTATTAAGAAATATAAGGAGGCTAAGAGGCTCACTATTACTACCTGGTAGATATCTGCTGCTTATCGCACATCCAGATGATGAGTCCATGTTTTTTGCGCCATCCCTGCTAAGTCTAGGGGGGGATATTGACATTCTTTGCTTGTCTAATGGTAACAAAGAAGGGAAGGGAAAGGAAAGAGAAAAGGAACTGAGGAAAGTGGGATGCTACACTGGAGCGAAGGTGCTTATAACCACATTCTTTTCCGATGGGGAAGACTGGGACCCGGTGATGATCTACATAAAGCTCTTGGCGATCTATATACTAAGGCCGTTTGACGTTCTTATGACGTTTGACGAGGCAGGTGTATCTGGACACAAAAATCACATCTCTTGCAGTAAGGGTGCGGGACTGTTTCTGAAGATACACAGTGTAAAGGGCCTGCTGCTGAAGTCCAAGAACCTGTTTCAGAAGTATGGGGTTGACATGAGCTTTTCTAGGATCTCCTCCACGGTTCCCTTCAGCATGTACATGGAACCCGTCAAAATGATGTGCTTCCACAGGTCTCAGATGGTGTGGTTCAGGTATCTCTATGTGCTCTTTTCAAACTTCATGTCTTACAACGATTTTACTGTTATAAACTGAATAAACCGGCATTCCGTTAACTAGGAGCTGTTAGTCTTATGTGCAGAACAGGCATGTGGTGCGGCCTGATGTAGTGTAAATTTTTGAACCCTCTGAGGAAATGGAGTCTGAGTTTATTGAGCTGTTCAAAAGTTTTATTGAGTCTTATCGCACGCCGCAGGATAAGGACATTGCGGAGGAGATTGCAAAGCTGCCGTACGAGGATCACCAAAGGATCGTCCTGAATGTAAACGACATGCGTTTGTTTGACAAAGGGCTGGCCCGGGGAGTTCTGGAGGATCCAGCAACTCTGGTTCCGTTTATTGAAGACGAGCTGAGTGATATTGGGGGGAGAAAGATATTTCTTGGGATCAAAGGGTCTTTTGGAAACTACTTCCTCAACCCAAGGACTCTGTCGAGTGTCTATATAGGGAAGATGGTTTGCGTTGAGGGGATAGTTACATCATGCTCCATATGCCGGCCCAAGGTCATGAAGAGTGTGCACTACAATCCATCGAAGAATGTGTTTTACTCAAAAGAGTACAGAGATGCAACGATGGTGACGAAGCTTCCTGTGACTAACAGTGTGTATCCGACAAGAGATGTGGATGGAACACTGCTGACGACCGAGTTTGGGCTTTCCGAGTATTTTGATTACCAGACTGTTGTCTTGCAGGAGATGCCTGAAAAGGCGCCTCCTGGGCAGCTTCCCAGGTCTGTGGAGGTCATACTGTCTTTCGACCTAGTTGATGGACTCAAGCCTGGAGACAGGGCGAAGATCTACGGGATCTACAAGAGCCTCTGCTTTGGGAATCAGCAGTTTCCCTCAAGATTCCGAACGGTTGTGATTGCAAACAACATAGAAAAGGCCGAGGAGGAGGAAGTTGAGGTGGAGCCGGGGGTTGAGTTTGAGAGGCTGTCACAAATGAAGAACATGCACCATTTGATTGCACCCAGCATATTTGGGCATGACATTGTCAAGAGGTCGATAGCTTTGCTCTTGGTTGGAGGAAACGAGGTGGTGATGAGGAATGGAAGCAAGATTCGGGGCGACATAAATATTTTGCTTGTTGGAGATCCATCGACGGCAAAGAGCCAGCTGCTCAGGTATGTTCTGAATGCAGCCCAGCTGTCCATTGCAACCACTGGAAAGGGGTCGAGCGGTGTTGGACTGACGGCTGCGGTGGTTCTGGACAAGGACACAGGGGAGAAAAGGCTAGAGGCAGGAGCAATGGTACTAGCAGACAGGGGCGTGGTGTGCATTGACGAGTTTGACAAGATGAGCGATGGAGATCGTGTTGCGATTCATGAGGTGATGGAGCAGCAGACGGTAACCATAGCAAAGGCAGGGATTCACACGACGCTAAATGCTAGGTGTTCTGTGCTAGCAGCAGCCAATCCTATATGGGGGCAATACAAGGAATCAAGGCCACCACAAGACAATGTAAGGCTCCCTGAAAGCCTGTTGACGCGGTTTGATCTAATATTTGTGACCCTTGACAAGTCGAATACAGATATCGACCAGCTGGTTTCTGGGCATGTGCTGAGAATGCACATGTTAACCCAGGGGTACGAGGAAGAAGGAATGGGAGTCAAACAAGAGGTGTTTAGGGCATACATTAGATACTGCAGACAGAAAAAGCCTGTGCTCTCTCGAGAGGCGGCAGGTCTTATAGCAAGGGAATATACCTCGTTGAGACAGAGCAAGGATAGAAAGGAGCAGATTGTTTCTATCACGCCCCGGATGCTGGAAACAATGATCCGCCTTGCCACTGCAAATGCAAAGCTAAGGCTCAGCGATGTGGTTGAGTATGATGATGCAGAGTGTGCCGTGAATCTGGTCAAGGACTCTCTGTTCCAGAAGATTGTCAAACCTGCTAAACGGATCAAGGCCGCGGCGCCTGAGGAACAGGACGAATTCGATTTGGTGGATGAAAAGGGCACTCTGAAACAGCGTCTGGAGGCAGCCATGATTGACGAAGACAAAATCAACTTTGTGAGCCATGCATTGTATGATTACAGCGCAGACCCAAAGAACCCTAGGATACTCGAAGTCCAGGACTTCATGAAATACCTTGGGACAGATGTTAGTGTGACAGAACAGGAGGTGGAGGAGATCCTCTCCCGATTGGCAGAAAAAGATCTGATCCTATTTGAGAACGGAAGAATATACCTGCTAAATTGAGTATAGAAGCAGATATTAGCTCGTTGCCTGGAGTGGGGAGCCCTTTGATCAGAAACCATCAACCTTTTATTTCCGGGACCAAGGTTCTGGTCAAGATTCCATCGTCAGTAACTATTTTCACCATGAATCCCTCCAGATTGATCATAAGCCTCTCCTTCAATAGATTAACACACTTCTGCATGATGCTCAAGGCTGCATCAATAGTAATGTCTTCAGAGTACTCCCTGTCAAGGATTCCATACACGAAGTATGCGGCATATCCACTGGCACAGAAGGGCACTGAGGAGATTGCTCCATATTTGTCAACAGACCATAGGTCGTATTTTTCAGGCCCTCTTCCTGCTACTATTGACGATATGTCAAGCTGCCTCCTTCGAAGGGATTCATGGACCTTGTTTTGGATCATGTGCGCCAATACACTTGGACTGAGCTCTATCCCGTTCTGTATCTCTTCATACAAGGCACTCTCCGACACATAGAGCATGGTCCTGAATGCATCCCCCTGATTCCCTGTCATCGCCATTACAATCCTGTCCTTGATCACCTGGAACTTCTCGTGGTTTTCCTTGACTACAAGAATGGAGCTGGAGATCTTTGTGTCTGCAGCCACTATTGCGAAGTTGCGTCCCTTTATTCCTATTGACGAGTCCATATCACAGGGTAAAGACAACAAAAATTACAAATGTGTATTCGCACACTTTAGACGAACATGGAGACCGCAGTACGTGGTGTGCTACGGCGCAGTCAATGAGCTGGGCATTTAGTTTTACAAGCCATTAAAAGCAGATGAAAAAATTTCCCTCGTATGCAGCTCCCTATTCCGAGAATCAACAGTACAAACTACCAGCGCATATTGATGGAAACCAAGCAGTCTGGGGACAGAGAAAAGACCATTGAAGACATAAAGAACGTCATCCTGTTGATGCCGCACAAATCACCCATTGTAACCAACTTCATAAGCGACCTGGCAAGAGATGATGCAGCCCTTAAAGATAGAATGGTAAGGACGATCAATGAGATCCTGGAGACTGGTGACATCCACGGGCTGATATCTGCATCGTTTACCTTGAGGAGGCTGGGGGTCGGAGGGACGGAGAACCTTTGGTGGGTCGGGAAGATTCCAGTAGTTAATCCTCTTTTTGATGGTATAGACCTCGCAATACCTTCTGACTCCCTGGATAAATGCAGAGAAGAAGCAGAAAGGATGCTGGAGACTGTTGACGAGGAAAGCTTTGAGGAGGTATTTTGCGTAGTACAGATCATAAAAGGCTTCAGGTTTTCAGTTCCAGAGTGCCTGTCCCAGCTTGGTCCCATTTCAAGACACAAGTCCCTGGTGGATGGGATCCGGATCCTCCACAGGGAAGAGAACAGCCTATACCTGTGTGTGTTAGTTCTTGAGCTTGCAAAGAAGCAGGGGTTCTTAAAGATTCTTCTTGAGGATCTCGACTCCTTTGATCATGAGTTCAGAGATCTTCTTCTGTCCTTACTTTTTGAATGCTTCCATAGTCCTGGAGAGGAAAATAGCGTCTACATCAGCAGCTCCTACACACCCCTTAGGACTCCAGAAGACCTGGAGTTGTTTAAGCATCTCACCACCGAAAACACAGCGAGAATCATGAAGAGGATTTCAGGCAGAGGCAAGGTGGAGAAGTTCTTTCATGAGGAAGAGGCTGCCGCTGGTAAGGAAGTGCTGAGGATAAGTAGAGAGGAATTTGAGAAGACTGATTTTGGGGATAAGAAGATGTTTTTCAGAAACTTCTGTCTCCTTGGGTCGCCAAGCATATCCCATTTTCTCACGTATTTGGAAATCTATAAGGAGCATTTTGTTCTCGACAAAGAAGATCAGAAGGCATTCCTCTCGATTTTCTTCGAAGTGTTTGGTGGCTTTGAGTCATTCTGCCGGATAGTTGTTGGAAAAATGGTTCAGTTCAAGATCATAGATCCGGAATTGGTGACAGACTTCGACGGCAACCAGGCTCTGTAACCGTTGCGGAGAATAGGGCTTTATTTATGTGGAATGGTTCTCCTATGTATTTACAACAAACAGATAGTCCCTAAATCCTCAAAGATTCTTTTGATAAAGCTGTTGCCCGGCCGATATCAGGAGCATCATAAGTACGAAGTTCAAGAACAGGAGGGGAAGGTGAACAATAAATCCGAACACTCTATTGGTCCTATCTACGCTAATTCCAAGCAATGCCAGAAAGTAAATCGAGCTCAACACAAATGTTATCTGCCTTCTTGCCATCCCAGGGCCTCTAGGTGAGGTGAATATAAATCGCCTAAGATAGCCCGTGGCAAGCCAGCAGAAAGATGAACCGGGCTGGGCAGGAGTATTTTATTCAAATAAAGGCAAACTTACTTGAAGTTTTTCTCTGCATACTCCTTGACAAAGGATGCTGCATGAAGGAACTTGGGGGTATTGTATTTGTTCTGTATGTTTTCGAATGGAATGCTCTCGCTTATGGTGTGGACAAGGGCATTGAAGCATTCCTTTATGTCATCTTTAGTATGTCCGGAGTACATGATAAAGAGGTTCTTGCATTGATCCTGGGACGTTATCTTTCTTGCGAGATACATTGCTGCTGCAGCCCTCACGGATCCTTTGAATCTTAGGAACTCCTCGTAGAGGGTCATGAGTTCTAATAAATACTTTCCGACTGTCCTACTGCAGATCTCGTAGTTGTTGGCCTTGGAGCATTTCCTCAGGAAATTCAGAGGAGACACATACTGCAGATCGTAGTTAAGGGTATGGAGCATGTACTTCTCCGCCTTCCTTACATCCTCTCCCGTCAACGTCTTCTCTGTTAGAAGAACAAGCGTCTGAAGAGCTGGGCACACAACCTCCTCATACTTGCATGCTATCATCAGGGCGGAAATCCCGACAAGCTGGAGCTTCGAGCTAGGAATCGACCTCATGGAAAGGAACCTGTCAATGAAGTTGATTGCAAGGAAAAGAGTGTCGTGGCAGAGTCCCAGCTTGTCATGGATGTCGATGATCCAGTCTACTAAGAGGCTCCTCATCTTCCACGACACTCCGTCGTTGATATATACGAAAGGTTTATCGATTGTTGAGAAGTACTCGAAAACATCATCCGAGTACTTGTCCACCATCACTATCTGGGAGGCCTCTCCAACCCTCTGCTGCTTGTAAACAATTTCCTCCATCTTCGTGAGAGGGAGGACTGTCTTTTCGGCTCTCCTTCCGATCTTGTTTGTCACATTCTTCAAAGGCTCTGATTTCCTGAACGAGACCACCATCCTGAAAATCCAGGGATCCACTTTTGTACTTCACATGGTTGCAAGTTCTGTCGACTTCCTACTCTGCAGAGGTTTCAAGCGGCACTCAGAAGCAACGAGATGCGTGACATGGAGAGTCCATGAAGCTGCAGAGCGGCAGCATCTACCTAAGCGTCTTACAGCCTGGACTACTTCTGAGTGTGGCCGGATTTTTAAGAAATTAAAGATTGGAGTCCTCAGCAGAGCCAATGTTTTTGAAAATGCTGGAGGCCAAAGCGAGAGATTCGTTGCCTCTGGAAGCAGGACCTGAGTATGTGGAAAGATTCAAAGAGATGAAGTACCGTGGAGGTAGAAGGGAGGCAACAGCATTTCTCAGAAAAGAAAATGTAGGCACCACCATTCTCCTCGACTCTCCAGAGCTACTGGATGAGGAAGACCTGATAGACCTTCTCTTTTGCCCGGATATTTATTCGAGGTACAGGAGTGCAGAGATGCTAACTAAGATGTACGAGCACAAGAAGCATAGAAAGGAGTATTTATCTTTTTTCAAACAGATGCTAAAGGACAACACTTCGTATGACGAAAGCAATTATCTTTTGTCCCAGCTGATTGACTTTCTGTCCTGCAAGTCAAATCTGGAGTTTGACGTTGAGAAAAGGAAAATAGAGCTTGCATCGAACAGGACGTTCATGGAAATTCTGCAGACATATGTGTTTGTCAAGGAGATTCAGTATAACACATTGATAATCATCCTCATATTTTCTTATAGCAAAGAGTGTGTCGACAAGATGGACGACTTGATTAATGACGTCATTGCCATAGTAAAAGAAAGGGCAAGAGAGAAGATCCTGAGAGTGTGCTGTGGAATAGTTGCGAATGTCCTCGACAGTGGCTATATCTTTTCTCCAGGAAGGCTCAACGACATCTCGAAGTGCACAAAGGTGCTTCTGGAAGGGGGCTACAGCGATGAGGAACTGGTGATAGATATTGAGAGGATTAGAAGTAGGATGGTACAGAACACAAAGAAGTTTTGCATACGCAATTACCTCAATGAGCTATTTTCCGGGAGATTTGAGGATTCTGAATATCACCACAAGAAGGACTTCTGGAGCACCAATCTCGACATGTTGATAAAGAACAAGGTTGAAATAGTTAAGGTGCTCAAGAAGTATCTGAAGTCAAATAACCCCTCGTGGATATGCCTCGCATGTAGCGACATCTTTCAGTTGGTGAGGGCATCCCCGGAAATTAATGCAGTCTTGAGCAAGTATCAGGTTAGAGAAATACTCTTCAACCTGATCAACAGTGACAATGACGACATAAAATTCCATGCGATCCAGGCACTATACACATGTATTTCTTCAGAGTGGAGTTAATACACAAATGGAATGCCTACTCCTTCGAAAAGATCTCCAGAGCTCTCCCCTCTTGCTGCAGCCTGGATGGAAGTTCTAGAAAGAGGTTGAGAATTTTAATGCTTTATCTCTGGCGCGGAAGGCAAGTTATTGTGCACGGGGCTCCTACATGATGACCTCCTTCTCATACCAATCGAACATGGCCTCTGGGTCATCCCCGTCAGCTTTGTCATAATGGATCTTTCCGGAAGCAAAGTCCTTGACGATTGTCTTGAGGCATCTGCTTGCCGTCCATCCCTTTGTCGTAGACATCAGATTTATATAGTTGGCGCCTTTGGACTGTCTTGAGTCGTTATAGAATCCTCTCAGCGAGTAGAATCTACAAAGCTTATTGATCCCGATGAATTCCACAATGTAATCCAGACTGCTGTTCAGGTCGAGCAGTTGGTCGACATTCAGTATTCCGTGGAGTATCAGGCTGATTTTATCGTGTCCCGGAAAGACCAGTCCAGGACAATCTAGTAGGCATGGTCCGCTTTCCACCTGTATTGTCTGGATGTGCTTGGTCTTTCCCGGTGTTTGGCTTACCTTTACCCGCTTGCTGTTCATTATCGAGTTTATCGTACTGCTTTTTCCGACATTGGGATATCCCACGAATCCAACTGTTTTCCCCCTATATTCCAGGATGAACTCCAACAATCTGTTGTCATCCAGAGCTGAGTAATAAAAGCATCTATATCCTTCTATCACCGTCCTACTCGGGGACAGGTCCGCTTTGTTGACCAGAAGAACATGCTCCTTTCCTGGATAAAGCTTGCGAACATCATCGTTGAGAAAGAACCTTGGATTCCTTGCATCAACTATCTGTATGATGACATCGCTTCTCTCACAGGTAATCCACAGTTGTCTCCATATTTCTATATTTCTTTCAAACACACTGTGTTTTTGCCGTCCTTTCCACAGGTCAAAGACCTTCTTTTCAACTTCCTTGAATATTTCCTTTCCCACTTCCTCATGCGGGGTGCGCGGAGGGATTGTTCTCGAGAAGTCGAGTGCCGGCATAAGCCGTTCTACTGCAATGTCCACCTCACTCTGATCTTCCGGCTCCTCCATGACGCCGGCAGGCCTTCCTCCAGATATTTTCTTGTTTCTTATCGACAGTTCTTCAGACAGCTTCTCCATCCCACTGTATTCGGTGGCAGAGCATCTTTGTATCCGAGGGCTGACCTTCTTCTTGCCTCCAAATCTCTTTTCAATTATCAGCTTCCCCCATTCCACTTTCATTCCTACCAGGGATTTAGAAACAAGCATCTGATATTCTAGGCAATTTGGGACTCTGGGTTCTACACGCTGCTGTTTCCCAATAAACACCAGAGCTCTAGCAGGCTCCATACTCATTCTCAAGAATCTCCATTATTTCATCTGCAGTAATCCTTTGGTTGTAGTTGAAGTCAAGGCATCTCACTATGATCTCCGTCACAAACTTGGGAACAGCCAGCCTCTGCTCAACCATGCCCCTAAGAGATCTTCTTGTCCCTGCCTTTCTTCGGATTAGGGTCAGCTGGTTCTCCTTGCTCTCTCCGGGAAAGAGAGGCTCAAGTGTTATCATTTCGTAGATAATGCATCCTAAGCTCCAGATGTCCACGTAAAACCTGTAGCTTGTGCTTCCCATAAGCAATTCGGGCGATCTGTACCACAGGGTGACAACCTCACTTGAGTATGGAGGCACCCTTATCTCCAAGCTCCTTGACAGCCCAAAGTCCGCTATCTTTAGCACACCATCGCTTGTAACAAGAATGTTTTGAGGCTTGAGGTCTCTGTGCACAACATTCATTCTGTGTAAGTAATGCACTCCGCATATCAGTTGGTTGACAAGCTCCATTATGTTCTTCCCCGTGTTCATCCCGATATACTTCTTCAGCTCATAATCAATAAATGGAAACACCATTGTCAGCAGTGCATCTGTATGTATTATGGACACCAGGCTTATGATATTTCTATGGCTAAGCTTTTTCAGGATTGATATCTCTCTCAAGGCGGTTCCTGGCATTCCCTCCTTTTCATTGAGTCTTATTCTTTTCAAGGCAACTTTTTCCTTTGTTTCTGTGTCGATTGCTTCGTATACCTCGCCATAAGTTCCTGACCCTATTAGTGCTCCCAGGATGTATCGTGTCATTTCTGTTTATAGGCTTTGAACAGAGAAGATTTCATAAGTGTTTCAAACATAAGGGCATCCAGCAAAGACTTCCTGGACAATAGTAAGTGCTGATGGCATCGGGGTGGTTGCATAATATCCTTGTTGGTCCAGTGGTTAGGATAGCTGCCTCTCACGCAGCAGGCTCGGGTTCGATTCCCGGACGAGGAATCTTCCTTTTTCTCAGAAGGAAATCTAGGCAACAAGAGATTGTGCATGCCCAATACATCGAAATATCAGTCACATTGTTTAATCACTAGTGGTAGACTATCTGTAAGAGAGTGTAAATACTAGGCATCCATAGGTCCGCTCTATTCTCCCCTACTTCGGTGCACTCAAGAATGATCTCCCTAATCCTCTGCTTCATAGTATCGACATTCCCGTCATTCTTGATCTCGTTGTTTATTCTGTCAATCCCGTTAAGGATTAAGGGGCTAAAGGTGTCCCTCGTGACACTGTTGTATATAGAAAGCCTTTTTGTGACCTCCTTGAGCTTGTTCCTAACTATCAGGTTTGCTTTGGCTGATGCTCTTTCTATCAGGCTCTTAACAACACCCTCGAAGGTGTCAAGTATCTCCCCTGCATTTAGGCCATCTGCCTGCACCTTGGAGCTGGGCTGAATCTGCAAGGGTGTCTGCACCTCTTTTCCTTGGGGCCGTGGCATGGGGATGCAAGGCTTTTGCTGCTGTCCATCTTGTGTGCGAAGAGAGGGACTAGAGGGCATTCCAGGCCTGGGTATACATGGCTTGGATGTGCTTCCTTGCGATCCTGGCGCCTGGGAGAAGGATCCACGGGACATCATTCCATATGTTGGCACCGGAGAAGAAGAGCCCGAGAAATTCGAGATGTCAGGCATGGAGTTGTATGCTTTTGAAGAAACCCCCTTGGACGCCGAGCTGTATGTAGGGGTGCTGGACATAGTTCTATATCCAGGCCTAGGGATATGCATTTTCTGTTGGGGCTCTTGGTGCGTGGGAGAATAGGATGGCCTGCTTGGCTCAGAAGCAGATCCAGACGCCTTCAAGCTTTGCTGAGAGAGCCCTGGTGACAATGGAGGCTGCGTGGTATCCTTACACACAGGGCCGTTAACGCCTACACCCGGAGTAGTTGTCTTGCTTAGGGAACTGGCGGTGCCCGTACTTCTTCCACCTTGGTTAGAATATAATGAGGGTCCTACCGTACTACTTGACTTGATCGGTGGCATTCCATACTTCCTTGCAACACTAGGGCCTTGATAGGTCTGGGGTTCCATGGATGGAGACCTCTTAAACACATCCGACCTACTGTGGGTGCCATTGGCAGGTGGAGAAGCAGGCTTGCTGCCAGGAAGAACATTATTCTCTGCTCTTCCAAGATAGATGTTGATTCCTAGGTCCTCATACCTAATTCGAACAGGACTCTCTCCATGTGCTGATGCATACCAAAAATATTCAGAAATTACAGGGCTCTTGTAGAAGCCTCCCATCGACTCTAGGTCGGATACCATCCCCTTGTACTCTTGGAAGAAGTCTCTTACTTCGAAAATACTCGCAGGTGTCTTGTACATAGACTCCTTCAGCTCAAAGTAGGCGTCCAGCCTGTTAATCATGGCATAGACAAGCAGCTTTTCTTCATCATTCAACTTGCTCGCTATCTCCATAGCATTCGAGAAAAAGTCTGAGTCGGGCAATGGAGAAAAACTGATTATGGAGAGAAGGGCCAGCCATTGGACCGTGGATATCTTCTCCAATATATGCGAAAATGTAGATGTAATCTGTGCAGTAGACAAAAGAATCAACGGATCATCGGAATCGAGGGAGAGGGGTCCGCTTCCTTTGGCTAATGCCAAGAACTGAGAAAAAGGGACAGTTTTGCTGCCCTTGATCGACTCAGAATAGGCTGCTTCAAGATCTCCTTTCACCAGAGCTAGGGTTAGGGGATCCTTGAGGTCAAGCTTTAGCCCTAAGCTCATGTCAGACATCCCTTCGTTCAGTTTCTCCTCCGTCTCAGAGTCCTTAGTAACGCTTCTTTCTATGGCTTCACCTAGCAGGAGCTCACCCAACCCTTTTCTGTCGAGACTGTAGCGGCCATCCGGATACAGAAGCCTTTTAATCTTCCCAATGAATGCATCTTCCCCGATGTCTTCCATCTTCTCGTCTTCAATCTCGTACACGTCCTCCTTACCAACAAGGCAGCCTCCAACTATGCATCCAGGATTGATGGACAGAACGTCGGTCGTTATTCGGGGAAGAATCTCTGTAGTTCCACTCACGTATGATAGTGCCATCAATGGATCTCTTCTGGAGAAACTTACCTCAAATACCCCATCCACAGAAATGGTGTCAACAACTCTGTTGCCCCCTGTTTCGATTATGTCGATCTGCTCCTTCGAGGAAGCCGCCATGTGGCCTTTGCCAGCCACAGATAACTTTATCAGTCCACTCTCATGGACTCCTATCTGCGATGTACTATCAGAACTGAGATTAAAGCATTGAAGCCCTTTCTGGTTTGTTGCTGCTAGAATGGACGTTGATCCACTTGGATGCCACATGACGTCGGAAACCATTGTTATGTCGCCCCCTCCAAGCGTCATCGCCACATTCTTGGCTCTGATGTCCAGGATAAGTATCTTCCCATCATCCGTACCAGCACACAGTATCCTAGACACCTTTCGGTTCCACGATAGGCATGTTATGTTCGAGGTAAGCGGAATATCACTCGTGTATTGGCTGTCAAGCTTGTTCAGGTTCCAGAATATGATCTTCCCGTTCGATGAACCTGCTGCAAGGACCCCTTTCGACGGATTGAAGTCCAGTCCAAGCACATCTCCCTCTAGAACATTGCAGGTGGACAGAAGCTCAAAGGAAATGTTCTTTTCAGGCGCTGGTGTGTACAGAGTCACTTTTCCATCTTCGTTTCCCGTTGCTAAAAGCTCTCTATCTCCCCATTCACACCACCTGAGCTTGTAAAACTTGTTGTCTGTTTGTAGGGGCGGATACTGGACTCCTGTGCTGTAGTCGTACAGAAACAGCTCAGAGGTCAGGGAAAACGATGTGTCAAACAGCTTGCTCTTCGTCCCCATGGCCATAAGCGGCTTCTCGTCAGAAAACACAGTCAGACATCTTTTGTTGAATTTCATTAGGGGTTTTCCAAACATATTTTACATAACAAAAGACTTGGCTATCTTGTATGCAATTTAATACCTGCAGAACTTGTAGTGATTTGGGATCACACATTCTCCGATGGCCTTTGCGTGTTGGAAAGCAGAAAGGGACCGAGGAGTTCTCGGATACAAAAGAGACTTTGTCTTCAGGTTTTCTTATGGGTTGGCCCTACGATTGATGGCTACAAAGAAAGAGGCCTTGGTTCCACTCCCCACAAAGACGAAGTTAATCGATAGGTTGGAGGACCCATAGCTTATCCCCATCCGGATAAACAAATCGGAAACTTCGAATATGCTCCTCAGGTTTCCACCAATAACATCCACCGAAAATTCTCCGTGGAGCTCCACTGCAAATCTCATTCTGGTTTCTTCACCGCGAATTTCCCCAACATCCTTGGCAACCCTTAGGGTGACAATCTCCTCGCCAATCTCTTTAAGGGCCAACCGCAGGACGTTTGGGTTAATCTCTCCAGAAAGGTCTATCTTGAAGTCAATTGCAAAGGGCTGCGATTGGTTGTAGAACACCCTTCTCCTTAAAACATACTTGTCAAACACATACTCAAATACCATGACATACTCGTTGGTAGTTATTCTCAACAGCTTCATCTTTTTGATATAGAACTTTTGCCTTGGGATCAGTGCGAGTCTGTTCTTCAAGCTTAGGCTGGTGAAAAAAGCCTTTTCCAGGGTGAGGTTCAGTATGAGTGTTTTATCAGCTGCAATTAGCTGGAAGGCTACTTCGTTTGTGGTGTCGATTAGCATAGCAGATGTTCTAACAGCCTGCAGTATTCTATCGACTATAAATGCATTTTGGGAAGACATCACACAGTCCATGGGAAGGAAAACACCCAAGTATTTATCGCAGATATGTGGGTTGCACTTCTTGCTTGAAGGGAGCACTCCCGCCCGCAGAGGGTGTTGCTCCCAAAAATCTGGGCCCCGATAAAGCACTCCTGGAATGGCAGAAAGAGAAATAAATCCAATAGACTTTGCACAGGAGAGGGCAAAAGAGATTCAGCTCATTGAAGCTGCCATCGAGACCAATAGAAAGAAGTCGATGATGTTCCAGCGGCTGCCTTTCTATCTTAGAAGGAGGCTCAGAAGCCATGAAAAGCGCATGAAGAAGAAGAAGCGCCCGAGAAAAAAAGACAGGCATGGCTTGAGGACACATGTGTGGTATGCAAAAAGATTCGAGATGGTGAAGACCTGGAAGACGTCCGTTCCGTTGAGGAGACGAATGAAAAGTAGCAAGTTTATATACAAGTCGCAGAGAAGAGGGTTTATTTTTGATGAATCCTACAAGGATGTTGTGGTATACAACAGGCCAAATACCGAGATTCTCGGAATAGATTTCAGCCTTGAGAATGTTGTGCAGAAGATCAAGCATGGGAATATAGTTTTTGAAGCCATCGTCGGGAAGAGGTTCCTGATTATCCTTACAGCAGGGGTTGAGGAGGCAGAGCTAAATGTAGGGCTGGATGAGCATAGTAGAATTGAATGCTGCTTGTCGCTCATCCAGGCTGACAGTCTGTTCCTTGATAAAATGGACGACGAAGCAGGAGGGCTTTCCAGGGTCTTGTCGCACAAGAAGAAAATAGGAGTTGACGAGGCTGCACTTGGTGGATACGATGCAATCGTCTTCGTGCGGAGCCTTTCGGAATCTGAATCTGGGAAGATACTTCTCAAGAGGAGCATGGTTATGGGATTCTGGCAGGATGTTATAAATGCGGGGATCATCCCAGTATGCATTGAAGAGCTCCAGAGGCTTGCACTTGAAAACAACTACATGGTGTATCCATTTGACTATCCGACATGCAAGCCCTACAGAGATTTTGAGCAGTCGTATATAGAGCCAGTAAAAAGGAAGTATGAGAGAACGCCAAGGTCAAAGAAGATGGATCTTAACACAGATCTGATGTACATATACACTGAGGATCGGGTTGTGTTCGCGGTCTTTGAACTTGAAAAAGGATGTGCAGAAAGATGTGCATTTATCCTTGATGAAGACAACAGCATTGTTGGACGTGTGATTAGAGGGGGATTCTGCTTTACGAGGGGATTGTGCAGGGGGCTATGCTATATGCTCTGCAATGTCAAGGAGGATGACGAGTTTTATTCCAAAAATCTCAATTCTTCTTCCTTCAACCAGATAAAAATAACAAAGGTTTTTAGGTAGTCGCACCCTGCAGCACTTGAGGACAACTGGGCGTTGTGCTAATGCTCGACCTGAAGACGTTATTTACAGGCTTTTCCTCTATCCTTCTTTTTTGAATAATCAGTAGCGCCATGGAAGTAAATCAAAAGGCCTTCAAGGCAAGTTCCCGTATCTCCACTGAGGAAGGTTGAAACACCACAGGCAGTGTAAGTCTAGGTGCGTTCAAGGTAGTCCAAAGTCCATTCGTTGTTTTTAGACTAACATTAAAACTAAATGATGATCTTTATATCTGGGTGCTTTTGCCCCTCATGTCTAGGGAAGAGTTGGAGGGGAAATTATTTGTGTATGATTCGAAGAATAGCCTGCCTGCATATTCCAATGGAGTTGAGAGCAGTGTGAAGGTTGTGTATATCGGAGGCCTTGGATCGCGGTTGCCCATCTGCCTGCCCACAACCATGCTGAACAGGTACTGCCTTGAGAACAGTTACGAGCTCATAATTCCACAGTTGAGGTCCCATCCTAACTACGGACTTTTCACAATTGACGACGATGTAGAGGATTTAAAGTGCTTGTTGGAGCAGCTTTGTGGAGACGTAGTCTTGGTTGGGAATTCAACAGGATGCCAGGATATTATGCACTACTTGAATACAACAAAGGACAGGAAGATCAGGCTGGCTGTGCTCCTAGCAGCCGTAAGTGATGTTGAGCTGGAAGAGCATGAGAATAAAGACCTTTCTACCCTGTTGAGATGGGCAAAGGAGACAATTGAAAGGAGGGAGGACGTTGCAGTTAGATATGGTGGTGGAAGTCAGTACTTGACACCAAGAAGAGCTCTAGACATCTTTTCTAGATACGGGAAGGAAGATATGTTTTCGAGTTATCTAGAGGACAGATTTTACATGGAGCTGAACGAAGGAGGTGCAAGGATCCTATTTGTGATATCTGGAAGGGATGAGTATGCCAAGGCAGATATTGAGGCGAAGCTAAGGCTGGTAAGAAACTCAAGGGTCGAGCGGATACCGGAGGGAACGCATGTTCTGTCACGTGCCGAGGATGTTGAAATGTTCTTGGGATTTCTCTCACAAGAAATTGAAAAGGCAATAGGACAGAAAGCACAGTCCCCAGATGATCGTCCATAGCACCACTAAATTTATTCAGGACTTCGGTCACCCACCGTGAATTAGATCTCCTATGTTATTTACAAGGATGTCCACCATTTCATTAGTAAGATAAAACCTCTTATCTAACCCTGTGGAGCACAGAAGAAACCTTGCCTCTCTTAATAGATGATCTGCAGCATAATGATTAGTGCTAATTCTGTCCACAGGCGTCTCAAGCATGAGAAGAATGATAAGACATAGAGACCTGTGCAGCTTAGGTTTGGTATAATCCTCAAAAATTCCCGAGAACACAGAAATCATCTTCTCAGCCCTACTTCTCTCAAAGTTGAAGATGACAAAGATCAATGCGTCAAATGTCTCACTCTCCTCTCTGCTATCAAACTGGGCGACTATTTCGAAGGCGCCTTCGATCAGGTCGTTCGTGGGGATCTGCTGTTCCCTCAAGCTCTTCATTGTATATACCTTGTATGAGTCTAGTCTCGAGACGTCAAGGTCGCTTGAAAGAAGGAGATAGTCAATCAGTAGATAAATCTCGTTTCGTCTTCTGTTAGATATCCCCCTAGACAGATCCTCTTCCATTTTACTAAGAACTGGTGTTCCAAGAAGCTCCTCTGTATACGATTGGTTATCCCTCACCATAAGATACACCAAACCCCATCTTCTGAACTTAAGAGCAGGTGTGAGACTAATTTTTCCGTAGACAGAAGACTGTAGCTTTTTGAATTCAACGTTTTTGAAGTCTATCAGGGCAGATAGGACGTCAAACACCTCATCTGCATGCTTATCTATATACCTCAGGATGAGATCCCATTGTAGCTCGTCAAAGTAGTTCTGGTTGAAGGAGCAGTCCCTAAGTAGCAATGCCAGTGTGGACATCGCGTCCTTGGAAAACCTGTCCTGGAGCACTTTCAAGAGATTCTCGAAGATGCCCATGAATGTTAACTCTCTTTTGAAGTTCGAGTCATGACAGGAAAGCCTAGGTATTAATCCGATCCGGCCATCCTTAGCCATCTGGACGCAATAATAGGCAATGTTTGGGATTCCTATGATCCTATCTGGGAAGGATTCTGAAACACTCAGCGTACACAGCAGATCATACACCTCTTTTTCGCTCTTCCCGCTCCTAATGCAATTACACAATACCTTTAGGCTTTCCGGGTTCTTTACAACGATGTCGATAAACTCCATCTTGTGGGCGCAATTGAGGATATTTTTGAGTATGCCAAGGTGAATGGACACGTCCTCCATTCTTTCCATCGAGTGGATCACATCCTGCAGTGTGTACACCCCCGCCTCAATAGGATGCGCCTTAGACATTTCCAAGATTCTGTTGAGAGCATCAAGTCTATCTTCGTAATATATAGAGCTGTCCAGTCTGTTTGAAAGAAGGCTGAGCTTCTCCTCCACCCTCAAGGGCTCGGGCTCCGCGTGCTTCTTGAAAAACATTCTGAGGTGGGCTTTTAAATTCCCCATTTATGTCTATGGACCTCCGAGGTATCCGTTGAAGGTAGGGCGTAGATAATGTTATAAGATTTATTGGCAAGTTCCCGGAACCTCGGCCGCAGCTCCCGCTTCACGGCTCATCTTTGTAGGTAGAAGGCCACAGGACCTGCATAAACCCCACCTGTCTGCGCTCCTTTAGGTTTTTCGAAAAGTCAATGATCATGTTTTTGTCGATCAGAGGGTCGCTTTCGTAAAACCGAGTAAAGTCAGATATGTCCAGATATCCTTTCCCTCCCTCATCGTAAATATTCAGAAGGTTCTCTGCCTCTTCGACCCTTCCGTCCTGGCCCATCATCTTGTTAATTCTGATGAGCACGTTTCTGCAGAGCCTTCCGTCTCCATTCAAGTCGAAGATGTCAAACAGATACCTTATTCTGTTTCTTTTGCTATTTCTTTCAGAAAAAATCCCCAGAAACTCGAGAAAGTGCGGAAATGTCATTTTCTCGTAGTCCGTCATCTTCTCAATGCTCTTCATTATTAGGTGGCTGAAGGGGTTCGACTGAAACTCGGGAATGTTGTTCAGCTCATTGTATGTCAGGTATCCACGGGACTCTCTGTCCAGAAACTGAAACCTTTCGTACAGATGCTCGATTTCCCTTTCATCAAAGACGGTAGTGTTCTTCAGCTCCTCTATTTCCTCTTCGCACAGCATCGTGCTGCTCAGCGACCCCATTGAGGGTGTAGCAGAGATCCCCATCATCAATGTTTCACCCTGGATAGAAAAACAGTGATGTTTATCGTGTCATGATAAAGAAGGTCTATGGATTCAGTTCGAGCGGAGAGACCAGGCTCAAAAGGACGTATGAGACCTCGCTCTCCGACGAGGAAATAAGATCGATGGTCTTGGCACAGAAGGAAAGAAACATCGCTGACGGTAAGGAAACTGTTGTCTTCAATAGATTTGGAAACATATTCATGGCGTTTGTGGTGGAGAATGAAAACGAGATGTACATACTCTCCCTGATAAACAACCTCATGTCAATCTACGACCGGTTCTTCACCAAGGTCTGCGAGTTGCACTTCATATACAACTTCAAAGAAACACACATAATCCTAGACAACTACATAGCAAATGGAAAGTGCATTGAAAACGATCCATTCGAGGTGATGAAGCATGCGTACTACATAAAATAGCCAGTCGAATAAGGGAAGAAGGGATCCGCACGGGTGAAATGAATTCTGGTTGACTTTAATCATTTACTCATTGCTTTTATGGTTTTCCTTGTCCTCGTCGCCTAGCTCTCGGATCTTCTTAAGGAATTCTCCGATCTGGCCATTGGAGCTGCGCAAGGCTAATCTTATCGGCGTCATTACTTTCTTCTTCGTCGCAGGCGAATCGAATACCTTAGGCTTGCCTTGTTCAGAGGGATTTTTTTCTGTCTTCACCATTCAGGGCTTGTCCAAGGTTGTTTATAAGGATCTGAAGGCAGCCATAATGAGCATCTAGGACTTAACTTACTTTTTATGCGGGAAGAAGCTTTCTGGCACGGCGGTGGATCAGCCTTTGCTTTGGACTCTCAAGTTACAAAATGCATTCGCTGGACTATAGAAATACGCCAATAGAAGCCCATGCACTTTACAGTTCTGTATCCAGATGGAGAGAAGTGGGAGGTAATAAAGAGAGCTGCGTTAAAGTCTGTGGCAGGGGATGGCTCTGAGGATGGATACCCAGGGTCTTTGCTGAAGGATTCCGAGGACTACAGGAGCTATCTCGCAGTAGTAAAAAGCTATGCTAAGGTTGCGAAGCAGATTGAGAAAGGAGAGGTATATGACTTCTATCGCCACCATCGGAGGTTTAGAAAGAAGCCGCACTCTCTGTCCGATTTCAACAGATTTAGGCTTGTTGCGGTGCTAAAGGAAGACAGTCCTTTGTATGTGTTTGAAGAGGGATGGTATAAGGAAGTGAGCGGTGGAACTGGCCATAAGAAATGTCCATTTTGTAATGAAAACATCCCTAGCGAAGAAATCAGTAGCCACTTGAAGACAAGGGCATGCAGCCAGGAGGCGGAGAGCAAGGAAGGAAACAGTGTGACTGTGGTGTTTGACAGGGGAGCCAAAACAGAATACGAAAGGTTGGTACTGGACTGCACGAGCGTTAGGATGCTTAAGAAAATTGTTTACGACAGGACTGGAATATCCGTGAGCAAACAGGATGTCTACCGAGGAGATGTTGTCCTGAAGAACAGTGATTCTCTGGGTAGGGAAACAGTTGTATTAAGGCAGAAGAAAAGAGCACAGAGGAAATAGTGGATAATTTGGCGACATGGCGACCCTTCAAATGGAACTGCCCGCTCTTGAGGTTTTGAAGAGATCCAGAAATAAATGTGTTAGGATTGTCACTCTTAACAACAAGACATACAGAGGAGTTCTGGAGAACTTCGATATGCATGTAAACACGCATCTCAAGGATAGCTATCTCCAGATGGACGAGAAGGGGGAGGAGATCTATATAGGTGAGGTGCTGATAAACGGAGGGACGATTGCATGCTTTGATATTGTCTGACCTTCTTTATGGGATAAAGGTGTGAATAAATGGTTTTTGTGTTGAAGAGTAATTTTGGAGACTTTCCCCATTTACATGGGAAAGGTTAGCTTGTCGCCATTGCTCCATGACACTCTTGTGTTCATGAAGAAGTTTGCCTCGAAAATAACTGTGACGAGAACAAGCATATGCTCGAAGTCGATCTTGGTTGAGATGCCGGAGTTTTGTGACTGTTGCTTTACCGTCAAAACCAGGGATTTTGCGGCAATGCTGAAGCAGACACAGGAATTCACGGTGGAAGACAAGGCACTAAAATATAGATACGAGGTGGGCGTGGGAGGAGACCTAATTAAGGTGGAGAAAAGAATGAAAAAACATGACGAGGTCTATCAGATTGCAGGGGGGTTTCCATTGTTGAGCATCGTGGTAAATGGGTTTAAGGTTTTGAGCTCTGATGACCTCTTAATAAGAGCTGGGAAGGACGGGAGCCTTACTCTTGAGTCTTTTGGGATTGTTAAAACAAAGTCCGAATACCTTGGACTCAGGGTTCCCGAACACACAGTCGATCTGGTAGCTGTAAAGGTAAAGAGCAGAGACCTGCGGATTCTGGAGGACCTTAGAGGAGATCTTATTTTCTCTTTTTTGGACTCACACATACTGGTGTACTCACTAGGGAATAATTCCACCACTGTTGTACAAATAGGTATCCTTAGCACATAGAAAGTGTGAATGCCAGGATTGCGGCACAAAATAAACCACTTCCATTTATTTGGTAGATCTATTCTCCATTTTTCAGGGACAGGATTTGATTTGTTGTTTTTTACTCCCCTCATGCATGACATTGAATATTTGCTGAGATATCTATTGGATAGTACAACCTTGAGGATAGAGAGATTAGAAGATATCACGAATTCACAACAGGCGGCAGCATTTGAAAAGAGGTTTGGAGACACAAGAAGAATCAAGGCATTCTGCATGGAGATAGGCCCCACAACCTACTTTCCTGTCTTCAATGTCCCGCTATCCCAGGGTTCGATCACCCATAAGGTTAAGCTTTGCTCGGTTGCTGTTGGAGAGTCGATCTATGTGTCTAAGGAGTATGTCAAGCAGATGAATCCTCCAGGACACTATAACTCCTTTATCACTAGCGACCTGGGATATCAGGTGGGGTTTTTATCCGAGTCCCAAGCAGACATAGGAAATTACTGGTATGTTGTCAAGGATCCAAGCAAAATCCTGCCTCTTTTTGACATAACCTTTGAATACGATGCTGAGTTGGAAATGAGGTCGAAGGGGAACTTTATATGCGACAGATGCCGTATGAACCAATCAGTATCCTTTTGCCCTGCAGAGCGGGCAAGCTTCTGTGCAGAATGTGACGAGGAGGTCCACAGCGACCATTTTCTCAAGCGGCACGTGAGGTACTACTTCAATGAGGTTGGGAAGAAGAAGTTTATTTACTGTGCCAGCCATATGGATACAATGGTGGACTACTTTTGTGAAGAATGCTTTGTTCCCGTTTGTACTAAGTGCAAGATAAGCGGGAATCATTCTGAGCTTCCAAACGGATCACACAGCCTACTGAACTACGTAGAGGCGTGTGACAAGCTTCAGGAACTTTTGAAGGCAGGAGAGCTCCGACTGGTTGAAGAGGAGGAAAGACTCAAAGAAAACATAAGAGAGTTCAAAAAGAATGTCGAGGCTTTCCAAAGCAACATCAGCAGCGTAAGAGATAAAATCGAGAGCGAATATAGAAATGCCATGAACGAACTGCAGGCATTTGAAAAAAGGGAGTTCCAGATTGTAAACACTCGGTATATCTCATATCTTAGCAAGCTAGCCGAGCTGAGAAGGATGAGGGAGTACCCTGCTAGTCTTGAGCCTTCGCAGCTTCTTAGAACTTTCAGGAGTGTCACCATACAGAGAGACTCGCTGGCGGAAAGCACCGACGAGGTGGTCTTTAAGCCGGCAGAAATATCACTAAAGGGCCGTCTCACCCTTAAGGACGAAGAAAACTACACCACAAGAAAGGGATACTTCCCAAGAATGGAGAAAAGCACCCAGCTCTATGTGGAGACAAGAGGAATCAATGTTAATTCGCATGGTAAAAGTAAATAATTCCTGTTATACCCTGAATTCTTGGATTTGGATGCAAGGCTTGAAGGTTCCCCCTTTGACCTTCAATCTAAAAACATCTGATTAAAATGCTTTAGTAAAGGAGAGGGCCATATTGGCGAAGCACAGGTTTAATTTGCTCTTCTACCTAAATGAGAAGGACGTGGATGCTGCTACTTGGATGGTTGGTCACTCACGTCTTTTCAAAGCGAAGTTCTCGCAAAAGGGCATGACAAGGAGGATACTAAGATTTGGGAATGTGTCTCTGAAGGCACCTAATAAAAACAAGGACCTCAAGGGTAAATATGTTGATCTTATTTCCGGGACTTCTGGAGAAATAGTCTCGGGAAGATTGACTGCCGTGATGGGAGGAAGTGGAAGCAGCAAGACTTCTTTTCTCAACCTTCTTATGGGAAAGGTTGAGAGCGATGCACTGACGTCTGGCGTGATCACCTTCGATGGAGAGCAAAGGAAGATTTACAAGTGGCTTGAAAGTACCTCTTACCTGGAGCAGTTCGATATCTTTGCATCAGGGCTCACAGTGGAGGAATCCATAACGTACTCGCTCATCTTCAGAGGGAGAGAAATCAAAGACTCCAGCATTCCTTCGATGGTAGACGACATAATTGGAGAGTTAGGGCTGGCCAGGCTAAGAGGATCACTGGTTTCATCTATCTCTGGAGGAGAACGCAGGAGAGTCATGCTTGCTGCTGAACTTGTAGTGGAGCCTGAGGTGGTGTTTCTTGATGAGCCTACAAGCGGCCTGGATTCCCGGCTAGCTCTCGACACAGTCAGAATACTAAAGAAGTACGCAGAATCGAGGAACAAGATCGTCTTGATGACTGTTCATCAGCCGGGAAGCTCGATGTTCAGTCTGTTCGATGACATAATATTTTTAGATAGAGGGAAAATAGTTTATGCAGGACCCACTTCTGGAATAGATGACTTCCTCGAATCCGTTGGCATGCACAGACCTTCGAACATTTCTGTTGCAGAGTACCTATTTGAGTTAGACATCAACAGCCCAGAGCATCAAGGCCGGTGGCAAGCGGAAGACAGGCAGGAAGCGTCGGGGCTGCTTGGCAAGGATACATTTGAAAGAAACAACCAATACTTCGTCGTCTCAACAATTTCATGGAGGCACGTTTGGCATCTACTCGTCAGGCAGTTGAAGATAGACTACAGAAGCGGAGTTATGAAAAATGTATTTCTGTTCAAAATCGCCATGGCAACATTCATGTTCTTCTTTTTATGCCATAAGATGAGATACTCTGTTTTTCTGTTCATTAATAAGATGTGTCCGCAATATTCGTCTGCAGGAGAGAGATATCTCAACGACCTGGAGAACTTTCTCAAAAGAAACTACGGGAATCTAGGAATACTGTATAGAGACATTCTAGACTTCTTTGCCTATAATATGATCCCATTCATCACATCCTTTTCCATATTCAACGACTCAACCTTCTTGGACAACAATGTGCTTCTGCAAAAGGAATCCTTCAGATGTGACTACAGCCAAGTATCTCTTCTGGCCTCGACCTTGATATATGAATGTACATTTTCGTTAGTCAGGTCATTCTATTTCTGTTTTCTCCTAAGCCTGACACAGCTTAAAGATGTTTTAACGGCCAGAGCAATCCTGATGTTCGTGCTCACACCTCTTGGAATGGTTGTCTTCATGACAATGGTCAAGACTTTTTCTTCGTGTAGCTACCCACTAAATATCACAAGAGTGGCTGCATTTGTACTTACAACGTTCCTGAGGCCTCTTTGGCTAAGCATGGAGTTAGAGGATTTGAGAAGTAGATACATGTTTATGAAATATCTCTATCCAGCATCCTACGCACTATTTTTTTGCCCATTTCTGCTTTTGGATGCATTGTTTTATGTCACACTTGGGGAGGGGTGCTCTGCATCGCCGGGATTCATTACTTTTCTTGGCCAAGTCAATGGTATTCAAATAGAAGGCCAGGAGGACATTCTTTTGAAGAACTCTCTCAACTATGTAATGACATTTCTAAACAGATGTTACCTTTCTGACAGTTTTCTGATCCTTTTGACTATTTTCTCGTTCCTGTCAGTGCTAGTGCTGTCTGTATCGTTCCTTGTTTTGAAGTTCAGTCCGAGCGTGAGGCTAACAATGAGCACCAAGAGTCTGGAGATGGAGCTGAATGAGGTGAGAATTGATTAATAAATTTTTGGGCCAGATATATTCAGTTTCAGTTTCTTAGCCTCTATGGGAAAGCTGTTCAAGAAGTTCAGGATAGAAAAGGCCAATGAAAGGAAAAAAGCTAAGGAAAAGCCAAAAATAAAGAAGACACAAGAGATAAGAAGCCATATAAGAGAGCGCTCGGAAATAGAAAAAATATTTTGTTGTTTGGATGTCTCCTACAGAAGAAGGACTGGGTACAGGAAGATCATTGGTTTGAATGAGGCAGAATTGGAGAAAAACATATTTCTTGTTTTGGAAAAGGTTTTAGAGGTCGTGGTGACCTTCGATCCTGTGGACAGTCTGTTCTATTCTGTGCTGAAGAGAGTGCTACGCCTTAGGAACAGCGTTTCCATACACCCTCTTCTTATAGATTACTTTTTTGCGTCCGTTCTTTGTGGAGCCAGCTACGAAGACTTCGGCTTTTTCCTTCTCAAGAACTCGCCACAGCTCTTAGTGAGCAACAAGGACAAAATTCTTGCCCGTCTTCCCGACGGGGAGCTAAAAAGCAAGATATCTGAGCTGAAGCCGAGAAACAGATGTCCTTCCATTGAATATCAGCAGAAATTTGTGATTTTAAAAGACAAAGTATTGATAGACGATAGAAGAGCCAAATAAGAAATATAACTTCTATATTCTAACCTGTGAAGAGCTAGATTTGCCGTGATGTTCTTTATTAAAGAACTGGGAATGGAACTTCGATATTCATATTTGTTAAGGTATTCGACAGCAGAGATCTCATCACTGTACCTCGTTAACGTCGCGTCGGGGCCTGTCCAGAAGCCCTTTTCTCTTGCATCTGTCATGCCTCCTCCCCTCCAGAAGATTAAATATCTTGGAGGGAACCGTCGGGTCCTCAAGCACTCATGTTCATCTTGATTGCAGGGTGCGGGTCGTATCCCACAAGCTCGAAGTCCTCGTACTGGAAGTGCTCCGGCTCTGTTCTCGGCCCCTTTGGGCTGACAAAGAGCTTTGGAAATGCTCTCGGGGGTCTCTGGACCTGCTGCCGAAGAGAGTCGACGTGGTCCAGATACACGTGGGCGTCGCCCAGAAAGTGGACAAACTCCCCGGGCTGCAGGCCTGTCAGATGCGCCACGAGTATTGTGAGCAGCGAGTACGAGGCAATGTTGAAGGGAACGCCCAGGCCCATGTCTCCAGACCTCTGGTACATTGCACAGCTGAGCTTCCCGTCCGTCACGTTGAACTGGAAGAGCACGTGGCACGGGGGAAGGGCCATGCTCCCGAGGTCTGTGGGGTTCCATGCACTCACAACAATCCTCCTGCTGGCGGGGTTGGCCCTGATTGCTGCGATGGCGCTCGCGATCTGGTCGACCCCCTTGCCCTCGTAGCTCGAGGCCGATGTCTCGTACCGGGCGCCGAAGTGCCTCCACTGGAAGCCGTATATCGGGCCGAGGTCGCCCTCCTCCCTGTCTATCCCCACGGACTGCAGGAACTGCTTGGCCCCGTTCTTTTCCCAGATCCGGACTCCTTTCTTCTCAAGGACCTTCGAGTCTGTCTCGCCTCTCAGGAAGAACAGGAGCTCCTCGACAACGCCTCTGTAGAAGACCCTCCTTGTCGTCAGCAGCGGGAAGGTGTTGTCTTCGAGGGAAAACCTCATTGTTGCTCCGAAGACGGACAGCGTTCCCGTGCCTGTCCTGTCCATCCTCCTGGCGCCGTTTTCCAGTATGTGCTTCACCAGGTCAAGATACTGGTGCTCTGGGTGGCGCGGGTCCTGGGGCATTTGGCAGGCATGGGCAGGGGTTATATATGGCAGGTCTAGCGGGTCTCCGGTTTAGTGTAGAGAAACATCTTGAAGGAGGTCCCGTTCTCTGTAAAGGTGGCCGTCTCGGGGCTGTAGAAGGCGCTCGCGAGTGTGCGGTCTATGAGCCTGGAGACGTCCCGGGTGATGTCTCGCTTTTCGTAGGATGCCCAGTCGATGTGGGGGAAGAACACGTCGCACTCGGGAGACTCGAAGACCTCGGTGGCAAATATAAGGTGGGGCCTGCCGCTCTCGAGTGCAAGGCTGTAGACGTCGCGCCCTCCGATCACAAATGTCATGGACGACGGCGGGAGGGGCAGGGAGTCGAGGGCCTCGAAGGTCTGGATGAAGAAGGTGTTTTCTGTGCTTCTGGCAGGGCCTCTCGACAGGACGACGTTGATGCGGTTGGCAAGGGGCCTGAACCTGGAGGGGATGGAGTCCCACGTCCTCCTGCCCATGACAACGGCATTGGATGCAGACGGGGCAAGGGCGATGCGGTCTGGGGAGATGAGCGGGATGCTCTGGGAGAGTGTCCTGAACCAGGCCATGTCAGCAGCCAGGGGCCGTGGCCATGGAAGGGCATTGGCATTTCCTATTCCGCGGTGGCTAGCAAGGGCAACGACCAATGCAAGCATGGGGAAATTATTTATTATGAATAGTATTGTGAAAAAACAAAGGGATGAGGTGGATTAAAGTAATGGCAGGGCTTCTGCCCATGATTGGAAGTAAGGGTGCCGACGAGAAGGACTCGTCGCAGCAAAGAAGGCTGAGCAGGGTTGTTGTTCCCGAGCACTATGATCTGCATGTGAAGATCCTTGATGCAGGGTTCTGCGGGTCTGTGGGGATCCGGGTGATGATTTCGCAGGATGTTTCCGAGATAGTTCTGAATGCCAAGGAGCTTGAGATACGGGATGCAGGGATTGTTGTTGAGGGCGCACGGATTCCGGGGCGTGTGGTTGTCGGGGAGGCGGAGAAGGAGTTGGAGGTTGTGCGGATTGTGTTTCCGTCCTCTCTGCGTGCAGGGCCTGGATATCTTACGATGGAGTTTTGTGGGGACTATAACAATGGGCTTGTGGGGCTGTACAAGAGCGGAGGGCCGAAGGAGGTGTACAGCACACACTTTGAGCCGACTGATGCACGGTGGGTGTTTCCGTGCTTTGACCAGCCCGACATGAAGGCGACGTTCAAGATTTCGATTGACGCGGGGTCGAAGTTTACTGTGCTGGCGAACACACAGGCGATTCCGTCTCTCCGGGAGGAGTATGGAGACAGGAAGATCGAGTACTTTGAGGAGACGTGCAAGATGTCGACGTATCTTGTTGCATTTGTGGTTGGCGAGCTTTCGTACATTGAGGACTGGAGCAAGGACGGGGTGCGCCTCCGTGTGTACGGGGACAGCTCTGAGGTTGAGTGGGGACGGTATGGGCTTGAGGTTGGGAAGAGGTGCCTGGAGTATTTTTCGGAGTACTTTGGGGTTGGATATGAGTTTCCTCGTGCGGGGTCTGCGAAGATTGACATGGTTGGGATCCCGAACTTTAGCAGCGGGGCGATGGAGAACTGGGGGCTGATCACGTTCCGAAGGGAGAGCCTTCTGTATGTGCCTGGGAAGAGCAATGTGGAGGACATGAAGAATGTGGCGGAGACGGTGTGCCACGAGCTTGGGCACATGTGGTTTGGGAATCTTGTGACGATGTCGTGGTGGGACGACCTGTGGCTGAACGAGGGGTTTGCGACGTGGGTGTCGTTCAAGGGGATGGAGAACATCGGATCTGTTGTTTCATGGGACGTGTGGGGGGAGTTTGTGCTGTGGAATGTGGTGCGCGGGATGGTCGACGACGGGCTTGGGAAGAGCCACCAGATCCGGATGAATGTGACGGATCCCGGGGAGATTGGGGAGATTTTCGACAGCATCAGCTACTGCAAGGGAGCGAGTGTTATCCGGATGATTGAGAGGTATGTCGGCGAGTCTGTGTTTATGCTTGGGATCCGGCGGTACATCAAGGAGCACATGTATGGGAACGGGAATGCAATGAGCCTGTGGAAGGCGATTGGGGAGGAGTATGGAGAGGACATTTCTGAGATGGTTGAGGGATGGATTTCGCAGGCAGGGTATCCTGTTGTGTCTGTGCAGGACTGCGGGTCGTCTCTTGTTCTGTCGCAGAGCAGATACTCGATGCTAGGGAAGAGTGATGACAGCCTGTGGACGATTCCTGTTGTGGTATCGTGGGAAGGAAAGGGGCAGGAGAGGATTGAGCTTAGGGGACGGGAGACGACTGTTCGGAAGAGGAGCAGTGTGTACAAGGTGAATGCCGAGTACGGGGGGTTCTACAGGGTTCTGTATGACTCTGCCGGGCTATCTGGGCTTGAGTCTCGGATTGATTCCCTGAGTGTGGTTGACAGGGTGAATGTTATTGAGGATGTGTTTGGGCTAGGGTTTGGGCTGTATGGGGGTCTTGAGCATGGGCTTCGGCGGATATCTGAGTACTATTCTGACTCGTACCATGTTGCTCGGAGCGGGATTGAGAAGTTGCTTCGGTTGAGGAGTGTGTTCTACGACGACGCAGAGATTGTGTCTCTGATTGACAAGAAGGTCAGGAAGATGATTTTGCCCTGTGTTGGGAGGATTGATGTGTTTGATATTGGGACGTCTGTTGAGAGTGTCAGCATGAACAAGTATGTGCTGTCTGTGGGGGTTGAGGTGGGAATCCGGGAAGCGGTTGAGAAGGTCCAGGAGCTGTGGAGGCGGCATGTGGAGGCAGGAGAGGAGCTTGGAGAGCTCCGGTGGATTGTGTACAAGGCAGTTGTCGACGAGAATCTTGGATACATGATGGACAAGTACAAGAACGGGGATACGCCTGGGATGCGGCGGGAGGTCATGAACGGATTCAGCGGGATAAAGAGGGAGGAGAACTTTCTTGATGTGGTTGGGAATCTCTCTCAGTTCAGTGTTGAGGATATTGGAGTGGTGATAGGGAGCATCAGCAGGGGAGGAGCGTTCCGGGACGCGATGGTCGAGTATGTTGTGTCGCATGGGGAGGAGCTGTACCTGATGGTGCACAAGAATGCGATGCTGTACAACATGATTATCATGTCGCTGCGGCATGTGAGCGGGGATTTGATTGTGGAGAAGGTCGAAAGGTTTCTTTCTGGGATCAAGCACTCTGGAAGCAACCTGAGCATTGAGAAGGTGCGGAACGAGATCCAGTGGAGAAGGAGGATGCGGGGGATAAGAGAGGAGGTCCTTCGTGGGCTTCTGCCGGAGGCTGAGAAGTAAACGAAGTATTATTGTGATTTGTTTTGGAAGTATTTAATGGCTTGTGGATTTTGTCCCATTAATGGAGAGGGCCCCTGGGCCTAAGAGCCGCTCTCCACCGGTCTGTGCCTGCCATTTAGTCATCGTTGCTGTTCTCATCGGTGTCGTCACCGCCGAATGTGGAAGAAGTTCTGCTATTACCACTACTACCTCCTCCCAAAATGTTCTTGGTTTCTTTTGCTAGGCTGCCACCTCCACTTCCCCCGGTGGATGATGATCCCAGCTCCATGGCAAGGACGTTTGCAAGTGACGTGAAGCAAAGAAGGAAGAGAGTCTTTAAGTTCATTGTAGGGATGCAGAGGGAGGCTGCTTATGTAGTTGAAGAGTTAAGGAGGAGAGCAAGTTAGAGCAGGAGGCTTACAATATCCCATGGAGGAGGCGCGTCTAATTGGACGGGGGTATTGGACAGGACGTCAGATGCCAAGGGAAAGGGATTGAAGGTGTATGGGGCAAGAGGATCCACTTGTCCCGTTGGGTAAAAGGGGCGTGCCCTGGCGGATGGGTGTTTCTGCAGACTTTTCCCGGCTATTCTTGGGTCGACTCAGT